CTCAACGTATCGCTTGTATGCCTCCTAAAAATACTCGTTAGTCTGATCCCAACGAAACAACTGGTTCCGATTGAAAACTAGTTCCGAACTAGATAATAACTTTTAACTCACATTCGTCTTCACTCTCGCCATTCTGGATGGCCGAGCTTGTACGGATTAGAGGAGTAGTAGATAGACAGATGTAGAGAAATAGAAAGAAAACAGAGGGAAGTAGTAAAAGAAATGTGAGAAAGAAAAGTTATATAGGAGAACTAGATTTCTGTAAGGTATTGAAAAACCTCAGCCCACCTTCGTGGGCCAGGGTGACCTTATCCCACGTGACTAGCTAGAGGGTGGGCTGAGGTCTACGGTCGGGTGGCCTCAACTGTATTCACGTAAGGCAGAATCATTGGGTTACAAGAAATGATGGGAATGCAGGAAGAAACAGGGATTCCAGCTGATAACCCAAAGGATCAGTCACGTGATGCCCTACCATCTATATGATGAGATCTGATAGGTCGGATCAAAGGGATAACGTTAGTCCGACTAGCGAACCTCCGATATATGGCCAGCGTTCGCCACATATAGAAAAACAAGCACTCATCAAGCACTCAAGCACCTGTGTACTCTAGGCTACATTAGATAGAGTATATCAATCGTTCGTTTTAATTGGGTCTTCTACATATAGGCCTCGTGCAGTCGGATGATCGACTCCTCCGGTTTCCCCTGAACCTCCGACGGAACCCATTTCACTATCTACCCTAAATGGTATACGGAATGGTAGGAGAGCAAAGGATATATAAGGACACTCATTCATGCACCTAGTTTAGTTCTTCGCAATCAATCTAGTTAATCAAGCATTGGTTACCTTCTAGTTTCTGACTCGTCCGCACTTAACCAACAACCCAGCATACGTGCTCGGTTGGCCTTGTTTCTCTATTCGTTACCTTTACCGTTTCTACTTGTTGACTATCTTACGGAGCCTGGAGGGGGCGATATACCTTCGACGTGATATACAGAGGACCTGGATGGTCATTGAGCATATGAGTGCTTGGAAGACACTTAGGGTAAGTGTCCTGTCTCGAAATACAACTAACTAGAACCCTAGGTACGATACGAGGGAAGCCAGGTTGTGACAGAAATATTCCAACAAGGGCTGGAGTTAAGGTTCTATTTCTTTTTCTCTTCTTCAGGGACCATAACTCTAAATAACCCAATTCCTTTAATGACTCTGATTTGATTTATTTTGCATAATTAGGATTATGATTCATGAAGAGTCACACTGTTCTTTTGTTGCCCTTAGGTAGTTATGCCTGGACATTTAACTAGCTTGTAGGCAACACTGTATCGCCGTGACTGCTCTGTTGTACCTCCTGCCATTGCCTGAATCAAGGTAGTCGTGACTGATAATAATAAAACTAATTCAAGCAACGCTCAGAAGCTGGAGAAAGATAGGGGGCCTCATAACCGCTCTCCTTGTCACGGAGTACGGGCATTCACCAACAACGCAAGATGTTTGTAAACTTTGGCCTGTTTGAATATAGGGCAGGAACCCCCTTCGCACACTAGATAGCGCAGCGCTGGCAGGCCCAGCTTCCTTCTTTCCTTCTCCATGCTAGTATTTCGATAGAGAGTCTACCAATAAATTTATATTGTTCGAGACTGTCACACTCCTTGTGAAGAGCACCCAGATAAGCTTGAGAAGAGATGCCAGGAACACCAACCCAGTGTTCGGGTAGGTGGGAAGTATTCACACATTTTTTATCTTATACCTGCTGAATAATTTCCCTTAATTTAAGTTGATAAAGAGTACATCATGGACTCTGATAAGCAGTTGGAGCGTTATGAGAGATAGGATGAGAAGCAGCGTCCCAACTGGTATGAGAAAGTCCGCAATTGAATATACATACTGCGGTCAATAAATTTTCAGCTTAATCAATGAACATAGTGAAACTGGAGATAGCATGTGATCACAATGAATGTAATTGCTATAAGTTGCTTCTGTTGTTTCACGAACCATATTGCCCTCTGGATTGATTCTTGCTCCAAATAGTAATTATGGTCTGGTTGTGTTTCATGGCTTTTATGTGACTTTTCTTGTATCAAGATTATTGTACTTATGGTCCATTATAACAGCTCAGCCCAGCGCCTTCATCAGCAAACATCATCAACACGACAAACAATACCATGGAAGCAATCAAGACAAAAGCTGCTTAGCGAGACCACACACAACCATATGGGACTTCTTCATGTTAATAGACTTGCCTCTTATTTTCTTTTCTTCTCCAGATTCGATATTCCCGTCGATGGCTACTAGTTGGTTTAGATAGGAATATCAATTCGTTAATATCTTCTAGCTATTGAGCCCGTGGCAACCCCCAATCCATAAAGGACGGCCACAAAGTGCCACGCCAGTCATGATGGAAGCTCTCTGTGAACATCTACTTGAAAGACCAAATTTATACCTTCAAGAGATGCAACTTTTTTTGCTGGACGAATTCGACATACATATACCAAAATCTACCATTAGCGATGCACTTCATCATAAAGGATGGTCGAAAAAGACAGCTCACTAAAAAAGCAGAGAGAGATGAAGACTTATGTGATGAATATTGGCATGATATATCGAAATTCTCCTCATACCATCTTATTTATGTGGATGAATCGGGATGTGATAAACGTATTGGCTTTAGAAGAACAGGATGGTCCCTCTAGGTACTACGCCAGTCCAAGTGTCCAAATTTCATCGCGACCAGAGGTATCAGATACTTCCTGCATATACCCAGGACGGATTTTACTTTCCCGCGTCTTCCAAGGGCCAACTAATGCCTCTTTTTTCGAGGATTTTATTACGGAGCTTTTACAGCACTGTCAACTGCATCCAGGCCCAAAATCGGTTCTCATTATGGACAATGCCTCTTTTCATCGCTCAGAACGGATACAGCAGATGTGCTCTGAACACGGAGTCAAGCTGATGTATTTGCCGCCATACTCACCAGATCTTAATCCTATTGAAGAGTTCTTCGCTGAATTGAAAGCCTTTATCAAACGACACTGGCCATCGTATGAAAACAATCATGACCAAGGTTTTCGTACTTTTCTTGAATGGTGTGTTGACAAGGCTGGTGCAAGGGAACAAAGTGCGAAGGGACATTCTAGACACGCAGGTATAACAGTGGAAGAGTCATAGTATGGGTTCTGGGTGCGGGCTATTCATGTTCTGCTAGCCAAGGGCTCTTGTTACTTAGATTTCAAAGACCATTCAGCATTATTAATTGGTATTGTTACTTGAGTATCATGTATGCACAAGAATAAGTAGGATGAACGAAGTCCACGCAATTAAAACACAGCCAACGTGTTTAGCCAACCATCAAGTCTTAATCCCGTTATATATCCTAAATTCGTCGAGCCATCTGAGTTCACATCTACTTCTTCCATATCTCGAAGTATTTTCTCGATATATTCGCCCGCACCACTGAGTTTCATAATATGTGCAATGGCACAGTGGACGCCAAAAAGTCGATGATCGGGTGGATTGATGGTGCGGCTCGAACTCAGGTTTAGCGTTCGGGTGACGGGGAATAGTGGATCACGCAAAAAAGAATTATGCTCCAGCGAATCGATCCTATACTGATGTGGGCCCGTCCGTTCAACGCATACCTGGAATTCGCCAAATAGTCGATGATAATCAAGTGTTAGTGTGAGAGCATTCATAGGGCTATCAATCTTGGAGGCATCAAGATGGTGACTGATTCCAGGCTTGAACATGTCTAAAATGCGAATCACATTTTCCTTCGACTCGCTCTAGGAACAAATTAGTATAGCAATTAGTTCTAGTCCATGTCAGACATACCAAGTCCGTTTCTCCAGGAGCCACGATTCTTAAAGGATGGGGAAGAATATGAGCAACTTCTAAGTACTAAAATCCGCCGCGTGCTTCATTTCTTAAGGGATTCCCATTATCGTCCTCAGTCATCCCCATGCTGTTCGGCGCGTTTTCTGGCTTCCACTATATCGAATTTACGAGATATCACATACCGATGGCGATCGCGAACGAGACAGTTTTGTCGCAGAATGGAAACACGCTGTCTCGTACCGGTTGGGGCGGGTGTTCGCATAGAAGACAACGACTTAGGCGTCGCTTGCGATGTCTTAGCGGATGAGGCCCTGACTAAATAACGTCAGTTAGCAGTAGAACCCAAAAAATTGAACATAAAAAATCGATGTACGTGGAAGAAGAAAGTTATCAACAATATATTTAGCAAACTTCTCGACAGCTCCCTTGATATTGACCATTGTGCTTGGATCCTGGTTGGGATCCCCAATGAAGTTGTCAACGTAAGATAAAGCGACAGAAATATCAGTGTCAACATCAGGTTCATTGGTATCATTGAAAATTACATAGATATACGAAAAAAAGAACCTTAAAAAGGTGTCTCGAGATGCAACACAATGATATTTCCTGGATAAGGATTGCAGGCTTGTAGCCCTTTTGTACGGTTTGTTCGAGTCCATAATGCTAGATGAGCTTATCAATAAGAGCCGTTGCCTTTTGATTTTGTGGTGGTGTTAAAAAGAACGAAGGTGAAAAGTCAAATACAGATTCTAAAGATGACTGATGTCGATGTTGAGCCATTATGTTTGTGATAAGAAGGGCATGCTGCAAACAATTGCACCGATAGTGTGAGTCTCGAACAATATAAATTCATTGGTAGACTCTCTGTCGAAATACTAACATGGAGAAGGAAAGAAAGAAGCTGGGCCTGCCAGCGCTGCGCTATCTAGTGTGCGAAGGGGGTTCCTGCCCTATATTCAAACAGACCAAAGTTTACAAACATCTTGCGTTGTTGGTGAATGCCCGTACTCCGTGGCACTTCTCCCTATCTCGGTTTTGTACCAAGTAACCCCCAAGTTTCTCAGCTTGCTTCAACATTGCGAAAACCCAAGCAGCTCCTCGCGCGGGGAGCTATCTGGTTTTAGATGATAGATGGTAGTTCAGCTAGAGGACAGGCAGTTCCGATCTGCCCTGAAACGGATAAGCCAACAAGGCGGTTAAATCCGAGTCGGGGAAGTCGGGGAGTCGATTATCCGGACTGCACGAGGCTATATATGAAGAGGAAATTTAGATTACACGGAGGGTGACATTGATATCTATAAACACCATAGATGGTAGAATGAGTGCTTAGCTATCTAAACGAGTGTGTCCGCATATGAGGGATCTGTCGGCCTCGGTAATCGGACCAACTATTAATCCATCTCGACTTTCATCACTTTCATCAGGTCTCCATCGGGCACTCAGTACAGTCATCATCCAGATGCGCACAGGAAAGATAGGGCTCCGACACTACCTCTACCAGCGTGGGGTGCCAGACATACCCGATGGGGACTGCCGCTGTGGGAAGGCCACCCAGACAGTGCGGCACGTACTCCTGGCATGCCCCATCTTCAAGGATCTTCGAGAGCAGTTCCTGGGAAAACCGGGCGGATGACTAGAAGGAGGAGGGAATCTGAGGACAATCCTGAACACGCCTAAGCTCGCAATCCGTGCAGCCAAATTCATGCTGAGAACCAGGTTCCTTGGGCAATTCGGGGCCGTAAACGAGGAGGAAACAAGTTAGGCAGAGCACTGAGGTCTTTGGTTACATAGCAATCTAAGAGAGCCGGGGAGCCCCGGATTCTCATGAATCTGAGAGGAGCCGAGCCCTCAAGAAAAGCACACACCATAGATGTAAATAGGTATCAAAAACTACCCCGGCGGCTTACAGCCGGAGGGGCAGTTCCCGCATAGCCATGGATTAAGATTGGCTTGGGACGGGTATGAGTAAATCCGAATCCGAATCCGAATCATGCCTGTCATATGTCCTGCTGGGACCAGAGCCTCACTGCATCCGTGGAAGGACTCGCCCCCCACGATAAATAAACACTCACTCACTCGCTCACTAAATCGTGACAGCTTGTTGTTCTTGCCTTGTCACAATCGATCATAGCAGAAACTTATCAGGCCCAGCAAAATCAGATAGAGGCACACCATCCCTGACCCAGCACCATGCCCACGGATCTTAAGCGTGGCCGCGTCACAGATGCCACGAAAGGTACAGTCCAGACTATCTGCAATTATCCTTATCTTACAATTCCTAAACTCTTATAGTATGGGCCTCTGTCTTAACAAACACCGAATACCTGGCTGGCATTCTGACCCTCGAATACTCTCTCCGGAAAAATGGCACGAAATATCCGTTCATCGTTCTGTACACGGACTCGCTCCCCGAGGAAGCCCACGCAGCTCTTGAAGCCCGCGGCATACTCAAACAACCTGTCCCCTACCTCAAGCCATCTATGACTACCGATTTGAGCCTAGACAGACGTTTATATGATGCCTGGACCAAACTGGTGTGCTTTTCACTTTACGAATACGAGCATGTTGTCCTCCTGGACTGCGACATGATGGCGCTTCATAACATGGATGAGTTGATGGATGTTGAGTTGGATCCACCAGAAATGGAGGGCAATGGGAATCGCGTGTTTGGTAGTACCCATGCATGTGTTTGCAATCCGCTCAATAGGCCTCACTACCCTGAAGATTGGTATGCATCTCATTATCACCGTCTTGAAGAACTTGTCTCATTCTAAACTGCCAATTCTCAAAGGATCCCGGCCAATTGTGGATGGGCCCTCCAGCATGGCACCCCAGAACTCGCTCAGACCATTGCTCCTCCAATCGAAGCAAGCTTTGGCTTGTGCAACACAGGTATCATCGTGACAAGACCGAGTGAAGGCGTATACAAGAAAATTACGGACAGTCTGGCTACGTCTGATACATCCGATTGGATCTTTGCCGACCAGTCTCTTCTTTCAGAGGTTTTCCAAGGCCGCTGGGCCCCGCTTCCATACATTTACAATGCCCTTAAAACGAAACGGTGGAAGGGCGTGCATGACGCCATCTGGAGAGATGATCGTGTCAAGAACATTCACTACTTTCTGACACCTAAGCCATGGGACGAGACTCCGCCTGCCCACGCAGATCCAACACACGCATGGTGGTGTGAGATGAATGAAAAAAGGAAGGAGGAGGACAAGGCCAGCGGTGTCACCGATGGATTTTGAGCCAATATGTCCCTGGGCCGTGTTCGATCAGCCTGATTCGGTTTCCTGGCCCCCTCAATGCAGGCTACCGCTTGCCTGCCCTGCAAATCTAACAAATACCACCATTCATCACTATCTAGATACGACGATCGATTAGTATATATGATCAGTATATAATCAGTATAGCCATGAATCGCTTGCTTCTTAAGAGGTCGCGCCGCGTTTCGTGTGACCGTCTTTTTTTATTTTCTTGTTTCCCACTTTTCCTTCCGTTCCTCATTCCATGATCCGCGAAAGGGTTGATAGTGGCTTATTTTTCTTAGTATCGACCGATCGATCCGAGATGGATCTCTTTCTATATAATTCTACTTATCGGGTTTGGATCTGTACCGCGCCTCACCAGTTTGCAGTTCCCCCTCCCCCCGGGACCCTGCTCAGCCATCTCCGCACCCGCCATCAATCTCATATTGTGAACACTCCCGCGCTCTCTAACGCCGCCCAGACAGATGCTGAATGTCACGGGGTCGGAATAGTAGATACTAACGAACTGAATTGCTATCGAAACTATTGTAGCCACTTCCAAGACTATTGAGTCTGAAGAAAGAAAGAAAGAGGAAAATCTATTTACATGAGCAAGTCTTATAACGTAGTCCCCTACCGAGTGGTGCACATCCCGCGTTTTACGCGTCTTCGATCAGTTAAGCCATTCAAACCACAATCACTCTATCAGAAATGCCTCCCAAATTCCAAAATTAGAATGAACAAGAGAGGAGGATCCTATTAGCAATATCTGCTTTAAAGGAATCTCAAGTTCAGACTGTACGGCAAGCAGCATTCCATTTTCAGATCCCTGGAACAATCCTCCTCCGACGACTCCATGGTACAACTTCACGGGCTGAAAAGCGGGCTAATGGGCATAGATTGACTAAAAATGGAGAGGAGTCACTTCTACACTGGATACTCTCTATGGACCGACGTGGAGCAGCCCCCCAACCATCTCATATTCAAGCTATGGCCGATATCCTCCTTTCACAGCATGGTTCAGCCAATACTCAACCTGTTGGAAAGAATTGGGTATCCAGCTTTATCAAACGCCATGATGAGATTATGTTCAATTATTCTCGACGATATAATTACCAACGGGCCAAATGTGAAAATCCAAAGGACATCAAAGAGTGGTTTAATCTTGTACAAATCACTATAATGCAATACGGGATTGCCAATGAAGACATCTACAATTTTGATGAGACTGGCTATGCAATGGGCCTAATTGCTACTGCCAACGTAGTAACTAGAGCTGATATGTATGGCCTGCGTCAGGTTATACAACCTGGGAACCGGGAATTGTAACGGCTCAGCCCAGCGCCTTCATCAGCAAACATCATCAACACGGCAAACAATACCATGGAAGCAATCAAGACAAACAAGCTGCCTAGCGAGACTACACACAACCATATGGGACTTCTTCATATAAACAGACTTGCCTCTATTTCCCTTTTCTTCTCCAGATTCGATATTCACGTCGATGGCTACTAGTGGGTTTAGATAGGAATATCAATTCGTTAATATCTTCTAGCTATTGAGCCCGTGGCATTCATCAATAATGGAATCGTCCGAGTCAAGCCAGTCAAGATCGCCTTTCCAAACTTTCTCCCACACTTCCATAGCTAGTTCGTGGTCACCTATCGCAAGAGCTATGTTGAGATGTTGAGGGAGATTAGTTAACAATTACAATCAATTGAAAAAGTGAGACGGGGGCAGCGTGTGGGTCGAAGTTGTGATTCTGTCGACCATGAATTAGACCGGGCGATATACCGATCCCCTTCCATAATGCACAGCTCATGACGCCCATCTCCTATCAAATTTCCCTTGCTTTTTGTCAACTTGGGATAAAGGTGGCAGCTACTTGGTGTTCAATAAAATCGCATGTAAAGCTGTTTCATATCCGCCCTAATTTACTCTTGCGTGTTGTGTGAAAGTATTGCTTTACTAGTTATTTCAGTTCCATCTTTTGACAATCCGCTTATTCTTACAGTCGCTTTCTCTTCCAAAAGCATCTATTTTAAAATTTTGTCGAACTTTGTCTATCATTCTTCGTTCGATCAAGAGGAAGATACAAGTCTTACTAGTATGTTAGGATTGACCTCTTGTTACATTATCTGTGAAGACATTTCTGTAATGCCTCATGGAAGCCGTGGAGTGACTAGCGGCACCTTGGCTTCTGGGTTTTTGCATTGCAAGGTCAGTTTGATCTTGAACCGAGCACTGGATTCTTGGACTTACTAATGGTAATACCAAAATGCTTTCCTGACTTATTTCTTAGATCACTCATTGCAGCTCCACTCTCTTTCGGTCTGCAGGTATAGGGAACGCCTGGCACTGGAGTCAATAATGAAGAATGACACCAACCAGATTCTTCTGTCGCCACTGTTCCCTGGCTTGCTCCGTTGTTATCAACGCCCAACTTGTGCAAACGGCAAGCCCCGCTGTTGTTGGTGTGGAATGGACGCATGTTTTCCCAGTTTACACTTTAAGTATCTTACAACATCATCCATTTGGTATTCGCCATGTTGGGCTGTTCAACGAGCTGACGCTGGTCTTTGTATGAAGCCATTACCATTTGGGTAGGCGTAAATGAGATGCGTGTTATTTATGCCCCTCCCCATCGTATTACCTAGTACTAAAGGGATGTTAGTCTAGGTAGATAACCAAGATGTACCATTCTTAACAACAGCTTAGTTTTCCTTTGACCGCTAAATGTGAGAAAGTTGTAAGAAGCAAAAGTACTCCTTCGCTTTCGACTCTTGAAAGACAAACTGGTCGACATATTCATGGATAGAACCCGCCATGACAAGCCCACGACGGACGGACCAGAGACATGATTTTGGCAAACAAATCCTTCCAGCGCCAATGTCAAGATCTGACTAGGATCAGCTGAGACTGAGCAACGGCATCGTCGTCCAATGGCGGAAGAAATTAGAGATATCGAACCAATGGGCCAAAAAGAAGCCATGACGCCAAGTAGATTGAAGTTGAATAGGGCGAAGGTAGCGTATTGATATTATAGTTCTCTGAGCATCCATTAATCACATCCCAGTGAGACAGAACTAATCGCATTCTATACTTCAACCGAACGAGGGCAAATATTCCGCGGATGCCAAGACATTACATAATCTCCTCCAAAATTCACCCCTCCACCACCAACTCTACTGCCTCGAATTCAACGATTCCTATATCACAAATCACTAATCGCATTTAAAATGGGTAAATCCTCAAAAGACAAGCGCGACGCCTACTACCGTCTCGCCAAAGAACAAAACTGGCGCGCCCGATCCGCCTTCAAACTGATCCAAGTCGACGAACAATTCGATCTCTTCGAGCATGAAAACCCCGAGAAAGTCACCCGAGTCGTGGACCTGTGCGCTGCCCCGGGTAGCTGGAGTCAAGTGCTGAGCCGGGTGTTAATTAAGGGCGAGAGCTTTGGGCGTCGCGCGTGGGTTGAGAAGAAGAGGAAGGAGAAGAAGGCGTTGGAGAGCGCGGAAAATGGAGCTGGTGAGAATGAGGATGAGGGGGAGGGGGAAGAGGATGAGTCTGCAAAGTTGAAGCCAAGGGAGAATGTCAAGATTGTCTCGATTGACCTTCAGCCTATGGCGCCGCTTGAGGGTATTACTACACTGAAGGCCGATATCACGCATCCGTCTACAATTCCTCTTCTCCTTCGCGCTTTGGATCCGGAAGCGTACGACTCGTCCGACTCATCTCCGTCTGCTGTGCGACAACCAAATCCCGTCGATCTTGTTATCTCCGATGGCGCGCCCGACGTGACTGGTCTGCATGATCTGGATATTTACATTCAATCGCAGCTGCTTTACTCAGCGCTGAACCTGGCACTGGGTGTCCTCCGCCCTGGAGGCAAGTTTGTCGCGAAGATCTTCCGTGGCCGTGATGTCGATCTCCTGTATGCTCAGCTGCGCACCGTCTTCGAGAAAGTGAGCGTCGCCAAGCCGAGAAGCAGTCGTGCGAGTAGTTTGGAAGCATTCGTGGTTTGCGAAGGGTTCATTCCCCCAGCTATTCATCACGAGCTGAAAGGCGTGGACGCATTAAAAAATCCTTATTTTGGCGGAGCCGCGGCACCACAGCCCGTGTCAACCAATGGCAACGTAGGAGTCGAGATGATGGATGAAGACCACGAAGTTGACGGTCAAGTACCGACAAGAGAAGCAGCAGTCCCTGCAATCGATTCAAACCACGGCACGCAAACCCGTATGTTACACGCAGGTTCGCATCGCACAAGACGCTCCGACGCGGACCAGGTCGTCTCTCCTGAACAAAAGCGATTCGCTGTGGAAAACCGCTGGATACCCTCATTCATCGCCTGTGGAGATCTCTCAGCTTGGGACTCGGATGCGTCATATGCCCTGCCTCCCGACCATGTTAGCTTGGATCCGGTTCAGCCACCGACGGCACCACCGTACCGACGTGCATTGGAGATGAGAAAGGCACATGGAGGGGCCTATGGGAAGACCAAGCTGGGCGCAGTGGGGAGGACATGATTGATTATGTGATATGCCATATGTACGTCGTTATGTTTATGAATTCATAAAAGTTGACGGTCTGGGTCGGTTCAAAAGTTAGAGTACATAGCAGATACCCTTTGAATATAACTAGATACTCGCTATTAATACTCTTCCGTGCATTATTCAGCCAGCGAGCCAGCCAGCCAACCACATAACCCAACTCTTCCGCATGCTAAAGTTCCACCGTAACTTTATCCCGGACAGCCATTGACATTGATAAGGACATACACGGTGTAGATAGACAGACGGAATGCAAGGAGACCGACGTAAGGACAAAAAGCAAGAATGGACAGCTGGCATTGCGAGCTGAGTGAAACTCACATATTTAATATATCTGGCATCTGCATCTGTCGCGGGAACACACCTCCCACCGGTGATTCTCGGCCTCTTCTCAGCTCAACTCAGCTTGCCTACCAGTCATGACTACCACTACTACCACCACTACCACGACCGCCACCACCACAATCAGTACCCTCTGTCAAGAGACGACTCTCGATGACCTACAGAATGCATTGTCGCAAACTCATCAGGATGTTTTGATTAGGAATCAGGCGTTGCTGGTTTCTGTCGCGGAATCGGTGAAGGAATACATGTCGCAATATGACTTATCGCACGACTTTCAACACATCCTCCGTGTTTTGACGCTTTCGCGACGGATTCTGGATGCTGAGTGTTCTAACACCGAAAATGGAGCAATCGAATACGATCCATTAGTTGTCTTTTTAAGCGCGTGAGAATTGGCCCCGAGCCTAAACATATATTCAATCACCATACTAATAAAACCAGCCTCCTCCACGACATCGGCGACCACAAGTACGTCAAAGCAGGCGAAAGCGCCACAGTCCAAATAGCCTCCATCCTCTCAAGCGCCGGTGCATCACCGCAACTATCTACCAAAGTCCAAATAATCGCCAGCAACATCTCCTACACCACAGAAATGAAAGACCGCGCGCGATTACAGCGGATTCTAAACCAACATCGGGAATTAGGTGTCGTGCAGGATGCGGATCGGTTAGATGCGATAGGAGCCACGGGGATCGGGCGCGCTTTTGCGTTTGGGGGTGCGAAGAAGCCAGATAATGGGCTAGAGAGCCAGAGAGAGCATATTAGTGGGAAGTTGGAGGGGTTGGTGGATTTTATGAAGGTATGTGCATTCTGCCCTGTGTATGAATTGAATGGGCTGATTATTTGAAGACGAGGACAGGGAGACGGATGGGTGTTGAGCGGACGAAGAGGTTGAGGATATTCCAAGAATGGTGGGATGAGGAGATGAAGTTTGAGTCTTGATTGTCTGTTCCTTCTGAGTCTATAGAGGCTAGGTAAGCGGGTCTCGGTTGTTGTTTATCTAATTGTATAATGTACAAAGTCAGAAAGCTCTTTTCAACCTCCATTCAGTACACATCCCCCGTGCAAGCACAAACAATACAAAAGCGAGCACATACGCCAATCCAACAAACAAGATAGCAGCCTGATAATTCCCATTCTGAGCCCTCAGAATCGCCTCAGCAATCGACACAGTCACTAACGCCCCGATACTAACAAGCGAATACGTCGTTCCGTATCGTTTCCCATGATCCTCCGTACGGGAGACTTGCGCGACACAGACGGGGTTTAAGCTGATTGCTAAACCACTCCAGAACCCAAAGAGTACGGTATAGGCGAGTATGCCCGGGATACTGGACTGAATGGGCAACCGCAGACCAAGGGTAAAGATGGCGCAGAATAAAGTCAGAGCCATCACGTTTAATCGACCGTACTGATCAGCAAAGTAGCCTGGAAGCGCACGGCCGAGGATCGAAGCACCGTTGAGAATCGAGGCGAGTTGGTATGCCAGGGAAGAATCCATGCCTTGTGCAATGGCTTACGAGGGGATATAAGTCAGTGGAACGAGCAGGGCAAAGTCGACGAGAATAATTGTGACCAACAGAGTGGTAAACGAGATTTTGCGTAACGCCCTGAGGTCTACTCTGGCACCGGCCTTCTTTGGAGGAAGTCGGGTTTTGAGAAGAAGAACACAGACTAGATAGAACACCCCCGGGACAAAGCCGACTATACGAATGATCCATGGGAATCCGACCGAATCAAGGAGATTTGTGATGATTATGGGGAAGATAATGTCTCTAAATCCGCCTGCCGTGGTTGCCGATCCGAGTGCTAGACCGCGACGGTGGAAAACCAGTGCGTGACGCAGGTGATGCTGGGGGTGATGACCATGGAAGCTGTTGCGCCTCCAAGCAGACTAAATCCGAGCATGACCTGGCAGTACTCTTCGCAAAGGCTAAACATCATGAGTGCAAATACAAGTCTTATGCATCCCGGGATCAGGATATACTTGAGGCCATGGGCATCGAATATAGGGCCTGAAAAACCAATATGATGGTACTATGATTGGCATTGGATGGGCTCACCAATCTGTATGCCCATGGCATAGAGAAAGAAGTTAAAAACCACCAAAGATCCACCCAATGGAGGAATCCGAATAGTCCTTCAGTTGGTTATCGGCCAGCCATGCTTGCAAGACACCAACCGAGTTGAGCAGCCCAAAAGAAGGAACCATGCCACACCATGAGCCGAGTACTACACTCCATGCTTGCCAACCACCATTGGGGAATTCATCTGAGTTTTCTTCGGTGTCCGAGTTTGTAGGATCATCGTTCATTGATTTGCTCTCATGGGCGGACATCTTACAACTAATACAAAGTACAATTCTTGGAATTTATCGTGATTGAGCGTAACTGTAGTTTCTTAGTAGGTCTTCTTGGTGTCGAACAACATAACATATTGTAGCCATCGACGAATATATCGAGTCTGGAGTAGAAAAGAAAAGGAAAGCCTATATAGAGGATGAAGGGGATTTTTATAACTACTGTACGACAGGGCTCTACTAATGTCGATGTCGTCTGTCACTATCAGTCTTATACGGAGCGTCGAGCCGTATGAGCGATGTCAAAGCCGTCTCATTACAAGTAGTAAATGCTACCTATCACTGCCCTGTAAGATTAAGACCAGTGCCGATTGTGCTACTCAGCCTCATCCTCATGAAAGACTGGAACCTCACATTAACTATGAATGTACATGATAATTACTGGCCACTTCACAATAAAGACTTATTACTATATTATAGCTAGTAGGTCATGCACCTCACCACCCTCATTTTCTGCGCGGAAGTTATATACATGTAGTTTGGCCACCCAACCAACCATTCATTCCCACCAAAAGGACTTGCTCCGAGTTGAAATAAGTTATTAACTCCAATGGATTACTTGGGGAGTTGACCACCACAGCCTAACAAGGTCACTGTATGAGAGAATAGAGAATACAGTCAAACAACAAATAACGTATAAGTTCACACACATGCACACACACACTGTATCTAGTCTCAGCATGTGTCCAGATCAAACCCTCTCAACCCACCCGGAATCCATACAGAACGCAAGTTACTTCTCCGGAATGCGTCCTCTTTCATTATATGCGATGTTCCAGCTGCTAGATGGATCGAGGGCAAATCCGCGACGTCGAGATTAACTATTGCTCCGGTCTAAATCTATTTCATATTCGAAGACACTAAATAACTGAAGGAACTGGCTTTATTGACCAAGTTGGCTTGAAATACAGAGCTATGTTAACCTAATATATGCCTCGGCATGCGGCTAATAGCCGGTATTCAAGTCATACGTCGGCTTTTGAGTACTTCCTTCAATATCCTACCTTCAGAGCCGATACTGCTCGATTTTCCGTTAGGAATCCTTCTCTAGATTTTCAATTATCTGTCATTATCGAGCCGGATATGCTTGTACCTCAGCTGCAAGAATCTCTACAACTTACTTGACTCGGTGCTCAAAACCAGTGAGCTGTGTTTTCCTTGCATGTCTCCACATGAAAAATTGTCTTCTGAATGGGCGACACTTCTCATTCAATTTGAGAATGATTACTGGGGTGCTTTTCAATACTGCATCCATGGAGGGAATTTCCACAGCGTCGACAGCTCAGGTAAATGTCACATTTTCTTTTGCCAAAAGTGACTACCTGATTGCATGTGCCCGGTATGGGTTGCCCTATACTACTCCCGTTGAGGGTATTGAATCTATGTATTCTTGCCCTCAACGAGACCTGGTGGTTTGATGTCGGCCAGATTGTATCTTGATTCTGTTGACGGGTGTTCTGGGTGCCATGCGCTTGGGGATAAATACGGCAATATTGACACTAACCCATAGTTCCGATTCGGGAATATGAGACTGACGTTTTAACTGTCTCATGTGACAGCTACTTACAGGCGTTGATTCCGTCGGAATTCAGCATTGAGTTAGATAAGGGTTCATACGAATTATCATTATCAGCAGCCAGCCATCATAGGGTGATACGTTGAAATGACCTATTTAGTGACTATTTAGGTCAGGGTCTATTAAAACGGAAGAGCGCCACCCTCTAGGAGAAACAGTTCATTTATTTTGTAATAAAATCAAGAACATATAGCAAGCCTCCTCAACTTATCTCTATCAACCAGCCCTAGGTGAACATGAGAATGACTATTTGTTGCTGCATTGTCCCAGAGTATTTACTCAAAACTATTGTTGAAAAAGGGAAGACACCACAACATGTTATCCATGCTTGCCAGTCTACCCTCGAAAATTCAAAGCACCTTCAAAGCTCCCGTGTCGAAGCCATTGTATCAGCACAGCGGCAGTCGCCCTCTGAAGGTATTATTCCACCTTACATCCACGAACAATTGCTCGGACTGCTGCAACAGCAGAAGAACGGGAGGCAGCTTTATCCACACTTGCATATGATGCTAAGCATCGTACAGTCGCAAGACCTACTCACCAATTGAATCGTACGGTCTATGATTCGCAAAATTCCCGGGATGATCCCCCTCCCCGTGACAAGATCGCGATTAAGGAAGGTGGAGCCCTGATTAGTGAAGCAGAAGATCCAACCAAGAATGCAAATGAGTGCTATATTGGACTAAAGAAGACTTATGATTTCTTCTTTAAGTTCTTCCAGCGTAATTCTATCAACAGCAGAGGTATGCCACTCGACAGCTTTGTGCATTTCGGGGTGCATTTTAACAATGCATTCTGGAATGGCAGCTCGCCAATAAGCGTAAAGGAGACCAAGATGAAGACGCGGAACGAAAGAAAAGGAAAGGCGACAAGAATAGCAATTCCAGCGCTTTTTCCGCGGTAGCTCGAGCTGGTCAGATGCAGAAGATTCGCGAGAGCTTGTGTTCGGTGATGGGGACGGTATACTCTTCAATGGCTTCACTGACGAGCTTGATGTCATGGCTCATGAGTATACACACGGTGTGGTGCAATACACGAGTCCGCTTAACTATACTTTCCAAAGCGGTTCTCTTAATGAGTCACTTGCAGATGTCTTTGCCACAATGGTCAAGCAATACGCTGAAGATCCCGACAATCCTCAAACTGTTGACTAGTCCAACTGGCTGATTGGGGAAGGAATCTGGACAGCAGGTGTTAACGGCAGCGCTCTTCGCGATATGAAGAACCCTGGAACAGCATATGATGATGACCGTATTGGAAAAGACAATCAGCTAGCTCATTGGAAAGACTTTAAGAAGCTTGACATCTCTCTGGATAATGGCGGTGTCCATATTAACTCTGGTATCCCTAACCGTGCTTTTTACCTTGCTGCTACTAAGATTGGAGGGTATGCTTGGGAAAAGTATTGGTTCTATTTGGTACAAGGCTCTTACGGGTGGTAAACTCGGCAGAGACGCCACATTCAAGGAGTTTGCTGATCTCATCATCAAGAATGCTGGTAAGCATGGGGATGAGATCAAGGAAGCTTGGGAATTGGTTGGCTATCCATTTCCCGATAGCAAGTCAGAGCTATAAAGCACTTCTAAAGAATTAGAATATAAAGTGGTTTTCACCTGTTAAGTTAGTTAGATCTGTCGTTTATTATCAGCTTTCAAAGACCCCTTTGATGCTGAGGTTTCATGACTCCCCCCACAGAAATATTGGAGTCAATGCTCAACGCTACTCTTCCAAAAAAAAAAAAATTGGAGCGATACCATTTCCAATGAAAGGGCGGATATAAAGCTGGTCTGCAGTGAGTACTACGAGTCCCCCATACCAATGAGTACTAACGATCGTCCTTCAAACATAGAAATTCAAATCTCTATGACCCTGTCTATTTTCAAGGAATTCGAAGCATGCAGTCCCTGCATGCCAGCAGGCCTGGTAAGCAGAGACTATGTGATCAAGCTCTTTCCCCAGAAACTGCAGAAAGAGCTGGACTGTCATGGTAAAAACCCAGCCTTCATTGAACATTTACTTTAGGATAGGGGCATTCGACCCGATGGCTACTGTAGGGGCTAACCCAGCGCCACTAGGGTTACTTGTTCGTACATCCAAGCTGTGTGTGAGCTTTCTGTATTGCATCAGGGGAGGAAGCATACATGTTGGGAGATGTTGCGACTGCGCAAGTTTCTAGACATGGGCCCCGTATTCCCAAAGTTTGTTCGCTGTAAGCTATCACTGGCGGCATATCTTTATGATGAGTCTGCGGTGGTGTCACTGGTCGCTCGGGGTGTGGGTGTGAATACTAATGACAAATGGCTCGGACCACCGCCGAATGCAGCAGTGTTTGGTGGACACTTGTCTATTGTTAATTTGTTACTGGGTCTCAAGGCTGATCCAAACATCCCCAATGGCCTAGACACCATTGAAGATAGTGACATGAAGGGAGGATCACCAATTATGCGGTTACTTCTCCAAAATGATGAGGTTAACCCTAACAAGACCACATTCTGTTCAGACAGAAATGCCATGATCATGGTTTATCATCCAGGGTATGTTATAGTGCGTCTCCTTGGACACAAGCTTATCAGCCTCAAAATTCGTTACTATCGTCCCAGGTCGTCTCCTTTGGAAGCTGCTCTCCTTAGCCCAGAACACGACAGGATGGCTGAATTGCTCCTGCAACAAAAAGATGCTTTATACACTATCACAGACGAGGTCTTACTTACAGCAGTAAGCCGTAAACAGGCTTAAGTACTACGACTTTTATACCTAACCGCCAGCAGTCACCACGCAGTCGTCCGCCTCCTTTCCCAACATTGCGATATAAAATCAAACGTGGAATATACCGAGGCCAAACACCCTTCCACGCAGTCATTTTCAACGGCCACCAATCAATCGTCGAGTTACTACTCGAGTACAAGGCTGCTTATCGCAACAGCAAGGACGGCTACCACCGCACCCCACTCTTAGCAGCTGTCTGGCGCGGCCGCGCCAAAATAGCATGCTTAATTCTCCAGCAACCAGGTATTGATATCACGTGGATAGATTGTCAAGGTTGCACAGCAGCTTCCTACTCCGCGCAAAGAGGGTATCTGGGTATTCTTAAGGCACACACGGTGCTTGAAAATGTAGATAAGCATGGCCGGACACTTCTGATATGGGCTGCGAGGAATGAATATACCTCCTTCTAACCCCAGACTGTGAGGTTTATCATTGAGTATTGAGAAGGGATTTCGAATAGGCAGGACAAGTCTGGGTACACAGGCTTGATTGCGGCTATGAAGGGGCGATTGGCGGTTGTTAGGGCGTTGGAGGAGTTTGGGGTGGATGTTAGGGTGAGACATAAGGATGATAGGACGGCGCTTTGGTTTGCAAGGGACAGTATGTATCGGGGATCGGGATATTGAGAAATTTTTGGTAGGAACGATGGGATCGAAACCAGAATAGGAATTGAAGACATCTAGCTCTATTTTATAGAAAAAAAGGACATTTTGAAAGATCATCATAAACACGTTAAAAAGCATGATCTATCATAACAGGAATAAAAAGAGCGCTCAAGTCATGCATATCATATATAAACGCTTTTTCTCATCAACAAGGCCACTAGTAAACCTCAAGAACATAACGCTCCTCATCCTTCAACTTCTCGATCTCCTTGCGGGTCTCAACCTTCTTGCCGTTGTTCTTCGCCTCGGCAGCAATAGCCTCCTCCAGCACGGCGGTAACGTCAGGCACAGGCCAGGTAGGACCGCAGAGATAGAATGCTCCCTCCTCACGAATGTAGGCCTGCATGATCTCAGGCAAGCTTTGACGCATGCGGTCCTGGATGTAAATCTTCTCCGGCTGGTCTCGGGAGAATGCACGGCCAAGCAAAGTGATCACCCCGGCTTCCTGGTAGGCTTCCCATTCCTCACCGTAGCAGTATTCCTCACGCTGGTGACGAGAGCCCATGTACAGCAGGACAGCACCGATTTCTTTACCCTGTGCCTTTTCGAGAGCGCGGTGCTGTACGAAGGCGCGGAAGGGTGCGAGACCAGTTCCCAGACCAGCCATGATGAGCGGCTGGGTGGACTTGGGAGGCAGCTTCATGACACTGGACTTGACGGAGACGGTGACAGGGGTGCCAGGGCGGAGGCGGCTCATGTAACGGGTGGCCATACCGAAGCGGTCACGACCGCTGGGGTCGGTCCAGTTGACGGCGACGATCATCAAGGCAACGGAGTTGGGAGTGACCTTCTGGCACGAGGCGATGGAGTACTCACGGCGCTTGGAGGGGCCGATGATGCGGATGAGGTCGTGGAAGGCTGGGCGGGCGGAGTCGTACTCGAGGAGGATGTCCGCGTAGGTGACGGTGTCGACTTCAGCGCGGCGCTTGAACTCTGTGTTGCCCTCGGGACCACCCAGGGTGAGGAGGTCCTTCTTCTGGTTCTCGTCGGTGGCGAACTCGGCGAGAGCCTCATAGAAGCGCTTGGGCGGGCGACCGTAGAGGTCAACGTTTTGGATGAGAGCCTGGTAGACGGTGCGGTTCTCGAGAACAGCGGGGTCCTCGCGGCTGGGGACTTCGACGATGTTTTCAGGGACGAGGCCGTAGTACTGGATGAAATCCTCGACTTCCTTGGGGTCGTTCTCGGCGTGGACACCGAGAGCTTCACCGATGTCGTATTTCAGACCAGAGTCACCGAGGTCGAACTCGATGTGGAAGATGTTACGGTCGTAGGTGACAGGAGTGAGACGACGGTTCTCCTTGACATGGACGGTAAAAGTCTTGGTAGGCTGGTCAGGGCGGAGAGCAGGCTTCGCGTTGTAGGCCTCCTTGAAGGACAGACCCATGGCAACGGTCTGCCAGTCCCTGAGGAGAGTGGGAGGCTCGTGGTCGTTTTTGTCGAAGGCCACAAAGCTGTTGGGGGAGAGGTCCTTGGGGAGTTCAGGGGCCTCGGTGCCCTCTTCGGGGGTCCTCCAGGCTTCGGGGATCTCAACCTGGCGGACCTGCTTCTCGAGCTCCTTGGTGACGTTCTCGACGGCTTCGGTGTTGCCAAGCTTCTTGGCAACGCCCTCCTGGCCAGCAATGCGCAGGAAAGCAGTTTGCAGGACAAGGGGCTGCTGAGCAGCCTCGACCTCGGAGGTGTCGATAAGGTGGAGGGAGATACCACGGAGAGCAACAGCCTGCCTGAAAGTGACAGGGAGTTTCTTCTCAAGTTCATCATCCTTGACACCGGGGGCGTTGACGATGAGCTTGCCGTTGTCCTTGACGGAAGCAAGAACATCAACATCATTCAGGAGCTTGACATCGCCAACATAAGCGACATCAGCAGCAGTCACGGCATAAGGAGCATCCAAAGTCTTAGCGCTCTTGCGGATGTCCACGCGGATGGCACCACCCTGGACCAGGTTGTCGTAGGTCTGGCTAGTTGTGACATTGCTGGACGAGTCAGACGCAAGAGCCTCCGAGAGAACAGTAGCGGCATCAACGCACGCAGAGCTGTCGACATCCCAGAAGGTGTACTCCTGGACGGTGGAGGGGTCGAACAGCTGCAAAGGCGTGGCCTGGTTCTCAGACTGGACGATGGGCTTCTCGTGGACGAGCTGGAAAGCAGCAGCGGTGTTGATCAAGCCCCAGGTCTGGGAGCGGGGGTACTTGATGTCAATGCAAGAGGGAGTCTTTTCACGGCCGGCGAAGGTCAATGCCGCGAGAACATCCTCGTAGAGAGCAGAACGAACGCTAGACTCCTGGACAGCCTGCTGGTTGGCGACCTGGCCAAGAACACCAACGGTCTTGACGGATTGGGGAAGGACGCGCAGAAATTCCTCCTCGACGAATGGGCGGTAGACACGGACGTTGATCACACCAACACGGACGCCATCCTTGGCGAGCGAGCGAGCAATCTGAGCAGTAAGAGTAGCCTCGACAGTACCGAAAGCAACCAAGACAGAGACAGGCTCAGCGTGGCCGTGATATTCGAAAAGACCATAGTCGGTGCCGAGCTCACCATTCAAAGACTGAAGTAGCTGGAGCAGCTTGCCCTGGGCGTCGAGGTGACGGCTGCGAGAGTCCTCAAGGGACTTCCGCACGGCTTCGTATGTGTTCGAAAGACTGGACTGGCCCAGGACATCAATAACCCGGGTGGTCTCACGGCCGACGCGGACACCATCGTAGATGTGGATCGAAGGGAGGACGGAAGAGAGAAGAGTCGTAAGCAGAGCCATGTGCTGAGCCTCGTGAGCAGAAGCGCTCGAGACCAAGCCAAGTCCCAGCTCCTCCGCAAGAGACAGAGCAGAGGCATAGTCCGAAACCAACCCCTCCTCACCGGCATAGTCGACAGCCGCCACATGAGCCGCAACAGGGCTAGCCACCGAATACAGCAACGACAGCTGCTCCAAAGCAGCGCGCATGTACGGCAGAGTAGCCGACGACGCGACAATACCCTGGGGAACGTGGCGTTTCTTCAAATCAAAGTCCTGCGAGAAGAGGTATCCCAGAGCAATGTTACCAGCACCCTGGCGGGTCTCCATGGACTTGACAGCGGTGGTCTCGCCATTGGCGTTGGCTTCCTGGGCAGCGGCCCATTCCTTCAGCGCATTATCGAGATTGAAGGTCTCCGGGGAGTAGGTGAAGATCTTGTCGCTAAGCAAGTAGGCGACTTGTTGAACCAGTGACTGCGCAGTCACATAGGTAGGGCCACTGAGGGCCGATAGGGCTGGAGATGCAGAGCCCATTGTGTGAATAGTTGTCAGGATATCGGACACACAACCGATACCGTTAGAATTATATATGACAAGACGAAGAATGGCAATTGGCAAGGAGGGGAAGAAAGAGTCAAATCCCGTATAGAAAAATTTCCCCAGGGCTTTCCCAAAATGGTTAGCTTAGATCACGCAATTCGTTATCGATAGCGTGACTGGGCGGAAGCTCCCGGCAGAACCCTCCGCTTTCGGCCGATCTCCGCATTACTCAGCGCACGTGAGGGGCAAATTTGTTGATGCCTCAGGGTTCATTCATTTCCAAATCGAGAGTAGTGCGCTTCCTTCATCAGCAACGTCATCTTGGCACCGGCAGCTATTGGACATTGCATCCTCGCTTTAATCTATTGCGCTTCTACACACATTTCACTCACAGTTCCACTGGATCCTCATCCTTCAACTATGGCTAACGTCGCTCTCCTCGGAAGCACCGGGATGGTGGTAAGTTTACTCCCCCTTTCTGCCCCTATCGACGGAATCATAATGTCATCTCGTTATAACATGGATCGCTAACCAAGGGACAAGGGAACCCACATCCTCAACAGCTTGCTTGCCAATACGTCCATCGCCCGTATCGACACCATCTCGCGGCGTACTCCTCAGGCTGCCAGTTCCGCGCCGCAGACCAAGTTGACAACCTTTGTCGCGGATGATACCTCGAAATGGGCACCACAGCTCTCTGCGCTATCCCCGGTGCCTAGTATGTTTATTTCATCCTTTGCAACGACAAAGGCTGCAGCTGGGGGATTTGAGAATCAGCACAAGATTGAACATGGTTTGAATGTTGAGATGGCGCGTGCGGCGCGTGATGCTGGTACGAAGGTGTATGTCCTCATCTCATCGAGTGGTGCCAACAAGTCCTCGTCAATCCCGTACACGCGCATGAAGGGTGAGATTGAAGAGGATATCAAAGCGCTGGGCTTTGAGAGGATGGTTATCCTCCGTCCAGGTATTATTGCTGGTCAGCGGGAGGAGAGCAGACCGTTGGAAGCGGTGGTCCGCTTCGTTGCTGGTAACGTTGGGAAGCTTCACTCTGGTCTGAAAGATCCTTGGGCGCAAGAGGCAGATGTTATTGGTGAAGCTGCTGTGAATGCTGGCCTAAAGGCGTTGGAGGGTGATGTCCCGACTGGTAGTGAGAAGGTTTGGACTCTCTATGGTAGTGACATTATCAAGTATGGGAAGAAGCAGTAGTCTGGTGTTTTGGTGGATATGTTTTTCGAATCTGTTTACGACTCTAATTTGGCGTACTAGGACGATATAATTTTCTTTATGAACTCTTAACAAACACTGCGTTATAATACATGTCATACATGTCCAATACCATCGTCACTCCCCACAAAGCAATCTATTGCGACGGCCTAGTCTTAACCTTATGCCCCTTCGGCGTAACCCCTCTCGTGCTATGCCCCTCTCTATCCGCATTCCGATCTGCCATCCCCTCTCTCGGATCCCGCGACTGGTTCACTTCTTGGTTCGCACCACTCACATCCAACGGATTCGCCGGTCCCCCCTCTGCTTGTGTCTCCTCCTCCATCCCCTCCATCTCACTTTCCGGCGACGTCCGGCTGGGATCGTACGCCGCACCGTGCTGCGCGACTTCACTGTCCGTACCAGACTTTGTGCCCTCGTTGCGCTTAGGGTCTAGCGCAGTGCGATCGAAGTCTTCGCTGTGACTGAAGCCGGCGTCTCTCTTGGTTGTGTGGAGGGCGGGGTGGGTGCTGAATTGGACTGTTGTACTTGCGGCTGGGGTGGGTTGGACGAAAGGTGTTCGCAGCTGGGGTAGGGGGCGTTGCACTACCCGACTGGCAGATTGGGCTTGTTGGCTGATTGATGCGAGTCTTTTGAACATGGTGACTGTAAAGGATGGCACAAAGATGACGGTTGACTCGACGATACGACTTGTCCTCGTACAAAGGTCCGGTTCACTTGCTAACAAAGTATATATAAGTCCGGGCTGGAATTGATTAGCAGGGGACAGTGAATATAACCATAAACACTTACATCGACTTTGATATTATTATCTGCTATGAAAAAATGAGAGTGATACGGATTAAAAATGAGTTCAGGTAGAGAAAAGAACTGGATAAAGAGGTTGGTCGCATTTGAATGCTGTAATCATCTTGACGTCATCGCTCCAGACCCAGCTCAAACTTGCTTTTTGTCACGTGATATCGACGCAACCCTAGAAAAGTACCTGGTTGCTATTTCCGAGTCGTGCGTTCAGTATGCTCTTTTACAGAGTCGAGGTAATGGGTTATGGTATCTTGTAAATGGTGTTTATGCGTAGATGACCGGGGTGGCCAACTCTACATTCCAGCTCTCCGTTTACTCCGTACATTGACTCATTCAGATTCGGACAGTAACTAAACATAAAATTATGCGGAGATAGTAATCCCATCGAGTCTATGAAATAACCATACACAAGATCCGCAGTACGACGTCCCAATAATAGCTCACAGCTCATGCGGCGCAGCCATGTGCATAAGAAAATGTGACGACAATGCAAACATCCTCGCCATCCATACACATTCCTTTTTTTCTCACTTTTTGTGCGAGATTCCGGCTAAGACCAAATAATCGAATCGAGTCAGAGCGTCCAGCATAAGGCGTTATAATCCGGGCTGAAGAGTGGGGAGCCTTGCAGCTGTCGGAGATGCAGATCGGAAAGTCCGTCCTACAGTACCCTCCTGTTTCTGTTTGCAAATGGCCAGTCCTCCCCGTGTCGGGGTCTAGAAAGTGTTTGACATGGGGAGTGCATTAGTGCGGACGCTAGGTGGAATTGATTGGGTGTCAGTGTAAGATAGAGATTTAGTCTATGTACGGTGGTGGACCAATCCGGTTGCGTTGGATTGGTTTTGTAGTAATGCGCTTTTTTACCTGGGAGTTCGAAGATGGATATACACGCTTTAATTTGTCGCTGAGATAAGTAAGTGTCGGGAGCTACGGTGACTTTATGATCACGGGAGTTCGAGAAACCCAGCAGTATGGAGCCTATGCGGGTACGCGAATCCAAAATCGACGTTGGAGTGAATGGCCTGGAATAACATTTTTCTTCAGTATGAGGGTAGGCTGTTAGTAACTAGACCAGGTCGGCGATCTTCAGTGCGTATGGAACGGGTGGCATTACTGCTCAGGCTAAAATTCTCCGGTGCCGCATCCTTTGTTAACGACTTAGTTTGATCCTTGTCCTGTACCATCGTTACGACCAAAGGGGTCCTGAGCTCATCCATATAGTCAACACCCAAATACGAAGGCAAGTTTACCAATCGAGTAGGAGACAAGACATTGACTGATCGTCTGTGCCACAGCAATTACGGTTGGTTGAGTCCTCATTTCTCCTGCCGGATGCAAGCCGATACCAGAGACCGCTGAGTTGGCAATGGTATCCTACCATGGCTCGCTAATTGACTCCTTTGTGATTGTCGACAACCCGGTCCGGCCGTAGCCTTGCATCATATCGAGAAGCGAGGCCCAAGTTGATAGGGGGCCGTGAAAATAAAATAGAACAGGAAGAAAAAGACATCCGGACAAGCGGATAAGCAGATATCCAGTTTTGGATCAATCCGTTAAAGTCAGGCCGAAGCAATTCGGAAGCCTCCAGAAGACAGCCAATTGTCAGCTCATATCGCTTCTCAAACACGTAATGCATGTTCCCTGAACGTAGTCTAGACATTGCGCATTGTGATGTGATGGCTTTCAGCTCGACGTAACCATTGCCTATCAATAACCAGAACCAAAGATCGATGACCAGACGAAAGACGCCACGTCAGAAAGACTCGGGGTTTTAGTGTAGCCGCATGTACTCCAACCGAGGTGAACTGTGTGACAGTCTCAATTTCTGTCATGTAGATGCACAGCAATCGTCTCCTATCGCCCTCGCCGAGAACCGCGACTAAACAAGAGGCAAACCCTGCACCTGAGCGGGGGCGAATGCGGGATTATTCCCTCTCTGCAGAGGTGAGAGATCAGCTGAATGACATGCGTCCGGATGGGATGTTGTTTTCATCACATCATTGCAGATGGTGGTGGCCCAGAGATGCAAAGGATACCAATCGAAATCCTCTAGTGACGCATCCCCGCCACCTGCGAAATAGACGGTTGGTGGACATTGATCGAGAAAGGCATTGAATGTGCGAGACGGATATGCAGGAAGCGTGCATCCTATTCATTGAGAATGGGAGGGAGGGCCGGATCCTTGCCTGTGGTAGGATTACGGTCCAATGCTGAGACCCAATGCCAGGCGACTGTCTGTCTCCACAGTTTATGGAAGGCGACGGCAAAGTGGAGATAGGGAAAAGAGAAAGAAGAAAAGAGAAAAAGCAATGGATAGGGAACGTGCGTAGATCCTGGTGGAGCTCAATCACCCTTGGATGCCTGACCCAAACAATGGACACAGCATCACTAAGTCTAGATTGATTGGTTTGCCGACGAGTGATTGCATGAGGGCGGGAGAGACAGCATCGATATCCAAAACAAGGAACTATGGAAAGGATGCAAAGCACAGGCGTCTCGGATGCAAGGTTGCCCCTGGCCGGAAGTCTCTAATGTGTAAGACGACATGACAGCTGGCATCAGAAACCCAACGATGCATGATCTGTGGTTCAGTAAGTGGATATGGGAATTCATCTAAAAAATGGATTCCTGCAAAGTGCAAGCAGATGGACAAGAGGGGGGAAACAGCCCAATGTCCAAGGCAGCAGCAGCTTAATCCCAAGGATGCCAGGGTAATTCTGGCGAATGAGAAAATTTCCAGACCTTCAATAGACATTTTCGAGACAGCCATTGCCACAACGGCCAATGTAGCAGGATACATGCAGCTACATTTCGACCAGTGATTGATGCAGTCCCAAGAGAAATGCCGTGAAAATCTTGTGTCTCCACCATCCGAGTACATGGTGGCCAACCGTGCGGAGTATCTCGGAGAAGTGATGCGAAATATTGTGATGAGTAGGCATAGACGATAAGCATCACGCATAGAGACCATTGATCAGCAGCGTGCGGGCAGAAATGTCGACATGAGAGCCTCTGTAAGAACATAAATAGAGCCCTCGAGACTCCCAGATACAGAGCTTCAATCGCATTCAGTTCCAGACTTATCCACCTTTGAGTCCATTACAGGATAGGAGACCCTTTCACATAGCAAAAAGTGTTTCGGTTTTATGCCGAGCTGCAAGCTTCAACAAACCTTCACGCTTAGCCAACCGATTCATCCAACGATCCGGCTGCCAGGACCAACCAACAGCATACAAAACAAACTCTGAAACGACGACACTACATCAACAAGAAGTAAGTTGAGCCGAGGACCAGTACAGGACACCACTGACCGACCCCTTAGTCATGTGCTTTTACAACCAGAAAAGATTTGTGTGTGGGGACTTCAGTTGGACGAGCTTTGCCCACCAGTGCAACTATGAATATCGAACCGGCGAGACGTGCGGCATGAAACTCGTGAATAAGACCGAGAACGTGAAGACACTATGCCGCATCTGTGAGAAGATTGAAATCAAATATCGTCGGCGAAGCGCCGAATGTGAACGGGTGCAGCGATGGAGACGCGACGGAGGTACACTGGTGGCCTCTATCGAGAAGTCGCAAGACATGATACGGTTGCTGGACCAAGAAATCATGAAACTTCAGAAAGACCGGGAAGACAAAAGCAGAGCGCTGTGAGCCGCATCTCAGCCGTCTGTCCAGTCGTCCATTTTGTTCCTGTTCCGTTTAATTTCCCGCTTTCTTTTTTTCTGAGCGCTATTCCCCCCTTTGGCGATTTTTTCTTGCAACATATTTCTTGTATTTGTCACCTTGTGTCGTGTTTCACCATATGCATTTCTGTCCCTTGGTCCGTGGTTTGCGGCAATATGTTAGGATTGACAGGCCCTAATATAATGATTGGAGGAAAAGTGTTGATTTCATTCGAAACCAGTCTCATAAAAAGCAATATCAATCGAAGTTCCTATTCTTGGAAAAGAACGAACGATTGTAAATCATTGCAATTCGAAGAGGTCCACATCATAAGCGCTTGTATTCTGGACGAGCGGTTCGGCACAGAACAGCCATAATAAGGATGCAAAAGGGGGAATACTCGTAGAGAAATAGAATACCTTCCATAGACAGTACCGATTTAATTGAGACAGAGAGATTGAGTATCGCTGTATATGCCAGTGTCTAATCCATGAACTGTGTGCGGTAGGCTCGACGTTGGAAGCCATAGAGGATCCATCACATGATATTTCCAAAACGGGTTTAGTATGATATACGATCACGTGTAATTACTGGGCTGAAAATCTACCGGGTTGGATGTACAATAGAGGCGTCTCAATAGCATAATTTAGTATCATATTCATTCATTCATGGAATGCAATATCCCTAAATATCATCTAATAGCGGGGACCCAAGTCTTCCGAGTTCAGAATCTCAGGTAACGGGAGGAATTAACTGCTCAAACATAGCCGACGGAAAGAGACAAGCGTTCATTTTATTTTATTTCACCAGCCTCGGGCTCGTCATCAACCTTGGCCAACCCATGTTCTTTCAGGAGACCGTTGATCTCGTCTGCGTTCCACAGGTGGTGGAAGATCTTCCCATCCTTGGTCTTTCCAACTGTTGCGAATTCGACTGTAGAGACCACCCGTCAGTATATTGCCAACTGAAATTCATTATCATGCATGTCCACTTACTCTTCTCGCTGCTCAGCTTGCTCGAGTCCATAGTCTTGCTCAGAACCTTAACAGCCATAGCACAAGCCTCCTTCAGATCACAACCCTCCTTAAAGTCCTGCTTCAGAAGACTCTGCGCACTTGCGTTGTTGGCTCCCACACTCGTAGCTTTCCATCCACCGTAGTTGCCACTGGGGTTGCTCTGGTACAGCTGGAACTGTTGCTGGTGGTCGTATCCGGCGTAGATAAACGACACACCGAACGGACGGAGACCACCATGTTGAGTATAACCTTGCTTGAGATCACACATGCGACGGACGAGCTGTTCGCAGGGAATTTCTTCGTTGTAGGTGAGGAGGTAGCGCTGGGCGGCCTGGCGGGCGTAGTTGATGAGAATGTTGGCGTCTGCAGTCATACCGGCAACGGCACAGATCATGTTACTATCATGTATTAGCACAACGCCCAACTAAACATTCCATTTTCTTCTCAATGAGAGGTATATCATACTCGTTCAAAACGTAGAGCTTTTCTGCCGATGTATCCTGCTCCAACAGCTTGCTGGTCACCTTCTTCTCGGCAGCAAGGACGATGCCATCATTGGCAAGAATTCCTAGTGCGGTACCGGCGTGGGAAATAGCTTCCAGCGCATATTCGACCTGGTAGAGTCGTCCTTCGGGGGAGAAGATGGTGGTCTAGCGAACAAAAGACACCTAGTTAGCGGGAGCTTTCCATCTGACGAAATGGCGGGATGAACGTACTCTAGAATCGTATCTCCGCGACATCTTGGATTATTTGTCAAGAGGAGGAATAATAAACCAAAAGAAACAATATTGTTAACAGCGGAGGAAGAAAAGAACGGGATTGAAGGATGGCAAGTATTGTGGAGGAGAATGGGCACCAAACAGCTGGGGCCGATGATGAGGTCGGTGGTGAGCTCCCAGTAGGCAATTCGCGTCCGCCGTTCTCCGCCAAGCTCGGACCAACCACCAAAAGCCCGTAAGCTTCTGATCGCAACAGACAACAACTTACCAGCTCATGATGCTATTCTTGTATTATTAGCATTTTATTATTCAATTATCTTGTTATCTGGCCACAAAATGCTCAAATCGACCTATACGGCGCCTCCTCCATTACCGCCAGGGTGGACGGAACACAAGGCCCCTTCAGGTTGGTCGCGATTGATTGCTGTGATAATCTGCCATTATTGCTAACGTATCGCCAGGTCACCGGTATTACTATAATTCTCAAACAAAACAATCAACTTATACGCGGCCGCAACCGCTTCCTACCTCATCGCAGCCGACCGCAACAGAAACCGCACCACTTCTCACACCGGATACACTACCGCCGTTCTCGTCCACACCATACGTTCCGCAGGGTTTTGGATTCGGGGGTGGATTCCCAGGAGCTCAGCATCATCCTCACCAAGGTCAGACTCGGGGAGGCTTCCGGGGTGGGAAAGCATACCAAGACCGCAGATCTCGGGGGCCAGAGGACAGACCAAAGTCGAAGCATGCTATACCCGGATGCGAATCGTGGGTACTGGTGAAAACTAAGCTTAAGAGGAGATTCGTTTATAATACTGAGAGCAACGAAAGTTTCTGGAAATTCCCTCAAGAGGTCCTCAAGGGAGTCATCGAGTACGATCGCATCGAAAGAGAGAAGAAAGAACGCAGAGAACGCGGTGAAGTGAGCGTAGAACCAGAGACGCAAAAACCGGAATCTGTTCCTGCAAAACCTGAACCCGAACCAGTTGCACGTGAGGCTCCTGTGGAGGGCGGAGATGAGAGCGATGAGTATGAAGAGGTGGAAGTGACAGACGAAGAGGATGAGGAGCAACCATCGAAACGAGCAAAGACGGAGGATGATCAACCAGTCGAATTTACCGAAGAGGATATCGAATACCAGCTTGCTGCCATGGGTGAAGAATACGGGCTTGACCCTGGCGAATACGGCGAGCCGGGCGAAGAAGGCTGGGAGGAGGGCGCTGAAGGTCTCCCGTTGTCAGATGAGGATGCTGTAGCACTCTTCCGCGATCTGCTAGATGATTTCCGTATCAATCCTTATTCGCCATGGGAGAATATTATCGAAGAAGGTCACATCATAGACGACAGCAGATACACGGTGCTTCCGAATATGAAATCCCGACGCGAGGTATGGTCAGATTGGAGCCGTGACCGCATCCAAGACCTTAAGGAACGCAAACAAAAGCAAGAAAAACAAGACCCCCGGATCCAATACCTGGCCTTCCTCCAGGAGCGTGCCACGCCCAAGCTGTACTGGCCGGAATTCAAGCGCAAATACAGAAAGGAGTCTGAAATGAAGGACACACATTTATCTGATAGAGACCGGGAAAAGTTCTACCGCGAGCATATATCACGACTGAAGCTTCCCGAGAGCACAAGAAAATCAGATCTTTCTGCTCTGCTAAAATCTGTTCCTTTGCAATCACTAAATCGCTCATCGACCATCCATGCGCTTCCCTCTACTATCATCACCGACATCCGCTACATCTCACTTAGTCCTCAAGTACGCGATTCACTTATCGAAACATACATATCTACCTTGCCAGCAGCGCCGGAACAAGAACACATGAGTGCAGAGCAACAAGAAGAGCTCGACAGGAAGAGAGCTGACAGGGAGAAGCGTGAAAAGGCCCTTGCAAAACGCGAGAAAAGAGTCGAAGAGGAAAAACAGAAGCAACGAGGCGACCTTACCCGTGGTAAGCACCTTCTCAAAGAAGGCGAGGCTGAGATCGAAGAGGCCATGCGCATCAGAAAAGATGGGCTTCGAAGTTATATCGAAGCTGGAGACAGGGCCCGCGAAGGTGCAGGGGAGGACGCGGGAAAGCCAGCATGGTAAAGCTCTGGGTTATATCGATAATGGTAGATGGCGATGGAACACGGACAATGTATATTTATGTCGAAAGCTGTAACCTACTACATCAATATCATCTGTTCAGGAAAGATCAATATATTTCCAACTATGTGATGAGCTATTCAAAAGACTAGATGTACATTAACATTAAACTAGACCCTCGCCTTAAATCAGCATTGCATCGGTTTTATCAAAGGGTATCATCAGTATCAGTTTGCGCCTTCTTCCAACTTTCCGGTAAACTCGGGTGGATTGCACGGCCAAGTCTATTACCAGTGACCCAATGCACAGTGACTCGATAGGCCCAGCTATCTCAGATGTACTACATAAAAGCGTGAAGCCGTCATATGCAACTCTCCAGTCCTGAAACAGCCAGAAGCATTTGCCTTTCCCCCTGAGCCTGAGAAATCCTGTACAAATCGTCGATAACGAAAACAGCCGTTTTCTTTTTCGAATGCCCAGCTTTGAGAAGCTTCATCACAGAATGAAGTTCTTGTGCATACCACTCAAAGTAGATATCGTTGATCGTTTTTCTAAACCGTGTCATTCTGTAGGAGCTGGAGAGAAGCATCCAAGCGCCAATGGTGCCCCAGGGAGATTCCTCTTTCTGAAAATCTTTCAGGCTCACGTGGAGTACGAATGCATTCTCAAGTCTATCTGAGCAGCAAACACCTTTTCACCCTCCTACCCTTAGAACTCTTTCTATGTATGTTCATCAGGACTTTTTGCTAATAAGATAGGGCTGCCACATCGACCTCCAATTCCTAATTTACTGCTCAAATCTTCCGGATATAAATTGGATTACCAGGCTTCACCAGATCTGACTGAAGTCTATCGTGATGCAATTGAACGTCAATTCAAGTACTATGAGAAAAAGCTTTTCCAGCAAGGTCACAATCCCCATCTGCCTGATTCCTTCCGATGCTAGAACCGGCAAATCACGCAGTATCGCTGAACTGCATAAGTCTGCCTATCAATGCTTAGATGGCATCTATTTTAAAGAAAAGATTTAAGATTAGCATCCCGACTTCAGGATCCGATGGTGTTCCATATTAGCTTCGAAAACGGCACTGGTCTCCGACCTTGTGAAGGTAATCTGTTGGAAGCCATAGGTTCTAGGATGTCTTTCCAGCCTGTATGACAAGATAAATTTACATCAAACAGGACACTCTCATTCGATGATCTTCTTTTCAATTAAGAGGCACCCACACCATAGAGAGTCATTAAGCTGCTTTAAAATGAAGATATTTCTGCACTGCAAAGAACGATATTCCTCTTCGTCGAGGGCCTCTATGCCATCAGTAATCACTCCGGGGGTGATATGCTCTTACTAGTTGTGAATTGACTGGGCAACCTTGCTCAAGATTATCGTGGTCTCTTGGTTGTTTGCTGAACATTCCCAATTTCTGCTCCGCTCGAATCGCATTGGATATTTCGCAAATAAGAAAATCGTTTCCCTACAGTCCTCTAGAGCCTCCGAAAATTGACAACGAGCCGGTTTTCAAGACCAACAACATGTTTGGGAAGTTCTCATTAACGACTGCGGCGGCCACGGCCGGGCTTTTGGAAATGTTGGCCAAGAAACTGCTCAAGATTTATGGCGGCGCAATACCGGAAGAAAGCGAAGGCCTTTTAATCGTCAAGGCTGCATTAGCCCACTGACGCCTTCTGAGACATCAATTTACCCAATAAAGGGAAGCGATACCAGATCAAGTCTGTCAAAATGGCTTAATCCGCTTTGAAAGTGGTGGTGGCTGGTTAGATATAGGGAATACTTGAGGCTTCCATATATTTGGCTGTTAGCGTTATGCATCACATACCCAGACAAAAAGTTTCTCTCGGAACTGCGGTTACTCGACTATCGCGATTTTCAAGCCAAGGAGAACCCGACAATGCCCAGGGACTTCTCATGGGTGGATTTTGAGAAGCTTATGATCAGAATTCGCAAAATGAAGTCCCATGTGTTTCAAGTGGAGAAATCGTGAGAGTGGGAGACGTGCATAGGGATGTGTGTATGCACCGCAATACAGACAGAATCCACTTCGTTAATCACCATCTCTACGACGATGTTGCCACTCATCAGATTGAGACCCAGACGAGATTATCAAACGAGCAAACTTAGAGGACCAAAACCAATTGTTTCGGCGAGGCTGACCTCCAGGAACATACTCACATTATGTAGAATGCTGCTAGCTCGTCGGCGACAGACGCAGCTCTCACCCTGAATTCAAATATCCCACGCAGTGAAGTCCATATAAGAACGCGGAAGAAAGACGCATAAACTTCAAGGAGGAACATGAAAAATCCGGTTGGTGGCAAACGACATCTTCGTCTGATTATGCAAAAGCACCATTCTAAGCTTATGCAATGATAGTACCCATTACGTAGCACAGGGAAGGATCCTAGTTGTTGAAAAAAACTGGGACAGGTACTTCGGCTCATACGCCGGCAAATCATATGTATTCGCCAGAGGTTGAAAAGAATGAGGAAGTCGAATGGGTTGCAAGATATTTGTAGTAGTATGACACATGCGTTAGCTTTGTCAACTATCTCCAGGACATCTATTTAGTGGTCTTGGCTTTTACTTGCGTACTCCAAACGAAGAAGTGAAATTCTCCAGGTCTGCGCGTCGTGGCCAACTTGTTTAGGGCTAAATATATAAATCAACGTCAAACCAATGCAATCTCCCCACGGGCAATAATATTTAGAAAATAATAAAGACCAACCAGAGACTTAAAACTGAGATTATCATATAAGAAGCATTAAATATTAAGGTACAATTACACACGCTAACTAGACAATGCAACTGGATGCTTCAATTTCCTCCCAAAGATGAATATGACCAAGACTGTCTTCGAAAGATACACCGGCACATTAACATTAGTGGACATTAGCAAGTCCTTTTTCTGTCCATTTCATGTAGTTTCATCATTCGGTTTATGGGGTATCAATATTATATGGTTAATTCAAGACCTCCCTTTTCTCTGCGGTGGCCCTCCCACCGTTCCTTCAAACCTGATTTTTCCAATGCAGGCCAGCCGTAGCATTACTTGAATCGCCAGTCATCCCAATCATCATCGTCATCGTCATCATCGTTGTCGTCCTCGTCATTTGCGTTTCCATCGGACTCCCTCGCAGGGGGCGGCACCGACTCCGCTTCTTCCGAAGCCCGCTTAGCTCTGAGTTCCTCCCGTTTTTGTTTCATTCGTCTCACACGTTCTTCCAGTTGCTCCATCTCATCGAACTCGTCCTCCATGAATCGTGCTGCGTCCTCGCGTTCACCCTCTGCTTGAGCTTCGCGCGTTTGCGTAGTGTTTTTAACCTTTTCATTCTGTTCAGCAATTTGCTCTGCAGTTATTGGCGCTGCTGATATCGTGGCTGGTGCGGCAATGGCAGCGGGTGCTTGTGGAGCGCGCGACGGTTCCGCAACTTCCCGTTCAAAAGCCGCCCATTCATCTTCGTCAACGGTCTGGGGCTCGTTTGCGGAGGGTTTCTCATCGGATTGGTCCGTGTCTTTGGCTTCTTGCTCGTCTTCCGGCTCTGATGGAAATTCCGGACCAGCGGTTTCTTTTTCTGCGTCTTCCCCGAGATCCTGAGCGCTCGGGGGTTGTATTGCTTGTGATGCCTCCTGCTGTGCCGTCATTCCAGCAGGTTTTATCTTTTTGCGTATCGAGTCATCGCCAACATCCACCTTTCTCTTTTTGGTGACGCGGTTTGTTGTATTCCCTGTTTGGGTGGTGCCCTTGCGAGTGGCGAGCTCGTTCCGGAGTAATTTTCGGATGTCTGCCATTGCGGACGTAATTCGTGTCGATAGAGTAATCGGATAGCGTTAATCGGTAATTCGTAACGGGGGAATTCGTCAGATCAGTCACAAGCAAATAGGAGGTAAACGTGGTAGGTGCAGAAAAGAAGGGGTGTGTGTCGTGCTTATGTGGAGAAGCGGCGAGGAGCTGGCCACGCCTACAAGTTAGTGAGGAAACGCGACAGAAAAATCCCGGTGGCGTCTGCCAAGCTGCTAACTCGCTCCCCGCCGAGCCTCATGCACGTGATGGCTTAGTCATGACGCAGTCGCGGCCGCTCGACCCTCTCGTTTCTCTCGCTCTTTCCTCTTCATTCCATCAACCATCCATCGCCCATTCCTCTATCAATTCTGTGCTTGAGTGCTGGTACTATTGAAGAGCCACGCTAGCTTTATCGAATATCTTTTTCTACCATCTACGCGATTCAGATCCAGTCTCATACTATCAAGTTCAGGACAGGCTTTTCACGCGACCCCGCTTACGCCGATTCCTCGAGACTGCGACACGCGACAGACTTCTTCGCAGTCGTTCTGCTACAGTGAATACAAGTCGCAGTTCTCAACAAATCCAGAGGATCTAGTTGAACGAGAAGCAAAAGTTCAAGTAATACTCGCAAACCGGGTGACTCGTGCCTTTGACCTGGCGTGTCTTTCCCTTGGGTGTTACTCTTTAGCGCACACACATTACACCCCCTGTCCCCGTAGAAAGAAAGCTGTTGGGTGGGCGCGCACAGCCAGCTCTGAGCACAGTCTACAAAGCGTCGTAGAAATACCCGAGTATTTGCATTATGGCTGGTAAGCAATCGTATAATGGTCCCTGCGCCATGGCAGCACGAAGCCCACCTCAGAAACGGAGGCAAGGCAGAAGGCGGCCTAGGGCACGGGCCCCCCCCCCAAATATGAATGGATAGAATGCTAACTGCAAGATACAACAGATGAGCCGCGACGTTCTGGCCGTTCAACGAAAGGCCAGCACAAGAACCTCGATATGGTCACCGAAACACCCATGAAGAAATCGAAGTCCAAGTCACTATCGAAAGACAAGTCCTCCAAGCCCTCCGCCGAGCCGACGCCTGGACCTAGCGAAGGAGAAGAAGAAGAGGAGGAGGACGAGGAGGAACTCATAAGATGTATCTGTGGAGAATACGAGGAGGAGGAAGATGTCGAACGCGACATGATCTGTTGTGACCAGTGCTCAGCATGGCAACACAACGACTGCATGGGTCTCAAGTTCGCCAAAGGAGAGGAACCGGATCAGTACTTCTGCGAGCAGTGCAAGCCGGAAAACCACAAGGAGCTTCTGGAAAGAATGGCGCGCGGCGAGAAGCCCTGGGAGGAGGTCGCCGAGAGAAGACGCAAAGAAGCCGAGGAGAAAAAATCACGGCGCAGAAAGGGCAAAAAGGGTGGCAGAAGAGGCAGACCAAGTGAGGCCAAGACAGAAGAAAGTACACCAGCTGCTTCGGTCAAAGCTCAGACCCCGAGTTCGGCTCCTTCTGTCCCCCCAACCGTGCCGCATGCAATTGAGGAAAACGGCCATGCCGGTGATGCTGTATCGGCCAGCACTCCCAAGCGCAAGTTTGATGAACACCAAGAGAGTCCACAATCTGAAGCTGTAAGTAATTTGTCATTCCCAACCAAGTTTCATTGACTGACTGTTGTTTAGGGTCCCAAACCGAAACAGCAAAAAGTATCGCCCCCAACAAAAGTATCGCCCCCAACAAAAGTATCGCCTCCAAAACAAGCATCGCCTCCAACAAAGGAAGCAACACCGCACAGAAAAACTACGACTAACGCGCCGTCATCTCGCCAGAGCTCTGTCACTGAGAAAGCATTTGAGGGGCCGGGCACACTGGAGGAGATTACAAACCCAGCCCGGAAAACTGTTGCCAGTGCTCTAGTCAAGCTATTTGTAGAACAGGTTTCTAATGTGCGGAAGCAAGACTCTTTCAAATTACCTAAGGGTAAGAGAGTGGAGGAGATTGCCGGGCAGCTCGGTATGTCGATCGAGCATGCTATGTATCAAAATCTCTGCGGAGGATCCGGGGAACCAACGGAACAGTATAAGTCACAGCTTCGGACGATCTTGTTCAACGTAAAGAAGAACACGTCCCTACGGGATAGTTTGCTCGTAGGCAATCTGCTCCCAGATACTCTATCCAAGATGAGTTCCCAGGACATGGCGAGCAAAGAGCTCCAGCAAAAGGATGCTGAGATCAAACGAGAAGCGGAGCGTCAGCACATCATCGCCACTCAAGAGCAAGGGCCAAGGATTAGACGGACACATAAGGGCGAGGAACTGGTTGAAGAGGACGACCACGTTTCAAGCGAACCTGTTTTCTCGACGGCTCCAGCTCGTCGCATGACTGACGGAAGCCCCAGCCCCGATAACCAGCAGCGTCGCAAGCCGAACGAAGACCGACGAGCCGGCAAGCCACGACCCATTGACACCGATGGATATTCACACGACCAGCATTTCGCTCATTCCCCCGGTCATGATGACCAGGTCTTCCCAGAGGTTGCTACGCATATCCGAGAACCTGTATCAGGTGCAAAGGTTCAGGCTGATGCAGAGATCGATAACCTACTGAGGGATGATGATGAACCCGACTCGCCTCCATACTCCCCCAAGGAGTACAACGACGAGGAATTTGTGTGGCGTGGCAAAGTGGTGATGAATCCCATTGGAGAGTTCTCATCAGCAGCAAAGCATGTTGGTGGTGCCGACCTGAGTGAAAGTTTACCATGGAGCCAGCTCGCGCCGCCAACGTTGCTGATCAACGGCAGGATAGAAATCCAGCTGGCCAGCAACTATCTCTGTGGCCTACGGTTCAGCACGTCAACAGATGTCGTCGTTATGTCCATCAATGCTCCTGAGAACCCGAAGGAGCGCGCAGGATTCGACAACCTATTCAACTACTTCGCAGACCGCAAGAGGTACGGTGTCATTGGAAAGCACCCATTGCCGTCCGTTACGGATACGTACCTCATCCCGGTTGAGGCTGGGACAACGAAGAAGCCCGACTTCCTGGAGCTGCTAGAAAACAACTCCCTTGATGATTCTCTGCAGGAACGGATTCTGCTGGCTGTCTTTGTCGTCAAGACTGGTGTCTCAAACCGTCCTTCTGTACAGCCTCCGTCGCATCACCCGAGCCAGGAACCCGCAAACACCGCAAGTCCGTTGACTAATGCTGCGCCTACGCCTCAGCAGGCTCCGTATACGTTGACGGGACAGCAGCATCCAGCTCAAGTATCTCCCACTACGCCAGCACCTTTCCCTGGCGCACCAACTCTTGCACAAGCATCACAATATGCCCAGCCGCCACCGCAGCAACAACAACATGCTCCCCCAGCGGGTCAATTCCACCACTATCAACCCAACGTCTCTGCCCCTCAGCCTTCTACTGGCCTTCCCGCCGCCATCCAAGTGCTAGGACCTCAGGCACATGCCCCTGCGATTCAACAGCTCCTTCAACAAGCACCCAATGCGGATGCCTCCCAGCTATTGGTGGTACGGGATATCCTCTCCCGACAACCAGATGCTGCGTCCAGCTACCAGGCGTTGACTGAGGCGCTGTTCCATGCTACGACTAATGGACATGGTGCGTCATAAGAAGGTTCTGTATATGTAAATAATGTTCAACATTGACTTGGAATTTTCGATTTTCTTTTTCTTCTGTGTATCAAGGCGTGGCTTATAGTTTTGTTGGTATGGCGTCGTTATTATGATATTATCTCGTTAGTGAGATTGGACAGGGTGGTTATGTTGGGATGTTTTTTTAATTCTCTGCTCATTCCTCTCTTTCCTGTTATGCCAAACAAGGACTATTAATTACGTTGTGAAGCTTGTCGTTTTATTCCTTGAATGTAGGCAGCAGTGTAATCCTTGTTTTCTTGGATTGTTTGGACGCATAAGAGTTCTACGCGGACATTCAATTTCCAAATCATCCATTATGTGTTGGAATATGGTAGATACAAACGCACTAACGCCTGCGCTATGCTTATACCCAGCAAAAAACGAAATATCAAAAGCTCCAAAGATAGCCATTTACCACCGTCCCCGTTTCCTATATCCACCACCACCACCATACCTCGGCCCTCTACCACCACGTCCACCACCTCCGCCACCCCAGCCACCATCCTCATCATCATGGTGCCGGACCGGCGGCGGCCGTCCCTTAAGCTCCTCACTAAGCTTCTTCCAACCCTTGCGCATATCCGAGTATCCCATGTGCATCTTTCCGAAGAAGTGATCCGCCAGACGACGGTCGTTATCCAGTCGACTGAGGTATGCGCCGCACACATCGCAGACTTGCAGTTTCTGGTGGCCAGAGGGGCCGGAGGTATCTTGGAGGTTTTTGAGTTCGCGCTCACAAGTTTCCTTTTGGTGTTTGGCGGTGCGGATCTTGTGGAGTTCGTTGAGGGCGAGGGCGACGGAGCCTGTTTCTCCGAGGACGGAGACCTCGAGGAGACCTGTGTTGATTGTTTTGGAGAGGTCGGAAATTTGTTTCAACTAGTATTGTTAAAATTGAACAATGAACGGTGGGTAGGGAGGGCTTACAAGATTGTTCGTCTGCCGAATCTCATCCGGCGTCTTCTCCAAGCGCCGCTGAGCAGAATCAATTCTCCGATCACAATCATCGATATACTTCTGCATGTCGCGCATGTAGTCAAAGTCAAACCCCCATTTCGCCTTTTCCCCAGCGGACGCAAGCTCGTACTCCGTCTTTAGACCCTCGCTGTGCACCTTGGGACAAGGACCGAGGTCCTGCTTGGTATTCGTGAAAAGATCGTGCGGGCAGGTTCCGACCAGGTACGAGCGACAGACTTTTGAATCGGTGATGGATAACTGGGCATTACGCGAGGGTGCTCCGGTTCCGACGAGGTTGTCCGCTGTTGTTAGAGAGGTCTTTGTTAGCTTTCTTTGACTTTCTTTGCACTTGAGTTGAGATTTGTGGATGGCTTACCTCCCATGAGCTGCTCGAGCAGCTTTCTTTGTTCCGCCGCCATTGTCAAAGAGAGAAATAAACCGAATGCGCGGTGACCGGTAAAAGAGTCCTCCGGAGCAATTTGCTCGCTGTTTTGTTGGTATGATAAGAACTTAAGCTGTCGCGCTGAATGATGTCTTTTTGCGACGATGGCGCTTGGCGGGCGGTGAAGCGTTAGGCGCGGCTGCGCTTGAGTGGCCCCTTTTGGCAACTGAGTCGTCGATGCTTGTAATTGAGAGAAACCGTTGACTTAATAGCTAGAAAGACGGAGATTGTTCGACCTCGTGTGTTTCTTTCCAAAGGCAGGTGTCAGGGACAAAACGGTGCTGAGTTGTGCCAACCCCAACCGCCAGAACCCCCAATCCAAACTCCTCGACACTCTCGCCGCATGGTCTATTGACGAGCCAAACAAGTCAGGTCCTCATTGAATTATTTTCTGAGGGAGCTTTACGGCAAGAATGACGTGATGACGGTCCTCTTCCTACTTCCTCTGCTCTTCCTGGCGGTGCTGTCCACGCTCACCTCCGCCGCACCGGACTCGGACTACCACGAAGGCCTCGTCCTCCAACCATTGCCGCAATCCTCCCTGCTAGCTTCGTTCAACTTCCGCAGTAATACGTCGCAAGAGTCCTTTGAACAGCGGCATTTTCGATACTTCCCTCGTGCGCTTGGCCAAATCCTACAACACGCGAATACCAAGGAATTACACCTCCGGTTTACGACGGGAAGATGGGATGCCGAGAGTTGGGGCTCAAGGCCGTGGAATGGGTCTAAGGAGGGCAATACTGGTGTGGAATTGTGGGCGTGGATTGATGCTCCGGATGATGATGGGTATGTTGTCTCAGAACCTGGACTGGATTCCGGGAAAACTAATGCTGAGTCGTTGAAGGGCATTCGCGAAATGGATCACCTTGACCCAGTCCTTGTCAGGTCTTTTCTGTGCGTCAATGAACTTTATCGATTCTACTCGAACTACACGGCCAATCGCATCCTTTGAGCCTGCTGCCCATCATTCGTCTAGTCAACTGCATCTTCTCCATGGGACGCTTCCGGGTGAAGTTGTTTGTACGGAGAATCTCACCCCTTTTCTGAAGCTTCTTCCTTGTAAGGGGAAGGCTGGTGTCTCTAGTCTATTCGATGGACACAAATTATTCGATGCGTCATGGCAGAGTATGGCAGTTGATGTGCGTCCAGTCTGTCCTGAATCTGGCGAGTGTATGGTGCAGATTGAACAGACTGTTGATATGGTGCTTGATATTGATCGATCGAAACGACCACGAGGTAAATATTACGCCGGTTAGTAGTAATGTTACCCCCTGTTAACGGTGACAGATAACCCGATTCCACGCCCGATCCCTAATGAGCAACTTGTTTGTGACACTTCTAAACCCTATGACGCCGATGATACCTGTTATCCTCTGGAAAATACTGCAGAAAAAGGCTGGAGTCTACAAGAGATCTTTGGACGTACTATCAGTGGTGTCTGCCCTCTCACAGAGGATGAGAACCCAGGCAAAGAGACAGTTTGTCTTCGAGTGCCGCATGAAAGAGGGGTTATCACTTCTCCTGGGGCGTCCGAAACCAGGAACCCCGATGGCCTTTCCCGCTGCTTTAACTTGGAGCCATCAAGCCCATTTGACTTAATTATTCCTGAGCAGGAAGCTCTCACCCAGGTGCCGCTAGATGAGCCAGCCCTAAGCGCCGAGCGGACGATTGTTGGTCATGGTCAGGAACGCGGCGGCATGCGAATCATTTTCGACAACCCATCGAACTCAAGCTCAGTCGACTTCATTTATTTCGAGACCCTGCCTTGGTTCTTACGACCCTACGTGCACACATTACAGGCGACCATAATCGGCCGTGATGGTATCCGTCGCTCAGTCCCGGTATCCCAAATCGTCAAAGAGACCTTTTATCGTCCAGCCATTGACCGCGAACGTGGTACGCAACTCGAACTCGCTTTGTTCGTCCCCGCCGCTTCAACCGTGACATTGACATACGACTTTGAGAAAGCCGTCCTGCGTTACACGGAGTATCCCCCCGACGCCAACCGAGGCTTTAACGTTGCGCCTGCAGTAATCAGACTCTTAGGGCTGCGGGACCAAGCCCAGTCATACGAATATTACTCCCCCGTCTACATTCGCACGACAAGCCTTCTTCTTCCCCTACCGACGCCGGATTTCAGTATGCCGTATAACGTGATTATCCTGACGAGTACTGTCATCGCGCTTGCTTTTGGGAGTATCTTCAACTTGCTGGTTCGTCGTTTTGTTGCAGCGGATGAGGCGGCTGCTCTCACAGCGCAAACCTTCAAGGGAAAGATCTTTGGTAAAGTTGTCGCGTTGCGGGATCGTATTAAGGGGAAGGGTTCCAAGGTGGAGTAGCATACTATATGTAATATATTATAGCAGCTCAATTTCATGCATTAAGTACAAACAAGTAATTATCCAATTTCTCATGCAAAACACAACAATCATAACAAAACCCAATCCACACCCTATCTCCCCTGCCCATGCAACCTAAGACCACAAAACACATCAGCACCATCCCCACTAATCATCATCAATTCACTCATTTAGTTTGGAAAGCAAGGAAGTCATACGTCGCTTCAACCGCATTCTTCGCCTTCGACCACCCCGGCAACGTATCCGAATTCCCCGGCCGATGACACATAAAGCTGTGGTCCTCAGTCTGACAACTCGTGTTTGAGCCCTCCCCTGATATATCCATGTTCATATCCGTGGCGCGTTGTGCAAATTTGGACGTTGCGGCACCTTTTTGTTCTTGTAGGGGGAGGTATTCGCCGAAGGTTGCTTGAGCGTTGGGGGGCTGTCCCGTCCGTCTTATTAGTATCCTTTCTTTCTCGGTTGTTGATGCTTTGAGGGTTAGGATAAACGGAGAGAGGAGAGCTTACGGCTACATGACCAGTACCCTGCGAGCCACCCTTGAAGAAACCTTTATCACCCCAGCCTGTGCCGCCGCCAGTGTTGTTCGCTGGGGTTGGGACTGCGCTGGCGCCGCCTAGGGTCGAGGTTCGGGGGTGGTTGCCGCGGGAGCTTTGCTTGGTTTCGGGGTATGCGTCGGCCATTTTGTAATACTTTTGTGTAGAATAGTATGGGATATAAGCGGAGCTTGTAACTGGTTTAGGTGTGGGATCAGATGGGTCAGGGAAATGGATGAGGTGTTTGAAACAAAGGCATTGCCATTGCCATCGCCCCTAGTATACAAACAATTTAACTGAGTGACTTCACTATGATTGCATTTTTGGATTGTGATTGGCTAGGTTGTTGTTGTCCGGGGTTAGGTCATTGATCGATTGATAAGATTGATAAATTGTCTTAAGAGGGAATAAGTTCCCTGGAGTCGTATCGAACCTGGTCAGAATTGTATTATATATAACCAAAATTGCACCCCAGTCCTATATAGTCTCGTACAAGTATCAAAACGAAGAAAAAACATATAGTAATGTCAGGGATATCAAAATCGTCACGGGACATGTAGCAAGAATATATCATCAAAAGAGAGGTATATAGTATGCGAGACGATTACTGCGCCTCGACTTCGTCTGCCCATGTGGATCCCTCCACAGGCGACCAGCTAGGTTCAATCTTCTTAGCAGCGGCAGCCCAGTTTGGTTTGGCGTCTGTCGGAGGGTCTTTGGCGCCTGGAAGAGCAGGGAACTCGGCTTCATTGCCAGCAGCCGGCGCAGGCGTCGGGGTTTTCGTTTCATTTGTCGCAGCAGCAGGCTTCTCGAAAGCATTATCGGGTTGCCAACCATCCCTCCGCGGTCCGCGAGAGTTGTTCCGTCCTCGTCCACCCCTACCACGTCCTCGGCCGCGATTACCGCGATGGCCTCCCTGGTTGTCCCTTGGGTTCTCATCCGGACGACCATCATCAAAGTCCCGTCGAGCATAACCCGAAACACCACCGTGCATTCCACGCCGGAAACCACCCTTCCCACCCCGAGGATTATAGTCTTCCTCCTGCTTAGTAGCGTCCCACTCCCGTCCGTTCAAAGCATTCATTTTCCGCTGGCGGTTACGTTCTCGCTCCGAGTCCATCACACGACGGTTCGCGCGCTCTTGGCGACGTTTTTCATCGGCAACTTTCTCGCGTTCGAGGAAGGATGCTTGGTCAGCTTCTGCGCGGGCGTGAGCGGCGGATAACTTGGCAGCGTTTTCTTTGGCGGCTGCCATTCGTTGGGTGAGTTGTTCTTCGGTAAGTTTGGGCTGTTTCGTCAGCTACACTAGTTCATCGGACATGACATCAAAGGGCATACCTTCTTAATCCCACCCGTCGCACTGCGATCCCCACGGACAGCCGGTACACGCAATCCCTCAGCTCCGCCATTCGACGCAGGCCCCTTTGACTCCGACGAAGCGTCATCCTCCTTCTCTTCAACTTTCTTCTCCGCCTCTATAGTTCCACCCTCAGGCTCAGGTGTACCCTCGACAGCCTTCTTATTCCCACCATCATCCTTTCTCCCCGGAGCATTTGACCCCCTCCCTCCGCGACCTCTCCCGCGACCCCGCCCTCTCCCCCTCTCACCCCCGCGCCGCGGGCCGGTTGGTGTCTGTATGGGAGCTGGTGAAACAGCTGGTGACTCAGTCGGTGTATCGTCTGGCTTGTTTATAGTCTCGGGTACTTCCTGCGGGGCGACGTCTGAGGATACTTGCTGTTGCTCCGCGGAAACTGGGATGATTTCATCGTCAAAGAGATCATCGCCGCCTCTGGTCTGCGCGAACTCATCTTCGCCGGCCATAGCTTATATATTGAGTTGTGTTATTTAAGTAGGAGAGTAAAGGAATTGGTTAATAGACAGATGGCAAACAATGAAATGTAGACTAGACTAAGCCTAGACTGTAACTAAGTTACTCGAGCCGCTGATTCAGCGCTAGTTATCGCGGAGAGCGATATCGCCGATGGCACCTACGCAGGGGCACCTTGTGATTGGCTCGTTAAATATTGGCCCTGATTGGTCGGGTTGAGCTCTATTGTTTTATCTCTACTGTAGGACTACGCCAAGTAGATTAGCTAGTTACAGGAAAGACTGGCATATCAATACAATTAATTGGTAGCTCACTGGGCACGAACACGGCTGCTTAGTTTGTGAGGTCCAGCTGAAGAACAGAGCTAGTACTAAGGCAGTTGGTGGGATGCTGCATGAAATCCAAATAGACACCAGTCGCTTGGATATAGGTTCAGCTTAGGAGTGAGCTTGGCTCAGCTGAGGGAGGGCACACTCTGACCGCACAATTCAAGGTAGTCACGCTGTTTCCCTTCGGCTAACAGATCTCTACCTTCACGGACGGGTGGCCTGCAATACCAGAGCGATGAGGAACCGAGGTGTCGAGTTTCTGAGTATTCACAATTAATTATGCATTTATGTATCAGATAAAAGGCAGAAATCCGGTATATATGTACAAAACTCGACTATCATTATATATACATCACCACTACTCACTAAACACACTGCCACGCATTCTCATCAGTGTAGTTCCCCGGCCCCTTGAACACATTCCTCTTCGGAAACCTACAGTGCTTCCGGGCATATTGGACCTGTGAACCTGGGCCATTCGCAAACTTCGCACCGCGAACCGTTTCCGGTGCAACACCGTCTTCAACCCACTTCACCATCGCCATAAGCACGTTATCCTGCGGCTTGTCGCCGTTGTACGCATCGTATCCGTTTCCAATTCCATACGCTCCGTCACCACCGTTGCAGTGCCCCATGCCACTGATCTGGAAGAAGCGGTAGAACTCGTCCAGGTCGCTGGGTGCCAGATTCATGGTCTCAGCCACGCGACGGTAGTACAGCTTCGAGTTGTCCGAGCTGATCATCTGATCCTGCAGACCATGGTAGCTGAGGACCTTTCCGCCTGCGCTACGGAAGGGGGTGAGGTCCGCTTCCCAGGTCTGGATGTTGTAGGGGTTCTGCTTCAGGGCGGCGGTGGCGTCGTGAACATTCCAGTTGGATGCGTTGTAGTTAGGGTCGCTGTAGGTTACGTAGCGGAGCCAGTCTTGGCTGTATTGGAAGGGTTTGCCAGAGTACATGACGCTGCTGGTGAGGACTTCAGCGCCTGGTTGCATGCGTGGGTAGAGGAGAGTTCCGTTGGCACCGTAGAGCGGGGAGAGGACTTGGCGGACGGTGTTGGCTTGAGCGCCGGATAGACAGCGGTTGGTATTTGTTGTGTTGGACTTGCAGATGATAGTTTCGAGGACGGGGTTGCAGACGTCCGGGTCTTCGATGATGCCGTCTTTGGCGCCATCTAGGGCATCGCATTGTCGGAGGATTTCTTGGTGGGCGACCTTCCAGAGGGCTGGCGAAAGATAGGTGTCTGAGGATGGGGAGCCGGTAATAGGGTAGAAGTGTGCACTCCATGAAAGTAGGTTGATGAAGTTGAAAGCCGGCGCTCCGGCCACCACACCATCGAAGTCGTTAGGGTACTTCTGAACCGACTTGAATCCTTGCCGGCCACCAGTCGAGCATCCGAAGTAATACGACTTCTTGAATCCCTCGTCGTAGAACAACTTGGTGAGCTGCTTGCCAACCACGACGCCCGTGTGCAGGGAACGGTAGGCAAAGTCCTCCAGGACCTCAGGATGCTGGTAAAAAGGTTCACCCGACGTTCCGTTGTGACCATTGTTAGCTCCAACAGCGGCGAAACCCAATTGAGCTGTATACGCAAGGTCATAGTACTGAATGCCTATTCGTTGTTAGCCAGAGTCCCTCGAGTATCACAGTGCAGGGTCACATACAACCACCGAGACCTCCATTACCCGTACTCAAGAAACGACCAGTGTAGTTCCGAGGAAACCAAGCTTCCAATGTAATCTCGCTGGCGTTCGACGTCGTAACAGCCATCGCAACCCGGCACAGGTCCCCAGCCACAGCCTGAGAGGTTTCGCCGCAGGTGGATGGGTTGTCTGCCAGCGACAGGTTCGTTCCACCGGGCACGTAATTGGCGAAGTTGACTTTGACATTTGGTAGATCGATTTTATCCGCAAAGTTTGTACAGCGAGACTGAAAAACGTCTTGGCTGGCCAGGACTGACGAGCCCATGGCCAGTAGGGCAAGAAAGCGGAGGAGAGCCATAGTGCGTGGTCAATCGTCCCGATTGAGTTGCGTCTATATCCAAAGTGTCAGACGGTGAAAGGGTTCGCCTCCGTTATTAAATATGCTCCGCATGGTACTCGGCAAATGGTTCACCGGGCATACTTCTCTGTACAGCCATACGGAGTACAAGGTACGCGTACATAGTGTCCGTGCCAAGCTTTGTAAAGAGATCAATTAATAGAGAGCACAGATTTCCCGAAGTAAAGCCGTTGCTGACGCCATAATTGAGGGCGAAGCGACCAAGGCAGCAAGGATATGCGTCAATGCTTGGTTTAAAATATCCGAAACGCAGTGCGGAAAAACCCAAAGTGTGGATTAATTCCAACGTCTCCAGAGACAAATCCGGGGATCGTCAGGGTTAATTTCCCACGCGGGGAAATTTCAGGTTGCTGACTGGTTCGGAGTTAGCATCAGGGGAGTGGACTCAGTGAGAGTACAACTCGGATAGCATCTATGCCGATTATCAGGGCTTTGGTTCTGTCATACCGACCAAGCACTACCATTTAAGCATGGACTGTGGATCCGGAAGCAACACCAATAGAGCTGCTTCCAATCATAGGAAGCATCACGATTGTAACAGGCCATCTCGGTTTACCGAATGAGTACAACCACTTTCAAAATTACAAGACTCATGGTTGATCGTAGAATGCCGAGGTTCTCACCAGAATACGCAGGTTATGGTATTCCCCGCAAATGCAGAGTACTCCGCACTCTGCTAGCATGCGTCAACAAAGGTGTTGCATAAGACATTGACAGGTCTAACGCTAAGCTACGTCTCACTGTTCCATCGTCAGCACATTGTCACGGTAAATAGAAGTAAGATCAATCCCGATTGCCTAGGTTCTAGGTTGAGCCAATTAACAGGCAAATCGTATGAATTCGGCAGTTAACATTCAGCAATCCCGTAGATTATAGAAAATGAGAGATTTTGTTGTACAGTCGTGACCGGTCGTAAATATATCGCGTAAAGTATATGATACAGCATTATAAACAAGTCGTTTACAGGTCAAATGGCCATCAAAAGATTACCCTCGTCACGATGAGATGAGCTAAAGCAGTATGTATTAGCAGCAATAAGTAGAAACCAAGAAAACACATACTCATCCCGATAAAAAGCACTGCCAGGGCAGACTTTGGATTTTGCGTACCAAGCATGCTGAAAAGCAGAGCACAGACCGTCCAGGCGGAATAGGTCCCATGCAAACCACCCAAAGCAGGAGAGTCTCGATATTTGGTTGCTGTCTCATCAACCATAGCTTGGAGGTTGGCTGCAGTGGCGGTTATTTTATTGAGTAATGCTTGGGAGATTCGGATGTCAGTTTGTATATTATCCTGCGCTTGGGATTGTGCCGCAATAGCTTTGGATTGCAGCAGTTGTGCTCTATGCAGGTTCTCGGCTTTCATCTCAGACCGTCCTATCATTGATTCGAAGGTTCGAAGGCGCTGTAGATGTCAGAGTCGTTCATGAAAATGAACTGTGTCACTTACCTCCGACACCTTGGCCTCCTGGTGTAGAATAGCACCCATCTTTCCAAGTAACCATTCCTACTGTCATTAGTCGCCATCTCAGCCCAATCCCCAAGCCAGATGCTCACTAGTGAAGTGTCAAAGGTTTCCATTTCCCGAGACAGCCTAACCATGTCGCCTTGCAGAAGCGACTCCAAGGATGAACGAAGAGATGATGCAATTTCTATCTGGGTATGCGAATCTTGTCGATGTACCTTCATTAGTTCTTCACCTCTTGCCAGAGTTTCCACGTGGACAGCCCGTAGAGTCTCTTGCAGATGATCAACCTCGTGGGAAACATTCCGGACATCCTATTGTACGTCAGATATATCCTTGTTGATCAGTAAAATAAAACGTTTCAAACCTTCTCGAGAGCTGCGGTTCCTGTGTGAACCCTTCCAAGAGCCGAGGTCACACTGGAAACGACAGACTCAATGCTGGCCTCGACATCATGAAATAATCCACCAATGAAGCGCTTGAAATGTGTCTCAGTGTCCTCCACTTCACGAGTCAATCTGTTCCGCATGGTATCAATAGCATGGACAAATTTCTTCTGCTTTACAGATTCAGCAGCCGCAGTCCGCAACGCCTCCTCAAAACCATGATTAAGTTTGAGTGTAACATCGATGATATGTTTGTGCAATTCAAGTAGTTCCTCCTTCTCACCCTCAATCCTCGCCGCTTGGCAAATCACCAAAGAGTTTTGCCTACTGTTGCTATAAGACGTCCACCACTGCGGTCTCGATTCAAGTGACTTAAGACACGACTCGAGGAGGTGCTGCGGTATATCTTCAATGTCGCCCTGAGATTTATATTTACCTGGGAATCCGAAGAAACTTCTCTTCTGCGGTGATGGAACGGCAATCGGGGAACACGATGGAGGAATTGATGCTCCAGCTCCATCGAGCTCGCAAATAGCCAGCCTTGTCGCATATAATGAACGAATGCGTTCCAAAGTCACGTAGTTGTCCGTTCCGAGACTGCTACCCTTGCCGCCGATTGATTGGCAGGATGTCACCAGTTTGGTTGCGGCAAGCCGGTTGCACGATGGAGCAGATTTCATCGACTCTAGTAATTGGACTGCTTCTGTGAATATAACATCGTGCCGCTGAATTTTAGTATTCAAGAACGAGATCAAATCCATGTCATTGGATGAATTGTGCGTAGACAGCTCTAATTGCTGTCAGTGAGATCAAGGTTATTATGCAACCATATCACATACCATTCGCTGTTGCACTGACAGAATCAAAGGTTATGAGGAAACATGCGAGTAAGAGAATGAACGAAGATAGCATGGCGATTTCAGATGTCCCAGACGTCCTCATTGTGGCTGTTAAGGTCGGGGTCGAAGTCAGTAAGGAGTCAGGTACTGCCTTGACTCGGAGAATATGTAGAAAGAAAGAGATATTTCGCAATTGTTGAAAAATGGGAACAATCGAGACACAGCAGGTTTATAAATTATGCAACAGTAACGAAGGAATAAAGCAAAGAAAGCGTAGATAGAAGATGCAGATATTATATTAATCGGTACAAAACAATCAAAGAAAATAACAGCAGATAAATCTTAGACGAAAGCAATAATCATGATGAACTCGTCACGCCGAATTGAGATAGTTGAGAAGAGATGAAGTCGCAAAGCATCAGGTACAGGGCCATAGAAAGATCACGTGTAGCTACACTAATCCCAATATGGAAACCAAGGTAAAATCCACTCGTACAGTCGGAGACCCCAAGACGCTCCGTCAACCGCAACCACCGCCGCCATGTCCTGCTCCATACCCCAAAGCTGCTTGAGGCAGCTCTCTCGGAATACCCTGAAACAGGGATTCTTGCCCGCGTTCACCTCTCCCGCCGCCTCCCTGTCCCGACGCACACAATGTTTTTCGACCACGGCTCCGGCACAGTCTCGAGTTGGCGGCGCCGCGATTTCGGTACCGCCAGAGGTTTCATTGAGTTTTATTGATCTGCCTCAGACGCAAGCTCGTGGGAGGACAAAGGAGGTTCCGAAGACTGCGGTTGAGATAAAGGGGCCATTAGGTTCGTTGTGATTCCCTTGCGGGCATCGGAAGACAAGACTAATTGTGGGGTTTTTTTTTTTTTTTTTTTGTTGTTGCAGGCCAATTGACCCTTGACCTCCCTCCCTTCCTCGAAGTTGCCCATGATGAAGCTACCCGGAAAGCAAAGGTGTCTGTGAGAGACTCCGGAAATGAACACCAGCGTGCCATGTGGGGTATGTACTTCGGAGTTCCTTGGGAGACTGGATCATGGCCTAACAATTGTTGTTACTTTCAGGTACCATGCGTGCGCACCTACAGAACTATATCCTTGGCGTTGCGGAAGGTCACATCTGTATCCTCAGTCTTGTTGGTGTCGGTTATAGGGCCAGCATCGAATCCACAGCAACCACGGTCGAACCCACATATCCCGGCCAACAATTCATTAACCTGAAAGTCGGTTTCTCACACCCCGTTGAGCTGGGTATTCCGGAGGGCGTTAAGGCAAGCACTCCGCAACCCACACGTATCCTGCTGGAAGGCGTTAAGAAAGACATGGTGACGAGGTTTGCGGCAGAGATTCGGGAATGGAGAAGACCGGAGCCGTACAAGGGCAAGGGTATCTTCATTAACGGAGAGACGATCAAATTGAAGGCTAAGAAAATCAGGTAATTTTGGCGGTTTTCTAAATTTTCTGTTCTTCGGGGAGCAATTGGGACACTACTGGGTTATGGTTTTTCGTTGAGATGTATATTGAAGCACTTTTATTTCCCCCGCATGTTGTATCTATCCAATGTATTTCTAGGCACACGTAGCATGACATGACAAAAAAAGCTCATTCATCATTATAGGTTCTCATTATAGATCATACATGAATTTTTCTTTACAGCTTCAGAACAACCTTGACGGCATCAATAACCTGGTCTTGGAAGGCCTTGGGGGCGGCAACAACACCCTTGTTGGCAGCAAGAGTCCGGCCCTTGGTGAAGTCCAAGCGGTTACCGTAGATGTCCGTCACCTGGCCACCGGCCTCGCGGACAATCAGATCACCAGCAGCGTGATCCCAAATCTTCTCCTGATAGTCCTTCTTCACAGGGAGACGCAGGTAGATGTCACCAGCACCTCTGGCGATAGAGCAGTATTTAGCCTGTGAGTCCAGGCGCACACTGGGGTTGCTGATACCCAAGCGCTCAGCAACAGCAGCATTGTCGCCCTGCGCGGAGTGAGCGGCCTCCACACCCTCGCAGAAGGTAGCCTGGGCGATATCCGCCAAAGGTCGCATGGAGATAGGCTTGCTCTCAGAAAGCGCACCGTTGGCAAGAGGACGGCTAGCAGATCCCTGACCCTGGATGGCGGAGAAGAGCACACCTTTGCCAGTGCCGTCGTCCTGGTCGGCACCAATGTTCGCAGAGAGCGCCGCGGCGTCATCAACAGGCAGGTTGGGGCACCCAATAGCACCAACCTTCACATCACCATCCACCATCAGACCAAGACAAACCGCATACTGGCCGCCACGGAGGAAGCCCTTAGTACCGTCGATGGGGTCAAGCGCCCAGATGCGACCAGATGCACCACCCTTGCTATTGCCCTGGTCGATGATGTCGAGCATTGCCTCTTCACTGGGCAATGGGCCGCCAAGCAGGTTGTCACTTTCCGCATCCTCCAGCTTGATGTCCTTGCTTAATCTGTAGATCTCGGCGCTCAGCGCCTTGTCCTCGCGGAGGGAGCTGGCCTCTTCCTCGGCGACGATCTCGTCATTGGGGAAGTTCTTGCGGATGGCCTGGATGATCAGGGCCTGGGCTCCGAAGTCGCCAATGGTGACGGGGGATTTGTCGTCCTTAGAGACGGTGCCCTTGGCCTTTTCGTGGAAGACCTTTTGGGTGAGGATGGTCGCGCGCTGGACGGCGAGTTCGGCAATGTAGCGTTCTTGTTGGTATGCGGACATATTGGCGACTTGGATATAGGAGGAAGAGGAGGTAGTTGTGGTTGTGGTGACTAGGTGGGAGAGGAAGGTGGTGAGACGGTGGCGGGCTTTAAGCATAATTGTTTAAGTGGAGCGGGGAGGAAATGAGGATGCGTGGCGGGTTATCAATTCTGAAACGATCAACATTGGACCTTTTAATGTGATTTAATAGGTTATCATTGAGGATATAACATGATTATGGCCATTGGAAAGCAGTTGATGCTAGAGAAATCCCAATTCATCCCAATTTGACATTCCGAATGCGCATCTACATACAGGATGTCTCCGCGTACGAAATGATCATCTACAATACAGTCAGCGCTGATCGCTTTCTAATGAAACAAACATAATCTTGTTTGACCATGATGCACCGGGTCTGCAATCAGCACAGATATTCTACTACGGATTCAGAATACATAGAGAGTAGGCGTATTTATACAATGGTGGTATTCCGTGAAAAAGTTGCCCCTCCATCCATACCGCCTAATATTCTGCCGAGCCTAATTGGTCCAATGAGATCATCATTCTTTGACTAAAACAACCCTACTTATTGCGCGGCTGTCCCTTCGTGGTATGCTTTGGTAATGCTTCTCGTCGATATGAGCAGTGGCTTCGGTATCAACTTGTTTGATGCAGGAAGGTCTGAGGTTCTATTATGGAAGTAGTCCTCCAACAGATCCATAAGGGTTGAAGCTCGCCTGTGAAGCAATATTACATAGCTCTGATTCTATAATAACTTGCTCTGTTTTCTTTTTTTTTTTTTTTTTACTATAAATAGTGTACTATGTACAATGAGCTGAAATTATTTCTTGTATGACGGTACTGTTCAGTTCGGAATCTTTTTCTATCGTCCTTTTCCTCTGCTTGTCGAGTACAAGCTAATAAACAGTCTTAGACACACCAGGAGTCGTCCAACATACTTTATCCATAATCCTTTCTTCTTCGAAAACCTTAACCAAGTCCTCTCTGTCCTCAGTAAAATGTCCCCATGACTCAAAATGCATTGGAACCATAATCTCAGCACCGATGTCACGGACAAACTGAGCAGCCTGTTTACCATCCATCGTAATCTGGATGGGGCCAATAGGGAAGTGGAAGGTTGCATTTCCCAGATTGAGAACAGCGGCCATTACATGCCACTTGTTTCCGATCTCTTTCAGCTCGTCGATATACACCGTGTCACCGGAAAAGTAAATCGCATTTGGCTTCCCTGTTGCAACATCGACGCCAAAAGAGTCGGTCTCCAGAATGAAGCCGGTTACCTCACCAATTGGGAAATGTTTGCAGGGAGTTCCGGTGATTCGAAAACTCTTTCCTCCAATGTTGGCCGTCACAGTTTGCCAGGGGCGAAGACCGACTACTCCAGGGCGAGGACGCAAGTTAGAGGCTCCGTCCATGGTGGTAAACACCTTCCGTCCATCCAGTAGCTTGCGACCTTCTGGGTCGAGATTGTCGAGATGGTCTTCGTGGCTGAGGAGCACCGCATCAATTGGCGGTAGGTCGTGAAGCTGAAGTGCTGGGCCATTGGTGTTGACAAGAGAAACCGGTGGCGGAATGGCGTCCAGGCCAAAGTCTTCCTGTAAGCGGGCTTTCTGCCAGTCTATCTCTGAGACATGAGAGCCCTCAGTACCGAAATAAGGATCGGTTAGGAAGTTGATTCCGTCGATATTCAGGATGGCAGTTGCCGTTGTGATGTGGGTGACTGTGAGGGTTGTATTTGGGAAGGCCATGACTGCAGGAAAACTTGATAAAATGCTCTATAGTGGTATTGGACGAACTTGATGGTTCTAAAGGATGGTAGACACAGAGATGGAAAAGTTTTATAATGAAAATTTACGTTATCGCTTATTATAGCATTAGCATCATTCTTTCTTTTTCTTTCCTCTTTTCTAAGCATTATTAACGTTGTCTTATTGATAAAAAAAAGAAAAATCTTCATCTCGGAGTCCCTGGTAAGCGTTCATTACGCAGCATATTAGGGCATACTGACGGGATGCCGATGGTATCCCGCCCGTCTTTTCGGCATCCCACCCGGCTCTAGGAAAGAAATAGAAATGCATTTATAAGAAATGCATAATGATTTACTTAATCGTTTAATATAATAATGGAATGCGGGCTTTTCTAAAGGTTCTCTGTCCGAGCGTGCCGTCGAGCCTTTTGTTCGTTGCCTTTTTTCTACCTTTACCGGATTTATTCACAAGGGAATGCATACGGTGTCAGAGTACCCATCAAGTATGCTCAACTCAGACCCCCAAGATGCGACTCTTCCAGACCTTCCCGCAGATATCAAAACAACATCGAGTCAACTATCCACGACGCCAAAGACGGAATTCGAAGTAAGCTGGACAAAGAATGACCCCCAAAACCCACAGAACTGGTCCCTACCATACAAATTCTACGTCGTCTTCGCGATGCGCTACGGTGAAACAGTGATCAGCCTCTCCAGCACATCCTACTCAGTCAGCATTCCCGGTTTACAAGACGACTTCCACATCACGAAGATCACCGGACTCCTAGGCATCACAACATATCTGCTGGGCTTGGCCGTAGGAAGCGTATTCCTAGCACCATTGAGCGAGACACTTGGTCGCCGTCCAGTGTACCTGATGTCTGCGGGACTCTTCACGATCTTCGTGCTACCGTGTGCTCTGGCTAGGAACATCGAGACGATTTTGATCTCGCGCTTCGTTGCTTGTTTCTTTGGTAGTGCTTTGATGTCGAACTCGCCTGGTTCTGTTAACGATATCGTCCGAGAAAATCATCGTGCACTGGCGTTCGGGTTCTGGTCTATCGGTCCGATTAATGGGCCTGTTCTTGGGCCGATTATTGGGGGGTTTGTGTTTGAGTATCTTGGATGGAGATGGACGAATTGGTTGATTATGATGAGGGGTGACCTGGCTTTGGTTTCGGTTGGCTCTGTTGAGGAAACTTATGCTCCGGTGCTTCTCCGGGGGTGAGCAGCGAGAAAAAGGCAGGAAACAGGGAATCCCAAGTGGTGGAGTCCTCATGACACACATTTACCGTTCCTGTCATTTTCGAAGACCAACATCAGTCGTCCTTTCATCATGTTGCTTATGGAGCCTATTTGGTGAGTATGAAACCCTCCCCTAATCTACACGTCTAATGTTTTATCCAGTATCTTCTGGGACTGGTACGTTGCCATCGTATACGGCATCCTATACCCCTGCTTTGTGGCCTACCCCATCGCCTTCCAAACAAACCGCGGCTAGACCCCCGGCATAGGCGGTCTCGCATACCTTGGAATAGGCTGCGGCACCCTAACAATAATAACCCTCGAGCCCCTCCTCCGCAGATGGATAAACACCCACCCCAAAGACCCATCAACTGGCAAAATACCCCCCGAAGCAATGGTCCGAGTAACCTGCGTTGGCGCAATCTTGCTTGCCGTACGTGAGGTATGGTTCGCCTGGAAATCCACACCAAATGTACACTGGATCGTGCCCATTCTCGCGGGGATACCTTTTGGAGCGGGTAATGCGGCGGTATTCATTTATAGTAATAACTATCTGGCGCATTCGTATGGGGTTTATTCTGCGTCTGCGCTAGCAGAGAATACGGTTTTTAGGAGTATTATGGGGGCTGTTCTGCCGCTTGCTGGGCCGGCGATATATGAGAGGTTGGGGTTGGAGTGGGCGAGTTTTTTGCTGGGGATGATTGAGGCGGTTTGTATCTTGATTCCTTTTATGTTCCTGTTCTATGGGAATCGGATAAGGGAGAGGAGTAGTATGATTCGGAAAATGCAGGACATAGACCGGTGGCAATAATGTACTACTACATGATGTGAATAGAATTCTCAATGTACACTCGCAACTATATCCAGTCAAAGTCGACAAGATTATCATATAATACAGTAGAAGACCTAGAAATCCACCAATCAGGGTCCCCATTCTCCCTGTGATTCGTCTGTAGGGCAACCCTCTGAAGCCCTTCACTTCCCACGTCAGCTGGTGCATTCCACGACTCGTCGCTATCCGGCATTCCAAAGGACAAATCAGTCAGAGACAGAAGCTGATTCCTACTCCCAGCTGAGTCGGGGCAAGTGCACATGCGGCTCACTTTGTAGAGGGCCAAACCGAACCGCTTGGTCTCCTCCACTCCCACCCACACAAGAACCGCTGGTGCAGTGTCGTCATATTGCGCTAGCATATTTGGATATAAGAACATGCCCAGTTTTCGACAGCTTTGAACAAGGGCGGCTAGAAGGTCGTATTCTTCTGCTTCGATTTGGTATCGCAAGCCTAGATCGAATGTTGCCTTTTCTTTTGCGATGAAAATGGTGAAGATAATATGCAAAAGTATAGCCTGGTATGTTACCATGGGCCATGATGCCCTAGTATTCTGGGCGGGTTCTGAATTGGATACATCCCATTGGCCCTAACGTGCTAAATGTCAACCTCAAATTAGAATCCATTAAACGCATCAGGCAACTGACCCGCTGAGCATTAATCGCAACAAAATGTCTACGATAAATTTCTATAGCAGCATCCCGTGCTTCCTTCCTTCCTTCTATCCACAAACCAATCATGAGAACGGATTGGACGATTATACGTGGCTCCTTTAGTGGATCAAATGTACCCCTGTGAAGGAACGGCCACACTGGATGGAAAACTGTAAAGTAGATATTTGTATATTCATGAACATTCCACTGAAACGTGCCAGAAAACGCAGGGTTAGGGTCAGTGGGTGTTGGGAGACTTGCTTGCACTTCTGTGCCGGTATCCCGTCCATCGCTCCCCATTCCCCCGCTAGCGAGCGAGCAGTTGATTCCCCGCTGTTGACATGAGTCGCAAGGAGATTCGCCTTCACAACGTTCTTTTCGAGCCCGACAAGCGCTGCATGCCTTCTGCGTTCGAGATGAACGAGGGAGTTGTCTCTGTGGGTGGTGGATTCGTATATGTCGCCGTAAGAGGTCACTAGAAGATGATCAGCTGTATATTTCGATATGCAAAGATGAAAATACTCACCTCCTAGTCAATTTTCTTTGGCAATATGGGCAAGATACATGACCTTCTTGCCTATGTTGCAATGCATGTCGTTTCAAGTGTTCTTTGCGTCGATACTTTGCGCTGCATCCGGGATAGCTACATTCGAAAGAAGCATCTGCAGGCATAGTAGATATGTTTCTTAGCACATAACAGTTATGTTTGTCGAGTCTCGAACATACCACATTTGAAATTAGGGAAACTCTGGCGGGATACCGGTGGCGTACCGGTGCTGTAAACATCATAAGGCACCCAGGCGTTCAGGCACTAATTGTGGCGCTAACCCTCATTTAGACAAGTCTGTATCAAAAGGCTTGGCGAGGGGCTGATCACGAGACCGACATTACGGGATTGGGCACACCAGAGGAAACGGTTCACAAAGCAACATCTATCCTTTTGTCTCCTCTCCCCATTCCCCTCCTTATTTTGCAGCATCTCTCGTCTCTACACCTCCCAATTCCTTTCCATTTGTGGTAATCGGTTGTTTCTGCCGCACCATTGCCAAGCCTTACCGCCCGCGATCTAACACGTCACGGCACTCATCTATCGCAAACAAAGCAACTAGTAGAACCGCGGCTGACCGGGGGCAACAGAGTAGCTGAAGGATTGTGCTTCTCAGGGCCGCATGCGCAATTCTCTGGATCTACTGAGCCCGTTCATTCATGGGACATGAACCTGTGGGCTTCCGAGTCCCGTGATTTGACTTTTCCGAAGCACATAGTTGCATGTCAGTTGAGTGGGTGCTACTATTAAATGCCCGTTTATAGCTTATGAGCTTAATCTGATATAATATCAGTTAAAAATCAAGCTTCAATATGTTCCACTCTTCGGTAAGTGTCTTGTCACCCAGAAAATTGGTGTCTGTTACTGATGAAATGTGTAGAAACCGTACTCGGCTGTGACTGCACAGATCGAAGTCCTCACTGGCGATCAATATGAGGTCGAGGATTCTAGTGGAATTGTCGATCTCATCGAAGCCATTCAGATCCAGGGCAGTGGTCCGGTGGAAGCAAGTCGCGCTCTGCGCAAGAAGCTGTTAGTACTGCCAGCTTGTTTTGTATCGGACGCAATGAGCTGACTATGTATAGCAAATATGGAAACATTCACCGCCAGCTAAGAGCGCTCACCATTCTCGACTTTCTGATTCAGAATACCGGAGAGCGGTTTCTGCGCGAATTTGCAGATGAGCCGTTGTTAGAACGACTGCGAATTTCCGCTACTGATCCCGTGTCTGATCCATTGGTAAAAGAAAAGTGCAAGCAGCTCTTTGGCCAATGGTCAGTGTCCTACAAGAACACTCCGGGCATGGAACGAGTGGCGGCACTTTACAAACAACTCCCTAAGCGCAAGAAGCCAGCCAGCCAGGCCAAAGCCAAAGTTCTTCGAGACTTTGAGCCTCCCAAAGAACAGCAACCGCTAGGTCACAGTGTGTCTATTTCAGCCGGCAACGGACCATCAACAGTTGTCGGTGGCGGGTCCAAGGCCAAGCACAAAGCGAAACAAGAAAAGAAAGAAAAGGAGAAGCAAGAAAAGCTGGCGCAAAAGGAAAAGAGAAAGAGCCTGGGAGCTTTCCGCTCCTTCAGCCTAGAACGCGAGAAACCGCAAATGATCCAAACCCTCGCGAACTCCTCAGTCGCCAGCACAAACCTCCTCAACGCCCTCAAACTAGTCAACCGCGAAACCCAGCGCGTCAGCGAAGACATCGAAGTCATGAACCGCGTCGACAAATGTAGAGAACTCCGCCGCCAGGTTCTCCGCTACATCCAATACATCGAAACAGAGGAATTCCTCGGCGGCCTCATCCACGCAAATGAAGAACTAGTTACCGCCCTAATGGCCTTCGAAGTCCTCGACAAGAGCGTCGACTATGACAGTGACAGTGACCAGGACGTCCTTGAATCAGGCTGGTCACCACGAGACGATGATTTTGACGAGAGCTTTTCGGGTCTTAGTATTAACCCACCCAAACCACCCCGTCCTGCTCGTCCTGTGAGTTTGCCCGTTTTGCCTTCTGCTTCACGGCAGCAGGGTAAGGGCAAGGGTGTTTTTGATGATAGTGAGAGTGAATCAGAAACAGATTCGGAAGATGAGGACGATGATGATGAGAATAATCCGTTCGGTGATCGGAATGCTATCCCGCCGGCTTCTGTTGATGCCGCTGGACGTACTTGGTAGGTTCACGTCCCCCCCCCCCCCCCCCCCCCCCCCCGCGGCTTTCTTCGATAACATTCAATGATAGAACTAACAATTACCAGGAGAGAAGTCTAGTCGTGCGTGTTCATGTAACGACTCTCGTTCTTTCGCATTGCTTTATTCTGCCCATCTTATCCCATACCCTGCCTATCGCTGATAGACTATACCCATTTTTATTATTGTTTCTATGCGGATGTTCGAGCAAGAGGTGGGCGGGAACACTCAATTATGACTGAATATATGATCAATTGATAGCCTGTGGTGCATTTCTTGCCTTGCATAGCATGGTGTATTGTAACTTGTACAGCGTACTATCCCACGCTGTAAATTTGGGTGAAATTAACTCTTTATTCATTATTGGGTATTGCGATATAGCTATAGACATGCATGCGCGTAAAACTCAGACAATAGCAATATGTACTTGAATCGTAGTAACAAAAGAGCAAATGGGTATTATCAACTAGATCAACCATATAATTATCAACAAGAATTGAAAAAAGGAGAGTAGAACGGAAAGATATATGGACAGAAAGAGAAATGGAGGGGAAATATGCTCACGAACACAAAACCTTCGTCTTCATCCACTCACTCGTTCCAACCCCCAAATTCAATCCATTCCGTGCCCACCACCTCCGAACTCTTCCCTCGGCCCCAGAAACCGGATCCGCGTCTTCAAGCGCCTCTTCGATATCGCACGTCTTAAACTCCACCCGCAACCCGCTCCGCCGCCACCACTCGAGCACATTGTCATGTCCATTCTTGGTTGGTCCGACGAGTACCTGGCAGTCGAAAATCATCTTTGCGCCTTTGAGTCTGTGCCATAGTTGCAGGACGTGCACATGGCCGTGCGTGCTGGCGATACGGGCGATGGACTCGGCGTGGCTATACGGGATTCCCGAGGCATCCCACCAAGCCAGGGACTCAGCGTGGCCGGACTGCGCGGCTAGAAGGACGGATTTTCCTACTTTTAGCGGGATTGGGTTTGTCGGCGGTGCGGTTGTGGAGGCGTTTTTCCACCATTCCAGGACGTGGACGCGGCCTTCGGCGCTGGCGGCTTCGAGGGCTCGTTCTGTGTAGCGGAGTTCGAGGCCCGAGGTGCGCCACCATTCGAGGACGCTGAGGAAGCCTGCGCGGGAGGCGCCATCCATGGCATCGGCGATGTATTCTTTGTTAGGGAGTGCGGGTGCGTCGCGCCACCAGGCGAGAATGTTGGGGTTGCCGTAGATGGCTGATGCGCGGTATGGGAGGTTTGTTAGGCGGGAGGTTGTCCAAAGAAGGTCGAGGTGGTTTTCTGTGAGATAGGAGAGAATATCGGTCCGTGAGAACTTGAAGATGAGATGGCAGGCGAGATCGGAGAGTGGTTTCCAACGCGGCAATGCATCGATGCGCTTTTTGATAGCTGCAAATGAGCCTCGGAGGATTGTGTATTCTAGCGACGCGGGGGCCGACATCTTCAGGAGATGGCATTGCCACTCCTTGGGAACTGGAAGATTTGAAGGGATACCAACAGCTTTGGCGGTCTCCCAGTCTCCCAGGTTGTTCTCGAAGATGTTCAACCATAATTCCAGTGGTAATGAGAGTGCACCGTTTTCTTTGGTTTTGTTGAGTCGGAGCTGCGACTGTCGCGAAATCGGGGTGATAACCCCGGCCGACTTGTCTGCCGGTATGGCTGGTCCATAATCGGCTTGGCTCATATTTGAGGCGTCGTTTGTAAAAGAAAATCCAAGTGTCTTTTCAATAGTTCCATGAAGTTCCTTCAAACCGTCCCAAGGAAGTTGGACTAGCTCGTCAGGTCCTTTTGATTTGAACAGGACTGGCGCGACAATACTGATCCATGGCCAGAATCGCTCAAGTTCGTTGAGCTGCTTGTTGCTCAGTGGATGTTCCCATTCACAAACGGTCATACCCGGAATGAGAACGACAGGCTTCGACGACCTCCACCCACGCAGAAGGGCCAGAGTCAGAGTGTTGGTCAGACCTCCAAGCATTGATCCCAGAGTTCCAGCGTCGATAGGGGCCACCAGTAGCATATCAGCCCATTCACAAAGCTCTGCCGCCTTGGCCTTTAACCACCTCCTAGCAGCCGTCTTTTTCTCGAATGTCTGGCTATCCACCGTGTCCATGTAATGTGGTACCTTGTTCATGCCCGCAAGTGACGCTGAAGGCTCGTCCGTGATCAACCGTAACTCGATCTCGGGATTCTGTACCAAGGAGGGGAGGACATTGTCGACAAAAGAGCTTTCTGTCGATAGAAGCAAGCGTTTCCGACGTGGGGGCGACGGAGTAGAAGTGGCATGTTTCGATATCCCGGCGCCGGTATCTCTGTTTCCGATTACCGTCTCTTCACTATCCTCATCAATTTCCATCTCCGTCGAGCAAAAGCCCTTCGAGACGACAGTCTTCAAGTTATAGGGAGTGGCTAAGCTATCGGATTCGAAACCTATTGCCATATCAAGAAACAACCGGAGGATGATCGAAAATGCAATCGAAGACGTAGGTTGCGATGACGGTTTTTTCTTTTCTTTTTTTTTTTTATCTGTTAAGAGATAACGAAGTAACACGGTTGCGCCTTCGTATGCAGGTGAACGTGTCAAATTCGCTTCAAAACACAGCCAAAAATTATCGTCCTTTAGCCGGCCACGATATGCGATCCATGTAACCTCCGAATTCGTGGCGTGAAGCACAACGGAAGTGGCTTATCGGGGACGTACGAGTTTATACGGGTGGATAGGTGTGTTAATATTGAAATCGGATGGTCAAGAGCGGTGTGTCTTTTCGAGTCGTAAGGTGCTCTGTTTCAGGGCGAGGTACGGAGTATGCGCTGGTTTGGGAATTTCTTCGGCCGTGAATCGGTGATTAGTTGGTCGCCACTGTTCGGAAATGTACACAAAGTAGATGCTAGAATGCGCAAAAATCAGGACGTCAAGTCATGAGAAAGCGTAACAACGGGAATGCAGAAAATTGCAGAATAATGCAGAAAGAACAAAGTGCAGTAGTAGTCGATGGCGAAGTTAGCCGGTTGTCAAGATGAAGCCATCGCCCGCCGAGAGTGACGAAGGCATTTCCCAATGCAGTCATGTGGGCGATCATCGCTGATTGGTTAGTGCCAAGTAGACCACCAGTTTTCGGGTCTGGCCAATCAGAGCAGAGGGTTAGAGCATCAGGTTTCGATACTTTGGTCTATGAATATTGGCAAAAGTCTAGACTATGTCCATATACATACTTGTGCAATCAGGGGGATACAGCAATCAGCGCTCCCGTCTGGCCAGATTCGTATGAAGTTTGTGCTCTCTCATCGCCAGACTCGCCAACGCTCCCAAAACAGCCAGACCACAAAGGGTTAGAAACACAGCCCGCAGCGAGTCCATATACGCAGCCAGTGCACCCAGTCTCCAGTCCAAAGGAAGCTTGCGAATTTCGTCCAGGTTGTCGCGGATGCGAGAGATCAGCTCCTTGGCGTGCTCGCGACCACCGAAACGAGACCAAAGCCCGGATTTAAGTACATTCTGGAAAACAGCGGAGGCGACGGTGATGCCAATGGTGCTTCCTGTACTACGGAAGGCATAAGATGCAGATGTAATGACAGCATGGTGTTGGTGGTCAACAGCGGAAATGAGCGCAACCAGAGTGACCGTGAGCATCCCACCGTAGGCAGTTCCGCCCAGGAAGAAGTAGATGAAAGGCAGCCAGGCAGGAGTGCCAAGTGACATAGTGCAGATCAGTGCTGTTCCGAGAACCATAAGGGCCATCGAGGCATGGCTGAAGGTCTTGTAGCGGCCAGTGGCGCGCATGAGAATCCCAGTTCCCATGGATCCCAAGGAGGTTCCAATCGCTTGAGGGATCAATCTCGCACCGGCCGCGGTTGCGGACAAACCTTGGACTTGGAAGTAAAGTGGAAGGTAGAAAAGGAGCCCAAACACCGCCATGGTGGTGAACCAGTTAGTCAAACAAGCCGAAAGGACGGTTCTATTGAGCAACAGGTTGACTGGGATGACCGGCTCAGACGCCAGCTTCGCCTCGACATAGACAAACAGCCCCAGGAACACTGCGGACAATGGCAGAGTGGTAAGAACGAGAGGGTGAGTCCATGGCACTTGGTTACCACCCGTATTGAGGCCGAGCAGGAATGTCACAAGCGTGATGACCAACGTGATGGCACCTAGGAAATCAACGCGCTTCAGCCGCCCAGTAGTGTCACCCTTCACCGGCACCTTCACGGAAATAGCCACCAGAATGCAGGAAACTACAACGAAGGGAACTTGAATGAAGAATGCCCACCGCCATCCTAGCGTGTCATTGATCCAACCGCCAAACACACCCCCCAGACCACCGCCAGCACCATAGCAGATATTACCAATCCCCTGCCATACACCTCGCTTCCGAAGTGGGACCAAATCAGAGACAATGAACGTCGAAATCGCAGTCAATCCACCACCCCCAATCCCTGAGACAATCCGGCCAAGCACAATGACCCATTCCGCTTCTGCCAGACCGCAGATCAAATTTCCCGCGGCGAAAAAGACGTTAGAGAAGATCAGACCAGCGCGGCGGGAGTAGATGTCGGTCAATCGACCACTAATAGGTTGGAATGCGGCATTGGAAATCAGATACGCAGTTGCCAGCCAGGAAAGCAGCGACAGGGATTGAAAGGACGAGGATATTGGGACCGTCAGCGTCGCAACGATGGTAGTATCTACAGAACATTACGGGATTAGCATGGCAGACAAACCGCGAAAATTCAGACCGGTTATCATACCAAGAGCTGCCAAAAATACACCCACCCAGATACTACCCAGAATCAAGACCAATTCCTTTGTACTGGGCTCCTGAGCCAGGGGTACTTCGGAATCCTGTGTTGCGGCTGTGCCCGGGGGTGCATATTGTTGTGTTTCCTCGCGTAGAAGCGGCGTTTGCTCCGTAGCGGGCATGGCGTGTGGTCCGTACGAGTCAGCCGTTTGAGATCGACTCCGGTCAATATCGAGTCCGTGGAGAGCAGTCCTTGTATTTGTAGAAAGGGTCTTATGCGCGCAATTTAAAGCACAAGCACGAAAGAGGAGTCGCAGTTGTTCCGAAATGCGGAGACTCGAACGGAATGGCCCGTCGGTAACTGTGGTTGGCATACATAGTGAACGGCCACTTGTACTTGAATAGCATCCATTACTCTGCAGTATACTCTGTACTACACAATGATAACGGCCGATATAACTCCGGTCCACGTTGAGCTCAGGGGAATTGGATACGCGCTATCGAGCAATCAAACCAGGACCAATGACTGCCACGCACTGATGGAATGTGGAGTTTGACGGCGGGTGATGAAGCTCAGGAGGGGCTGTGGTCCGTCCGTCGTTCGAGAAAAGAACAGGAGGAAAAAAAACTAATACAAGAAGAAAAGGAGTCGGGATGTTGACGTCCGTGTCAGCCGTCACGTGGGATGCCAATAAATAACCTCCGTCGCGCTGTTGATCTCGACCCAAAGCTCCTTACTCTGTTTTGTTCCCTCTTCACACTACTTTCCTAGCTTGTTCTGTACAGTTTTCTGTTGATTTTTCGCCATTTTCATCATCAACCGTCAAAATGCCGGGTGTTCGTGAGTATACCCCTGCCATATTTGCATACTTCTTCGTTCGCTAACCGCGCAAGCTCCCAATGCTATCGCCCAGTTGAAGAAGGGCCTCAAGGCCATGTTTCGTAACAAGAAGAAGGATGCTAAGAAGCAGAAGGAACAGCCTCCAGGAAATCCTGCAGAGACAAAGCCTACTACGCAGACTACCGTTGCTGGTGGTGCTGCTGCCGGTGCTCCTGCTGCTCCTGCTCCTGCTCCCGCCCCTGCCCCTGCTGCTGAATCCAAGCCCACGGAACAAGCACCAGCGCAGCCCACAGTTGGTACGTTTTTTCTTAGAATCCTTTCACCTCGATTCCTGTTAACAATTGCTGTGCAGAATTAGAAGCTCCGGCCGCGGCTCCCGCTGACAAGCCCGCTGACAAGCCCGCCGACAAGCCCGCAGAAGCGTCGCAACCCACCGAAACAAAACCTGACACTGCTGCCGCTCCTGCGCCTGCGCCTGCGCCTGCTCCTGCTCCCGCTACAGAGACTCCTGCTCCTGAGCCCAAGACGGACGCACCCGCCCAAGAGCAAAAGCCCGAAGCCGCCGCTCCAGCTGAACTTGCCGCTCCCGCCCCCGCCCCGGCTGCGGAAACAAAGATTGAGACTCCTGCTCCCGAATCGAAGCCAGAGACTGCTCCTGAGGCCCCTGCCCCAGTTGCTGCCCCTGCTACTTCTACTCCTGCTTCGCCCCCATCGCCCAAGTCCGAAGCCCCGGCCACTGAAGCACCTGCTGCTCAGCCTGCCGAGGAGAAGCCTGCCGAAGCTGAGAAGCCTGCCGAGGAAAAACCCGCCGAGGAAAAACCCGCCGAAGAGAAGCCTGCCGAAGAGAAGCCTGCTGAGCCCAAGGCCGCTGAAGCTGAGAAGCCTGCCGAAGCTGCTGAGCCGGCAAAGAGTAAGTCCATTTGTACAATGTTTTGTTTCGAAAATGATGCTAACTTTCACAGCTGAGACACCTAAGCAATAGTCTTAGGTTAGGGGCATGATCTAATTTGTCTTTCGTTCTTGTTTGCGTTTGTGATTTAGTTTTGTGTTTATACCTAGCATTAGATACCCATTCCTGCTGGGTTCCGATATTGTGGTTCCATGGTGGATTTTGTTGGTCTAATTATACCCTTAGTTGTTTATGTTACGCAATTCAATGTTGAATATATCGTCTTCGTTCAGTAATCGACTGCTCCATTCCACTACAAGGGTATCAAGCTATCAACCAAGCCATATACGTTTTACCAAAACGAAACGCAATCAATCACTCCTCTCCAGATGATCCATCATCCCCTTCCGCCATAACAACATCCGGATCCTCCCCATTTGCAATCGCTGCCGCAGCCTTCTGCTCCCTTGCCTTCTGTCTCCTCTTAATTTTCCTCTCGCGATTCTTACGATTCCGCTTCTCCGCATCTGCCAGCTTCGCCGTCTCCGCGGCCGTGACGCGCTTGCGGAGCTGGATGCGGCGCTTTTTACCGGGCTTCTTGTGGGATTTCGGCGTTCTTGTTGTGGGGGGGTCAGTTATGTATATGGCTGGTGCTGGCGTGGAGGGGTCTTTGGGTAGTTTGGTGTGTTGACGTTTGAGGTGGATTATGCGCCAGGGGAGGTGGCAGCCGGGCTGTTGCATTTTATTAGCATAAGCCCAGTAGACATTTTTGTAAAAGACAATGTACTCACCCAAGGCTGCACACTAGCCCAATTTAGCATATGTTCTCCGGTAACAGCAACATCCTCAAATTGTCTCCTTCTCGACTTCCCCTCTTCATCCTCGTCCTCGCTCTCCTTCGAACCTGATAACAAACCCGGGGCCGTGAAATAATACTGCCATCCACGGAACGGATTCACAAATCGTCCCTCTGACAAATCCGCGGGCCCGGGCGTTGGCGAGCGTACTCGAATGCGTAGCTTTTGCGTTTGTGTTTGTGTTGCGCCGGCTTCGTTCTTTTGTTCGTTCTGTGCGGTGCGTGTTGCGGTGGACGGTTTTGGGGCGCTGAAGAGCCGGAATTCAAATTCTTGTTCTTCGTCTTCTCCTTCTTCTCCTTCTTTTTGCTCGTGGTTGGTTTCTGTTGGTTCTGGTCCCGCATTCGCAGCGATTGTCTGCTCAGGTGCAAAGGCGTCGACGTCAAAGTTGAGTAGTGCGGCTAGACGCTGGTGGCTATCTTGATATTCTGTTTCTGGTTGTGGAGAGGGTGATGGGGATGTGGATTCGCGGGAGAGGATTTCGTCGCGACGGACGCTGGTTGAGAGGTTAGCTTCGTTGGTGTTGAAGTGAATCGGGATTCACTGCGGTTTGCGATTGAGCGTACCGTTTTGCCTCTGGGAGGTCAAACATGTTTGCAGGATTGTATGTGTTCTCTATGTGACTGGTAATTAGGTACGGGTATTAGTGGATCAAGTGTTGGAGTTCCCCTCGTGGAACTGTAGATGAGGAGTTGAGAAGTTGATAGTGCGGCGTGAAAATTGCCAAGGCTTTTTCCACATCGGGGTACCGTTACGGCCACGGCCCGAATACTATATCGAAGGTCCATACAACATCATTATCTAGCAACAACTAAAGCTTTTTAGCCAGACTTTTCTCTGTCTTCAACCGGATACCAGCTGCTAAAGCTGCCGCAGCCAGAGCCATTCCTCCTGCATAGAAAATTGACGGGCGATATGCTTTGAGACCATTGTCTTCGCCGCCAGCGGCATCCAATATATATCCTGCAATGGGGGCGCCCTAAAAAATTAACTTGGTTAACCCTGGTCATGTTTTAATGTATGAAAACATACGAAAAGATAACCCCCGGCCCACCCCGTAACAACCATCCCCATAGCCACACCAACCCTGGCGGACCCAAAAACATTCCCCACAACAGTCGGCATAGTTGAAAAGAACCCCCCATTTGCCATCCCATTAATAATAACAAACACAACCAAAGGACCAATAGACTGCGACACAGGCCAGAGAATCAACATGCTTAACGCACTAAGCAACAGTGACATGAATAGCGTGTTCAGCGGACCCACGGAATCGCAGCAGAAGCCGCAGAGAAGTCGGCCAATTGCGGAGGAGAAGTTGAAGGCGGCGACCATTGCGGCGCCGACGCTGGAGTTCATCCCCATTGCGTTGGTGTAGAGGGGGAGGTAGAATGCTGGAACGAGGAGGGGAAAGGTTGCGATTGCGCTGGCGATGAAGAGGAGGATGAAGCGGATGTCGCGGAATAGGCGCCTGGAGGTTTAGTATCTGTGAGTCTGTCTGATTGGAATGACATACCACTCGACGAACTTTGTTGGAGGGATTGGAACTCGTTGTTGAATCAAGTATGCTGCTGGCAGGCCCGTAGCTAGCGTGATGAAACCAAGGATTCTGAACGTCCATGCTGTGCCTAGGCTATTGAGCAATGCGTTGAGGATGAAGCTTATCACAGCGCCTCCGAGGCCTCCGGCAGCGTAGACGATACCGTTTGCAATGCCGCGTTTAGTTTTGAAGTATTGCGCTGGAATCACAGAGACGACCATGAAACAGACGCTATGCCGTTAGCTGACGCACAAGGAAATATCAGGTTTGCCCGTACCTAATTCCAATTCCCATGACAACACCTGCTGTTACAAAAAGACCGCCAATATTCTGAAATGAAAACCCACTTAGTATCTCCCCCAGCCCCAGACAGAATATTCCAAAGAGACCAGCAACCCGTGTCCCAACGATGCGAATGACACGAGCATTGATAATCCCCAGAAACGAAATACAAGCCGGTGCTAAAGAGCCTACAAACGACAAAGTAGATGACGACGACACTCCCTCTTTGACTAGAGCAGCTTGGAGAACTCCCCAGCAATATGCTGTTCCAGTAACCCACCAAGTGACCATTGCGCACCCGGAGATGACAATCCAGCCATTACCTCCATCTGGGACTTGTGAGTCTGCGAGGAGGGATGCCTGCATGGCATTGTCTGAAGGGGGCGCTGTAGTGGGTGCTGGTGCCTTTAACTGTCTCTCTTGACCTGGATTGTCTTGTAATTCGACGGCCGTCGATGTTTGCTGTGTAGATGCCATTGCGTAGCGGGTTCAGTCGAATATGAGCAAACTACTGGGAGAAGGCGGGAGGTGGAGTATCTAAATATATTCTTATTCTATATATGGTCAACGTCACTGAAGCGTACTTTTCCCTACAAACCCTCTAGATCGACGCAGTGGGTCCATGCCATAGGGCGTGCTTTATAAAGAAGCAATATACAGCCGCTGATTGGTGAACTCTTTTTTAGCTCGTCGGAAGCCTTGGCTTAGATTTAACCGGCAACCAAGCATGTACAGAGTACTTATCAGAGTACATCTCGCTGATAAGGTACACAGTATAGAAGATGCTGCTTGTGGCACATCGGGGTACTTATCCAGGTACTTCCAAAGCTACTCATACAAAGCAAGGGGAATTAGGCTGATACCACTGGCACAGAATCAGGCCTAGTTAGAACTGTCATATGTCAGTGCCACAGCAGTGTGCACCTGCAATGCGCATCACATATCTTGCATAAACAAACCAAACCTGGGTTTATTGAATGTTAAATGCCTTTGTTGTAGTGAATCCCAAAAAAGAAACCGATGTCATCTCAACGCACGTGCCGTCGGCCACTCGGAACCCGCGACCGCCTCCCATTCCGATCACCTGCGATTTGACGGATTTCTTTGCAACCCAACCCCCCAGCATCACCTGCTGGTGTATCCATCTTCTTATCTCTTCTACTCTCATTGCATCTCTTTAACCGTCGACTACTCTGTTATTCTGTGTATCTTCCATCCCGTACATACTCTACGACCCGCATCGCCTCCCTTTGGCTGCGTCCATTCATTCTTTCGATTTCGGCACTTTTGCGACTATCAACGTCAGGCATCATAAATGGGAATTTGCGCTTCTTGTTTGGGTCAGGGTCGTCGTGACCCCAACGATGTAAGTTTCCATTTTGTGCGCCGTTTGGGACGAGCGTTGTTTTCGCTCTCCCCTCTCCACAGGGTGTTAAGCAGGAGGCTAACATGAGTTGAAATAGTACGAATCCACCCGCCTCCTAGATGATGACATCTACCAATCCGGTTACGGCTACGGCGCCCTCAACCATGCGAACCAAATGAACCACCCGGATCCAGAGTCCATCAAGCGCGAACGAGAAGCTCTCGAAGCCATCTGCCAACGAACCTCCGAGTGCGTCTTTACCTATAATCATCCTATTACACCCCACACTAACATCCAATAGATCCGTTATCGACATTTGGTCCCTCCAACCTCAACCTCACCTCCAACCCCGCGCAACCATTCCTCGCTCGAATTCAGGATCCCGAGAAGGCGCCGCCAACGATGACCCGCCTATCGTTGTAACCGCTCCCTCCGCTGCGTCGTCGAATACCGCTTCCGATAGTGGTACAAGTGCTATACCGAAACACTGGGGCGAGGTCGTTATTAATCCGAAAAAGGATCGCGGAGCGAAAGCAGGTGGGAAGAATGGGCGTGATGTTTTTGGTGTTTTGCAGGTTTCGTGAGGGCCGTCGCAAATATCTCTGGTGGACTCCAGGTGCCTTACTCCAGGTGCCTTGATACTGAATGATGACTCTACATGACAGGTCTTTTGATCTCAGCTCGCATCGGTTTATTGGCGCCTCTGGAAGCTCCTCTCTTCTCTCGTTTCGTCTATCGTGGGTCGCCGGTCGACAGATCCCTTTTCTTTGTCTTTTTTTATTCCTCCTTTACAGCGATGTCATAATACCCCCTTCCCTTCTACTTTTTTGGCCGTTGGCACATTTATTTCCTTGTGTTTGTGTTTTCGCATGTACGTCTCTTTACTGTTGTCAGACTGCATCCTTCGTTAATTTTTCCCCTTGTTCTGAGTGGACGTCAGACCATTTGCATTGTGCATTAGATAGAGTACATGACAATCGTTTATTTTTCTCCTTACAAGATGATACTGAAAAAAAAAAAAAAAAAATACTGCAAACTGGGATGCTATTCTATATTCCATGCCAAGTGGACAGAATCATGGTAGAACCTGAAGCATAAACCACAATGCGTACTTATATGCTAAAACATCTGCAAATGTCAAGCAAAAACAGTGTCAAATTAAAACAATATAAAAACGACGGTGGAGTCAACAAAATCCGAGAGATGAGCTTGTCCAATCCGAGACTCCATTTCCACGACCGCCGTAGTTCAGATGCGCCAGGTACATATATGTCAAAAAACTCCACCTCGAAGTAACGCCAGCTCGATTCCGATAGACATAGACGAAGTGCATAGATTGGGGGGAATATGATGATGAGGATGCAGTATACAAGAGGCCAGGTTATCAAAAAAGAAAGAAAAGAGAAGTTGGCTAGACGTCGTCCATTGTGCCGGCGGGCTCTTCGCCGCCGGATTCGTAGCTGCCGGCGGAGCTTAGCTCATCTTCGGACTCGGTGTCTTCTTCGGCATCATCGACAGCGTCTTTGCTGGCGTATTTTGCCACATATTCTATTGCTGTAAGCATATACCTCAGGAAAAAAGTGGATGGCATGACATACCCTTCACCTTAGCCTCATAAGTCTTGGGTTCCCTCATCAACATCGCAGCAGCTTCACCGTTTAAAGGATCGGCAGGGTTCGGATAACGCAAGAGTTGCGGAACGAAGACTTCGAAAATATTTATCATGTCGTACATAGGCGACCAAGTTTGGTTAATCACGTCCAAGCAAACCGATCCGGAACTAAGCGCAAGTTAGCATAATCCAGCAAAAGTCGGTCAAGGGACTTGTCTTACAGCTCGTCAATATTCGGATGGAAAATCCGGTTAACGAAACCGATACTTGGACTCTTGTACGGGTATTGGTCGGGTAGTTCGACGTGGACCTTCCAGTGACCGCCGGCGAAGGGTGCTGTGGTTGTTAGTGAAAGATAAGTTTGGAGTTGCGCAATACGTACTCTCATCCGGGCCTTTGATGCGCACGTAGAATTCTTGCCTGCGCCAATATTAATATCCTCCCGTCTGACTTGCGCATTGAGCGCGGGGTATGGGACGTACACTGTGTTGATTAGCACTTGTAATGAATGGTAGCAATCACCAGCGGAACTCACTATTATCATTAACCAAAGTCACCTCATAGTCACTCATCAACCTGGACAGTGTCAGTACAATATCCCATCTCATATTATCTTCCCGAGGTCTGGGTCATTCGACAAGGGCCGTCGCGGGGGAGGGGTCGCCGTCGGGCATCGGGGGAAGCGCATACATCCTGTGCAAAGGTCAGCCATTATTTCTGCAAGAGTACAGTCGGAACAGTGAAATCGCATACTTCATAACCTATAAAATAGAGAAAAAAGCACTCAGGTCAGCCCATTCTGCTCCGGCCATAAGTCCGGGTATATTCCGGTCACTCACATCCGTCTCGATTCTTCGCTTTGGGCTGCTCATTTTGAAGTCGTAGAGTGAACCAAAAGAAGCTGTATATCAGAAAGGTACAGTGACTGCAAAATATCCAAAGTGTCTTTATCCGAGGTCGTGTTATCGTTCCCCCAAGGTGAAAGGATGAAGTGGGGAGAAGGGAAAGGAACTGCGGGGGAGGAGGGAATCCGGTTTGGAGTGGAAGGTCAGGGTGAAGATAAGAAAGGAAGGCCCGGTAGGGTCAGAGGGGTGTATAGAAAGAAACGAGAAAGCAGAAAAGAGAATTAGAGTAGGGCAGCTAAATGAGATGAAGTGGTGAGGTGGTGAGGTGAGGCGGGCATGATAGTAACGATGATGGATGCCGTTTTGGGATTAGTTCGGGCAGAGAGTCAGGTGGCTGCGCTGACTCAGCGCTTAAGAATTGGAGCAGATACAGAACAAGACAGTAAAAGAGGAGAAATTAAAGGAGAATTAAATGCTAATATGCCCCTGGAAAGTATGTTGTAGTGCAAATTAAGTTGTGTTGCTACCTAACGAACTAAGCGTGCGGGATTCTTCCATAGTCCGCTACAAAATACGGACTACTCCTCTCCATACTGTCCATTATCCTCCTTTCGAGAGAATCCAGACGCAAATGATTGATGTGCTGGCAATTGCCTACTGATTTTGGCTGTATGCGTGCTTGGTAGCGATGTTGTGATGCTGCATGTGACCTCATTAGACCCTTCAATCCAACGATCATCACACATACATCGCCTATCCACTGCTTCCACGCGGTCATCTAAATTTCACCTTTCCTTGCCGCAATACTCCACAACGACTTTGAATATCAGAACACTATGGACCCCTCCTCCTCCTCCCCAGACCGTTCCGCTCGCGCCTCCCCATCCTCCTCAAACGCCAACCCCAGCACCTCCACGCTAAGCCATCGACCAGCCGGTCGACGACAAGCAGACTCACCCGGAAGCAGAACCAGCAGCAACAATAATAACATACCGATTCCGGATGAAGAACATGGTGCCGATATGCCCATGACCATGTCTGCGTCCGTGGTACTGACTAGTCTGCCTCGTGATGCGCATCAGGCGTTGGCGGATGCGGAGAATATTGATACGGGGAAGGGTATGCCTCGCATTTTTTTAGAGCGGAAAATGTCAAAAAGAATTGTGCTAATTTTGACAGTCACGGTTCGCTTTCAGCCTCTGCCGTCAGCGCCTATTCTGAAGAACCGGGTATTTAAGATTAGTGCTTCGCAGAAGTTTGAGACGGTTGTTAAGTTTTTGAGGAAGAAGTTGGACTGCAAAGATACGGATTCGGTGTTTTGTTATGTTAACAGTGTGTTTGCGCCTGGGTTGGATGAGGGTGTTGGTGGGTTATGGAGGGTATGTCTTGAGCTATGATCTATCGAAGAAAGAGTGCTAATGTCTATAGTGTTTCAAAACGGATGAACAGCTGATTGTTGCGTATTCCATGACGCCTGCGTTCGGTTAAATAGCTATCGACAAATTTGACGATTAATGAGATACATGCTGCGTCGGGTGAACCGACCGCCGATAATACTATGCTAAATACATTCATGGCAATGATGTTACAAAACGAAGAAAAACAAGACCGATATGCAATTATTCGGAGCCAGCCTGATCAACGGCCTTTTCAAACTCCGCAAGTTCCTCCGGCGAAATGGGATAGGTGTATTCCTGCGACGGAAACGCTCGACTTTTGACCTCCTCCTTGTACTGCTGAATACCCTTAAGTGCCTCGCCCCACACATCAGCATACGTCTTGACGAACTTGGGAAGAAACCTCCCCGGTGGGAAGTTGCCAGTCATGTCAATCTGAACGAGAACCTGTCCCGAACATTCTTTCCCAGCACCGATACCAATCGTTGGAACTTTCAGTTTCTTAGTGACAATGGCCGCAACCTCAGCAGGAACCGCCTCGACAATCATTCCAAAAGCACCAGCTTCTTGCACGGCAATGGCATCTTTCAGCACTTTCAACGCACTGACCGTCGATTTGCCTTGAACCCGGAATCCACCGAGAGCATTCTGACGCTGAGGCGTGAGGCCAACGTGACCCAAGACAGGGATACCAGCTTGTGTGATGCGCTTGATTGTCGGAGCCATATCCTCCCCGCCTTCAAGCTTGATTCCCTGCACACGACCCTCTTTCACAACACGGATAGCAGACTGCAGCGCCTGCTCGGGGGAAATCTCATAAGAGCCCATTGGGAGATCACCAACCTGCCATCGTCAACATTGCTACATTTACCTCAAACCACTGATCGCAAGGTAACTCACAGTAAATGCACTCTTCGCTGCCCTCGACACACTCTTACAATGCAACAACATCTCCTCCAACACAACCTCACTCGTATCCTCCATCCCCAACGCAACCATCGCCAAACTATCCCCCACAAGAACGATATCTACCCCCGCAACCTCGGCGATATGTCCACTGGGAAAGTCATGCGCCGTGAGCACGGAGATCGGCTCGTTCTTCTTGTAGAGGTTGCGGAGGGTTTGCAGGGTTACTTTTTTGCGCGGGTTGCTGGGGGTTGAGCTCATGGGGGAGTGGGAGCTGTGGCGTGTGATTGTGGTTGGGGTTGCGGTTGGGGTATAGCATGGGTGTGTGAAGGTGGTGAGTAGTGGTGTTGTCCTGGTTATAAGTAACGGTACCCGGGGTCTGAGAGACCACAGGGAATGGCTGAGAGCTGTTCGGGATACCATTATGTGAAATAGATAATATAGGTGATCAAATAGAAACAATGATACCGTATGCTCGGCAGTATGTAGACCACGCGACAAACGTCCGAATGCGGTATAATGTCGTCACAGATCCAGCAAATGGATAAGATAATGCAGGATTTTCCAGTACAGATTTTTAAAATCAAACAACAAGGCGTCCCTAGTTTATCTCAATTCCAATCCCCTCCGCAAACCGACTCAGGGGAACTTCTTTCTTTATTAACTACCGACGTGCTGGTATATGCTGCGTAGTCCCGAGCATCGGCGTCCATTTTCTTTGTCACTCTTCCCTTTCGTTTGGTGACTATCTTTTTCTGCCGGTTTTTGGTTGGGCGGTAGGCGGATGGGCTAGTTTTTGTGCCGAGGATGTGTGCTTGTTTTCTCCGCCGGCGAGTGATTATTCCGGTCCGATCGATGGCATTTTGGGGTTAACTACCACATTCTAATATCAAGTCAACTGGACGAAGAAGGATATGGTACGGATTCAAAACAACCGCCAGAACAAAGTATGAAAAGATAACAGGCGGTGAAACTTTGCTCAACAAAAGTGCCGGACTTTTTGTTTGACCAGGGATGGTCCCATAAACGCAGAGCTTATTTGCGTGCATCCATCCCGGTTACATTAAGTCCGGGCAAACGCCTAGCGTGCACTGCGGGACCGGTCGAGCGTCGTGCAGATTCGAGATTCTGTATACGATAAAGGTACGGACTGGGCAGCGGATTGGGAGGAAGGAGGTGAAGAATGTGCAGGCTGCTATGGTTAAGATGACGCCGCTGAGGCCGTTTTGTGTTGAGACTTTTTTTCTGATTATCCTGCGCTTAGGAGGACTTTTGCTGTGGGGTCTGTGAAGTGTGTTAAGAAATGCTCAGTTGAATGGGGATGTGTATGTTTGCTTGTAGATAGATTTCTGTTACTACGTACATTTGTATTGACTAACCTATGCTAATCGAAGCCTTTGTTTTGAGCATATAAACTAGCCACCCCTAATATGCAACTCCACTATAACCACCATCCATGTAAAGAGAAGATATAATAAAAAGGAAAAGGAAAAGAGAGTTAAAAGACAGTACAGGGTTAGATTCATCCCTGTATGTCTCACCAAAAAAAAAAAAAAAAAAAAAAAAAAAAAAAAAAAAAGGAACAGAAAAGAGATAAGCTCCTCCCCAGGTCCTTCCGGGTATGTATGCCAACTGAAAACACAATGCATCGGATAATGCAACATGACCGTGAGCCAGCAACCACCTCACTGCAGGGGTTTGGAGGCTCATACGGCCACAAAAAACAAAACAAGACAAATGATATCCCAAAGACACCGGCTTCGTAAGATGCAAAGGTGAATATCAAATATGAATCAACAAAAATGCGGTCGAAGAAAGAAGTGAACAATGACGGGAGGATAAACTTGGTCCACATCTCGAGATATGCCAGTCCAGATAATGATGGATGATGAGTGCCAATGAGGATGTAAAATACTCTCACACTCATCTTGTCCCGTTGGAGGTGCAAATAGTGCCACCATCGGAGTCGAGGAACACGGCTGTCAAACGAGACGGAACCTCGCTATGGGTAGTTCGTAAAAATCCGTGGATAAAAAAGTGCATATCACTGAAACCTAAATATGTTCGTCCATATACTCATCCTTTACTGGCCTCTCTAACTCGAAAAGCAAGTCGTCCAATTCAACCCAGTTCGACGTGGTCAGCGCAAATCTGCGGTGCTTCCGCGTTTGAGTATGCTAGAACGATGCAATCAGTAACACGCTCGATGACCATCATACTGCAGACTTACCTTCTCAAAGTCATCGAACTTGTCTCTGCAGTTCTCACAGTACCCCGGCTTAGGATCCCTTGGCCTCTCCTTCTTTTGGAGACTATCCTTTCGATCTCGAGACTGTTTCTTTATCGCTTCAGGCTGGGTCGTGTCAGGCTTTTCCTGCGGGTTGGCTTTTCCTGGTCGCTGGTTCTGGTTCATTTTCCACGCGGCATCCGCAGCACCGTGAGGGACTGCACCAGAAAGTCCGTTGCCTTTCTCGAGTACTTTTCTCTTGAGTTCGTGGACTTCCTTGCTCAGACCGGCCTTGGCTCCAGGGGCAGCAGCAGCAGAAGACACCATTTGTGACCGGATAGCGGAAGTGATATTTGACGGCTGCATGCCGGAGGCCGCAGGTTCACGGCCAAGGAAAAACGGCCCGTTGCGCGGCATCTGCGGAGGGATCAAACTTTCTGAGCTCTTCCTTGGAGGTGACCCTAGCCTTGGTGGCACCATATCCCGCATTTCTGGTTGGTGTGGGGGAGCAGCTTCTTGCTCGTCCTTGGGCTTATGTTCATTGCTAGCAACGACATCAGCAGGTTCTTGTGGCACGGTGTCTTCCCGGACAGCGAATTCTTGGTCTCTGTTTTCCTGAGCCGGAGCCGGCTTAGGAGCCACCTTCTTCTCCTTTGCATGTTGACGTATCCGTTGCCGATCCATCTCCTTCTTCGTCGGAGGCTCATCAATAAAGGGACACTTTCCCAGTGGTGCGCTTCGGAATTGAGGCCAGACGCCATCCTGCCGCCGTGCTGCCTTGGCGTATTCCCGGACCATCACCGGGCGCGTCTTTTCGTTCATATCGTGGACGTAGATGAATGGCCCCTTGAACATCACAAGCTCCTTTAACGAAGATAGATGGTCCCGATCCGAAGGCCCGTTGACAAGTTCATTCCGTAGAACTTGCGAGAGATCGTTTTCCCTTCCTCGAACGTGATTCCCACCAGCGCCGTTGTTACGATTCGAAGGGTCATGGCCACTGATATCCGGATCGTTGATAGTGGCAATCATACGCTGTAGCTTTTCGAGAGCCCATATCTTCATTCCCATCTGGCGAGCTCTGTGCAGAACATCCATGTTCATCTGCTCACGTCGCGCATCATTCTTAAGGGAGGTATGAACATGCATCTCAGGATTTCTCTCAAGGAGGGATGGATTTACCGTTTGCAAAGAACCATCACCACCAGATGTGTGGTCCACGGAAGCTCTGCTATTCTCTGGAGGATTGATCGCAGATTCCGGCGGGATTGGACGAGAGGTCACGACGTGGGTTACTAGACGCGAGAAGAATTTCTCTTCGCGCTGTAGCCATCAGCATTGAACCACGCAGTGCACACAACAAAATTAGAGTATGCAACTCACCGCTCCCAAAGCATTGACCTGCCTCGAGCATCTTCCCCGAACATCTTCAGGAATGCTATCAAAGTAAAAAACAAAGGTCGGAAAGGCTTTCCGGTAATGCCTCTGCCACTGGCGGATCGTATCAATAGTTTCTGCAGACGGCTTCTCGTTCCTAACTGGCTTCGTAGCAGTCTGTCGATCCTTTTCCCGTGCAGCATACAACTTTCGCTCGAACGCGCTTGGTTGGGCATTATTCGACCGACGCGAAAAGATCCTCGAGTCTCCCGGCTGTTGATGAGCCGTAGACCTCGCTCGGGTTGGAGACCGTACTTCCTGCTCCACACCATCAATCACTTGTTTCTTCGGAGGTGGTTGTCCATAAGGAATCTCGAGTTGTGTGCTGCCGGTCCTAGACCGTTTAGCGGGAACCGTACCACCCATCCGGAGTGGGGAGTTCGTGGCATTGGGGACGTTTGCAAGAGGGGGTCGGCGTGTGGACATGTTGAGGGTCGTTTGCGGTGAAGGAGGTATGGATACTGCTGCCATGGGAGGTAACGATACGCGATGCTCAGGAGGGGCCGAGAGATTCGTAACGAAAGTAGCGTTAAAACGAGTTGGTCTGAGCTGAGCACGCGACGTGCTACACGTCTGGCAGACAAGGGACAAGGTTGTTAGAGAGTTAGAGGGCCATGATACACGGTGTGGGTTAAGAAGAGGAGTAAGTAAAATAAGGCGGCGGAAAAGGGAGAGACAGGAGAGACCCGGTTGTGTCCTTCTCTCCCACCCAAATTCGAGCGTGTCGTGGTAAGAAGAGAGATTGTCTCTAGCTGTTCTGCTCTTATGAGGGTGACTTGGGAGAAACGGAGACGAGGTCAAAGGAAGAAAAGACTAAAGCGTGTAAGAACGCAGTGTGGAGCCCGGAGCGGGTTTGTTTTGGGGCCGCCCGGACGACAGAGGAATACATACACACACAAAACTTACATACACTCACCCCGCGAAGCATGAGAGCATTCTTTTCAATGGCTAGACGCGTTAAAATAATTATGATATATTATACTCCACTTTAATATGCATATAATTCTCACATTGATAATCTGTGAATTGACTTGGTTGTTCTTACAATGTTACAGTATCAAACCACGCGTCGGCGTATACTTACTTGTACGGTGACACCGCCGCAACTCGACACCTTAACCTATGGGCAAGCATACACTGTCCCGGTACGAACCTAATTGCCGTGGATACTACGCCCGAGTGTTTACCAAGCTTACCCCATCCGACTTGTTTCTGGGCTTTCTGAACAAGGAAGCACGGGCCTGTTATTGACATCATCGACTTGGAAGACCTTAAAGACGGCTCCACCTTGCCATGAGGAAGTTATACATTAGGGCTCAAATTTGTCCTAGTTTTCTTGGACACAGAAGCGCAAGTCTACCTCGATGCTTGGGGCGTTGCTTAGACCTTAAGGCGCGAAAAAGTAAATAAGTTCAACCTGGGCTCCATCGCATAGAACGTTCTGTTATACTATTTCATTCGAGCTTTGAAATGACAGGGAGCATGAATGTGGTTGAGAAAGATAACTTAGAAGATACTAGTCAAGCACCTCGTGGTCTTGAAACGACCAGAACAGATGACCACAAATAAGGCCATCCTCATCTTTCGTTTCAATTACCCACTCTCTCTTGAGCTGCCGGTTCATCTCCATGACGCCTTCATAATATTCAATGCTGACTCAACCATCTTGCCCTGTGTCGCCCAGGACAGACCGCCAATGCTCAAGTAGAATCGTTGCTTTGGACCAGTTCTCAACTTGATAGAATTTCCTTGCACCCTCTGTGTCGAATCGGACTGGGCATTGCGTACTCTGCTCCGAGTTCCCGTCCACTAGCCTGAAAAGTGCTCCCTTCCACGTAATGATATTGCCGCTCCATTGTCGGCCAGCTCTGTCTACTACATGTTGGCGAAGGGGGAAAAGCGGATATCGGAGTGCGGCAAGATGAGCTTCGTTGTCTTAGGATGTAAGGCAACAAATCACTATACTTTTGCAGTAGTTCAGCATAAATCGTATGGAATTATGAGGGAATTCGTTCCGCAGAGAATTTCCGAATTTGTGCGTCTACTCCAATTCGCGTTGACCGACGGAAAAAAGGTACTCACGATGACCTCTCCCTATTTACAGGTAGAAATTGAATACTCTCCATTCAGGAAGATTGTACACTGACAAGGTCCACGGTTCAAACCAAATAGCGCACGTTTGATACGCCAAAACATGTAGTCCGCAGAAGGGCCAATGCAAAACCGGCCCTTCTTACCACTTTAGTCTGGAAGTGCGTAAAGCACTTCCCCGAGAGACATGGTTGACGGCAACGTCATATTTTGCGGGCAAATCGGATATCCCATTCGATGAAGCAAGTGCTCAGATGCAATCTCTGACTCTGTCACACTCCCACCGAGACTCTCGAGATCGAGTCATGCCCCGGCTTTCCCCTTTGGAGACTGGCATAATTGAAGTTTTGCAAGATCGGAGTATTGCTACCATTCAATGCCTCTTCCGAGAAGTTTACTGTTCCAAATCCGTAAGTATTATGGCAATCGCGCTTCCCTTTGTTGATGAGCTCTAAAGTGGCCAAGGACCCTGTTTAGCAATCATGCATGGCTCATGCCATAGTCCTCTAATCCCCTTGGTGGATGGAAGTTGGCCGAGTGTATGACGGAGATCTATAGCACAAAACATGGCATCTACGGTTAATTACATTTCCACCTCAAAAGCACACTCTTAAAGTTCTATCAGAAGATAGCAACCCTCAATTTGAATATCCATCAGTCTCAGATGGGCGCCGGAGACTTATCTGGTAGAAACTTCCGTCAATATAGGATGAACGTTTATGATTATGGCCGAATTGAGGTGACAAGGTTTTGGAAGACACTGAGTTGACAGATTTTGCGTATGAATTAATCTCTACAATAACATACAATCTTAGTAAAATGGCCAATGCGTTTGAGTAGTAGTCCAACACAGCGGGAATTTGATTTGGCTAATCATTCTGGACATCAAGGATCAGGGCGATACGTGGAATGATGCAGAACTTGACTGAGGTCTTGTTGGGTATTTCCTTTGTTGGTAATTTGCTGATATTTAGATTGTGCAAGTTAGTTGCAGCAATCCATGAACATGTTAAGTCGATACTGTCTATAAACTGCAGCATTCCAATGCCGTCGCCCAAAAAGGAAGTCTTATTTAGTAGACTGTGATTGGATGGCTGCCGCAACAAATGGCCCCACCGGAGCTTTCCGCCGATTCGGGCCCGGCGTTATTGTTGGAGCGCATCTGGATTGACCAAGACAAAATCACCGAGTGTGCGACCCCAACGAGCATGTCACCATGCAAATCCCTGCTTCGCCAATGGCCCCGTTACTCGCCTCGCTCCTTTACTAGCACCTTGAGAACATGCTGTTCTCTGGTGCAGCGCCCTGGAATCGCCCGACTGCCCTCTCGGCGGACATACGCTTCTTCGATTTCCGCAGCCGACCTTAAATTCGGACAACCATTGCACGAGACGCACCCTCATATACTGAGCCCGGGAGAATGTATGTATAACTGTTATCCAACTATGTATGTGTTTTGGGTATTGACATTGGACCAGTGACCCCGGGAATTACAGCACTCGAATACGCCCAACGTCGCTCCAAACTCGCGAACAAGCTGCCCCAGAATGCGATTGCAGTGCTAGCGGCCTCGGAGGTTAAATACCGTGCAGCAGGCATCTTCAACGACTACCGTCAAGATTCCAACTTCTTTTATCTCACAGGTATGTCCATAGTATCAAGAAGCGGGGCAGACAGCAGACTGATTCATTGCTTCGAATAGGTTTCAACGAACCCAATGCCTTGGCTATCATTGGTAAGTCCTCACGAATAACGAAGCAAAAGATCGAATACGGAAATTTATATGGTTACAGCGAACGATGGATCTGGCGACAACCACCTCTTCCACCTCTATGTTCGGGAAAAGGATCCCAAGGCTGAACTGTGGGACGGAGCTCGATCCGGCACGCGGGCTGCTATAGATGTCTTTAACGCGGATGAAGTAAGATACAGCTGTTTCCCAGGATATAGACGGATCAAGGCTGACTGGTTTTTCGCAGTCGGGTGATATCGATCGCATTGGGGACATCTTACCAAACATTGTGTCTGGAGCCTCTGCAATCTACACGGACATTCCCGCCTTTGACCCCGGGAGATCCAGCCTGCACAAGTACCTCTATGGTCCCACAACTACATCCGAGAGGCTCAAGAAATGCGTCGACCATAGCAAGGTCAGACCATTGCGGCCACTTCTCAATGACATGAAGGTCTTCAAGAGTGAGGATGAGGTTGTCCATATGCGTCGACTTGGTCAGGCCGCAGGAAGAGCCTTTACGGAGTCTATGAGCCACGAATTTAATATGGAGAAGGACTTGGCTTCCTTCCTGGAATACAATTTCAAGGTCAATGGTTGCGACACTAGCGCTTTCGTCCCTGTCGTCGCTGGCGGAGCTGTAAGTTGATCACTCTTTTTCATACGCGGATGAAATGCTAACAGTAGCAGAATGCGCTTAGCATTCATTACACCAGAAATGATGATGTTCTGAAGTATGACTCCTGGACCACTGGTACTAAACATACAAACTGACGCTATTGCCAGTGACGGAGACTTGGTCCTCACGGACGGAGGCGGGGTGCGTAATTCTTATATTGAAATGAGAAAAATTGACCGTACTCACAAAATGACAGGAATGGGGAACATACATCAGCGATATTACAAGGACATGGCCGGTCAACGGCAAATTCTCGGGTCCCCAGCGTGATCTGTATACTGCGGTGCTTAATGTGCACCGGAGTTGCCTTGCTCTTTGCCGAGAGAGCGCAATGGTTTCTTTGGATAGGCTGCATACTATTGCTGAAAATGGCCTAAAAGACCAACTCCAGCAGCTTGGATTTGACGTAACTGGAAATGTAGGGTTTGATCTCTTGCTACCTGCCCGTTTCCTGACAATGCTAACTCATTGGTGTCAGGCTATGAACGTTTTATTTCCACACCACGTTGGGCATTATATTGGATTGGATGTCCATGACTGCCCTGGGTATCTGAGGAACTATGCCCTTAAAGCAGGCCAGTGTATCACTGTTGAACCGTAAGCTTACCCCTTCCGTCCCGCCATACGTTGTATACTCACATCTACCGCAGTGGTATCTACGTTCCGGATAGCGATAGATGGCCGGCAAAATTCCGAGGTATTGGAATCCGGATCGAAGACAGTGTGTGTGTTGGTGATGACCATCCCATTGTCTTGACTCCGGAAGCAGTCAAAGAGGTATGTTTGCTTGGCCCATAATCGTATGCTGTACTGACTGACATGTTTTAGGTCGATGACATTGAGGCTTTGCGAGCATAGACTGCCTGTAAAATACTTAGTAGATACCCTACGTATATGAATGTAAAAAACGATGGCCATATCATGAATTCTAGACATCTGTATTTCTTCCTGAAGACGCTGATGCGGATTCAGCACTGGATCATTACCACGTACAACCCAGTGTTGATCAAAAGTGGGGCGTTACGGCCAGCTTCTTGTATGGATACGAGATGTGTACCTTAGGAAGAATTAGTGTCAGAAGAAATGACTCGTAGCGCATTGTTTGATATAACGTCACCAGTTGACGGATAGATATTGAAAGCGGAGTTGGAGTCATCGCGCTGACCATTCTCCATCCCTAGAATTATAGAACTCACAGTTCTACACATATCCCCAGCTATTTGACGGCATAGACCAGAGGAGATAGTCTGCCCGCCATGGCCTCTTCAGTAATCCCAGCAGCCGACCTCCAGTCCTTCACAACATACCTGAAAGGATGCAAGCGAATCATGGCTCTCCTGGGGGCAGGAATCTCGGCTTCGTCTGGCCTTCCCACCTTCAGAGGCGCAGGAGGACTCTGGCGATCCTACGACGCGACAGATCTGGCGACACCGGAAGCTTTCGAGGGTAATCCGGACCTGGTGTGGCAGTTCTATGGGTTTAGGAGGCATATGGCTCTCAAGGCGAAGCCGAACCGCGCGCATTACGCACTGGCGGATCTGGCGAGGAAGAACAAGGACTTTATTACTCTGTCGCAGAACGTTGATGGTGCGTTTGGGATACTTTTTGCGATATTGACTATTGCTGACGGGTGGTTGGTTTACTAGGACTATCCCAACGCGCGAACCATCCACCGGAACAGCTACACCTCCTCCATGGCTCCCTCTTTACGATAAAATGCACCTCCTTCTACTGCAACTATGTCTCCGAGAACAACTTCACAGACCCTGTCGTCCCTGCCCTTGCAATCCCCAGAAACAGACCAGAGCCCATTCCCTCCACAGAAGACAAAACCGGCATAGAAGCAGCCCAAGCATTACAAAACACAATGGGCCTCGAAGACTCCGACGATGACCTCGATATCTCCGACGAACAAGTCCCACTCCCCGCATTACCAATCGAGGCCCTCCCGCACTGCCCAAAATGCAAAGAAGGCCTCCTCCGCCCGGGCGTGGTATGGTTCGGCGAACCTTTGCCGACGCAAGTTTTCGGCAAGGTGGATGAGTTTCTTAAGGCGGGGCCTGTAGATCTCATTCTGGTTATTGGGACTAGTTCGAAGGTTTACCCGGCGGCGGGGTACGTGGATGAGGCTCGGGCGAAGGGGGCCAGGGTCGCAGTTGTTAATATGGATAGTAATGATGTCGGGAGGTCGGGGCTGAAGAAGGGCGATTGGCTTTTTCAGGGGGATGCGGGCGTTATTGTTCCGGAGATTTTGGGGTCTGAGGATAGCGTTGAATCGGCGCAATGATCAGGCGTTAGTGGTTTTAGAGTACTCCATAATTTAGAGTAATTATTGAGATGTCTATGCTTTTTTTCAGAACGATACAAGAAGAATTGGTTCCATTGTTATTCTTTTTGTCTGGTGAACAACATGGACAACAGGAAATGCAACTATTTCAGCCTCAGGCAATAATGGTTGCCAGGGCAAAGTTCCCCCGCCCCAAACAAAGCAAAAGACTCGATTAGATCCGGACTTTTCCAGCAACACGACACGACATTCGACAATTCGACATCTTTGCCATAATCGCTTGTTCTGAGATGACTGAGAGGTAAGTTATCACAATTCATATCCAAAAGGTACGTACGAACTTGAAATGAGCATCATCTATTGATTGGAGACGATAAGTTTGGATTTAGCATGCTAACAATTTGTCCCTCCTAGTTCGACGATCACGATACGATAGAAACAACGACTGCAAAGACACAAGACTAACTTGACTTACGAACCCATTCCTCGACTTACAGTGACCGTGCAGAATTTCCGAAGAGGTTGAAACCCCGCACATGCACCTTTTCCCTTGATCGATACAAAGTACCTTGACCCCGCGATATCGCCCAAGTCTGCACAACCACAACATCTACACAACAACAACATCGTCTTGAGACACCATGGCGAAAGAAAGTGACGCACCTCAGTTGCCCTTGACGCCTCGAAAGGCCAACGAGCAGTCCCAGGGCTTATCGCACCACCCAGAATTCGGAAAACCCTCGCCCCTCCGCCCTGTTCAACACCAACGCCCAGTCCAACGCCCATCTCACCCCAGTAACCCATTCAATATCCCGAAACCGAACCAGGTGAGAGCGGAACATCATCGAGCTCCCCAACCGCGACCACAACCACAACCGCAATACCCCGCACCTAGTCAGGCCTATCGTCCGCCTACGACGCCTGGTGCTGGTGTTGCTGCGACACCAAGACGTAACGAGTCATTCGATCCGTTTAAGCCCGTCAGACCTTCGGCTTACAATAACAACCGATTCTCTCGTCCCGCTGATAGTGGCGCTTTTGAAATCAAGCGTCCTGAAAATGTCACCTTCGGCACCCCACGCGCCCCGAAGACGTTTTTCACATCGAAGCCGTCGGCAGTGAAAGTGAACAATGCATCGAAGAATCTTAAGAATTTCGTCGATTTGACGGGCGAGGGTGGTTTTACGCCTAGCGCGGGTTCGCGGAATAACGTTGGATTTGGTTCGTATGGAGTGGACGACTACGTGGATACGGCGAAGGCGAACGAGAACATCCAGGCTCTGTTACAGGGTGCTTTTGATGAAGATGAAGATGAAAAGCAACAAGCCAAGAAGAACAAGAAAAAGAACAAGAATAAGAAGAGGAAACAAAAGCAGAGGGAGAGTAAGAAGAAGCAGGATGATTCCCAGGATGCTTCTCAAGATGCCTCTGAGCTTGATGATCTGGCTGCTCAGTTGGAGGGTATTACCGTCAAGGAACCTAAGTCTACGGAACACGACGAGGATGAGAAGAAGGCGAAGGCCATCAAGTCTCCAGCGATCGATAGTGATACTGAGGAAGCAAGCGATGACGAATCTGAATCGAAGGCCGGCAGAGCCTCTGTAGACACTGAATATGAGGACAAAGAGGTAGTCTCCGACGAAGAAGAGGAAGACGAAGCGGAAAAAGAGGAAGAGGAAGAAGAGGGAGAGGAAGAAGAGGGAGAGGAGGAAGAGGAGGAAGAGGAGGAAGAGGATGATGGAACCGTCGAGGGCTTGAATGTCAAACTGCTGCCTCACCAGCGAGATGGTGTGAGCTGGATGCGCGATAAAGAACTCGGCAGGGGCAAAGGAACGGTCCCCAAAGGCGGCATCCTTGCAGATGATATGGGTCTCGGAAAGACGGTTCAAACCATCGCCTTGCTGCTCACTAACACCAAACCTGAGAGTGGAAAGGTCAAAAAAAATTATGATTCTGATGATGAATCTGATGAGGAAGAGAAACCGAGAAAATTGCCTCCTGGTCTGAGCAAGTCCACCCTTGTAGTCGCCCCATTGGCACTTATTAAACAATGGGAGGGAGAAATCGCATCCAAGGTTGAGAATACCCACAAGCTTCGCGTGTGCGTCTACCACGGCAACACCCGAGCCAAGGCAACCGATAACCTGGAAGACTACGACGTGGTCATCACCACCTACGGCACTCTGACTTCCGAACATGGGAAAGGCGGCAAGTCGGGCATCTTCTCTGTCTACTGGTACCGCATCATCCTGGACGAAGCCCACACCATCAAGAACCGAAACGCCAAGGCCACCCAAGCCGCATGCGCACTGGACGCAGAGTACCGCTGGTGTCTTAGTGGAACGCCCATGCAGAACAACCTTGACGAGCTGCAGAGTCTCATCAAGTTCCTCCGCATCAAACCTTATAATGACTTGGCCGCCTGGAAGGAGCAGATTGGAAGGCCAATTGCCAATGGTCGCGGACAGCTTGCGATCGAACGCTTGCAGATCTTCCTGAAAGCATTCATGAAGCGACGTACCAAGGATGTCCTCAAGCTCAACGACAACCTCAAGCCAGGCGAAGATGGCGGTGAAAAGAAGCAAAAGTCCTCTGGATTCCAGATCACCAAGCGAGAAGTCATCAAGGTGGCGGCAGAGTTCATGCCGGGTGAGATGAACTTCTACAAGCGTCTCGAACAGCGTACCGAGAACAGTCTTGAGAAGATGATGGGCGATAGTAAGGTCGACTATGCTGGTGCTTTGGTTTTGCTGCTGCGTCTTCGTCAGTCGTGCAACCATCCTGATTTGGTGAAGAGCGATCTTGCCAAAGACAAGGACATCTTGCTGCAGACTGGTCCTTCTGAGAAGAAATCGTCGCATGGGAAGAATGACGATTTAGACAGCGTGGCTGATCTGTTTGGTGCGCTCAGTGTTGTCACGAAGAAGTGCGACGTTTGTCAAACGGAATTGAGCAAGGAGGAAGCCAGCAGTGGCATCAGCCGGTGCGGCGAATGCGAGAGCGATTTGAAAGCTACGCTTGGTGACAAAGAGATGAGCCATAAAAAGAGGAAGTCCAAGAAGGTAGATGCTGTGGATCTCACGGACTCGCCTTCTGCCAGTCGCCAGGCTGCTCGTGCCCGTCGGAACAGAAAGATTGTCGTGGATAGTGATGACGAGGACGAGGAAGACGGCGATTGGGTTGTTCCCAAGGCTCAGCGCGGAGTGAAGAACTTCGGGAAGGCCGGTGGTAGTGATGATGAAGATGCAGAGGGAGGCGGCGAATGGCTTGGCTCTGAAGACGAAGACTCCGACAGCGATGATGAAGGACCGGAATCACCTACCAAGAACCACACGAGATCTGTCACTCCCCAGATTCAGAGTTCCGAGTCGGAGTCCGATGATGATATTTATCTGAGTGCGGGCGATGATGAGGATGGCGACAAGAGAATCCTTCCGTCAACCAAAATTCGACACCTCATGAAGATTCTGTCGCGTGAAGCACCGGATTTTAAGTTCATCGTGTTCTCGTGCTTCACGTCGATGCTGGACAAGATCGAGCCGTTCCTGAACCGAGCAGGCATCGGATATGCGCGATACGACGGTAGCATGAGGAATGATCATCGTGAGGCGAGTCTGAACAAGCTGCGCAGCAACAGTGGAACCCGCGTATTGCTTTGCAGTTTGCGGGCTGGTGCTTTGGGACTGAACCTAACGGCGGCTAGTCGCGTTGTGATTCTGGAGCCATTCTGGAACCCGGTAAGTTAATGTGGTTTGTTTGTTGCCATGAATACATCACGCTAACATATGTCCAGTTTGTGGAAGAGCAAGCGATCGACCGTGTGCACCGACTCAACCAAACGCTCGACGTGAAAATCTACAAAATGATCGTCAAAGACACTGTCGAAGAACGAATTCTAGACTTGCAAGACCGCAAACGCGAACTCGCCAACCTCACGATCGAAGGCAAGACCGCAGCAGCCAAGCTGACGATGACGGATATGATGGCGCTGTTTGGTCGAGATGCTGAGTCGCGGTATGCAGGAAAACAGGGGGACCTGGACCTGAAACAGCCGGCGGTACTGGTGCAGGCGACGGACGAGACTGGTGGAATGCGGACGATGGGATCGAATAACACGCGGGACCGTGAGCGCCCGCAGACGAAACGAGTGCCTGCTCGTGAGGAAAATTCAGTGTATGGACGAAGGTGGTAGACATAATTTGACGAATGTGGCGTTTAGAATGTGATCAAGGATATACATGGTTGGCTGGATCTATTTTCAGGATGGGGATAACGAATTGATCAACTACACTACGAATCTGACAGCCCAAGAATCTGGTGCAACTGAGTCAGTCATTCCGTAGACCCCTAGCCAGTAACTCGGGGGGAAGCCAATTGGGTTTACACTATGGACGAAGATCGGATTCGCAATGAAACGGCCAATTGATGGATCAGAAGATAGTATTAAGATCGGCTGGAGGTGCAGGCTAGTGTTATGTAGGAGGACAGAGTGTCAATGGCAGGAGAGAGACGATAGATCATATTTGCGCCATGTTGCATGCATAGAGGCGTTCTAGAAGGAACACGGAGGATTCGTTTGTTGTTGTACGGCGTACGGATATGCTTGTATGCATAATAGAATTCTGTAGCGTGTTCTGGGTGCGGATAAGGGATGCTGAATTCGGTAGCTGATCCGGGATATTGGCTCAGCGGATGGGGCCCTTCGGTAGTTAATCTGGAGGAAGTTTGTTCTTATTCAGTATAACATTCAATATTATATTTAGTATTATCATGGGGATATGGTTGTAGGGGATGCACATGGCGGCCATGAGAAGGATCAAAGTGACAGGTACAATAATACGCAAACATGCCTGCATATAACAGCGCTTGTTATTGAACGATGTGCAGTCAAAAAAGTTAGCAGAATTATGCTCTAATACCTCCGAGGAGTTACGGAGTATACGAGGCCCTACGCAGTCCTGGGGGATTTGATAGTTCCACATCTCCTTTTTCGTGGTCTCCGCTGTCTCCCTATTACTGTATCACCACTAAGTGAACTGCTACCACTGATTTGGCTCTTCAGGCTCAGCGGAAATCCCCCGATCTCTTTAGTTCGCCCTGGTTTCCCTTTGCATACTTTGAATTCAGTGACTTTAACGGAGCACTGGAGATTCGGTTTTAGTACTAGCACCACTATTCTGTCACCGAGGAAAAGCTGCTTTAACTCGTGGCCCGTGTTGCTGCTCCGTCCGCCAACCGTTCTGGTTTAGGGGGTTGTCTCTGTTTCTCTCCTTCTCTTTGGTTGTCCTTCTTACACTCTCTCTACTCTATCCCCTATATTCTACATTCACCATTCCGTCTCTTTTGTTTCACTTCCCAACTGAACGATTTGAATCGCTTCTCATTCTCGCTCTTCTTGGCGTGGTAAGTTCATTATCTGCATCCCGCCGCGACTCCAAAAGACTGCATTGTTCCTTCAGCCCCTCTCTTTCAGCACTCTATTATTATAAAACGCACTATATTTTCCCTGCTAACTTCAAACGGAGCAAGCAGTTCTGCCATCGTTCGTTCTCTCGTTCGGGGTCTTGCTGGACGGGCCCATCCTATTTCTCTCCTTCGCTCTCTCCATGACATCTTTCGTCCTTTGTTGATCGATCTATTTTGCCTCCATTACTACTCTCCTTTCTCCTTTACTTCTACACACTCTCCTACATCGCCGTTTCCCGAATCGCAACGGGAATTTCTGCAAATAACTCAAGTCGTACAGAGTGGGATGCTGTCGGAGCACCTGCAGCTGATTTCTTCCTACTCGGATCTTTTTCACATCTGCTCCAATGGGAAATTCGCAAGGGAAACAGGTGGCTAACACCAATGAGGGTGCGTTTGTCTCCTAGGATTTGCGACCGATTATGTCAAAATGCTGACAGGGTCTAGTCAACCTCAATCAATTCCGCCTTCTGCGGGTGGTAGGAAAGGGTGCTTTTGGAAAGGTCCGCATCGTCGAGAAGAAAGACACCGGCTTGACATTTGCTTTGAAATATATTCGAAAAGAAGAAGGTGCGTTTTTTTTTTTTTTTTTTTTTTTTTTTTTTTTTTTTTTTTTTTTTTTTTTTTTTTTCAATCTCTCCCTTTCTCGATGCTCTTCGTTGGTTCTGATGCTAATAACATGGCCTCAGTGATCAAATCAGAAAGCGTACGGAATATCATTCGTGAACGTCGAATGCTCGAACACCTCAATCACCCATTCCTGTGCAACCTGCGATATAGTTTCCAGGATATTGAATACATGTGCGTTTCGGATCCCTCCCTCCTCTCGAGTCGCATGCTGATTTTCGGAGATACATTGTGGTGGATTTGATGAACGGTGGTGACCTGCGGTTCCATATCTCGAGGAAATGCTTCACGGAAGATGCTATTCGATTCTGGATTGCAGAGCTGGGCTGCGCGCTCAAATATATCCATTCGCAGGGCATCATTCATCGCGATGTCAAACCGGATAATGTTCTGTTGGACTCGGAGGGGCATGTTCACTTGGCAGATTTTGTATGTGACTGCATCCCTTGGTGAAGAGGATTATAGCTGACCTTTTAGAACGTCGCATCGGATTTCCGACCCGGCAAGCCTCTGACAAGCAAGTCGGGCACGCTGGCATACCTTGCCCCGGAAGTGTATGAGGGTGGCGGATACTATGCTGAAGTCGACTGGTGGTCTCTTGGTGTTTGCTTTTACGAATGCGTCTACAGCAAGGTTCGCAGCTCCCCCATCGTTTGGGGAACAGGTACTGACTGCAGCAGCGACCATTCGAGGGCCGTACTCAAGATGCGCTTAGTGAATCGATCAGAAAGGTCTCGCCGAAATACTACGTTACCAACCCAGCAGTATCAGTACCATGTCTCCGAGCTATGGCAGGGTTCTTAGAGAAGGATCGATCAAAGCGGATAGGCGCCGTCAGCTTCGAAAGCTTCACCTCGCACCCTTTCTTCGCCGAATATTATGACTTCGACATGTTAGAACGGAAAGAATACTCGCCAGTGTTCAAGCCCTCGAGTGAGAAGACCAACTTCGATGCGACGTATGATCTGGAAGAGTTGTTGTTGGAGGAGGCACCTCTGGAGGCTAGAGCGCGCCGACAAAAGCCCCGCGCGGAGTTGCGCGAGGATGCGACGGCCAAGGAGATTCGGGAGGATGAGTTACATCGTCTGATTGAGACCATGTTCGAGCCGTTTGATTACACGGTAGTCACATATAGAGGGTGCGTTCTTTGGCTTCTATCCATTTCATTCTCATACTGACCCCTTGACAGCAATGCCGCCGATGCAATCGCATCAGTACAGTAAGTTTCCTTCTCTCTGTTTAGAGTATATATATACTAACATGAAAATAGAAACCCAGAAGACTGCCTTCCACCGACTATTGCTGGCCAAGGTGCTGCCCCCGGTGCTGGCGCTGCAAGCAACGCCTCGGTTCATTCGAGACAACACTCACAACCCGAATCCGCTCGAAACTCGCCGCCAACCCGGAGCGAACTCACACCCTCTCACACCAATGCACACCCTGACAACACATCTCAAATTGGCGACGCCCTTGAACCTGAGAAGCCTGTTCCAGGTGGACCTCCGCAAGCTTCGACCCCTCCTTCCGTCCCCGCTCAGCCCCACGCTCAGACTCAACCCCAGGCATTCCACCGTCCCTTTCCTCCCCCATCCGCTCGCGGACAAGGCGCCACACGCAAGACAAGTAAAGGCGGCGGTGTCCAAATGGTGCTGGATGAGTCCGGTAGCTGGAGTCAATTGGCGGAAACGAGCTCGACTCTCCCGGCGGAGGGATACGATCCAGCCGGGGCCAAAGGGAAGAACGCCAACAGTGGCATGCTGTCGTTTTTCAGCCGGAAGAAGGGCCGCGACAGGAGTCCCAAACCTCAGGAGCCGGGTGTTCTGGGAAAAGAGGGTGCGCGACAGATTATTAGTGGATAATGTTAATCTACTCATGGGCTGGTAAAGAAGTTCGACTTCGTCCGTCGACCAGGCCCTTTTCTGGGCGACAAGAGCGGACAAAAAAAAAAAAAAAAAAAAAAAAAAAAAAAAAAAAAAAAAAAAAAAAAAAAAAAAAAATAACAAGGCATGCCGATTAATAACCATTTGCATTTTTGTCGACATTTCATTCATTGGCGACTTCGCGGATCACGGAGTACTACATTATATTCTTCGACATAACCCATACGCGAGGCAAATTTTCTTGTGACATCTTGCTGGACATCAGAACAGTGCGATTTCTGGCAGATATTGGATGATTTTCAGTTCTTGATTCCCAACTCGTTTCAACACGTACACCGTTTGTTAATCTTTTATTCTCCATTTCTTTTGGGGTCGCTCAGATGAGAAGCGACTTACAACGACATAATCAGTTTTCTACTTGGCGTGTATTTAAGCTGATTTCTCTCTTATTTCCCTTTTCTTCTGGCGTTGACATACATACCCTCGCTGACAGTGGTTTTTGCGAGGCATGAGGTTGTTTTTGGGTGCAGTGATGAATGTGATTGTAATATCGACTCCATACTGTTAATGCATCCGCTTATGAGGCTCACCGCCCGTTGCCGTAACGACTGGGAGGAGTCCCTGGATATCAAGACCCTGAAGATCATGATTTCTTGTAGAGTAGAGGGTGATTGTGTACAAGTATTGTGATTTGGTCTAAGACTAATGCTCTACTGAATGAGACTGCTATCAGTCGATGTGTTGCAATATTATACCTCTCTTGGCATATGTTGTTTTGTTGTCTCACCATTAGCGCCGTGTTTTGATGTTTAAAACTAATGTTTAGTGCCAATTGGACTTTTGATTTGACCACAAATCAGTTTTTGTCTTTTCTTTCTCATTGACTCCTGCATAACAAACAAAGAATACAAACGTACACGCATACAGAAAGATACACATGCCACGCCAATACCGCCGAGATCGCGACTGCGATCCAGATCTGACATACCACGACCCATACCAACGACACGACAACCACGATAACGATACATACGACAACCAAAACAACGACGACGAATACGATAGCAACGACGAAGATTTCAACCGAGAAGCAGACTACAGGCCGAACTTCGGGTTCAATTCGCGATTACCGTTTAATTTGCGCGGGTTTGTGCCTGTTTGGAATGATCCGGATGGATATGATGAGCACGACGTGTATGGTAATGATAATGATGGACACGACAGTCAGGGATATGGATACAATACGAGACGATCCGTTGGACCAGAAGAAAGCGCGACGAAACACCAAAGCGCCGATTCGAGCAATAGTGCCGCGCATTTATTAGCCGGGCAGTACCAGGCCGAGGACAGAGGAAATCCCGATGTAGGCCTCCGCGTCGGAAAACGGAGATCTCAGCGCAAGCAGGCGTTACTGGGTGGTCTTGGACTTAGTGGTGGTGCGGCGGCGCAGGATATCACGCGAGATCGACCAAAGGGACGGATCGTGTCTGGTGCGCATTTGGAAGAGGGGCGGGGACAGGTTCGCCAGAGGTCTGGGGCTTTTCCTGTTCCTGTTCCTGTTCCTGGTAGTGGTGGTGGTAGGGGTGGGGGTGTCGGTCCTGGGGAGGAGCTGCTGCGCAAAGAAGGCAGTTGGAACGGAAGTACAGTGAGCTCAACCAGAGTCGACCGACCATTCTACAAGCGCAAGCGATGGTGGCTAGGAATGGCGATCCTCCTCCTCATCCTCGCGGCTATCGCCGTCCCAGTCGCCGTCGTGATGACGAGAAAAAACACCAACAACAAACATACCACATCAGCAGATTCAAATGCTAGCAGTGACTCCGACGACAACCCCCCCGCAAACCTCAATCTCAAAGGAATCACCCGCGACAGCATCCCCTCTTCCGCACAAGGAACCATCCTCGACCCCTTTACCTGGTATGACACAACGGACTTCAACGTAACATACACAAACGCCACAGTTGGCGGATTACCCCTAATGGGCCTAAACAGCACCTGGGACGACTCAACGCAAGCAAATGAACACGTCCCACCGCTAAACGAATCTTTCCCCTACGGCACCAAACCAATCCGCGGTGTAAACCTGGGCGGTTGGCTCTCCATCGAGCCGTTCATTGTACCATCTTTTTTCGAAAAATACGATGACTGGGAGGGTATCGTGGACGAATACACACTTACGCAGAGACTGGGCAACTCCGCAAACGCAACACTGGAGAAACACTACGCCAAATTCATCACCGAGAAGGACTTTGCAGATATACGCGATGCAGGCCTCGACCACGTCCGCATCCAGTACTCGTACTGGGCTATCAAGACCTTCGACAATGAGCCATATGTCTCTCAAATTGCATGGCGGTATCTCCTTCGCGCAATCGAGTATTGTCGCAAATACGGCCTCCGCGTGAACCTAGACCTGCACGGGCTCGTCGGTAGCCAGAATGGCTGGAACCATAGTGGTCGAGAGGGTGCTATCGGGTGGTTGAATGGGACGGACGGCTCTCTAAACCGCAAGCGCTCACTTGAACTCCACGATTCACTATCGAAATTCTTCGCGCAAGACCGATACCGCAACATCGTCACCATTTACGGCCTAGTAAACGAACCGCTCATGCTCGAATTACCAATAAAAGACGTCCTCGAGTGGACGACCGAAGTCACAAAACTAGTCCAAGGAAACAACATAACAGCATGGATAGCATTTCACGACGGGTTTCTGAATTTGAGTAAATGGAAGAAAATGCTCAAGGGCGATGATGTGCCTGATAACATGCTGCTTGATACGCATCAGTATACCATTTTTAATACGGGACAAATCGTGCTTAAACATGCGGACCGGGTTAATCTCATCTGCAATGATTGGTGGCATATGATTCGCGAGATCAATACTACGGATGCTGGGTACCTTCCCCCTTCTCCCTCCTCTCCTTTCCCTTTTTTTACCCCTCCCCATTGATACTTCACTATTCGAACGCAAGCTAATTCAAATATAAAGATGGGGACCGACAATCTGCGGCGAATGGTCCGCAGCCGACACCGACTGTGCGCCTTACCTCAACAACGTCGGCCGCGGCACCCGCTGGGAAGGAACCTTTTCCTCGGGTGATTCAACGCAATACTGTCCGACAGCCGACAGTAAGAAATGCTCGTGTACAAATGCAAACGCAAACCCAGCTACGTATAGCGATGGGTATAAGAAGTTCCTGCAGACGTATGCAGAGGCGCAGATGAGTGCGTTTGAGACGGCACAGGGGTGGTTTTATTGGACTTGGAAGACGGAGAGGGCGGCCCAGTGGAGTTATTCGACAGCGTGGAAGGGGGGGTTTATGCCGAAGAAGGCGTTTGCGCCGGAGTTTAAGTGTGGGGATGATGTGCCGGATTTTGGGGATTTGCCAGAGTATTATTAGTCAGAGGAGTGTACAGTTGTATATAGTTTATTGTTGTTGTGTATATCATCTACGATCGTACATCATGCTATATCACGTCCAAACCATCCACCGTTCTCCCACTTTCCTGGGATATAGATACTATCCTCGCCATTGCGGATATGCTCCGTATACACCCCGCTGAGTAGATGGTTCAACCGCTGAAAGTCAATCGGTTTCATGATCCAACCATCAAATCCAGATTCGATGTACATATGCTTGTCCTTTTCCATCAGTGACGCTGACACGGCAAAGATGGGAATTCTCCTGTCACAAGACTCTTCATAGTCGCGTATAAGTTTCGTAGCGCCGTGACCGTCAATGATGGGCATCTATATCGTTAGTGATTGTCGTGTCAGTGGACACGGGAGACTTACCTGTATGTCCATCAAGACGGCATCGAATGAATCAGGGCACTCTCTGTAGGTCGTGGCGCATTCTTTCCCATTCACAGTCAAATGTACCGTATGTCCTAATTTCTCGAGTCTCTTTCGTATAATAGCGCTGTTTATGCGGTCGTCTTCAGCTACCAACACATGTAGAGTTGATTTTAATTCAGAATGAGCGGTGCTCGAAGGTTTCTCGGTTTGTTCTGCTGAACCTGGATTAGGTTTCGCGACTCGGTCGACTGAAATGTCTACCGGGTCATCCAGTCTCGATAAGTTTTCACGAGTTGTATTTGCTTTTGGTAATGGTGATGCGATTCTAATAGACGATTCTGTTCCTGCAGAATCAGACTGTCTATTTTTGGTAGGACTCACGGATTGATGCACAAATTCAGATGACTCAGTGCTTATTGCAATGTCAATGTTGGAATTGCTGCGCTTTTCACTTTGAGTCTCGCCATAACGACTGGAGCATTCATTTTCGCGCTTAGGCCTCGCAGGATTAATATCCCTTCTTCCAAGTGTTGCTGGATGTAAATCATTATTTTTGCAACCGTCACTTGCCAACTCAGATGGCAATGGAAACCTAAGCTTAATTTTAAAGGAACTCCCCACTCCCTGCTCCGACTTCACAGCCAATCTTCCATCCATAGTGCGGACAATACGAGCAACCAATGCCAGCCCTAAGCCAAGAACATTCTTGGCCCCCGTGGTGTCATCAGCTTTGCTCCGGCAGCACTTAGAGTCTTGCAGATAGTCCTCGTTCGATACCTCCTCCAGTTCGCAAAACAGAGCTTCCACGGCTTCCTGTGACATCCCTGAACCTGTGTCGTGGACAGCCATTTCGACGCCAATGGTGTCAGAGTTTGTTGTGTCAGGAGTAAGGCAAGTCTCGATGACCACTGATCCGTTGGTCGTATGTTGCACAGCGTTGCTGATCAGGTTCATTATAACCTGACGTACTCGTCGTTGATCTCCAAGAACACGGGGAAGGTCGGTATGTTGGACAATATTCAGCTCAATGGCTTTTTGTTTGGCCTCCTCTCCAAATATATGTGTTGCTTCTTTGATAGTCCCAGATAGATCAAAAACTTCATCCTTAATCAGGCTTTGCCCATTCTCCGCATTTGTTAGATCCAAGAGATCATTGATTATATAGACGAGCGATTTCGAAGCTGAGTGCGACCGGGAAAGATTATCGCGGGTCTCCTGGCTCAAAGAGCCATCCAGGGCAATCTCCAGATAGTTAATGATCGCGTTTAAGGGAGTCCGGAATTCGTGAGCACAGTTCGCAAGGAGAAGTTTCATGAGCTGCGTGTTTTGCATTGCGGTCTCCTTCTGCTGCCATACTTCAGCGAATGTCTTGTATATCAAAGAAAGAACAGAAGCCTTTCCCTGGTCCACAGCGGACCATGCATCTGGTCTACATGGGAGATGGCCTTTTTCGTGGGTACAGCTTGGCTCTGGTCCGTTTGAGCACCCAACCCACGTCATTTCTCTCCATTGGGTGGTCCGGAAGAAAACAATGAAATTGCGAGCATCAGCCGACAATGGAATAAAAAGGAGACTAGACACATATCGAAAACCAGGGGGATAATGGAGGTCTTGGAAATCTTTGTTGACATCCGTTGACCAAGCAATCGTATCGAGTTTTCTCGCCCTCATGTATTCCACGATAGCAAGAACCTCACCTGAGTCAAACGGTCTGCCGAGTATTTTGGTTTCGCCCATGATTGAGGAAGCAGCATAGTCGGCCCCAAATAAGCTAAGGATATCCACTCCTGGAACAGTCTCCCTCTTGTCGACTTCCCTAGGGGAGTTTTGCTGCACCAATTGGAAAGGTAGTGTGTAAGATAGGCGTTCAATGTTGCTTGATAAAGTGTCGCTAATGAGCCAGCAAAGCTTCTGCAACGGAGGCAATAATCTGGCACCTCGGGCGTAAGATTTGCATGATACCAAGCCCCAGAGCTTTCCGAAGACATTAATTCTTATAGAAACGCATGCCTCCAGAGGCCGGCGGGAAAGAAACTCCAAAGGAGCCGGTGATTCCATTGATAAATAACAGAAGCTCGTGTCCAGTTTTGATGATGAGCCGGGCTCTCTGTATAACAACCCAGTAGGCAAGTTCTGTCTACGGTTGTATGAAAGACGGACTTTGTTTCGTGAGTGAAGCGTTTGCAAATCCTCGGAGAACATAGAGCCAAGAAAGTGCATATCCTCGCAAGTTTCCCCCGACAATTCCGGGTCCGCAAGGTCAGCTACAGCAATGCCGTTCCAGTCACTGTCAAATCGGTACACCGTGGCCCGGTCAAACCCAGTAAGCTCTTTGAGAATCCTGGCCACTCGATTAAACAACATATCAACAGATTGTGCCGTCGAAGTAAGCAGGATGATTCTCGATACTGCGTTGAGGATATTTGAGTATTCGAATCCATTTTTGTTCTGTCCGAGCGTCCTGAATACGTCAAAAGCTTCGAACGTGTCATCCGCATCTTCATGTAGTGTTGCGGTTACCCTTGCTTTACTGTGAGTTTGCCGTTGGGATTCTGGATCACCATTGTCGCTAATGCTGTCTGATAAGCTCTGTTGTGGCTCGATCTCGCATATTATGTAATTTGTGCTGCCTTTGCTAGCGTGAATTGTGCACCAGAAGTCTTTCGACTCTCCGTGTTGCGTGGTGACGGTCAAATCAAGTACATCTGGACCATGTTGCTCAACATCGTAGCACTTCTCTTCCATGGACTTCGTGTGACTCAAGAATGTTGTTCTTTGATCTTGTCGCAAGATGTTGGCGAAAGATTCTAGAGCAAAGAGCTCTTCGGTAGTGTAACCAATGACCTCTCCAGTATTTCTGCTGGAAGCATGAACAACCAGGCATCCCTCTGACTCTTTCAATACGACCAAAGCACCGAATGGATAGACAGCTCTCTCATTGCGAGATTCTTGCAGCATGTCCCTGAGCTTATGTGCCGTCTCGATGGTTCTTTCCACTTGCTGAATGTGTTGCAAATTGGCAAGGTTTAAGTCCTTCCTGCCGGAAGACCCAGGACTTGCGATAATTCCACGCCCCCATCTATCGCCCGAAGCTCCATTTTCAACCATTGGCGATGTGTAACTTGTATAGTCGGTCGCCGGGGTTATAGGTTGGCTGTTGGATCTGCCTCTCCCTGTCGAGAAAGCCGATGAGTTCTCTGAGAATGGCGATGTCTGTCTTTCTGAGCTTTCCAATGAAGGTGTTTGTAATGTAGAAGATGGAGTGGAAGAATCGACAGAGACAACTGAGCGAATAGGGAAGACTCTTTCGGTCGTGTCAGGGCTCAGTTGAGGCAACTTCAGCCCGGAAGGAAAGGCAGTAGAGAGCGAGAATAAATCTTGTGCCGGGTCTGTCAGGATACGCAGCGATTCGGGTATGGAGAGCATTTTCCGCAACGATCCCTTCATAACAGAAGGCGTCGCATTCATGTCCCCTGTCTTGTCACTTCCTACATATCTATCCGATCTAGCAGGCGAGTCCATCTCCAATAGCACACAGTTCAAAACGAGAGATCACGGGTAACGAAAGGTAGGAAGATACTGGAAACTGAAAAGAAGCACGGTGTCAGGTCTAGACCTCCTGAGCACTGAGTTGAATGAGTTGGAAACAGTACTGACTGAGAAGGTTAGAGTGCGTCTGCGCGGCAGAGCCCTAATTATGAAGATCACCGGGTAGGATCAAAGTGAGATAGCCTCACATAAATGCTCATGGAAGAAACCTGACGCCAGGTCAGATATTAAACAAACAAGCGTATTTAGAAGGAAAAGAAACGATGTGCAGTGGAAGTTGTATGTTGTTGCGCCGGAGAAATAGCAGCGGCGTTCCCGCAAGGAAGTCACGTTGGTGCCTTGTCTGGAACGTCTCATTTCGCCGCCCACAGAACCTCCAGAGGCACATCTCCACAGTTCCAGTTTTTCCCTCTTTGGTGTTTCGCTCCTGATACGGTTTGAGGAATGGCGGAAATAGCTCCTGCGGAGACGAATCGATGCCCGGTTCGTTTGTCCGGTTCGCCAGGGACTGCCACCGAAGCATTCACCATGAGACTCTGGGCCTGACAGACCAACCAAGGTCTATATCTAGCTAAGTTGACACAATTTACAGCAGCTCCGCTATAGGGCCGGTCCCAAGGATGTGGCAATCAATCAGATACCGCCCAGAGTACTGACTTTCGAATTGGATTTGATTAGACAAGGACATACGTGGATTGCTACTACCGGACCTATGCTGATATAACGCCCTCACAATCAAATCATGTTTTGCAGTTGCTTTCTGAAAGACACAAGCATGCCATCGATCCTTTTGCAGCAATAGGGCGTCCAACAGATTCGACAGAGGCGGTCGCACAGGGCAGAAACAACATGGAGACCTATATCAAATGACTCTTGAATCTTATGACTGCGGAGAGTAGTTGCTCTGGAGGGGCATTGGGAATTTGGTCGGGGAACCAATCGACCGTTCTAGGTGTCCGCATCTCGTTTCAGAATCTTTGGTTCTCTTGCGGAACAACCGGGTAGTGTCACAGGTGCTTGGGCCACCACAATTGCTCGCTTTTTATCATCAGAGACGCCATGCAAACCTGCTGGGCTGTGGCCTCAGATTCCAGGACGGCGTCTAACAACAAAAGCTTGGGGTTATACGAAGCACTGCCTATAATTGATCTGCACCAGTGCACATATGGGTCTGACACTTTGTGAACCACGGTTCCGATTATATTTTCCGGGACTGCTTTCCGGCAGCCTCCTTAGTTTCCAGGTGCCCTATTCTCTGACTGTTTTATGTTGCAGTGATTACGGGCGTTGATTCCGTCGCCCTCAGTCCGGAATTTGGCTGTCTAGGCCGTTTTTGCCAAGCAGGACTCGCAAGTCCGGCATATCCAGAGTATGAGCTTCGCCCCCACATAATACACGTCTGTCCCGGCGACCCTGCCCAGATGATTCCGATCGGAAATGTGGGAGAGGCCATTATCTTGTCAACCAAATATCGAGCTAGGAGGCGTCCATAGATAGGGACGTGTGAATATAGCAAGACCAAATTGATATGATATCCCGGACATGTTATTCCGGTCATGCAAAGCTCTTTTTGCTAGTGCTCATCGAATAATAGTATGTGTAACATTTGGGTAGAGAACCGCTAATAGGTAGGTATAGATGAGTGTCGGATTCTGAATTCTCAAACAGTTGAATACTATCCATAATTAAAACATAATACTATAATAAAGGGGAGGTATATAAAAGTTGATTTATAGTATACACTTCCCTGGCTGCCTGTGATGTATTTTCCAATTTGAGATTGAGGCTCTTGGTGTAAGTCCCAAAATGGAAATCGCTGAAGCAGCTTAACCTCGCCAGCGAACGCAAAGAAAATCATCACCTCCCCAGTTCCTGTTTTCATTTACAACAGCACTGGGTGGTTTTTTCTTCGTCTTCCAAATGACAATTTGTTGACCCTCTCAGGTTGATATTGATCTCAAATGGAATAGCTGGGAGCTAATGCTGTAAGTACCATTAGAATGGGCCCTACATCCAAGCTGCTTGTTTGTCTCGTTTTATTGAAAGAACTTTCCTGCAATATCTACATCTATTAACTAACCCTTCATGTTTAGCTACAGATTCCACGACCAGAATGGAAAACCAAAATACTACCCCGTTGACGCCCGAGGCCAACCAGGCTTCACCAGAAACGGAAAGATACCCTGACATGTTTCTGTATGATAATGATGAGGAAATTATCCCGCTGCCAATGGCAGAGGACAACAACACACCCCCTCCGCCAGGCCTAAAAGCAGCGATGGAGAAGAGTGGATACCCTAACGAGACGGTAAGCCAGCAACAGTCGATGTCTCTCTTCATGGAACGTCCAAAGAGCTCCGTTATCGATGTGACAGCTTTTTGCTTTGCAAAGCCCTCTGGAAGGAACTTCTCAGTCAAGTCTTCAGAGCCTTTTTCCACGAAATCCCCTGCTCGAGAACCCGTTCATGGCAAACCAAGCCGAAATGAAGAACCCACTGAGCGGAGGGAAGCGAGAAGTGACGAGTAAGTTGGCTGAGGATACACCTCCAAAGAAGTGAAACTGATCGATTTCTTGGAGGCATTGCTCAAGTTCCGCTCATGTTGAGTCTCAGACGCAGCATTCACCCCATAGCGATACGGGTCATCAAAATACACCGAGAAAATGCTCCCCTATTGCAACACAAGTACAAAGTGTACGATGGTTAGATAAGCAAGCCAACTCTAGTGACCAAAGAAGCGGTTCAAGTGATCATGCCGATGAAGCCCAGGTCCAAGCTGAAGAAGCTGTTGGGCCAATGAAAACTACATTCATAAATGGTAAGAACTACTGAGTACGCTTCTATCTGTGATGGCTATCATGCTAATTCATGACCAGTCTATGATCCTGAGTCAATCCTTGTGGAGGTAAGTTCCATGCCAAGCGACGTTAATGAACGATACTTATCTATAGCAGCCTCAAAATGAGTATTCGCAAGACACAAGGCACGAAGATAACACTCGGGTGTCAATTTCGCGCACCAGTACTCCCCTGATGACAGTTATATCGCATCCACCCTCCTCGCATGCCCCTTTGGAAGACGGATTGCGCATTTCAAAGCGTCGTCGTATGCATCCTCGAAAGTTTACCACCCTCAAGCCCTCAGCGCCTCGTCCCGTTGATCATGAGGATTCGCAGTTGACAGAAGATGACCTTTTCCAAATTCTGATAATGCGGATCCGGCAACGTGAAGAGGATAATGCTGCCGCGGCAAATTTGCGTAAGCAATTGGAAGCTACTGCTTCACAGCTAACGGAGGAGAACGAAGCTTTGAGGGCGGAGCTCGAGGCTTACGGCACTCAGCTACGGAAGAAAACATTCGAGTCAAAGACATACAAAGCACAGATGAACACCTGGAAGACGAAGCTTGGAAAGTTCAAACACGTTCTTAATGCCTTGGGAACCGATTATCAGAATCTCCTAGGGGAGTCTATCCATCTCAAAGCAACCAGGAGTGCTTTGGACAAGGAGGGTAAGGAAATAAGGAGCAGTATTGACGACATCCAAGCACAAATCTCCCAAGCTACTGCCAGCGTTGGCGAGAAGAAGAATCATATGTTGGAGTCCGTAACCATTATCAATACACTGAGAAACGACCTGAAGCATTCCGATGAAAAGGCTAGGTCAATCAAAAACCAACTGCACGAGGAAAAGAAAAGGATTATGACGCTTGAGTCATATATCCAATATCACTCTCTTGCTCAAGAGAAACAGCTGGGGCTTATTAGGGCCGACCACCTTGGAATCAACCAAAAAATGGAATCCGCAATTGAGACAATGGCAAAGCTGTGGGAGTTCTCCCAAACTTCCATCCGGTCCATCATGAGTCCGACAATGGACAAGTGCTTACTCGCCATCAACGCTTTGACTGAAAAAGAATCAGTGGACAACGTGGAGATCCAGAAATTTGCGGATACCATCAATGGATTCATATCACGGTATGCTTGTGCCTCCGTACTCTACTTGTTACAGAGAACTTGACTGACATTTTTCCAGAATGGATGCGGTCGTACTACAATTGGCTAAGGATTTTGAGCGAAATTCCGAAGCAAAGGACAGCGTCAAAACGTTTTTTAAAGAACAGCTCCAGAGCATGGAGAGTCGATTTGGCGCCGACTGTGACCTTTACAAGCAGTTTTATGCGATCAAGGAAGCATGCGAAAGCCTCCACGAGAAGCTTAAAATAATGGGACCAGACGTTTGCACTCTCAATGCAAAGATTCTAGGGGTTGAAGAGAAAGAAAGCGGCCTGGTGCGACAGATCGAAGAGCTCAAACGAAGTTTAACCGGAGCTCGCGATCTCATGAAGCAATCTCCCACAATCCCTGAAAAGGAAAATTGTTCAGCGACGGCGGAAATCATGTCTCAACTGGAGAAGGTTTCCGAAGAACTTAGAGTGGCCCAGGAGACCCTTCAGACCAAAGATACAGAGAACGAGTATGTGAAGCATTCGTTGCTGGAGACTACTGAAGCATTCCAGGAGGCAGAAAGGAGAGCGGCATCATATGAAGCCAAACTTGAAACACTGCAGCAACAGGCTCAATCGGTCGAAAGCAAAATTCGGGAAGAATTGAGCAGGGCAAGCGTCATAGCTCGGGATCAAAACAGAGCAAAATTTGAACAACGGCTGCACGGAATTTTGAAGGAGAAGGAAACAATCGAGAAAGACTTAGAAAAGACAAAAGAGCTTCTAGCCACAGCTCAGCAAGCGCAGGTAAGAGCATATATACACCTGTGTTTCGATTTTCACTGACAATAATAAGCTCCAAACCGATGCTTTGACGGATCAGCACCAGAAGGAGCTGGAATCTCTAGTAAGCGTGTCCTGGTCCCGGTAATGGAAATAACTAACGTCAATAGCTTTTGGCTGAGCAAGAAGTCAATACTGTCCGAAATAGCACTAATGAAAGCGATTCCAAATTAGCAGCACAAGAGACCGAGTTGACGAGACTTCGTGAGCTAGAGAATTTTTATACGAGCCAAAAAAATTTGCTGCGACAGGAAATCGATGAAGCTAACCAAAAGATAACAACTCTTGAAGCTGAAGCCGCCCTGAGTAAAGTCGATCAGTTGGCCTTGCGAGAGTTCGAGAAGAAATTTGATGAACTCCAATCTGAGCTCTCACGCAAAGAAGAAGAGCGTCTGTCTATTCAGAAAGACTTGACGGCTGCTGATACAGCGAAGTCGGCCCTCGAGTCCGGTAAAGCGAAGGCGAAGCGAGAGATTCACGCGCTCCTTCTGAGAGTTCAGGACTCGGAACGATGGGTGAAAGCTATCAAAGAAAAGCTGGAAAACTACGGCATTTCAACATCGACAGAATCATTTCCAGAGACTTGGAGTAAGCTGGAGATGTTGCTGCAATCGGCTATCTCCAGTGGTTTCCCGGATGGTAGTTCGAATATCTCTTTGCAACAAGTCAACTGCACGCCCGCTGTTGCTTCGACGCCTTGTAAGGGGGGTGAAAGTCCAGCACAGGAATTTTTTCAGGCTACTGAGGTGATATATCGAACCCGTAATATCCCAAAAAGCACGTGTTGCTCTCCAGTGGGCCGTGACTCTTTTCAGTCTGGAGGAGGTAATGGTACGATCGAGACTGTGCCAGACTCGCAGATGTCGACTAATATAGTTCCATTTTCGAGCTTCCAGGCGCAATTATCGCCTATGCATTGTTCGCCCAACCACGATGACCATGATGCATGTGACTTGGCAGATATTCTGACACAGATTTCTCAAAGAGAGCACCATGGAAAGGAATGTAGCGATCCCGCCAACGATCGAAGCGGACGGTCGTCTAGTTCAACCACAGAGAAAGGCGCAAATTCATTGTCTCCTTGGAAGCGCATGGAAACGAACAATGGTAACCCAAAGACCTCAGAAGTTCGAACGCCAGTAACCGGTCCGAAGTTCAGGAACAGCACTAACGATGCCCGGGGTATCAATAATGGAGACAAACAGAAGGCTGTCACTTTCGAAGACCAGAAAATTGCGAACACCGGATCCAAACGTCGAACGCCAGAGTCTTCACATCGAGAGATCCCGGATAGACCCACTAAAAATTTCGAGAGACGACCAGTACGTCAGAACCGGCGTACGTATAGCAGACATCGGCGGACGTCCCCGGCGCGAGAGCAAGGCGGACCAGAGGATATGCATGCTGATGGGGAGCTCCCATACAACGGAAACAAGAGAGCGCGAGTGTCTCCGGTGTCGAGTTATCCTAGGCAGAAACAGACGCAAGGTGCTCGCGAGCCGGTCGAGCGCAGACTAAGTCCTGCAAGCCTGGCTTCTGGAAGCAGCAGACAGAATACTGCGAATGAAGATCCTGCCAATAAACGGTGGACGGGACGAAATCAGAAGCGACCTGGACGCAAGACGCGAGGTAAGCTATAGCACATTTGTCGGAACTCAGATGCTAACCTTTGCAGGTGAAAGATACAGTGCCCGATTCAGCGGAAACGGTGGCGCTCGCTAAATATGGAAAATGTTTGACAAATTTGTGGACTGGGCGTAATTATATATCGGCATTTATTATATTGGCGAAAGTATATATTATGAAACATGAGTATCGAGCGTCAAAGATCTGATAGTGGTTGAAAATGTGACGAATCGGAATAAGGAAATATCGGGATATGTATTTCGAGAAAGGATCATGGTTATATCAAACACATGATTGACCCAATTGTATTGCACAAAACGCCAGAATGCAAACCCAGAATACACAGCTAGCACTGAAAAAAATTCCCCTTCCCAGTATAGCCACTGCTGTATTCCGTCTAATGTACATGACCGTCTTCCGGCACCACTCCGCACAGGGTATTCAACAGCAACTCTTTTCTCCTCCCAGCAGCGTCGTTCCATCGTATAATTCACAAATCGCAAAAACAGGAGTAAAAGGGAATCGTAATCGTAGTTCGCGGTTTTATCTCGCTCGTCCACCCTTGGTCGCCTCCAGGAACAGCACCTTCTTTTTCACGACAGGGTCGTATTTGAGCATACTGAGTGGCCGGTGGGTACGAGGTCTGATCATCGTGCGGTAGAAACCGGTCATGGCCATTGAGATAAGCCGAACAGGGATAGTACGCGACTTCGCTGTTGGATGGGTGGTTAACATTCTTCGGCCTCGGATGGGTTGTCCTTTCCATCGATCCGGGGAAATGAAAGATGGGGAATTGACTGGGAAAGGAATCCGACGCACCTTTCTTCGCCATTTTGGCAATTCCAACAAGAACAACAGGGGAGAGATTCGGAATTTGCTAATTTCGAGTCGAGGGGCCGTCGGAGATGGTGAGATTTTGGCCGTTGCGATAAGTTCGGATATGCGCACGTGATGCTGCCTAAAGGGGTTTAGCGTGTGATTCTTCCGATGTTCCGCATTTCGACTTGGAATAAATCGGCTTTTGTCTTTTATGGTTTGGGATTTGAAGATGCTTTTTACTGGTAGATTAACTTATGGGGCATGTCTACGTATCAACATGTCTATATACAGTGATGCTTGCACTCGGTTGCGGGGTTTCAACTCATACTCTATGGCTACTGCAAGTATATGCAGTTACAGTACTTCTGTCTGGTTATCTGCTAGTATGTATAGTCTAGATGCTCGGGTATTATAGGATAGATAGTGATGGAAGGACTAATTTTGTATGGGATCGTCAAAAGAACGCTACCATCTTGAATCCCCGATCAACAATACAACTTGTCAAGAATTGTAACAACTATCTTGTCTAATCACCGCTTGACAGGGACACGTGAATAGAATAGTGTATTTCCACCAAAGGCCAGTAAATCTAGGTCATTCATCGGATAGCAAAGATAGAAAGTAGGTGATGGTCTAGATTTTGTATAAATGCAGGACTCCGCAAGAAAGACCCATTCCTTTGCTTCTCGACGATGGCGTGCCGGGCTTGGTCCGACGGATATGCAATGACAGAATCCGGGTGCAACTTCATGTAGTTAGACCGTTATTTGATTTCTTCCGTGGTGCAAAAGGGCCTCCCTGCCATTCGTCACTGAATACCCAGTGGCTGATCATCGCTATTCCATCCCTCCGTTTGTATCCAGAACGAGATGTCTGAACTGGTAACATGGATACTTTAATAATTCGATTCAACGAAGGTTAAACAATTTCATACTCGATTGGATGGTCAATGCTCGCCGTTGCCAACTCTATTCCAGAATGTGGTAAAAGTACGGCCGTGCACTCTAATATCGAAAGAGGGGTCTTCGCAGATGCATATCGATATTAATTGAATATAAATCAAAGAGAAGAATCGTGAAGCGTGGAACTTCGTTGCAGTAGTACGTATTTGTAGTCCCTGTGATATGGTATGGTGTGTATAAAACAAAGTTAGGATAGTCAGGCGACCAAGACTTCCGATGCAAGTGATTTAGGATCGTGCAGGATTGGCAGACACAATGAATGGAGGTGATCTTCAGCCACGAATGTTTGGTATTTCCACGATCGCGATGCGATTCATATTTGGTTTGTTGTATTTTAGTATGTCGGGTTGGTTTGTTAGGGTTGAGCAGGGTACCTGTTCCAGTGAGGTTGGAAGATCAATGTGGAGGAGTTGTCATCGTTGTTTCCAGGGCGTCGCGTGCGAGTGATGGTATATATCTCAGTCGAAAAGTGGTAGGGCTATGCATTCTTGATGTTCTACCACCTTCGTTGGAGTGTCAATGGGATAGAAAAACAGAATGTTACTCGGTAGGATACATTCAATGCTCGGTAGCTTGAGGTTAGCTACGACGACGTTTGGCAGGAACATCGCCATGAGACTCTGACCGGCCGTGCTTGTGCGTGATGTCAACCTTCGTAGAAGGCTGTTCATCCATTTTACCGGTCCCATGCTGCTCTGCAATCCTCTGTCTATCCCCCTTACCGGTGCTCCGCGTCTTCGTGGTTTCACCATCACTGCTACTGTCAGCATATCTCAATCTCCCAAACAACCAATAAACTCACCAAACCTCCTCCAACGCCCTCCCAACATCCACACTCCAGTCCCTAACCCTCTCCCAATCCCACTGTTCCAGCCTCCCATTCCACTTCTCCCTCACAAACTCCAATTCCACATCAACGGTATCCATGCTAAGTTCCTCCCAGTTCGGGAGAACGTGGGTCTTCGGATCGAATTCGGGGCGGGGGTCTGAGAAGCGTTTGTCGAGGTCTGCTGAGATGTTTGTGTGTTTGGTTAAGCGGTGCAGGCGGAGGATTAGGTCGTCTGCGTTGGGCATTGTTGGCTTTATTCAAGGGTTTGGTGTGATGTGATTAAGTCGGGGGGTTGATGTCGATAAATTAAAAAGTTGTAGAGGTGTGCTTTTATGGACATTTTGGTGGTTAAGTGAGTGGTGAGTGATTGTTTGTGTCCGTGCTGGGTGGGAGTGAGAGGTGGGTTCGTAGTGAATGTCTGTTGAGGCTTGGGACCTGTTCTGGCCCTTTTCGGGATAGGTCATTATCATGGATGTCGAGGGTTTCTTTGAGCCTACGATAAAGAATTCTTTGTTTATGTTTAGTTTTTCGGTACTTTGAACTTAATGAATCTCACCATTTGTTACATGCCTGAAATAACTCAGCCCTAACAAGATAATCAACTACTCGCCGTCAAATCTAACCCCAATCGAAGTATCTTGAGCAGCAAGTACAGATAGCTCTGTTCGAAGTATTAAATGATCTTGTATGCATCTCCTTGAACCGTGAAAATAAGGGCTACGCCCAAAATTCATAGAAATAACATCTACCGATATCTGGACAATAGTACTCCCTCCTTATATCCAGTCCCACTCTCAAGCACACCGGAACACTCCCTGTCCTCCGTATAACACCGCTAATCACGATATTCCCCAGCGACAATTAACACCCCTCCATACATGCAGAGAAACAACGATTCTGCAGGACTAGTCTATACTTGTACAAGTCGACCACTCCGAAAACACTAGGAACAGGGGCTTACATGTTGTTAATATAGCCAGCCAGTTAGAATGCTTTCTGAGGTGAGTGGGAGGAGGAGATGCAGGTTGTGGAGATTGGGTTGTTGTTATTGGTTTGTTAGTGGAGGTGGGGTGAGCGAGAATTGGATTTTATGTGATGGGTTTTCTACGGTGTTCTGTATGGGTATACTACGGATACAGGTGGGATGTAAATTCTGTGGTATGGGTATCGGTATCATTAAGCTAACTGTCTAAAATACATAAATAACTGTACAGTAAGTCACAAATCACTAATTACAGATGCACGCAGCGAAATAGACTCGGGATGACGCGCCGTAGGACATGCAGCAGTCGTTCTGCGGGGACTTTTTTTTTCCTTCTTTTTTTGTTTTGGTGGCGTTGGGTATGGGTATCACGAAACAAAAGAAAATCGTAACAAATGGAAGAATGGTCCCATCTGCCCTGGGAATAAGCCGGTAAGTTTCAATCCTGTGGCCCGAAGTGGAATGTCCTAACGGGATTTCATGGAATCCTGGATATACACCGAGGGACGAAAACCGGTGCTTATTCCCTCGTGGCAGGCTGGGATTGTTCGGGTATGTGTAACACAACAGGAGTATCAAGGTGGAATGGTGAAACAAATGAAAATCAAAGATGGTAGTCGATTGGCCAGTTGCGACGGGGAGATGGCCTCCTCCGGTCCACACGGTCTACAACATCTTCTTCATACAGTGAACCCCTGGTCGACGACGAAGAACGAACTGATGAGGAGGAAGAGGGGTAGACAATGACCCGGTGCTTCATGTTACGCTGCGGTGACCGCTCAATGACTTCAGAGCTGAGGGACTGGGTTTGCGATGCTGGCCGTCGAGGGGCAACGGGGTATGTACGATCGTAGCTGATGACGGGACGGGCCGGCGACTCGCTCCGTTGGCGTTGGCTCTGGCTGTGGTTCTGGTTGACCTTCTCCTGCTTCTCGTCCTCGAAGCGGACCTCCTTGCGACGTAGTGGGAGGCCGTACTGTACTGCTAGGAGGAGTCGGCGGGTGGATTCGCAGTTCATGGGGATTTGGACCAGAGTGGCCTGGTTTAGTTCGCGGTCGACGACGGAGTGCGCCATGTCATTGATGGCGTAGATGTACTTGTCGACATCGATAGCGTATTGGTTTCCGCGATCGCAGAGGGTGTTGTTCTCGTCAAAGGTCTTGATGGGGTCTTCGCATCGAGGGCAGTGGGTAGCATGGCGCTCGAAGGCGTTCACCACGTAGTCCTCGTCGTGCTCAAGACGGCGCACGACGGGCTCAAGCATCTGGACAGGAGCCGGCATGGTTGCGGTTGGATGCGCGTACGGAGTAGAGATGTAGGAATGCAGGTTGTTTATGGCTTGCTTGAGCACGCTGGACTGGATGACAATGTAGTAAATGGGAGAGGGTAAGTGAAGTGAATAGTGTAGAGATCGGGAGAGGGAACGGGAATTTATAGTATTCAGAGCCGGTAGGCAGATGATCCCCGAGGCGCATTTGACACAGCTTTCTATAGATACCACTGTTTCCACGGGCCAAACGGCGCATTTCCACTGATGCCTGCGGAAGTCAGAAAATCGCAGTGATTCACACCCGGAATTTTCAGGCAGTGCTTGTCGACAGAGCCAATGGTCCTGCATTTGATTAGTTCCTTCTTCCAGCGGTATCTCGATCGGGACTGGCTGCGATCCTCGATCCTGCGGGTCGCTGGCGAATGACTCTTAGGATTGGACTTGAATGATTGTTGCTGGTGTATACCGGGTTAGTCACTGCGGCTCATCTGCAAACCGCTTACTTGTTTGGGAGTCGGGGGCGTTCGAGTCATCGTCGTGACGTTGGTTACTTGCAGGAGATTTGAAGCTATTCAACTGTGGCTGGAGTGTACTGCCACCCCCTCCGCAGACGCCTATCTAGACACCTATCCTCTACTGCACTTCTACTCTAAATTTCTTACTATCTTACACCCATTTTATCACTCTTCAATCCAGAGTGCTCGATCCTGGTCTACTACACGAATGATTACTCTTGCAGGCAGCAACAACAAGCTCCCGTCCTGGACTAATACACACACTCGTATCGCCAACAACGAACCAATCCAAGCCCATCCATCACCAACACATTCGGCCCCAAGCGCATTCTAAAAAATGCATTATAACTTCTATATTTATCAGGAGCGACTCTGGACCAAGTGACTACCGCCATGGAAGCGCGGCGGTCATGAACACCTTTCAGCCTCGTCCACCCGCTCAGGCAGACTGGTCATCTCATAGCGCTCGGCTCAGCCACAGCTCATGTTGGATCGCCAGGGCCGTGACTTCATTTGCCGTCGAAGCCACAGTCTACGGCTGCATGCAGGGGCCGCTGCAGTAATCTCGAATCCTGAATTATGGATTCTGATCTAGACGGTCTTTGTGCAATGTACTGTGGCTTGGTCAGTTTGGTCTGGGCTGTTGTCGGTTGGTTCGCGTTGCGATACTGACGCATGTGATGTTGATTGTTCTGGTCTAGACTATGGACATGTTGATGTCTGTTCTAGAACATCGCTCGTCGATGTGTTGATAACGTGGCATCCGGGTATATATCCTCCCAGCACTGACCTCTTGTCTCGACCGCTATCGAATTCGAAACCTTTACCTACGCGCGCGGGACGAAGAATGCAGAGTACAGCCCGGCGCATCATGAAACACTTCAGCCAGAACGTCCTTCCACGCACCTCGCTCAGCGGCAAGGCCGTTGACTCGGCGTTAACTTTATGTCGAGTGTCGAGAGAGCGAACCAAACATTTTCGCACGTCAGTCGCGCAAACCAACAGCATATAAGAACTAGCCGGGCTAGCTCAATCGGTAGAGCGTGAGACTCTTAATCTCAAGGTTGCGGGTTCGACCCCCGCGTTCGGCTTTGTTTTTTGCTCTTTTCTCGTCTGGTTGAGTCGTGGTTGTGAATTGGTATTGGAACGGTTCAAACGGTGGTACAGATTTTTTTGTGGTTCGGCCCACTGTGAGTGGGTATGCATGGGTAGACCCACATGCAATGGAATGCTGCACGGAAAGACATCTTGACACATTTTGACACATGTTTGACACTGTCTGACTTGACATATCCATATCGAACACAAGTCCGAGTAGTACATACCCCGTGCAGCTCACATAGTCCTCTCCTGTCTCGCTCCCTCAACGCCCGCCACAAACCCCACCCGATCCTTAACATATACCTCCACATCCACACGCCCCCTCAGTCCATTCTCCCCATTATCCAGCGTCCCGGCCTTAATAGTTGTAATGTCAGGCATGATATCAGGTTGGCTGTAGAGACTGGAGCCGCAGTCGGGGCAGAAGAAGTGGCGGTTGTTTTTGCCTGAGTTGCCGGTTATGTCGCAGTGTTTGGGGGTTCCTATATGCATTGATTACAATGTTATTGTCTTGGGATGACACTGGGGAACGGGGAAATTACCCTTTGTGATACTGAAAGAGCCGCGGGGGACCATGAGGTTGGAGGTGAAGGCGCTGCCGGTCCACTGGTGATGTTAGACTCGACGTCGTATACAGAGTATGCTAATCGATGATGGAATACCTTCTGGCAATCAATACAGTGACAAAGAGCCGTGATAAGGGGCTCCGCTGGTATCACCAGTTTAGTATCAATATTGAACGATGCCACACTATCTAATCAAGACATACAAACATACATTCAGCAGCATAAGCGATAGCACCACACATGCAAGATCCGGTCAGAGTCATTCTGTCGTACCGTTATTTTGCTTCCGGGTTATTTGTAGTGTGAAAGAGAAGCAGCTAGGTTATCTATCATTTATAGCAGTGCAGTGTATCTTGCATGGTTGCGGGGTAATACGAATGCCCGAAAGTGATTCCCCACCGCCATCTCGTGCTCTTTTAATGGTTCGATAGATCTGTGTTTTGGAGGATAGAGGTTTGGAAGAGATACTGATTTTATAGTAGCTAAGCTAGCTAAATTGACCGGGGACCTTGGTAGCATCTATTTCTGACTGATCAGTGTAGCATAACTGCTACATAGTTGCCTCCTGCTTGGCCCCCTCAATAGCAGGCACAAAACCCACCCGATCCTTAACATAGAACTCAACGTCAACATGGCCGCGAAGACCAGTCTCCCCATTATCCAACGTCCCAGCCTTGATGATAGTCTTGTCGGCCATGATCTCAACCTCGGTGTAGAGACTTGATCCGCACTCGGGGCAGAAGAAGTGGCGGTTGTTTTTGCCGGACTTGCCGGTTACATCGCAGTGTTTGGGGCTCCCTTTGTATGAATAGAATAAGTTACGGGACTCTTATTTTGAGGTGCACTGGGAGATAGAAAATACCCTTTGTGATACTGAAAGAGTCGCGCGGTACGACGACATTGGAGGTGCAGGGACCGCCGGTCCACTGTGTTGCTGTTAGCTATTCGTATGTAGTAGCGAGAAAGAAGAGACTACCTTCTGGCAATCGGCGCAGTGGCAGAGAGCCGTGACGAGAGGTTCCGCTAGCATTGTATCAGCATTTATATGCGGGGTAGCTTGTCAAGACAGCATACAGTCAGCAGCATAGCCGGTAGAACCGCACATGCAGGATCCTGTTAGAGGCATCTTATCGGTCTTGTTCGCTCAGAGTTGGATTGGTTTTCGTTGATGTGTACAGGGAGGAGTAATGACGGAAATGACCAGGTCATTTATAAGTAGCGATGCTGGTGGGGTAATGCGGAGGTGCATCGCCGATGGGATTTTATTCTGTAGCATTTTGGCATAGGTACTGATACTATTTAACGTGAAAAGACGGAGCTACAGTGTATGAATATAGATGTATGAATATAGATGTAGATCTGGAGATCGACTAATTTTATAGCAGTGAGGACCTTGATGGCATCTATTTTCTGGGACATGGCGTGAACAGGTCGGTAATCTAAACGTCGACCATCAAGTAGTAGTAGTAGTAGTAGTTTCTATTTAATGTCGGAGGTGGACGTGCGTTAGCGATCATCAATTACATGTCAATATCGGCTACAATGTATAACGAGAGCCACGTGAGAGACGTTGAAGTGCTATTTGAATTGCCGTGTTGTTACATCGAATAGCCTCATGCCAGGCACCAGGTGATTATGCAGGTCCCACCGAACATGTCGTGTCCTACATCGACATGCCACAGAGTACTATGCAAGATCTAGCATCGTTTCGGTCCACGTACGTCGTGCATTGCTTGGAATACCAGGTACAGATGATGCTTGGTATGTGGGACAGAAATACGGAGTACAGAACGTTGGTGATCCAAAGAGTATCCAATCATTCGTATTATCCCTAATCCATTTCATGTACTTTACACCTGAGCTTGGCTCAACTATTGTATCCAAAATCATCTGCTCCTGTTAGTATACCCGACTAACAACCGAACGTGTCACAACTAACCAATACCTAACCATACAACCCTCCTAATAGACATATCACGTCGTATTACACATATCGAATACTATCATCTACGCCTCTACTCAACATTAGCTTCAATCCCTTTCAATTGCTCACACTCGGCGCAAGGGGATACGTTACTTACTAACGCAAGTAGACGTGTTGATGTCACAGACGGTACACTCAACCAAGCAACTGTCGGGACCGTTGCAAATCTGTCCGCAGCTTCCGTCGCCCTGCTTTTCAAGGGTCTTAAGGGTGCGCAGGGAGTCAGGGATGGCGCTGGCGGCGACGGTAGTGAGGGTCGCGAAGGCGACGAGGAGGGATTTGAGGTGCATGTTGGTTTGTTTGGTGGGTTGACGGGTTTCAGTATGAATTGAGATGGAGGAAAACTGACAACGGGGCTAGAGTGAAGGATTTGCAGAGAAAAGCAAGAAAGAATACCCTTATATATAGGCAAGCCATGACATTCACTCCAATATCACCCCAAAAGAAAACATGCATTCACAGCCTCCATGTCTAAGAATCTACCAGCATTAACTTTGGATACACCATGAAACAACCAGTCAACTGCTCTTGCGGTGAATATGTTTTTGACAGATCTTTGAAACGGAGCCGTGTTTTCTTTGTCTGATCCTGGTTGCTTTTGCCCTTGCGTTGAGCTGAGCAGGTTCCGGGGTGCCGAGCTTAGGGGTCGTTAAATTTGAGCTGTCAGAGAGATTTACTCCGTGCCTGATACTAAGTGATTGATATAGGTATATTCGAAGGCTCTCTAGAGAGGATATGTAAACATACTGTAGCTGTACGGAGTGGACCGGATTACCATTTCGGGCGGATGCGCTATGACAATGTCAGATCCGATCTCGATCTACAGCCCGCAGCAATCGCAATCTCCCCCCCGACTGTCGTTTGACATGTTTCCTATTTTGTGCTTCCGATGATTTCTTCGTACACTGTATATATGATTTCCGAACTGTTCTTGTTCTCGCTACTAGTATTGGCACACTGAACCCCTGCCGAGCCGACAATCACTACACCATCGGAGAATAGCTGTACAAGTATCCTGTCTGTGTTCTCCTTCTTGTAGTAATTACAGTCGTCTATATCCTGGAAGCAATCACCCACCATGCAGGGGAAGATTAACGTCATACTCTGCAAATTATATAGCCCAGCTAACGTAGTATACCCCAGTGACGGTGCTCTCCGCTTTCCCCGGAGGCAATGGACCTAGGGGAACATGCTACTGTATACAAATCGATCCCACTCATCGAGACAACGAAGAGACCATTGATCCGAAACCTCCGAGTGTCTGCCTTCACGGCCATCTACAGCGACTCGGGTAAGACAGTAGTAGAAAAAGCCACTGCCCTAGAGAGACCCCCCGGGCGTGTCAGAAGGGCAAGACTTTGCAACTATGAGACCACCTAGACCTTTCCCCAGCTTACGCCTAATGAGCAGAGCTAGTCGGAAGAATATGTCCGGTGATATTCCGCAGTGCACCAGAAGAAAAAAAGGTCGGGATTCGTATCCCGAAAATAAAATAATATAACAGGAGATTCAACTAATCTGGAATGATAAATCCAAAATTGTTTCAGAGGCCTACTATCAGAATGGTACCCAACAAAATCGCCATCGCCACCGTATCCCTCGGCCAACATGCTACTCACCGTCTCGACCAAAAGATCCTTGCCGCAGCACAGCATGGCTTCGCCGGTATCGAGCTCGTGTATTCCGATCTGAGCGCCTACGCCGAGAAAAACAAGCTGTCCATGTCTACAGCCGCAGAGACCATCAAAGGACTATGCGCCAAACACAAATTGGCAATCGTCTCGCTCGCCCCCTTTGAGAACTTCGAGGGCTCAACCACGCCGCTAGAGAAGAGGCTCGAGATTGCTCAGCATTGGATCAGGATTGCTAGAAATCTCGGCGCTCTTTATCTCCAGATTCCATCGCACTACAAGGCCGATGAAGATGAGTCGGCCGGTGACGAGGCACTGCGTATCTCGGATCTGCAGAAACTCGCGGATATCGGCAGTGCCGAGCAGCCCATCGTGTCGATTGCTTATGAAGCGCTGTCTTGGGGGACACACTACTCTACATGGGAAGATTCGCTATATGTAGTGGAGAAGGTAAACCGCTCAAACTTCGGCCTGTGCTTGGACAATTTTCACGTCATCACGAAACTATGGGCCAGTGCGTTTAGACCCTCCGGCAAACTCCCCAACGCCGATAATGACCTGGCTCAATCCCTCTATCGATTCAGAGACCACTGTCCACTCGACAAAATCTTCTACCTACAATTCTCCGACGGAGAACTCTTCGATCCACCTTTCTCTGACAAGCACCCGTGGTATCTACAAGGCGAGGCACCAGAATTCACCTGGTCAAAACATGCTCGGCCGTTTCCATTGGAGTCGGAATTGGGTGGATATATGCCTGTTGTGGACATTGCTAGGACGTGGATTGTTGAGTCTGGGTTTGAGGGGTGGGTTTCGTTGGAGGTGTTTGATCGGAGGATGCGAGACGAGGGGTTCTCGGTGGACACTGCTGCGAGGAGGGGGATTGAGTCGTGGAGGAAAGTTAAGGCGGAGTTGGAGGTGCCGCAGGAGACTTAGAGGTTGAGGGAGGGGGGGTTGTATATATGAGTGGAATGTTATTCAGTCAAACAATTTTAACCAGGCCAATGACAGAAAGGCAATACGCTTTTATTAGAAGGGAAAGTATGCAGGAAATCAAGCTGTATTTTCTGAGCCAGTTGGACGATGAGCAGTAGGAAACCTGAGAGCCCCAATTTAGAGTCTTGTGTAACTGTGGGCTGGCCTACGAAGGGCGTTATAGTCAAGGAATTTATATGGAACTGAGATCATCGAAGTCACAACGACACGAAATCGATATGAACATGTCTGACAAATTCCACCAGATAGCTTAACGATATGCTGTCGCGAAACCCATTTAGCATGCTTTCTTGTCTCATTCATTGGTATTCAAGCCACATTCTCACAATATTCAGTCTCGGCAGCTTTTGCGTCTCCAAGCCCAACCGGTGTCTCTGTACGGGCAATCCTTGTTGCTTCGGACCAGGTCATATCCTTCCCAGCCTCGTACTTAGCCTCAAACAGACGGTCAACCTGTTCCAAGGAGAGATTAGCAGTCTCAACATAAAACCGCCAGATAATCGGGGCAAAGCAGACGTTGAAAATGGCAAAGAGCATATAATACTTCCAGTGGATGCTTTCGATGGCTGTGGGCGTGACCACGACCACCAGGTACACAAAGACCCAGTTCACTGTCGTGGCAAACGAGGTACCGATGTTCCGCATCTTCTGCGAGTTGATTTCCGCCGGGTACATGTATGGGATCGAGAGGAGTGACAGGTCGTAGAAAACGTAGTACATGAAAATAAACACGACGGCCAGGATTGACATGCCTTTGTTGTTTTCTCCGCCATAGCGCAGTCCAACAGCGACTAGTGCGAAGCAGATACCGCTTCCAGTAACTCCCATCAGCATTAGGCGTTTTCGGCCCATGCGGTCGATGACCAAACTGGCGAGCGAGCCCCAGAACATCAACAACATTGAGTCGACCGCCGACAGGATCAAGGCCATACGGTTGCTGAGCCCAACGCTTCGCGTTAATACAACGGGTAAGTAATACGCAATCACGTTCGTTCCTCCCAATTGTTGGAAGAAGGCTGTCTCTGCTCCGAGTAGCATCCGGCGGAACGTTTGTTGCTTGTTGTTGCTGGCGAAGATTTCTTTGAGGATACTGGATTGCTGCACTTCTGACTCGTGGTGGACAGTGGCAACCAGGTTCTGAATCCCGTCGACCACTGTAGGGTCGTACTCCGGTTTGGCCAGGAGTCGTGAGAGGATACTACGCGCTTCGCTGACACGACCTCTCATTACCAGCCAGCGAGGAGACTCCGGTGTGACGAGGACCAGGGCGATTGTGACGATTGCAAAGAAGCATTGGAAGGCAAGGGGAAACCGCCAGCTCACACTGGAGTGCGGAATGAAGGGAAACCATAGTTCATCCACTATAGAAAAGCTGGTCAGTTCCCATTCTCGTGGTAGGGGGCAGGACAGGAGGGCATACATTTGTGATCACGACACCAAATATATTCGTCACCAGCTGAGTGACGATGAGCTTTCCACGGTTATCTGCTCGTGCGGTTTTCGATTGCCAGACGGGGATGGCAACTGTGTTCATGCCATTCCCTACACCTGCCACCACACGGCCAACAATCATCTGCGCCAGGGAGTAAGAAGCAGTTTGCAACACGGCTCCCACAATTAGGATACAACACCCGGTAAGGATGCATCGTCTGCGCCCTAGTCTATCACCAAAGAACATGGACACCAAGGTGCCAATAATGCAGCCAATATCATAAGTAGCCACGATCTGGCCCTGGATTGTGGCATCGGGGTACCCGAAGGTCTTGAGGAAAGGTTCATTGTCGAGTAAACCACCGAAGACTCCCTAGTCATAACCAAAAAGGAGGAATCCAGCACCACAGGCGGCGGTGACTCCGAATCGGAGAGGTCTGCCTTGAGACTCTTGAAACAGCATTCTTCAAAGCTGCTAAATGAAGGGAAAAATGGTGAGAAGTGAGACATAATGTAACTCTTGCAAGCCCGATATGGCCGATACATCGGATTCGGATGTATGTATAATTTCTGCACTGTGATAGGAAGACGATTCAGTCTGGGGTAAACCCGGGGTATTTACTTAACCCTATACATACTGATGAAAGGAAATGCTCGGCTTTCATTCTCCGAGACCAACCCACCGATCATCTTGTTGATTCAGCTGGGTGAGCCTTGGTAATATAGATGTCCCGTATCATTCTTGACATCCCCGCTCTTTCCCCCGCATCTCGTCAGTATCCCTCATTAAAATTGATCCTGGTTCTGCTCAGAAATGCATCTCGTCAAGGAAGTGTACAACAATGCCGCCTGTCAAAGCCTCGAAAAGGAGACATGTCACCATGGCTTGCCTCGCTTGCCGCGAGAGCAAAATTAAGGTTAGCCACTTCCGATCCATAGAGTCTAGTGCCGGGGTCCTACTAACTGACTAGCACTTTCAGTGTGACGGTGGTGACCCGACGTGCTCCAATTGCGCAAACAGGAACCGGGACTGTCGCTATCAACATGTCGACAAGAGGAGGTAAGTACAAAGTTCAAGGAGAGGGTGAATTAATTAACACCTTCAGGCTTCCACTTCGCGTCGCTATCGAATTGCTGTCGAGTAGAGTGGATCAGCTATGCCACTTCATCCGCGACAATGGACTTCAACCACCACCCATGTCAGAAGAGAAGGATACAGCGCTGACGAGGATTTTAAAGATACTCGGACTGGTCGACGTGAACTCGACGCTAGCACAGCATGTAGCCGGGAGTAGGAGGCCTTCGCTCGCGACCCACGAGGCGGAGTCGCATTCACAAGGGTCGTCGCCGGTTCCTATCGCTGCCACTGCAACAAATCAATCGGAGGGAACCGAGTTCCAGCCATCCGAGCCGTCGCCTAAGCCGGGGTCCGTGGAGGAAGTGCCATCCAAGTTCACAGCCCACTATCAGGCCTCGACAGCACCGCTCCCAGAAAACCAGAATGCGGAAGAAAATAGCCCAGGGAATATCTTGGGTGCTTGGGATTGGGATATCGGTCTGGGAGGATCGCCAAATTCTTCGGAAATGCAGCACTTTTTTGGATCTGCTTCTCCGAGTGGAACACTTCTTGCAGCAATCGAGGATATCCCTGAGGCATTTAGCCCTGTACTCAGCGGAAACAATACGTTCGTGGAGGGAAATAGCAACGCAGAAGACATTGAAGGTCTCATTGATGAGCTCTCCAATAGAGTTGGGACCCTACGTATTGGGCCCGGAGGGCAGACGCATTTTTGCGGTCCGACATCGAATTTCAACCTAGCGGATATGCCAGTTTCAGATACAATGGAGGTGCATCGTAAGGTCCATAATAATGTTTCGCGATGTCTAGATCAACTGGGAACTAGCGCAGAAGTTCCTGCTTCCTTGGAGGACCATCTAATCAATCTTTATTTTAGCTGGCAAGATCCTTTTGTCCATGTGGTTAATCGAAGGGTCTATGAAGAGGCCAAGGCCAAATGGCTTGGAATGGGAGACACCCCATTCTATTCAGAGGCACTCCGAAACGCAATGTGAGTGCTTTGCTTTACCTGTAAGTCGCAGTGAACAATGTCTCATTGTTTTGATAGGTGTGCACTCGGTGCTGCGTTTGAGCCTCGCTATTATCCAACATTCGTCACATTTCCAAAATCCCTGGTCGACTTTTTCGGAGATCGAGCCAAGTCCCTGCTCGAGATCGAATTGGATTGTCCGTGCGTTGCCACCATTCAAGCAATGGTGATATTGAGCAGCCATGAGATTGGAAATGGAAAAGATGCTCGAGGATGGCTCTACAGCGGTATTTCTCGCCTGATTTTTCGTTTTTGGTCTATCTGACATTATTCAGGAATGGCAACACGGCTTGCCTTTGACCTAGCATTACACCTCGATATGTCTGCTTATGTTTCTAGCGGAGCCATCACTGCAATTGACGCAGACCTTCGTCGAACGGTCTTCTGGGCTGCATACACGGTTGACCAGTCAGTATCCCCTAATCCAACTTGCATGCTTTATTTTCTAATAGTGCATGTAGTCTTTTGGGTTTCTACCTTGGCAGGCCTTGTCGCACAAACATGGAGGATGTAACTGTTAGCAAGCCTGGTGACCAAGAAAATCACTGGGAGACCGGCAAATGGGCCCCCTACGTATCCCCCAGCTCTGTCAATTCCGACACCGGCTTGTTGGATTGTATGGAGGCTGTGATTCAACAGCAGGTCACGCTCTGCGAGCTGATGACCCCGTGTGGATACATCCTGTAAGATCTTGGCCTCTCGACTGATAATGGCATGGCTAATATTTTATTCTCAGCTATGGAACATCACGCATTTCAAAGGAAGTGCTGCAGGAGCTTAATGAAAAAATTGTAGCAAAGCTTCGAATTTGGAAAGCCAATCTCCCATCAACTTTACAGATCAATCTCAGCGACCACACTTCACTTTATCTTCCACATGTATTGCTGCTCCAGTAAGCCTTCATCTTCTTATCGAACTAACTCAAATTTCTGACCGCATATACGCAGTATGCAATATTACCAGAATATCATCTATGCTCACCGACCCTGGATGTCAAAAGGCCACCTCCAGCCCCAACCCCCAAAGGGCCCCGGATATCTGCACGCGCGAGAAATGTGCATCCAATCCGCCATTGCCATTGCCAAGATCTTAATCCTATACGAGACAAGATATACCCTCCGACGAATCAACGTGTCAGCCGTCTCGATCACCTCCTCTGCCGTCCTTTTCCTCCTTTTCGCTGCAGTATGTAAATACCCGAATCGTGAAGACAACAATATTGCAATCCACCTAAGCACCTGCTTCCGGGCCCTTGATGAGTTCACTCTGTCTTGGCAGAGTGCGAGACGCGCAAAGGATCTTCTGGTCCAGTTACAGCAGCAATGGGAAATGAGGACCCGGTCTAGCTGGAGATTCCCAGGAAGATCAAATGGCGGGATCATGTATACTTCTCAGAAGCAGGGACGTACCTCGGATTGGTCTAACGCTGTTTTCTCTGACTTAAATAAAGAACAAGTCCGTGGTACACAGCATACTGACCTCGAGCTGGATGGCGATTTGGATTGGATGCTTATGGCGGATGGGCAGTTTTTGCCAGAGAATTGTGAAGGAGGGCTTTATTCTTTGCTTCCGAATTCCGACATTCTTTTGCCAGAACATGCGAGTTAGTAGATGCGCTAGCTACGGACACGTTTGGTGATATTCCATTAGCTTTGTAGGATTCAATGACTCAACCTTGTTAGATCCATATCCTTCATATTCACTTTCACGACATTAATCTCAGTTTAGATTCGGAACAAAGTCCAAAGGGGCCGAAGGAGATGTTCTTGCTGAAGCACAACCGATTTAGCTGGAGATACCCAATGCATTCCACAAACAAACCTTATGCTGTTTGCTTGCCAGACTCGACGTCCAGAAAACGGATTCTCATACCCGGATCTAAGCTTACTATCCAGATTGGGAAATACCTAGGGTGAAATAGGGCAGCCCCAGTTTGTCCTTTCAAGCACTCGGGCTTTGCCTCTATCTGCCATTCTCCAACCTTGTTAATAATAATGGCCATTGTTGCTGTGGAGTCTTTCAAGTCAGTACTCCGCTTCGATGAGGCCTAAGAGTAAGCCATGCCCTCAACATCCAACTCGGGTTTCCACTTCCGAGCATACAACCCCACCATTTTCGGAAATCCTAGACCAGGACCTTTTATTTAATAAATAGCTTATTGTCATTTGGTATGTACCAAAAACCCTTTCTACTTTCTCCTTTAATATATACTTAACATGTCTAACCAAAAGCTCCGAGTCGGCATCGCCGGCCTTGGCCGAATGGGTACGAAGCACATTTGGAATCCAGAATCAATATATTCTAACAAGTAGCAGGCAAGCGCCATGCTGTCAATTTTACCCTTACGCCCCGGGTGACTGTTGTGGCAGCTAGTACCCCCGATGAAAGGGAACGCGAATGGGCAGTGGAGAACCTCGAAGGCGTAAAGACCTATCACGACTACGAAGAAATGCTTGAGAAAGAAGACCTGCAAGCGGTGGTGGTCGCAAGTATCACTGCTGTTCATGCGGAGCAAACGTTGAAGGCTATTGAAAAGGGCCTGCATGTTCTTTGCGAAAAGCCTCTCAGTATCGATGTTGGCATTGTGAGTGTCCTAGTCGTGATCACTACATGCTTTTATACTGACCAGCATCGAGGCGCAATCCGTGGTGGACGCATATGACAGATCCCTTCAAACCAATCCTGACCAGAAAGTGATGTGCGGGTTTTCAAGACGCTTCGACGCATCTTACCGCGAGGCCTTCACAAGAATCGCACAAGGAGAATACGGCCAGCCGGTGGTATTCCGCTCGCAAACCGCCGATCTCCTCGACACATCCGGTTTCTTTGTAGAATATGCCAAAACCAGCGGCGGCATCTTCGTCGACTGTTCCATCCACGACATCGATCTCATGCTCTGGTTCCTTGGAGAAGATCGCCAAATCAAGAGTCTGCAAGCTGTCGGAGTCGCAGCTGTTCACCCGGGACTGGAAGCTAGCAATGACCGCGACAATGCAATCGCGACGATTGAGTTCTCAGGTGGGAGGATCGCCTCTCTGTATTGCTCGCGCATGATGGCTGCTGGACAGGAAGATACCACCGAGATTATCTGCACAAAGGGCTCTTTGAGAGTGAATATGGAAGGCCGAAAGAATTATGTTGAGATCCATGACTCGATGGGTGCGAGGCGCGAGCTTCCGCAGCATTACTATGAGCGGTTCAGGGAAGCTTTTGTCACTGAGGCACTGGAGTTTACAGCATGTTGTTTGGATAATAAGCCAACACCGATTAGCCTTCAGAGCTCGGTTAAAGCTGTGACTGTTGGACAAGCGTTGCAGCGGAGCTTGGTTACCGGTGAGAAATTGTTTTTTAAAGAGGAGGTCGTGGGATAGATAGAGTTGGTGTTTGTTGATGCTTGCTAGAAATCTTTAGATAGGTACTCGAAATGAACATTTGGGAGTCTGGTTTGTCAACAAAAGCCCTCAAAGCATGTTACTGCTTGTGTCATCCTCCCATACATGGTCAAATAATTATAACATAACTCCTATACCCCCACAACGACTCGGGGAACAACCCATGTCGCCGTGGGATTCTCACTTATAATCTATCTACTTCTTTTCTAGTATAAGAAGGTCGCCAGCGACCAATGACAGAAATGTCGATTAAGTGACGTTCTTTCGGTGATAATTCCGTTGCGCTCTGCGCCACGAGAAAAGGAATAAGCACCCGGGCTTCATTCTCCGAGACCAGTCAATGATCCTTACACTTTACATAGATCGGTGTCATTTTCCGTTGGAAAGAATGCTGTCTGATAGGGGCGAGATAGTGAAGTAACCACTTATCTTTCATGTAGGCATAGGACAGTACACCGATCCTCCTCAATATCTTCGTGGCAGAGTTACTCTCCTCAAAAGTACTAAAAAAAAAAAAAAGAAAAGAAAAAAAAAGAAAAGAAAAAAAAAGTCATAGACTTTTACAGTAAAACGTCTGAGTGAAACCCAATTGTAGAGGACAAACTTCAAATTTAGAAGGTGAGAAATACAGGAATACATAAAATTTAATAACAGATTTGCACTGAGCTATGAAACGTCCCGTTTACCATCTAAGGACCTTCTTTGGGAAGTACTCATCGATGAGCTCCAAGTAGTAAGGCTATTGAAAAAGTGTGTGTTAGCGGCTGCATTTGAGATAACAAGGGAAGACCGACCTTCAGCTTCTCAGGATCCGGAACCTCGTCACTCTTACTGTACAGATCATAGGGGTTGAACGCCCGCACAGCCTCGAGCATTTTCACATCGTGCTCATTCATCAACTCGTGGTAGGCACCCTCGCGGTGCCACGGGTAAAATGAGTGGTACCGGATCATAGCCAAACCCTCAGCAGGGATGGTGGATTGATCCTTGACAATGTGGTAGAGATACTCATCATGGCCCCAGCACAACATCACATTCTCCAATCCACAGCCAGGAGAGTAGATGCCAAACTTGCTGCTGTAGACCGGGTTGTTGAAATCCTCATTGTCCTTGAACGACGCCTTTCCAAAAATAATCCTCTCATCGAATTCACAGCCGACGGGGAATGTATCACCAACGACATCCCACTGCCCATCAGCACCAAAGAAGAACAACAGCTTACCAAGGTCATGGATAAGGCCGACAAGTTGCATCCACCGAGGCTTTCCGTCTGCGCGCAGGGCTTCGGCGGATTGAAGCAGGTGGGTCATTTGGGACTCCTGGGTGTCGGGGTCACATTCGTCGATGAAGGTGTTTAGTTTCTCCATGGCATCCCAGACGCTCATATGGGCGCGAGTTTTGGTTCTGAAGTCATTGCGGGCCTTGAGGTTGTAGGACACGGTTTGGAGGGTGTGCTGTTTGGCGTAGAAGGCCTTGACGCTGTCGCGGGCATCGTTGAATTGGCGGAAGTTGGTCTTGTCTTTGCCTTGGTCGAAGTTGGATTGGGTATAGAGGGTACCTTTGGCTTGGAGGTTGCCTCTGAGCACGTTTACCGTGTCGATATTATCGGACATCGTTTCGATGCCGGCCGAACGTTGAGCCAGAACAGCAGCAGCCATTTTGAAGTTTGAGCGATGCAGTTTGTGGTCTTTGCGAGGATTGATAAGATTTTAGTTAGAGCAGAAGGCGAGATGAAGATGCCACATTTATAATGGCCAGATCCATGGTCCATGACCGGTTAACGTTCTCCGTGTCTTGTGTTTGACAGGTCTGACACTGAATGTTATCGGTTTCTAGTTTCCGTAGAGCTTTGCATTGTGATTCACTTTCCATGAATGTTTCTTTGCCTGCAGCATTGTATTCAGTGATGGTCCGACGTCACCAATCAGAATGGAAGCATGTGCAAGCATTTCAATTGTCAGCGCGGGGAAAGCTATCCCGAAGCACTTCCCTTCGGAATTCGCTGGCTGACTCGAGAACTGGGCCCTCAAGGTCTACTTAATTATTCTTTCGTCTGAATTGGGATTCCGAAGGAGCTTCTCCCATCACACAACGAATGGGCTTCGGTGCAGAGTGCGGCGGAGTTGGCCAGTGTGCTCTTAAATATGAGACTAGCCAGCACCTGGAAATGGTGGTAGACTGTCTATTGAGTCCGGCTGCATTAATGAGAAGAGTCTTGATCATTTGAATTGGTGCTGACCAGCTTCCCTAGAGGTTGTAGGAGTAGGGGGCAGGAGTGGTGCTCAACGAAGTAAATGTCTGCATATACCGGATTAGCATTCATTTAGAGTCATTATAATGGTAGCACCATGAATAGACCTTAGATATGATATACGGCTCCTAGGGTTTCCATTCAACACTGGTGGGCCCTTATTGCAGTGGATATGTGGTTGACAGTTCTTTGAAATAGGGCCGACGCGGATCAGAGCTTTTTTGGTCTGATTCCGGTTGCTTTTGCCTCGAGTTGAGTTGAACGGGTTTCGAGTGCAGTTTAGGGATCGTGGGATTTGAGCTGCCAGTGATATTCATTCCGTGTTTGATACTAGGTAATTGATAGTAGATGTATTTAGGATTCTCCAGTGTAAATATGTAAGCATAGTCAATTGCAGCGCGGGGATTGGATTACCATTTCAGGCGGATACGCTATGACGATATCAGATCCGATCTCGATCTACAGTTCGCAGCAATCGCGATCTTTTTCTGCCCACTGTTGTCTGATAACTTTCCTGTTTTATTCTCTCACAATTACTCTGTACACTAAATATACGACTAGCCGAGCTGTTCTTGCTCGCTATTACTTGTAGTGGACCGTTGCCGAGCCGATAACGATAAATACGTCATTGGGCAAATAGCCGACGATTCTCGCGACAGCGAACAGGCGTTCTCTCCCCGCATATTTTGCAGTCTATATAGTAACCAGTATCCTCCTATTTTCCTCAGCCATTGAGCCATTGTGTAAAGCCATAGTTGTACTCATTACCAACAAATTGCCCACCATGCCACTAAATGGTAAGCTATACTACGCATCCTCGTCTAGACCCAGCTAACGGGCAGGCAGACCTCAACGGCGGCGCCCTCCGTGCCCTCATCGAAAAATACCGCCCCGAAATGAAAACATTCGAAGGCTTCTACCGCAACCTCCACAGCTTCCCCGAACTCTCTGGGCTCGAAGAACGCACCTCTACCACCGCCGCTGAATACCTGCACAGCCTCGACTTCGACGTCCACACGCATATCGGCGGGTACGGTGTTGCCGGTGTTTTCCGGAACGGCGATGGACCGACCGTCCTGCTACGCGCGGATATGGACGCCCTACCCATGGAGGAGGAGACGGGGGTTCCGTACGCGAGTACTCGCGTGATGAAGGATAAGAATGGTGTTGAGCGACCTGCTGCGCATGCGTGCGGGCATGATTTCCATGTTACTGCTTTGGTTGCAGCGGTATCGTTATTGCATTCTGCGAAGGAGGAGTGGTCGGGGACACTAGTTGTTGTGTTCCAACCATCAGAGGAGGAGCTGAATGGGGCGAAGGGGATGATTGACGATGGACTTTACGAAAAGATTCCGAAGCCCGATGTTGTGCTTGCGCAACACGTACTTAAGATGAGGGCGGGATCTGTGAGTGTCAAGTCCGGGCGGTTGCTGACTGCGGCAGATGCATTTGACGTGCGAATTTACGGGCGCGGTGGGCATGGGTCTGCGCCGCATACGACTGTTGACCCTATTTTGATTGGGGCATCAATTGTGACGCGGTTACAGGGGATTGTGAGCCGGGAGGTGGCGCCTGGGGAGATGGCGGTTGTCAGCTGTGGGAGTATTCAGTCGGGGCATGCGTCGAATATTATTCCGAGCGTGTTGGATTTGAAGCTTAATGTGCGGACTTATGATGAGAAAGTGCGGAAGAACGTCATCGCGTCCATAAAGAGGATCATCGAAGCTGAGTGTCATGCCGGACGAGCGGTCAAGGACGCGCGTGTCGAGTGTTCTATTTCGTCGCCTGCTACGGTCAACGATGGTGAGATGGTTGAGCAGCTGAAGGGTACGTTTGGGAGTTATTTCAAAGAGAACTTGGTTGAGCCGGAACCTGCTACTGCTAGCGAGGACTTTAGTCTTCTTGCGACGGCTGTTGGCGCGCCTTATGTCATGTGGACATTTGGTGGTATTGATGAGAACAAGTGGGACGAGGCTGAGGCGAATGGGACTCTGGGTGAGCTGCCTGGTAACCATTCGCCGTATTTTGCTCCGGCGTTGCAGCCGACTCTGCGTACGGGGGTGGACGCGATGGCCATTGGTGCTTTGACCTTTTTGAAACGCAAGAATTGAAGCATACTATCATAAAAGCATTGTTTACTCCTTAGTGACATGGATAATGATCTTCCCCTTGGAACGCTGCGTACGAAGCTTCTCAAACGCTTTGACAGCATCTTCAAACTCGTAGGTGCTGTCAATCACAGCCCTGACCTTGCCCTGTTGCATCCACTTTCCAATCTGCACGATATCCTCCTTCTTATGCTTCATCATGAAGATGACGTACTTCCGCTTCCCTCCGCCCAAGAAACTAGGCCAAACCAGCCTGTTGGCAAAAATGGACACCGACGCCGCACCAACCTGCACAAATGCCTTTCCAGGACGTAGAAACGAGTCACTCTCGTTGTAGAGATTCTCGGGGAGACCGATATGGTCAATGGCATGATCGTATACTTGGCCTTGTTCTTTTAGGACACCGATGACATCCTCCGTTGTGTAGTCAATAACTTCATCCGCTCCCAAGTCCTTACAAAACTGCACATTCCGCGATGAACAAGTTGCAGTGACATGGCATCCAACAATCTTGGCAAACTGGATCGCGAAAATCCCACATCCCCCAGAACCACCATTGACAAACACCCTATCCCCCTTTGAAACATACGGCACGAGAGACTGGTACGCCGTCTGCGCCGCAATTCCCACTGTAGACGCTTGATCAACCTCAACCCCCTCCGGTAACGCAGCAACATTCTCCTTCCCGACAACCATATACTCCCCCAACGACCCGAACTGCGTGGGTATAGCCGTCGTCCCATACACTAACTGTCCGCTCTCGAACCCACTAACCTCTGCACCGGTAGAAACCACTCGTCCTGCAAAATCCATTCCCGGCGACGCAGGTTTAGATACCAACACGCGAGAGACCATTGGCATCTCTGGAACTTTGTAGTCGGCCGGGTTGATGGAGGCCGAGAGGACGCGGATGAGGAGTTGAGAGGGGCCGGGGGGTGTTGGGGTGCGGGTGGAGGGGTGGAGGGTGAGGTTTTTCTCGAGACCATTGGCGGTGGTGGTGTAGAGCCAGGCTTTCATTGTGGATGGTTCTGCCATTGTGGTTACTGTTTGATGTTTGATTGCAGTTGTGAGTGCAGTTTGGAGGATTGATAAGATATGGGTGTAGTTGTATTAGGCCGTATTCGTGGTGAGCTGGTGGCGACGTAATTATGCACTGCATAAATACTTATACATTAGCTTATCCAGCCTCAAGAATACATTCACCTCCATGTTTACCTACAAGTAAGAGTACCCCTGGGGAAATAGTGGCATAAATTAAGTCAAGGTTGATACGCGAAATTAAACGTCAGTCGCAATGTCCACAGTGGACCTGTCAGTCGATCTCGACTACGCCATAGTGCTAGTGCTGCTGCCACGTACACACAGGTGAGTTGTCTTGCAGATGTTCAGCTCTCGATCTACTCTGTAGTAATCTAGCTTATCCTACTTTATTCGGATCTCGCCAACTGTGCATTCCCCTGTGTCTTCCTAATCAGGCATAGTGCGCCCCCTGCGTGGATGACATCACTGCCTCGGTCTCCTGTATTTTCTTTTCCTGCCGATTCCTATAAACATTTCTTTCTCTCTGTGCTCTTATACGTGCGGATTTGTTTATTGTCTGTCGTTCTTTGGATATATATCTGTCTTTCCATCTACTGTCGTTCTTTGGTTGTTGCATCCCGGTCCACCCCTGGTGCCTTGTATATAGTACCCACGAGTACATAATGCCATTCAAGACCGTCGCATTGAGTGCGGCCCTGACCCCTACTGTCATTTCTACTTGGTTTTCCCATGTGAGTTCCTCGTTCTGCCCGAGTCTGTATCAATGGTACTGACAAAAACAGTATTTCAACCGCAAATCGCTGCACAACACCCCCTCCGTCCACATCTCCTACGATGAAGGCATTCATGTCATGCGCGAATTCCTCGTCTTCGCGTCGAAATACCCCGTCGAAGATCTCCAAGAATTCTCCCGTCAATGGGTGCCCAGTCCGCACTGGGTGAGGACCGAGCCCGCCAGTATCTCCGATAGGTACCTCGAATCTGCGGCGAAAACGTTGGTTGCGCAACTCGGGCCGAAGGGGATAAAAGACATTGGCGGGGAGGAGTGGTGGCAGTGGCGTGGGCCGGCTGAGGATCTCCGAGGAGAGTGGATTGAGATGCGGGATGATTATAATGAGAGGAAGAAGGTTGGGGAGGAGAAACTTAAGGGAAGGAATCGCATTATTCTGTATATCCACGGGGGCGCATACTTTTTCGGGAGTGTGGATACCCATCGGTATCAGATGCAGAGGCATGCGAGGAAGTTAAAGGGGAGGGTCTTTGCACGGTATGCTTTATCCGGTTGTTTGGTTTGAGTTTTGCTGACTGTGGTAGTGAGTGGCCGTCCATGGCTGTACCGTTGTTGAGTGTCATGCTAAGTTTACAGCGCAATACCGTCTGTCTCCGCAATATCCATTTCCTTGCAGTCTACAGGACTGTTTGGCGTCGTATCTTTGGCTTTTGAGCATATACGAGCCAAAGGAAATCATCTTCGCCGGTGATTCTGCGGGCGGAGGAATGGCACTCTCGTGAGTCAATAACTCTGAGAAATCAAACAGCATGCTGACCGTCAAGGTTGCTTGTCACTATTCGCGACCAGTGCTTGCCTCTCCCAGCCGGTGGAATCTTGATCTCTCCCTGGGTCGATCTTACGCACTCGTTTCCTAGTATCATCGCAAATAATCCATTCGACTACATTCCCCCATATGGCTTCAGACATAAACCGTCCCAGGCATGGCCTCCGCCCAACTCTGACGAAATCCTCACTATGAAGAAGGAAGTCCGCAAACACACCGATGCGAAAACCGGAGCGGAACAGGCAATGCCAAAGCAGGATATCCAAGCACAAGATACTGCGAAGAAAGGCTACACATCCTGGGATAGCACTGATGATCAGAAACATGCATATCCGGGCCAGCAGAAAGATGAAGAAGGCGCCGAGAAGGAAGCAGCCGGCAGTGTCTCCATCGACGTGGATGGGAAAACCATCGAAATCAAGGACCAGATCCACATGTACACGACGAATCGGCTTCTATCTCATCCTCTCGTCTCTCCGGCTCTACAGCCATCTCTTGGTGGCTTGCCGCCATTGCTGGTTCTCACTGGCGGAGGTGAGATGCTACGCGACGAGCAGATCTATCTTGCCCACAAAGCTGCGCATCCCACCGCATATCCACCTGGGGATGTCTACCTTGACGAGTACGATCCGAATGGGGAGACCTTGAACAGGTATCCGCCTACATGTGTCCAGCTGCAAGTCTGGGATAATCTCTGCCATGTTGCACCAACTCTCAGTTTCTCCCGTCCAGCAAAGTACATGTTCCGTTCAATTTCACAGTTTGGCGCATGGGCGTTTGCTCATGCACAGAATACGGAGATCGATATCCTGGTCGACAATGACCCTGCGATTTCTTCCCCCGACGACCACAGCTCATCCTCATCCGCATCCTCGATATCCGGAGATACAGAGAAAAATGCACCGCGACATGCCGTAGATTCCATCGGCAAAGCTGGCGACCCCCTACCCGAGTTTGAAAACCATATGATTCGTCAGCGAGTTGACAAACGCGGTCATGTCTACCCCCTCGATCCGCCATCGTCGTTTGAAGCATTGCAAATGCCAGCATCTCAAGTCGGCGCATTCAATCCCGTACTCGTGAAACGCTGGATCGCCGCAAAGCAAGAATGGGACGATAAATTCGCCAAGGAGAAACTGCGCGTGCAGAAACAGCGGATGACAGAATTATATCACCAGTTCCAGAACTTCAAGGACGAAACACCACCACCCAGCTCGTTGGCCGCAAGGAGGGAAGCACCCGGTGTCCTGCCGCCGAGGCGCGAGAGGAAGAGTTATCTGATGATGATGTGGAGTTCTTGGGCTAGTAAGCACGATAAGCGACTTGTCGGGAAGGCTGGGAAGGAGGGTGGTGGTGATACGAAGAGTGTTGTCGATACCGGGCAGATTCGTGCTTCTAGGGCGGGTTCATCTTCAGATGAGGGTGTGAAACCTGTTCCACCGGAGAAGTCCACTGAACCTATCTCTGATGCCCAGCCTACGGTTAACACTGGCCCCAAAGGCATAACAATCGACGCCGATACAGCGAACAAAACCCTCGCTGAGGAGCGCAAACGCCCAACAAGCGAGCTTAACAGATCCGACTCTGCTTCCAACCAGCCAGGATCCCCAATGACCTACAAATCTTCCCTTGACAGACCGCTAGGAAGCCCACTTCTAGTCCTCCCAGACTACGACAACAAGAAAATCACACCCACCGAAGAAAATGCAAGTACACGCGCTCTCTTTCACGCACCGGGAACTCTCCCGGCCTCTGCCTCTGATACCTCCCTATCAAGGATATCAAAGTCCCACCGTCCTACGTCCTCATACACCGGCTCAATCGCACCAACTGAAGACGCGAATAGTACCATCGCGGACGAAAAGTCCCTCGCAGTTACCAATACAACCGGCGGAGGAGCAGCTTTCGATAACGCAAGCACACGCGCACTGCTAAATTCCACAGGTGTCGTTGGCGCTGTTCCTCTTGCATCTGGCACTAGCTCTGCTCGGCAGTCGATTGATGCGCGCCGGTCCATCGATGCGCTCTCCCGTACGGCGAGTGATATCGACGCTGTGTCGTTTGTGGGTGGTGTGGATGAAGCTGCTAATGGGCGTCCGAAAATGCCGGAGAGAGATGTTTTTAGGACTGCGGATGAATTCTAGTCTTCCTGTATGACCGGTTAAGGCTGTGAACATTATTTTGTATATTCAGGCTGGTCCTGACATGTCATCTTGAATTCTTGAGATACTTTTTAATTTTATTTTATTTTTTTTTTTTTTTTCTCTTGAAAATCTTACATACTGCATTCGTGTTTAGAACATCAATCTGTCACGATACTAGAAATCATCTTGGGTATATATACACTACACTACAAATACAATCTAACCATCTAAAATCCATCCCATCTACCAGCTTAAACCAACCTTCCCCGCAACCTTCTCCGCAACATCCAAAAACGCCTGCCTCCTAGCACTCCTCTCCTCGCTCTCCTCGCTCACCATAGTCGGTACACCCCTATCCGCATCCTCGCACACCTTTGCATCAAGCGGGATATCACCTAGGAACTGCACACCGAGTCGTTTACACTGTGCCACGACACCTGAGTCTTCGGCGGCGTCGCCGTGATGGTGATGTTCACCGTGGGAAAAGATACGTGTTTGGTGCCCGCACTTCGGACACGCGAAGAAGGCCATGTTCCTCACCATGCCCAACACGGGGACGTCCATTTTACTGAACAATCCGAACCCGCGGACTGCGTCTCGCAGCGCGATATCCTGCGGCGTAGTTACGATAACAGCACCGTCGAGGATGATCTCTTGGTTTATGGTGAGCTGCACATCTCCTGTTCCCGGCGGAAGATCCAAAAACAGCACGTCGAGCGGACCCCACGACACAGAATGTAGTAATTGGTGCATTGCCTTCGTAACCATCAATCCACGCCAGGAAATCGGCGTCGTATCCATTGGCGTTTGGTTGGTGTTAATATCTGCTGCAGGATCCTGTTCTGGGGATGGGAGGAGATAGCCCATAGACATGGATTTTAGGCCGTAGTTTGTTAGCGGGAGGAGACGATCATCTGTCAAGCATTAGCTTAGCTTTAGTTTAACTTGGTCTTAGTGTTGGTCTGGAGGGGGAGATGGGGGATGGGATGGGGGTGGGGGAGCGCACTTTCGTCTAGCCGCGGCTGGCCGGAGAGATTGAGGAGTGTTGGGATTGAAGGGCCGAAGATATCTGTATCTAGGATGCCGGTGCGGATTCCGCGGCGGGCGAAGGAGAGGGCGAGGTTTGCTGTCGGTTATTAGCTTGCATTGCGTATAACGGTGATTTGTCTCGGAACCATATTCCAAGCCCATTGTGTTGACTTCGTGCGATGTACGTACTTGCTACCGTCGACTTCCCGACTCCACCCTTAGCAGACGAAACTGCAATCACCTTCTTCACATCGCGAATCTTGCGCTTCTCCGGTAATCCGCGCCGGCTCCGGAGTGACGGCGGGGTGCCGGAGCGAGGTAGGCCCTAACAGCGTCAACATTTGCATTACTTTCCCAGAACAGGAATTACTCACTAGTGGATTTTCATGCTGAAGCACCCTAGCTGTCGAAAATAGTCTCCTTTGCATCATACCCATTTCTCTTTTTCAGGTGAGTGAGGCTTGTTGAATGGATGATTGGAAATGATGTTATAAAATACTGCCTGTGGAAATCTCACCGCCCGGAAGAACTACCCCAAAGTGCACATAAAATTACTATAAATGGTAAGATTGACCGATACCGCATCCCGATTTTTTTGTTCTCCGCCGAGAAAAAATAAAATAATTTCTTCCGGTTTGCGATTTCTCTACAATAGAGCAAGACAAGATAAAATGGCACCGAAATCGAAATCAAAGTCGCTGGCTGAGCAATTCGCCGAATTGGATGATCCGACTCCTAAGGGTATGCATTTTATCCGGATTCTCTCATTGAAATGATAGTTTGAATGCGCGACTAATCTCGATGCGACAGACTTCGACCCCGAGGATCTGGACACCGCGAAAGATGGCCAGAGCGATGATGACGAATCGGGGGAAAGTGAGGATGATGATGCGGGGAGGGAGCATTATCAGGCTGTAGGGTGAGTTTTCTATCCCTCTACGAGAATAAAATTTGGTTGCGATTGAATATGCCTAACAAATTGATGCGGCAGAAAATCGAAACTCCGCAAACCAGAACCGATTAACCTTGGAAAGCAATACGCCGGGTCGAAGGTTAGCAGGGAGGCACTTGAGGATGTTAGCGATGATGATCCGTTTAAAGCGCGGTCGAGTGATGAGGAAGATGATGATGAGGAGGAAGAGGATGTTGGTTTAGAGGATGAGGAAAATGAGGATGATAGTGAAGGGGATTCTGAGGTGGTCGAGAAGCCAGAGGTGAAGACACCTAAGAAGACGAAGCAAAAACAAGAGCAGGAGTCGGAGGATGAGGATGAGGATGGCATGGAAACCGATGGCTCGGAGGACATTGACGGCGAGGATGGCCTCGAGGATGATGATAGCGAGGATGGGTCCGAAGATGGGGAAGACGACGATGACGAGGAGGATGGAGACGAGGACGAAGATGACGATCCCAAGCCCAAAGGAGACGACCGAGAACAGCTGCGCCAGCTGATGGCCACGGACCAAAAATCGATTGCGGCCAGTATCTCACAGGCAGCCAAGGCAGATGCGGTGAAAGGAAAGGCTGTCAAGCAACAACGCAAGACCTTTGATGCTCTCCTAAATACTCGGATCAAGCTGCAAAAGGGGCTCACGGCAGTCAGTCAGCTATCCGTTGCCGCGAAGGATGCTGAAAATGTCGACACCGAAGCTATCAAATCCGCTGAATCGGCCGCCCTGGCACTCTGGTCTACGCTCGAAGATCTACGATATGCACTAGCCGACGCACAATCCGGCGAATCTAAGAAACGCAAGCGACCCTCCCCTGTGTCACCTACCACATCCTCAGCCTCGCTGTGGCAGCGCATGACCGACCTCGAAACCGACGCCGTCGCCCACCGCCGCACTGTTCTTGATAAGTGGTCTGTGAAGGTCCGCGGATCTAGCGCCTCTCTCCCCAATTCCCGTGGAAAGCTGCTTGGCTCTGGCGCTGCTGGTCAGCAAACCATCACCGCGGTCCTAGATGCACAACTTGCATCCGAAGCCGGAGAGCGATCGACGAAGCGCGCACGAAACGCCAACGGTGCTGTTACGGAAGACGAGCCAATCTACGATGATAGTATCTTCTACCAGACTATGCTCCGGGAGCTAGTCGAACAGCGCATTTCGTCCGACTCCATCGCCAACGGCCTCGACACCCTCCACATCCAACTTCCCTCCAAGCTCTCCATCCACCCCGTAACGGGCATGCGCAACGACAAGAACCGGAGAGCAAACGTCGACACTCGCGCCTCCAAGGGCCGCAAGATGCGGTTCGACGTGCATGAGAAACTCCAAAACTTTATGGCACCAGAGGACCGGGGTACATGGACTACCCGTGCGCGGGATGAGTTCTTTGCCTCGCTGCTTGGCCGGACGGCTAGTGGTATGCTTGGTGAAGGGGATGAGGATGATGCCAGTGCTGAGGAGAGCGATGAGGATCGTGAGGAGGGTGGATTGAGATTATTCCGGAATTAGGCTTAATTGGGATCAGCATAGCATATTGTATCATTGTATAGCATCAAAATGTATAGGATTTGGACTGTATATACATTAGGGCGCTGGTCCATTGGTCGCCAAGGTCTTATCGCTTACTTCTCTTCCAGTGGTTGACCAGTCCCGACAACGTCCCGAAAAAGGACTCAGGTGTAACGTCTGAACCATTCAATGATACAGAAGAGGAAGGGGAGAAAACAATATTCTTTGGTCCTCTCGTTCCGGTAATTCTAAGAACTTGTTGCTCGCCCCTCTGTTGTTAATCCTAGGCTAACGGTGTTGCAGACCACTCCTTTCCTCCTAATCCAGCATGAATCATAAGATTCGTCCTAAGAATATGCCAGGAACTGTTGTACAAAGCACAGGGATTGACACGTGGTACTTCTGGGCTTCGAAAGTCCTGCAATGCCTGACCGGGGCCGTTTTCCATAGGAAGCGATGCCGACATAGACATGTCAACATTGTTTCGGCAGTACATATCAATGACACCGGAAAAGCGTTAAACATATACTGAAGAGGGGAAGATATATCCTGCAAGGCTATCGCGATCTTTTACAGACTCCAACAGAAAAACTCGTATTCCAAATACGATTTATGCACGGTTCGGGCAGACCTGCCCTCAATTTATGCCCGATATGCGGGGCCTGCGGTGTGTTGCATGGGGGACAAAGAATGCATCTCAGGATACACGAGGACTGCGTGGGCCAAGACTTGTTGGCTGGCTTTCGCTGTTTCCGGTATGGCACGAAGGAATGGCGTTCCATGTCGTTGGTGCCCTCAGACAAAGGAATACGAGAGAGGCTGGTGGTGGGTTTTAACCTCGCCGTCGTGTCACTCGCCCGCTGTACTTTTTCTTCTTAACTTATTTTTCGCACCCTGGCGGTCACAGTGTTCAGAGGGTATTCATGATTTCTTCTGCAATGGTCAGGTCGCTAGTGTTATTGCTGGTCTTAGTGGCCCTCGTCGTGGCCCAGGACAGTCGATCTGGGTTTGGGACGGGGACGCTGTCAACAACGCAAACAACTGCAGTGTCTACAACAGATTCGACAAGAACAACACTATCAACTCAGACTTCAACAAAAACAACAACATCATCATCATCAACCGGAACTGGGACTCATACGGTTAAAGTTGGTCCCAGGGCAAGCCCGCATCAATATGATCCTCCCATTGTCAACGCCAGTGTCGGGGATTTAATCGTCTTCGAGTTCTATCCAAGAAACCATTCGGTTGTGCAGGCGAATTACCTGGAGCCGTGTATACCAGCGGCGAGGGACATTTTCTACTCTGGGCCTTTCAATGATTTTAACGAGGTTGACGGGTTTCTGGAAGGACCGGTAAGTAGTTGTTTGTATTTTGTGCTGCACGCTGTATCTAACGAATTGGATACAGGCACCAACATGGACATTAAGGGTCAATAATACGGAGGTAAGATTTCCTATCGAGCTTTTCAAGATGTAGTGCTGATGAGATCTATAGCCGACGTTCTTTTATTGTACCGCGATAGACTCATGCAACGTAAATGGGATGGTAGGGGCCATCAATCCGGTACTACATCCCCTGTAGCTTCTAATATCTACGTTATCTACGGTCTGCTAACAGCAAAAAGAACAAAAGCATGACCTGGGAAGAACAGAACAAAAAGGCATTGAAATCCGCCATTCAGCTCGCCCCCGGCGAATCAGTCCCAGCAGAAGGCGATGACGACTCGTCATCCGACTCTTCCAGCTCCTCATCAAAACTCAGCGGTGGCGCCATCGCCGGAATCGTGGTCGGCGCAGTGGCCTTCATTGCGGTCCTCGTGGCCCTCTTCTTCGTCCTCGGCCGCAACCGCGTCTACAAGAAATGGATGACCTCACAAGATGGCCGATCTGAACGCACCGCCCGCTGGGCCTTGTTTAACAGCGCATCTGGAACGGCACCTTCGGACGCACGCAAGAGCGAACATGAACCCGCGTTCCAGCCGATGACGGCCGACCACCAACCGGGAATGTTTGTTACAAGTCCGGAAATGACTCATGCTGCTACGGCGTCGCCTCCGTATCCATATTCTAGACATGGATCGCCGCCTCCGCAGCAGAGTATGCCCGTCGCTGGGCATTGGAGTTGGGATATGACGGCACATCAGCAACAACAGCAGTACCCGCCGCCTCCGCCGCCACCGCCGGTTGAGTTGGATTCTGATAGTCGAAAATGAGTTGATTATGAGTTATGATGATGTCTTGTTTGGCTTAGTTGGGAAATTGAAAAATGGATTTCTCTTGTTTGGATGCCTGCGTCTGCCACTAGAAAACAGTTAGGGCAGGGAGGAGGAAGGGCCGTCATCAGTTTAATAATATTCCCCACGCTGGCCTGTATAAAGTACATATTAATTTTTTTTTGTCAATAGCGTATAGATATTACCCTTTGAATACCACTGTTGGATGGAATGTCCCTTGAATTGTGAAATAAACAGGGATCTACCAATATTTGAACAGTGGAACAGATAGCCTGACTTGACTTCTTACCAGCGGAATGACCAAGACTCCAGCCCATAAAATGGAAGCATGGGGCTCTGCTACAAGCACAGCACTGACAACATCCTTGACTAAGAGAATTGTCTTAACAACCCTTTAGGTCTGTTCACAAACAACCACGTATTTACTGTCTCTGTAGAGCCTATTGGTGGGCTATCTAGCGGAATATTAACATGGAGAAGCAAAGGGAGAAGCTAAGCCTGCCAGCGCTGAGCTATCTAGTGTGTACGAAGGGGTTACTGCCCTATATTCAGACAGACCAAAGTAGTCAAACACCTTGCATCGTTGGTGAGTGCTCACGCTCTGACAATAATAGTGCCCTAATTTGCTATGGTGCGCAGCGTATTCCCCTAGTGACAATTCAATAAGGATTTCTCATAAGCCTCAAGCAGTTCCTCATTTTCTTTCCAGGCTTTGCCATGTACTCCGTTCCAAATGCCATTTATGCTGATCGAATCTCCTGGGACAGATCCAATGGGTTTATCCACAAGTTCCTGTGACAGTCTTCCAGGGTTATCATGCGACCTTTCTGGTCGAGCTCCATCTTCAGGCGTTCTCTGAGGCATTGACTGTCAGCATCTCAGCAATCATTGGCGTTGGTACGATAAATTGCTTCTCACGTTTCGGCTTTCGTCATGTCTTGGTATATGAAACTGATAAAACTTCGGTCTAGAATCGATTCTTACGTTCTATTTATCTGAACCTAATAGATTGGAAAGTGTTCGGAGAGTGAGAATACGTCTTGGATTTCTTCAATCATCACAATTACTACTCCACTGCATGTGAGCTGCTGAAATGGTTGGCTGTGACAGAGACCTAGCCACCACCCAAGAAATGTATTGACAATGTACTGAAATATGTATATGAAGTAAAATTAAAGTTATTTTTCAATTCCACACCAGCATCATGAAACCCGGTTAACCACAAGTAGCCTTTTGAATAGCATCATTTTCATCGACATGGACATTCAACCTAAACACACGATTTGTCAGGGAAAAATAGGCTCAAATATCTTGCTATAGGCAAATACATACCTTCCGGGCCGGAGATCCATAGTAGCAACGTCACCCGGGTGCAACACGCGAACCGTCTCCGAATTGGTTTGGCTGGCCTGGAGCCCAAAATTCAGTGTTTAGGAAGAGATAGGAAAGGGCAGAAGGGGTTAACGTACGATTTCCTGCGTGTATTTCTGTCCCTGATGTTGGTTGACTAGCTCGGCATCTCCGGAGCAAGTGGCCTCGTTGCCAAGAGCGGCATTGATGGCAGAAAGGCCCACGAGGAGGGAGAGGTACAGCTTCATGGTGAATGAGTATATTTTGTTTTGGTATCGATAGTGTTGCAAATTGAGAGCGTCGGAAACAGTGGACAAACAATGGCTTTATATTTCCCGGGGCAACTCGGGCAGTGCCATTCGCCACAGCAAATACGAAACCATAGCTAAGAATAGTGCAGAGCTAATTATGTTGCCCCTATACTCCGGCTGTAACCGACATTACCGAAGGATGAATGATCCACCGCTTTTTTGGAGGGCCGATTTCAAACCCAAGCTCGTCAAAATGTACGGAGCAACCCTGGGTGACGGTGGAAAGGCCACAAAACTTCGTGACCTTTGGTGTTCATTTTCGTGGCATTTCCGTCGCGGCGTTGCCGCTTTAAAGTGGCCTCTGGTCGATTTCTAAAACGGGCTAAGCGCAACTGTCCCTGTCAACAGCGTTCACATCCAGTGTTTACTATATTCTTGTATCACAGAGCACCCTCATCATGGGATTTTTTTCCAAACAAAAGCTATATAAACACTTGAATTCCGACTGTACGTTCAATCTTTGGGGAGGTGCAAAAGGAGTTCCTGTTTTCACTCAAAAAGGACATGAAATCAGTGAGTAGTGCCCCTAGATATCAAATAGTGACTGACCTTTTCTGCAGCTTGTGTGTCAAAATCTTACTGAGAAATATGGCCTTATCAAAAAGATTAAATTTCAGCCATCTGTCAATGATGACCTTTTATATCTGGTGCATCCCCTAGTGGCCATCTCTCTAATGAGTACTTTCTTACTCTGAGACAGAGACAGCAGCACAACACACTGATGAAGATCATGATGTCCATATCAGCTTGACCTGGAATATTGCTTGAAAGTTCAGAATACTTCAGATCTAAGAATGCCTTGAAATGGGTGATGTGGATATCTTCATGGTCAAAGTCCTAGACTATCCTAACTGCAAAGTACTTCTAATCAGTGCCATATTCTCGGAATAGTAGATACTAACGAAATGATATTCCTTTCTAAACTATTGTAGCCATCGACGAGAATACCGAGTCTGGAGAGAGAAAAGAAAAGGAAATATATCTAGAGGATGAATGGGTTTATATAACCACTGTACGGCAGAGTTCCACTCATGTCGGTGTCGTCTGTCATTATTAGTTTTATACGTAGTGCCGAGCCGTATGAGCGACGTCAAGCCGTATACACGACGTCGAGATGTTAAGCCGTCACAATCAAATCCAAGCATAGGCTTAATAAAGGGAAACGAAACAAGGGTTCTGCATGAGTTTCAATCAGATCTCGGTTTTCGAGTATGACAGCTAACATGATCAAGACTGATTTTCACATATACTGAGAGAAATGATAATCTTGGACTATGCGTGGTTCAGATCTTTTGGAGTACGCATTCCAAGATGAGATCTTTGCCAGTGACCAAATCAAGCAACCCCATGATATCTGGCTTTACATTGATTTACCGGAGTATCGCCTAAGTGTCCCAACACATGTTAAAGAATCTAAGGAAGATATTCCAATTTTCTGTTCTGCAGCACAAAATCATGAAGGCAACTGGGTGACTCATGCAACAAGGGCATTAATTTATGCCTAAGCAGCAGAGGATGAAAAGCACATCGGTAGGTCTGCAGGTTTAAAAGAGCTTGGTTCACTGTACAAGCACCGCAAAGGCACTGCAGCTAAGTTGGATCATAAGTCCTCGCTAACCTGCAGTACTGCCCAAGCTAATCTTTCTGCTAGCTAATACTACGGAACATAAAACAAAAACAACTAGAAAAGACAGCCCTCGACCAGATGTATGATGGCTTTTACAACAACATTGGCAATACCACTGAAGCAAATTTTCAAGGAAAGTGTAACTGTACGAGCATTGCGGCCTAAGGGATCAGGGCACACATTGATACCAAACCGTCGACAGTTCTGGATAAGGGCTCGCTATCGGCACACCATCGAGACGCTCAAGCACAGATAGATGTTATGCTCATAGATAGGGAATCAAGCGATTCGCCCATTACCCTACATAAGCCTTCCCTGCTTACAGGTATTCTACTTACAGACTAGTTTTACCCTACTGATGAAGGCCGCCGAGTATAGAACCGGGACCGCACCATTTCGAGGTTTAATCACTGACAAAGAACACTGCGAAATGAATAATGCGGAGAAACCTTGCATAGGATTGCCACTACCGACGTTTTTCCGTACATACTAGCCTACCTGCCAACTTGGGAAGTTTAGGTTTTAAAGTTAGCACATCGTGTTGTAATAGTTAAAGGATCTCATACCAAAATGATTTGATTGCCGAGAGCCAAAACCTGTGAGGGGGTTTGCATTCATTGGTATTCCTCCACACTGTGTTTTCCGAGGCCTCTGGTGGCCCTTGCGTTGAAGGCTCAGATCTGGGGATACATCAAATAAATAAGGGTTTCCGGGTAAACTTTGGTAATCCCTGGTGCCTCATTTCGAAGAATTTAGAACCAGACCTGCATGGCTAGATGCGATCATATTCGCGTCTCAAGCAAAGCCTTGGCAGAATTGCTTACAATATATAACCTCCGTATTTCTTGCCATTCAGATCAATAATCTCTTTGGACTCGGTACTGTGGATCTTGGGCCTACGATGATTTTTCCATGCTTCACGCTCCTTCCGGCAGCTACTATAGCTGCCAGTATGACTACATCATTGTCGGAGGAGGAACTAGTGGATTGGCCGTTGCCAACCGATTGTCAGAAAACCCAAAGACCTCAGTCCTTGTCATTGAAGCAGACCGTCTGTCTTTGATAATATCAACGTGGCTGATATCGACCGTCTTAAGTATACTTATGACAGCTCCATCGACTGGGCATATCAAACCACACCACAGGCACATGGTGGAAAAACCCAAGTTCTGCGCGCTGGCAAAGCGCTGGGAGGAGCGAGTATCATGAATGGTAAGTCGTACACCTAATTCAACTTGCATGAGGTATTGGATATTTAAAAATTGTTTCTAGGAGCGGCTTATGCACGAGCTGAAGTTGCACAAATCGATTCATGGCAAGAGATTGGTAATGACGGATGAACATGGCAAAATCTCTTCCCATACTATTTAAAAAGTGAAAACGCCAGCAACCCCAACCAAATGCAGATTGAAGCTGGTGTTTCAGTTGATCCTAAGTACCATGGCTCCAACGGACCGCTGTCTGTTGGTTTCTTTGATCAACACAAAAAATATCATGATCTGACAACAGTATTCAATCGCACTTTGAGGCCCACGGGTATCCCTTTGAACCCAGATTTGAATTCAGAACATATGCGAGGATTCACGATTCACCTGTCAACTGGATGTGGCAAATATTCGTAACGATGCTGCTCGTGCATATTACTGGCCGTACGCGGATCGGCCAAATTTACACGTGAAACTGAACATGTTTGTTAACCAGATAGTATGGGAGGATCGTAATAAGGGAGAGAAAGAAGGGAATCTTACTGCTACTGGGGTTGCAACAAACACAGAACGTGGAAAAGAACATGTCATCCATGCTCAGAAGGAAGTCATTCTGGCTGCTGGTACTCTGCGATCTCCTGCTATTTTGGAGCTTTCTGGTGTTGGGAACCCAAGGTGGAATCTATCCAAGCTGCTGTCATGGGAGTACTAACAACACTATAGTATTCTCCAAAGCATAACATCCCGGTGCAAATCAACCTCCCCAGTGTGGGAGAGAATCGAGAGAATCTACAGGATCAACTGAATACATCAACAGTTGTGTCCACGAATACACCTTTAACGGGAACCGGAACAGTGGCATTCGCTTCAGCATCCGACATCTTTGGGTCATTGGTAGAGTCGGTTGCCGCATTGACATGGTCACAGCTAGCCCAATATGCCAACGACACTGCTAATGAGAGCCACGGGGCCATGAAAACAGAGGACCTCCAAAGGCTGTTTGAAATCCAACATGATCAGATATTCAACAAAAATATTCCTGTTGCTGAATTTGTTTTTATCCTGGAGGGGGATCAGTCAATTCATACTGGATACTGGGGTCTTATCCCTTTTTCCCGGGGAAATTCTCATATTGCCTCTGCTGATCCTACAATACCGCCGGTTGTGAATCCTAACCATGGCATGCTGGAATCGGACGTTCAGATTCAGATTGCCATGTCCAAGTTTCTCCGCAGAATGTGTAAGATGGGCGAGTTCAGCGACCTCATTGCCAAGGAATCATTACCAGGGTTGTCAGTTGTTCCTGATAATGCATCTGATGAAACTTGGGCAAAGTGGATAGGAGAGCAGTGTAAGTCTATCTCTCCCCCTTTTCTTGCCCATACTGCATTCTCATACAATGGTGAACATAGATACCCCAAACTACCATGTCATCGGAACCGCGTCCATGCTCCCCCGTTCCATGGGAGGACCAGCTGAAGGTGTACGGGACTACAAATGTACGAGTAGTTGATGCTATTCAGCCGTTGCAGCTTTGTGGTCATCCGATGGCAAACCTCTATGCTATTGCGGAGTGGGTGTCAGATATTATCAGATGCAACTGATCAAGGCGGTAATGATGGATACCTTAATCTCCAGACATTCAAGTTCCAACCATGAGAGGGCATCAACAACCTAAGCGCCAAGTTTGCTTGTTCGTCTCAGAAGAAATTTCTTTCGCCCATCATTTCCGTCAGTAACAGGGAAAGGCACGAATATGAAAGATTAATGGGAATAGATCGGTAGCCTTATTGGTAATCAATTTATTGATCACGATGGTAGATAACCTTATCATAACACAAAACAATTTTTTCTTCCATGATAGGGAAATTGTAAACTCTGAGAGGGCTGCCAATCTCAGGTTCACATGTTCCGGTCCGCAAGAAACGGTTCACCCAAGGTGTTTGGGAAGGCGGGATCCGGGGAGTTCTTGAGGACTGTATGTTTTCAGTGTTTTCTGCTGATATCGGAGCATACGGGGTCGGTATGTATTTCTCATTTGATACGCCCGTTAAATGATATATGAGAACTACGAGAATAACTTGAAACTACAGGGTATCGATATTGACGCCTCCTCCCACAATCAAGCGAAGTCTTAAAAGTACAAAAAGAAAAGGCAGGTTGCTTCAGGGGCTGAATAGCATAGCGGTTGTCTATCATCCCAATCAAACCAACGCAGCCCTCCCAATTCTTCGTCATCTTCATCTCCAGCATGTTCCTCCGTCGAGCCTGTACCAGTACAGCAACTCGCTGGAGATCCATATCCTAAAAACCGACGCACAAGCATACACAGAGAAAGGGTAGAGAAAAAGGAAAGGTCTTTAGACAACGAAATTCCACGGACATCTCGCTCAACATAACAACATTGGTTTTTGAAAACATATCACAAGAATATTAGAATATCGATCGTCGAAAAAAATCCATGTGTCAATGACATTAATAGGAAACGGGAAATAAAACACAAGAGATGGCCGAGTGGAATCTCGATGCACGTAAGTGAAAAAAAGGAAAAGAGGAAAAAGGGGTAAAACGACACGAGAAGACAAAGGAAATTCATCAGAAATAGCACCTTCACGCGTCGCCTTTGTCGCCGGATGGCGTCGATGTCGGTGCAGGAGACTCTGACGATGGGACACCTCCCTTGTTGAAGCCTCCACGTCCACGTCCACCCCGGCCACCGCGGTCACCTCCACGACCACGTCCACGTCCGAATCCTCCACGGCCTCTTCCTCCTTCGCTATCACTGGCACCTCCACTCTGGTAGCCCCGTTGGGAGTTTGTACCTCTGTTGCTTCCTTGCCATTGACCGGCACCACCACGGTGGCTACGGTCCTCGAAGAACTTGATGTTGGGCTTGCGGGGTTGCCCAGACGGGGTAGGTTTCTTGTGCTCCGTGGGTTGACGATCCAGCGCAGCCTTGGCCTCTTCGACATTCGTGAAAGTCACGACGTGGTTGTTATACTTGCCCCATTTCTCAATCTTTAATATCTTCGCCTTGTCCTCTTCGGAGAAGAGATCACGGACCGCCTGCTCATTTTCCACGTTTGATACAAAAAGACCGTTGCTCAGCTTCTTCTCACCCTTGGCAACTGGCGATTCAGATGGCTTTTCTGGCTGTGCGGTACCGTTAGCTTCGCCAGTGGCAGGTTTCTCCGATGGTGCAGTGGCGGGTGCAGCAGGGGGCTGGGGAGTTGCCGGCTTAGGGATAACAGGGACAGGTTGACCCTTGACTGGACCCTGCTGCTGTAGCTGTTGCGACGGTTGCTGAGGCAGGGGCTGCGCCGCAGGAACCTGTGGTTGGGCAGGTCCACCAGGACGAGGAACTTGTCCAAACTGAGGAGGACCGCCAGGTCCACGGGCAACGTTGGCGGGAGCTGCGCCAGCGGGAAGCTGAGCAGCAGGAACGGGTTTGCCGGTACGGTGTGCAAAGTTGAATCCCTGAGCACGCATCTCCGTGGCAATACGTCCACTTTCGATCTCGAGGACCAAGAAGCCAAACGCTGCGTCAGCAAGGTTGAAGTTCCACATGTTCTTAAAAGCGCTCTCGTCAACTTGACCTGCTGCCGCACCTGCAGCGCTAGGACCACCGAACGGGTTGCCACCGTTGGCGATCGTAGGCATTCTCTGCACCACGTCGAGAGCGTTATCCAGGAGTGTCTTCTGGGCTTCGTTGGAGGAAATGGCGGTCTCGACTTCGCCGCGAACAGTCTCCCACACGTCGTTGAAGGAAGCCTTCGAAGCGGCCAGCTTCCCACGGTAGTGGTCGAGGGAGGGGTTGACGGAGAACTCGTTATAGGACGAACCGTAACGGAAGTGCAGGCCGGCGGAGACGGAAAAGTCAGCCTTGAGGGTGACGGACAGCTGGTTCAACATTCCTTCACGGGCCGGCGAGGCATGTGTAACGAAGATTCGCGTTTCTGACGGGTCGTATACACGATTGGCCGTGTCTATCAGTTCGCCCATCTGGAGCAAAGTTGTCCACATGGTACCTTGACCACCAGCAATCGTAGTCTTCCCCTCGCCGTTGTCGAACAGCTTGTGCATCACCACGGCACCACCCAGACCCAGCAACCGCAGCTTCACACCGCCGATATCCAACAATCTCGAGTTGGCCTCATCAATAATGTGCAGCTTGTCCACCTTGTACTCCCCCGAGCGGAACTTCTCCAGCACGCGCACATCCTCACATGCACCCCACACAGTGTAAACAGGAACATCGAGGGTGAGCCGCTTGTCGAGCAGCATCGAAAGCTCGGAGAGCGGGAGCTGTTCTTGCGAAAATCGTTGCTTAATGGACTGCTGGTGGGGGGCCTGGGCGATCGACCGCTTGACATTCTCTGGCAACAGAGGCGAGTACTGCGCCACGTGTTTCAGGGTCCTGTAGTTAAGCCGCGGCGTTAGACAATCCTCCGACGGAACTTGGAGGTCGATCGATCGATCCACTTACTTGTCTGCAATCCGATCCAGCGAAGTGTCATCGTAGAAACCAAAGTCACCGGTATGAATGATATGATCTGCGCGGGCCTGCTTGGCCAGTTCATTCAAAGACCTCAGATTTCCTGATCGAAGAAGAAAAAACCAAATCAGCAACAGCCCGATTGTGTCATTACCCCCCCAACGCAAAAACAAACAATAAAAAACGAAAAAGACCATCAACCCGCCAGCTGCAACCTACCTCTGACATCCGCAATACACAATATCCTCACGGGACCATTCTGGATAACCCTGCCGTTGTTGGGAAGAAGAGGGGCAGCCCCGGGGGCAGGATTAGGAGTAGGCACGGCGGCACCGTTAGGGAGAGGATAGCCTTGAGGACCGAAAGCGTGCGGAGGACGGGGCTAGATTAGGCAAATCCCTCGAAAAAGACGGAGGGATAAATGGTCAGCCTGTGATCTTTTTCATTTCTCAGTTGCGCGTAGACGCGTGCCTCCAGGGGACAGTGACGGTGGTGAGGACAACATACAGAAGCCATGAGTAGGAAGTAATTAAGCGGTTCAAGAAGAAGGTCTAGTGGGAGACGAGGATGAAGAAGAGGGAAAGAAGAGAAAAGAGAGGGAAAAGAAGGAAAGAGAGATGGACAGCAAAAACAGCAAAAGGCGGTTTGGTTGATGAGATCTGAAGAGTCTCGCCGGCGACGTCGACGTTGCTGTCACGGCTTAGTCATCGCCACAGGGGCAGTTTACCACCAATTATTTTCTAGAAAAATACATAAATACAGCAGGAGGAAATGACTTCCTTTATTCAGTTGTCATTCAAGAAGTGGCGGTATTGATATTCACTGACTCCAGGTATTGCCCAGGGTATATAAAATGCTATATACAGTGACTGCCTAGGGATTGAAAAAAAAAAAAAACAATGCTGAGTCGTTGGAGGAGACATTCACAGTTCCTCTCCTTTGACCTCAAAGAAATACTGGTCATTATGCTCCTCCCTTTCAGCGCTCAACATGGCCTGCTGCAAAGACTTCGGGCCCTGCAATGCCATCAACGCAAAGTGTCCACCGACTGTCGGACGAGCTCGACATAGAACTGGAACACCAGGCGTATTCCCCAGGGCAGAGGTGGCAATATATCGATCTGAAAAAGGCCAGTTGTGCTGACCATTTGTCATAAATGCCCACAAATCATCGATGAACTCATCGCGCGTACTCCTGTCAAATGTACCCGCCAGCCACATGTTCCAGTCTGATTTGGCCCAATCCTGCCGGTTGTCCAGGGGTACGCCGTATTCGGAGCGGACAGACTTGAAGAACGTGTTTGACATCTCGTATGCAGCTTTAGGGAAGGTTCCAAGATTGAACAGCACGTCAGGATAGATGTTATATGGGGTCTTCCATGAGTGAGGTTGCTCCGGGTATTGCAGTACGAAATGAGTTTTCTCGCCATCTGTCCCAAGGCCCTGGTTGAAGAACAATGCAGCGCGCTCATCGCCAATGATGGAATACTCCTTGAGCCCTGTCAATTCCCCAAAAGCCTTCAGACCGACTGCGGCTTTAATGGCAAGGTTGGTCTCGTTTGCAAGAGGCCCGGCTGCATCGTTTGAAGACAGCTGCTCCGCGATGTTGACGCTGTTATCGACGAGATAGTCCGCATACGGCCGGATCACATCCTGATATCGACTGGTCCAGTCCGTGTCGCCTGTCGCTTGCACATAAGCCAGAGCAAGAACCATCAGGTTGCCACACTCTTCGATGGGCATTGGTTCCGCTTTTTGGTCATCGTGGCCTGTCGCATTCGGATAATGCGCACCCATGTCATGGATGGTATACGGCCAACGCCAGCGGCCAGCAGCAAGATACCGCATCATCGGCTCGAGCAACAATCGGATATAGTCCGGGTCCAGAACGTAGTAGATGGGGAAAGCGGGCATGATAATATCCACCGTGTTCAGGTTTCCATTGCTAGAGAGCTCCTTGATGAAAGCCAGCACATCATTAGGATCCTTCGTATCATCCGGGATGGTGACATCGATCGCTCCATATGCCTGACGAGTGGACAAAGAGACAATATCTGCATATTTCTGACCACCCGCCTTCCTAGCCTGCGCAGTTATTGCCGAATCTAGAATTCGAGATTCTGCCAATGCACTCGAATAGTCGTCCAAGAAATACGATACAGCCTGAGAAGTCTGCGGGTACTTAGCTCGGTAGTATCCTGTATAAGCCTTACCCAAATAGCTGATTGCTTGTTCTCGCACGTAACCGACTGCGAAGTTAACCGACTGCTGCCCTGTAACCTTCCCCAGATCATGAGCCAAAGCTACGATGCCCTCACGAAACCATGGACCGTCGTTTCCAGCTAGCTTTCCATTTTTCACAAACTGGGAACGCAACTCTCCCCGTTTACCTGAGCCCGCGGAAAGTGTCGATGAGGAAGTCGGGCGCGAGGTCAGAATCGCTTGTCCCCAAGTAGCCATGTCACTATCCTCTGCATACAAGGAAGCATTCCCCAGGGATAAAGCGTATATGGCCGTTGATCCTGATTGTTCGAAGCTTCGTACCGTATCGCTTTGTTTTCCAGTCCATCTACCATCGATACTCGAGTAGATCTGGATATCATTCGAGAAAGCCTCCGACACTGACACGGTCAAATAACCTATGATTATCCGTTAGTGTTTGGATTAGATAAAGGGACCAATCTCGCATACTAAACGGAAGCGACTGCCGTAAATAATCCGACGGCGACACGGGCGAGAAAAAGTCCAACATAAAAACTACCTTCCCAGCAGAGAGTGTAAACATCGAATGAGTCGCCGTATACTCTGCGCTCCGCACAACCGCCGGGCGAATGTTCGTATTCCCCGGGTTCTTCACACTCATCAAGCTGTACGTCTGGTCATCGACACGGGCCATTACGGACCAAGTGAGGCTCTGGCCGGCCCAGAACTGCGGCTCTGCGTATGGTAGCGTTTGGACTTGATCGCTGGGCATCCATGTTGAGAGATATGGATTCCGGACAGCGAGGGGATATGAGGGAGGCTGGGCTGGTTGATGGGTGACTAGACGGCGCTGTTCACCACCAGAGAAGAGCGAGAGGGCCATTGTGAACAGGGAGCCCAGGCCCAGGGCGTCTGGTAATTTTAGCTGCATTTTTGGCCATGCAGATACTCTTGTATAGATAAAATTGAGTATACTGCAGTTAGAAATGAAGATAAATAACGGACTGGCAGTTTTGATGAAACGATGCTGTGGAGAAACGGTAAACGGTCGATCGGCCATGGCGTCATAGGCAGAGAATCAGACGGCATGGTCTACGGACGCGTGTCTCTTAGACAAGCCTTTGGTTGATCGATGTTTCTAGATAGGATCCGATTGATATAAATTAAGAGAATTTAGTATCACACTGAGCATTAGTACTCCGTACCTGATGGCGTCTTGTTATGGCTCGGGGAATGCGGGGATGCGGAGTGACCTAAAACTCCATACTAAATGCTACTGTACTAGCAGTATCCATGTATGGGCTATACCATCTATACAGAAGGGAGCTTATAGATAACAATGTCTCAATGGGGAGCTTATAGAAAGTTGAGCTTTGAGGATGAAGACTAGAACGTTTCAAAGTTTTATCAACACCACCTATACTACTCCGCGCTATTTGTAGACAAGATCTATACCCATGACTGAATTACAGCTGCGACTGTTCAATTCGCTTCCCACTCTCATCAAACCGAATCTGTCTGCCTGTTACCAATGCTTCCTGCAAATACGCGCCAATCTCAACAGCCCTAACCGCATTGTTCAAGTTTATCGGCAGCGGTGTGTTGTCCAGACAAGAAGCAGTGAACTCATTTGATTCTTGCACGAACGCAGGTCCAAACCGTCCCATAAAGTTGGGAGGCACCTCGCGCGTAATACCAGCGGTGTGATAGAGGTTAACAAAGTTCTTTTGCGGGTTGCCGTTAATCGTGAGTTTGCCCTCCGTACCGATGACTTCAGTTGTGTCTTCCTGACCGTGTGCCATCATCCGCGTGCAGTAGTAGTAGGCGATCTTGCCGTTGTGAAACTCAATGATACCAACTGCGTTGTCGAAGTCGTTGTATTTGGCCAGCTCGGGCTGCACGGCACGGAGACCGTGGGCGGAGATGCTCTTGGGGGTAGAGTCGTCGCCGAAGAACCAAAGAGTCAGGTCGATGTCGTGAACGGACATGTCGACGAAGACGCCACCAGACCAGGCGGCGTATTCCACGTAGAATCCGGAAGGGTCTAACTTGTCGCAGGTCTGACTGCGGACGATGGCTGGGCGGCCGATGAGGCCTTTGCTAGCTTTCTCATATGCGTCGCGGTAGGATTCATCGAAGCGTCGAGAGAAGCCACACATCACCTTCAGGTGAGGCTTTGACTGCGCTTTCCGGACAACTTGTCTGCACTAAACGCACATAGAGTAGTCAACATCCGTCATATAATTGGGTAGGGGTAGGCAGAAAACATACTACTTCAACATCCGTAGACAAAGGCTTCTCACATAGGACGTGCAAGTCCTTGTCAATAGCCTGCATTGTCTCCTCTGCGTGCACCGATGTCGCAGTTCCAATGGCCACTGCTTGCAAACCGGGGTGCTCAAGCATTTTCAGGTAGTTGTCGTACAACGTGACTCCATAAGGCTCCAAGTTCTCTCTACCCCAGGCAAGCTCTGACTGATCCGGAGTAAAAGCAGCCACCAGGTCAGCCCGAGGAGTGCGGTGCAAGAAGTTGGTAGCATGGAGCTTTCCGACACGGCCTAAGCCTGCCATTCCGACTTTGAGCTTCTGAATTGACATTGTGATGATGTCTATATGGTCAATTGGAGAAGATAAAAAAGTATAGTAATAAGAGGGAATAGATCGATGGATCTGAATGTCTCTAGAGAGGATTTCTCGAGAGCTTTATAGCTCTCAGACAGCGCGGGGTTTCATCCCCTGTAGACATTGTACCTCTTTGAATTGGGTTGAAGGTAAGACTTTCCATCTATACTGCAGACTAGATCGCGGAAGCTGTAGCTTTATCTGCATCGTCGTGGATCACTGTGTAAGCTACTATATAGCAGCATGGAGAGAGTTGCCGGCGGGAACAAATGAAGAAAGTCGGGATGGAGAGACTTTCCCCGGTCGACTTCCCCACGCGGGGGATTTTTGCGGGGTACACTCTTTCCCACCACTGCAAGGGAACTCTTTCCGTCCGCCTTCATCCACCATAACTGCTATATCACTCAGCAATGCATTGTCAATGCCTCCGTCGACAGTAAAAAAGAGAACTCGGCTGATCACTGGCTGGTAAGAGTCGTTTTCCCCTCTCTATAATCGCATGAAACGGTTTGTTAATTGGGCAATTTAGCCAGCGATGTAGAGGTAAGTCAGCCAACATCCTTACACAGAAAATCATCTTCTCCCACAAAGATTATACTCAGATTTGTTTCCCCCGGTAGTTCGTCATTTCAAGTGTACGTATACGTACGGATGCCAGATTCCGTATCGAATCCGATCTCACAAGGCCTTGCAGGTGACACAGATCTCCCAGCTTGCGCTCCTTGCAAAGGTTCCGGAACTAAATGTGAGAGAGGAGTAAATGTTCGGTTCCGTAATGGATTGGATTTAGGAGAGGGTCATGATGTCGCATTTCCGGAGAGTAGGACTTGGCCGCGTTTAACGGGGTCTAGTAAGTCCGCTCATGTTCGTTTTCATGGGATGAGGCTAAATGGTATGCAGTCCACTTCCACGACGAGACGCTCGAGATCCAACGGTTGTATACGGTTGAGGATTCTGAAACAGTATTGGAACAAGAAAAGATCACCAGTTATTCGCACGAGATCAATGCAAGCCGGGCGATAGAAAGACATGAAAGCCCTGGGTCTACAGAGCATCAGCCACATGCGTCTGGAGTGCATGAGTTTCGAAAAACAAACCTCCCATCCGACATACTCCATACTCTCCACGATCCTTTAGCCGGTGCAAGGCGCTTATCGGGAGAGCATTTGGGCTTGCAACATCTGGTCCCTGCGTTCACTGAAAGAGAGGCGGTTCTAATGCGAAATTATATCGAACACATGGCCCTATGGGTACGTAGGCTCGCCCCAGGCCGGCAGGTGATACAGATACAACTAACACAGAAAGGCGGACATCACTGATCCGCAACGACATTTTGAGGTCGACGTACCTGTAAGAGCTGTGGAGGAGCCAGTCTTACGATCTGCCATTTTTGCATTCTCATCGCGACATATCGACAGACAAAGAGCGGGGGACACGGCAGAAGCATTACAATACCACAACCATTGTCTTCAAATGTTGATTCCGGCTCTATCTGGCGCTCAGGAGAACATCACGGACGTGATTCTGGCTGCGGTAGCAATTCTCCGCGAACATGAAGAAATGGACTGTACGGTCTTGGTCCCTTGCTCTGGAATAAAATGCTGACAGTATCACAGGGGAAGACAACCAGTTCCACCTCACCGGAACAACGCACATCCTCAATTCCGTCTCATCGTTTGGTTCGTCCGGCGGCTTAGGAGAGGCCGCTGCATGGCTTTGTCTCCGCGAAGACATTTACGTCTCGCTAACCACGCAAAAGCCGCTTCGAACAAACTTGCAAAATTTCATTCATTCAAATATATTCCAGAGAGATGACGATTTCGCCTGGAGCAGTCGCATGGTCTTCCTCTTGTGTAAGGTCCTCAAATGCGCGTTTACATACGAAGCTTCCACGGCATATCTGGCGCTCCTGCATGACGTCGAGCAGGAAGTGGAGGGTTGGTTTAATAATAAACCTCATACGTTTGATCCAATCCGGTTTATTCCGCGTACACAGCAGTGGAACCAGCGGTTCCCAGATATTTGGATGATGTTGCCAGTTCACGGTATGTATCACTGGACTGGTTGTGTTGCATTTACGCCTTGTTAATAGCAGTTTCAGTGATTGGTCTGCAGTACTATCACGTTGCCAAGATTGTACTTGCTGTTTCGAGTAGCCCGAGCCCGGCTGTGGGATATGAAAATTTGAAGCACTTGCGGAATATTGAGGTTAGTTGTTCTTTCATGGTTCCTAGTATTTTGTTTGCTTATATTAACGGCACTTTAGAGAACGATTCGGAATCACCTTCTCGTTGTCCTTGGCCTAGCAAGATCAAACACCAAAGCGGAAAATGCCCTCTTTACTGCTCGGCATAGCTTAGTGGCCTGTAAGTCTATTATCATCCTCTAATTCTCAATGAACCTCCACTTCTCAGATTTACTAACGACCCAGGGGGCTGGGTCCTACGCAACAAACTCGATCAAGAAGCCGCAGAAACTCTTCTGCGGGACATGGAACTGACTACCGGTTGGAACATGACTGGGTTAATTCAGACCTTGAGAGAACAATGGAATGACGAGGATTCTGATCATTGATACTTGTGTGTTGTTACATATAGTATGGGCGGAACTAGGGATAGGCCATAAGTTCCTTCGATAGAAAACTGCATCTATGGCCAGTCAATGCTTGTACGGCAGGAAATTAGCGCTCCTAGTTATCCCAGTGTCACCGTAGCTTAGTACATTCATTGTTTGCTCGCTTGGTGCTATTGTATACACTGGTATGAGCCTTTTATTCACACTGCTTTCGCAAATGAGATTTTTCTCTCCACATACTTGATATTAAAAAAAAATAAGCTTTATTACCTGCGAAAATCGAATCTCGTAGCACTACTCTCCTACTTGTTCCTCTTAACTAAGACAATCCTAACAAACCACAGACTTCAAATCACTATTCTCAAACCCATCTACTTCAAATTGTCAAATGTTGCACTATGTGCCGTGGTGATCGTGTCTATGTAGCTTCTGCTCAGATTCATTTTGGGATTACTTGGCTATGTCAAACCTCAAAGTCGCAACAGAATCCTAGTTTCTGATGGTTCAGTTATATTGACCAGTCAGCTTCAGCACTCAAAGAACCAGTCAACATGATAGAAATGGACACGCTCTACCAAAGCGCCCCATCCGGCAACCTCGCTGACCTATATTTGTACTGCCAGCGCTGCCTCAACGAACTGATTAGAAAACACGACAAAACAGGCGAGATGGAACTGACCTACATAATCCCGCGCTCAGACGACTACAAAGTCTTCACCATCCTCCATGGAAGGGACCGGTACGTTGGCGGCGGACAGATATCTTTTACAGAGGACCTTCAGACTGTGAAGAAGAAGGTGCTTGAGATGGTTGATGCGAAGAAGGGATATAATCAGGCTTTCTTTGGTTTTGCGGCGTCGACAGGTGGGGAGCTGAAGTGTGAGATTATTTAAGTCTATTTTGAGGAGGTTAAGACGTTGGGGGAGAGCCGTCGAGCCTTAAGAAGGATCAGGATGCTATTGAGGAGGCTGCTAAGCATATTGTGGAGCTCTGGGCGATTGCCTACTGAGGTAGGGATGGGGTAGCAAGTTGAATGTCGAAGGTGTTTGCCACTGTCCTGCTCTGTGTGTGTTAGTAAAGGAGTGAGATATTTAAATTGGAGACTTATTTTACCTGAAACTATGCTATGCACAGCCAGTAAATCCGTTATGGAAGCTTCGTAATAGCAAGGCACTATCAATTTCCAATGAGTCATAGCAAACATACAAAGTATCGAAGTAAAGCTTCAAAGAGGCGTTCTTCTGGGTATTAAGGAGCAGCTCCATAATAGATTCTTTTCTGCTCTGTTCCCAGGCCAACTAAGGTATCGCCGTCCTGCGAGCAGTCATTATCTCGAGAGGTATCAACTCAACAAAGATGTACACAGTTTACACGAAACTGAACATTATTCCGGCGTGTCCAAAGGTCTCTCTGCGCGACAAACGATTGTTCCGTTAATGTTGGTCACTTGTCGGGAGCTCACGGGGGGACCAATCACCTTGCTGTTTTGGGAAAATGTTTGCTTTCACCAGCACCTGGTATAGTGGGTCTTCTAATCGCCCGCATGAATAAAGGAGAAAATAGCGCATACAGACTAAGCCATCTTCTTGCATAACGGATTAGACATAGTTGCTGCAATCAATGGGCCTGAACTTCCTTGGGTTTATCTAGCGTCCTGGGACTTTTCGAGTCTGATAGCCCTAACGAGTACGGAGATATGGTTCCATTGGTTCCCTTAGTCCCATTTGTTTGCTGCAGTCATACGCCACGTAATACAAAATGCAGCTTTCCTCGCAACACCACCATTGATAGATTGTCTTCCCAGTTTGGTTTGAAATATGGTGGCTGGCCGTGGCATCCATAAAATGGCATCAGGGACAAACCCCGGCCAGGAGGAAGCTATAAGAGGCTGGTTACCGTCGCTTGACACCAAATCAATTCCTCGTCAAACCTAACTCTCAATCTTTTTTTCTAACTCCAGTCCACTCTTCCGAGCTGCTAAACACACACACACACACACACACACACACACACATTCCATACCATGCCCATCACATCCGCCGACGTCACGGAGCCTCAGGTAAGTCAGCAAATTGATACCATCGCCCGGCAACTTACAAAACAGGCTCTTCAAGGCATTCTGGACGGGCTCAAGGCCCTATTTGAAAAGGCACAGTCAGGCGATATAGAGTCATGGGAGCATATGAATAGAGTGACGGGGGAACTACTGAAGGCACTGGAGTTTAAAAAGGATGATGACACTTGGTGGCATAATATGAAAAAAGCACATGATAAATCTAAGGAAGGGCTTGAAAATCTTAAGAAGTCATTAGGTGATGGAGCGGGAATTTGAGATGTCTTTTGCGTGCATTTTTGTAGTCGAATATGTTGCAAATAGAGATTAGATATCTGTTCCATGTAACGGATTGATCAGTTCTATACTCTCAACTAGTTATCGTAAAATGCTAATAATTGCTTACTATCTGCCAGCACTGTCAGTTAATGAATTTTATAGCCAAATTCATTTGCAGAATTCTTAAAATCGGATGAGTCTTCATCGCCACATTCGCTATCATGAGATCTCTAGTCTAAATTGCTTGCTAGCCTCAGACTATACATTCTTCAGCTATGACAGACACATTGTGTGATGTTTATACCATTTCCTGTACTACGAAATTTTTAGGGCAGTATTGCCATTATTCTTTTGTTTGCCATGGCTAGCGCGGCTCTGTCAATAGCTGGGCTGCATGTTTACTCAAGACTTGATCGTGAAACCACGCTATAGGAAATTGAACTGTTGATCCAAACAAAAAAAGTGCAGCGAGGCTTAGTGAACAGGTACAGCAACCCGTACTGTATTACTCAATTTGGAAGGGTTTTCACTCTGGTATTCCCGTCTACCGGTAGTCTGATACAGTACCACTTTATATGCGATCGTCGATCTTTATGCTTGACCTAGTACAAGTCTATTCAGCTGTCCGGGATCGCATTCCCGGCATATTCTCGGACACCGAATGTATCCTCGCGTTAACAATACACGATTCTCAATCAAGGAACCGAAGCTCGGAAAGGATGGTCGGATTTAAAAAAGTAACTCGTTAGGTCTATCTGGCTACAGTCCCTGGTTCCAGTCCTGCGCTTAGTTGAAGATTTAGAGATCGGTTCGTTTCAACTGATTGGCCGGGACTATTCTAAAGAGGGCTTTGTCGTGCAACCAGATGATAACTTTATCTGGTAATCGACTAATGTTCTCGAGATATGTAAACATCATTCCTTTTCTGTGCTTGATAATCACGTACATAATATGCACCTGCTCTTGTATGTATGCTTTATGGTTCGGTTTCAGAGAGGAATTCAGAACCTCCGGTTGATAGGAAATTACTTGACAGCAAATGAATGCAATAAGCTGTATATATTTATTGTACAGCTAGTGAGTCTCATTCTATAATAAGCTTGTTAGGGGCCATTCAGGATCAAAGAATGAATATATCCAATAGCCATACCATACATGTCTATAACCACTTTAGTACAATCCTTATATATCGTTCTTCCCCTAGACGCCAGATACACAATGGCTACACCTACGCTGAACGAGGTAAGTCAACAAAACTTTCATTTCCCGGGGATTCAATCACTGATCGGTCTCAGAAAGCGAATCTAGAATATATCCTCAACCCAAGCACCCCCAAACCAGCCACCATCGGCAAAAAGAAACGCTGTCATTGTTCTACCGTTAATACACGGAATAAACAAAAGAAAGGAGCTCAAGAGGAGCTCGTCAACATTTCCAGCAAACCAAACGGTTGCATGTGTTGTTCGGATGCGTGGACGCTGTTCTATTTTCATTCGTCGTGATATGGCGAATGTATATATTTGAATCTGGTCCTAAAGTAATGCTACTTACCATCCTCACTTGCTGCCAGCATCATACACTGTATCTTCCTGAAAGATCTTAATTGAAAACCATGGCATTCACCATATTCTCACGCTCAGAGACAACAGCCCCATAAATCATACTGGAAGACTTCCACCACCAACCCCCCACCACGTTGTCTACTACGACCATGCGACAATCGAATTGGCCAGGTGCATGGTCAATCAGATTCTCCCATTTCTTGTTTATTTCAAACTACGCAATTTCAGCCATGGATACCGATGTCCGATGACTGATATAATGCATTCACTCTGAATGCGGCATCGATTCAGTCGCTGTTTGAGGGATGTGGTATTTCATGGAAGTATGGCTCTGTCTACCGTTATTTTTCACAAATGCAATGTTTATTATACCAAATCCATCAATTTTGACTGAGGTCGGAAATCCTTGGACTGAATAAAAAGCGCCATATTAATTTGCAGGTTTGCATGCTTCCCAAAAAAAGAGGGGGGGGAGAAAGAAAAAAGAAAGAAAAAGCGTATGTTCGACCAAGCGTATCACAGAATACAGTTTGGGCATAGCAATTCCTCTGGCAAGGTCCAAGCATCTTGTATGTAGAAGCCAAGCACTTCTGTCATAGGGGTTATTTGACTGACGGTAGATGAAATTCCCCACTGAGATGTGTTCCAAAGAGAAAGTGACTTTGGGATACCACTAGGGCATCTCGTTGACGATTTCGGCATATTCTGCATCCAGCAGTAGCACACAGTAGCAAGTTGGCTGAGTGGTGTCGACCATATCAAGGCACAGTGGGCATGTATGGCTGAATCATTCCCTTCTGACATTTGGACGTTCTGGTAATGTCATTAAAGAAACTTGGTATAAATTCGAAAAGATGGCCTTTTTACGGCAGTCATTGGGTTCTTGTGAAGACTGCTTATCCCCCAGTCGAGATACAAATAATACACGAATACAACATGTTGATTGGTCAAGATACACATTGTTTGCTATCCATGCTCATAAAACTGTCACTCTTGATCCAAATGATGAGACCAAAAGGGAAGGCGATTCGGTTCAGTGTCAAAAGGAGATATAGTGGTCATGTGTGATTATACGTGTAGCAATATACGATTGCAATTCACGATGTTCAGGGACCGTGTTAAGGCACTAATAGCGGCCATGGAAAGGATCAAACAATTACGGCCATCGGTCACAGCGGTAGAGGGCAGATTCAAATGGCCACCTAGGGTGCACAGTCTGTTGGTATGTTTGGGAGCCTGGAGAGTTGGAATTTGTAAGAATGGGATGGTGTAGGTGCGATATCACGTTGCATGGCAGGCGCTGAGTAACTGAGGAATTCTATCGTTTGCGTTCTTTGCAGGGGAAGACGAACTAGTCTTCCGTCTCGACGATAAATGTCATCTACACATCTGACAATGGTTTTCATACTAACCAGCGCCGCTTGTCATCGGGAAAGTCAAATCTTTGACGAGAGTATCTGTCTCGTGTTCGCTTCTATAAGTACTGTGACCCTTCCCAGTATCATGCTTGACGCGGTTAACTTCTTACATTTACGATCTTTGTCCAGATGTGTGGTCCGCATTCAATCTCCAAGGCATGCGGCCTGTTCTTGAAGCTCCAACGTAATGAGGCCAAATCAGATGACTAGGAGACAACAAACGATGGTTAGAACAACCACTGAGTACTCAGAAATCAGTCGCATTAGAATAAGATGTTACCACATGTTCTATGTACGAAATACCTCCTGCTTTGGACCTGAAGAGGGAAGAAACCTTTCTGTCTGCACTTCCAAAATCCCAGTTAGCAAGGAGACCAGAAGGACATTGACAAGTCATGTAACAAGAAAAAGAAAAACCGGTCCGGATAATAAAATCATAACAAATGCAACTTAGAATTTTGGTATCCAAAGGGCCAGCCCTTCAATCAATATCCCTCGTCCTCAAGCTGTCTGTAGACATGCCGCGATCTGCCGGGCTCCTTGCGCATTGACTGGCCGGACCCAGTAAAACCCACTGTAGAAACGTCAGGATCTTGGACCACATTGATAGAAGTCTGGGATATATGCAACATACCTCGCGCATTTACGCTTTCACCGGTTCGGAACATACTGTCCTTCTTCCCAATCTTGCTCTTGTTGGCAAAGTCCTTCCATTTGTTTTTCCCCTCCTCTAGCTCACGAGTCGCCTTGACCTTTCGGGGCACCTTGGCGGGACGAGCAGGCCCATCGCCGACCTTACTCGGTTCTTTGCGAGCCTGGTTGGCCAGCGCGGGGTTGATGTCTGCCGCGGCGGAGATCACGCTCGAGTTTGCTGGTTGTAACACAGGCGACTGTGAGGAGAAGTTTCCTGAGCTTGCATCAGCCTTGCGCTTTCGCGAGTCATTGTTGGAGATGGGTTTAAGGTCTTTGGCGCTTAAGGATTCCACTGTGGCGTAGGTCTTGAAGGAAACAATGTAAACGGGGTTGCTAGTAGAGCCTGTAATAGAGGTAATGCGCGCAGGGTAAAAAGAATTGTCACCCGACACCCAGCGAGCCAAAACATTCTCGTTGACTGAAAACGACGCCGGCGCTGGTGGTTCTTCTGCTTGTTCGATTGTGGGTTTACGGTAGCCAGCCTGGTATGCTGGGTGATCCTCTTTCGACCACTTTTCTTTTGTTGGAGGCGGCGGGGAAGGCTTTGCTGCTGGCGCTGGAGGTGCGGATGGTTTGAGTTCGGCGATGGAGGTTTCGGTGAGGTTTATGAGTTCTTCTAGCTCAGCTTTGAGACTCTGAAGTTCCGAGTTGTCTGGGTCTACCTGCAAGCTCGATTGGATCGTTTCAAGCTGTGAAATCAGTGATTAGCGATGCCTTCACTCAAATATTAGGGGATCTTGTTCAACATACCTGCAGCTTGAATTCTTTAACTTCTGTCTGAAGGGACGCCACGTCGGCCATGGTGATCAGTGTTGTGAAGAGAAGGGCTATATGGCAATAGATACGTCGTAAATACTGTGCAGAATGACAAGAGACACTATATGCACATGCAGGACACGGAATAATGTGGAGGACGCGTTAATGTTGATGGGTCTGCCGATAGAATTCAAGAGGTGACGTGCGGCCCGATACCGTTTCGGGATGCGTTAGTACCCATCGGGTCACGTGCCTTACTGCCCTCGCTTTCTGCCCGGTAGTCATATAGTTAGCCAAGCCGATAGACCATCGGTCCAATCAACTACTCTGGCACACTGAAAAGTGATGAAAGTAACATTGGATTAATAGTCGGCCCCAGTACCGAAAGCGGCCTGGTTTCCAAAAACGGAAGAATCCTTGTACTTAAATAGGGACGCCATAGCCATGCGTTTTAGATGGTTAAGCACTCATTCTATTGTCAAGGTGTCTATAGATTTCAATATCACTCTCTTCGTCATATAGCCTTGTACAGTCCGGACTATCGACTCCCCGATTCCCCGATTCTGAGCTACCCGCTCCCTTTCAAAAGGATGGTGTTGTCACGTGATATTTGCCTCTGTGTCGGAACATAGAGGTTCCTTACCGAACAATACCAGCTAATGCCTGATTAATGCCTCACTAATATCATATGGCGCAAGCAGCTTATTTACTCTGCCATTAGTTACTGCTTTTGAAACCGCACAATCGTTTAGTATACCCTATAAGGTAGTCAATGGTCTTATATAGGATTCTAGGTAGCACCCTTTTGCGAGAATCAGAGACCTCAACCTTATGCTCTCGATACGTACTTCCGACCCTGACTAAGCTGTGATTCCAACACTGGGACATGAGAATTGAACAAAGAGTACGGAGTAACTCAGGGTGACGCTGGGTGACGCTGGAAATGCCACGAAACGTCGTGGCTTTTGAGGTACATTTCGTGGCATTTCCATCCTGGCGTCGCCGCTTTAAAGCGACCACCAGGTAAATTTCCTAAATAGATAAAGCGCAAATACAGTCATCAGCAACATTTACACCTAATTTATCTATAGGTTCATATTGGGAAGCGCTTCCATCATGGCTTTGATTACCAGACAAATAGCTATTTAAACGTCCAAAAGACTGGTTTCAGTGTATATTCCATTTTCCTTTCAAACAAAATTTCTATAGTTCTTCCTCTTCTTCTTTTTTTTTTTTTTTTTTTTTTTTTTTTTTTTTTGGCTCAATCAAAATGACCATTACGAAACCTCGGAACTGTAGCAAACGCGATATCAAGTCTAAACATCAGACCAATAGGTCGCCTGAATTCTGGAACCAGCTTGTTCGAGGACCCCTTAAGAAAATAGGAAGAGATTTTGCAGAATCCACAAGAATTGGCTTGAACATCATGCGAATGAATTTTGAAAAGTGTGTTTCACTTTATAGTGGTATTATTTGATACTCACCACTTTACCAGATTCTGTGCACTTCTCGAGCCCAACGACACACGCTACTGGCTTGAAAACCTCAATATAAACGTTATTGAAGGCTTTTTGTGTTGGTATCTCGAAACCCATGATACTGAGCGTCAGTCAGGATTCCTCATTCGAGTGCGGTACTGAAGAATCTATTACTGTGAGGAAATGCAAAGAGGGTTTCCTTACCATTTAAAAAAAGATATGAAGTCGGTGAGTCGCCATTATGAGAGAGATATAGCTAAGCATTGGCTAACCTTTCTGCAGCTTGTGTGCCAGCAACTCACCGAGGAATATGGTCTTATCAAAACCAATAAATTCCAGCCATCTGTCAATGTTGACGACCTTTTATACCTTGTACATCATCTCATGGCTATCTCTGAAGAGCATTTTCCCACCCCGAGGCAGAGGCAGCAACACAATACATTGAGAAAGATGATGACATCCACATCAGCTCGCCCTGGAACATTGCTTGAAAGCTCAAGATACTTCAAATCCAATGATGCTCTGAGATGGGGTGACAGAGATATTTATGGTCAAAGTTCCTGACTATCCTAGCTGCAAAGTGCTCCTTATCAGGTCAAAACATAGGCTTAATAAGGGGGAAAGAAACAAGGGTTCTGCGTAAGTCTCAGCCAGGCTACACTGTTTGAACATCAAAATTAACAAGCTCTAAAGTCCAATTTTTACTTACACAGAGAGAAATGACAACCTTGGACTTTGCGTTGTCCAGGATCTTTTAGAATACGGCTTCCAAAATGATATTTTTACCAGTGACCATATTAAACAACCGAGTGATATCTGGCTCTACACTGACGTACCAGAACATCGCTTAAGCGTTCCAATACATATTAAAGACACCAAGCGAAATACACCAATATTTCGTTCGGCAGCACGGGACAATGAAGGAAACTGGGTAACGCATCCAACAAGGGCTTTGACGTATTCCCAAGCAGCAGAGGATGAGAAGCGTGTGTGCAGGTCAGCAGGTCTCAAAGGCCTTAGTTCTTTGTACAAGTACCGCAAGGGTGCTGCAGCAAGGCTGGATTGTAAGTTTTAGCCCACTTCCTACATGCTCAGAACTAATTCCTTTTTTGATAGCTAATACTACGGAACACAAACGGAACCACATCATGGGACAAACCCGAGGTGACGTTTTCCGGTTCTATGTGAATCAGATTGTCGATGTGGATACACAATCAATATTTCTTGAGACTCCCTCTAGAAACGCACTTCTTAAACTCTCGAGCAACTCTGGCTTGACTCGTGATCCCTCCGCGCCACAACACTTGACCGATGAACAGAAGAATTCCATCAGGAAAAACCCAGAAATTCTTGAGCTTGAACACCAACGGGGTAGCTTACGTAAAGGCATTATTGCCAAATACAACAAAATTTGTCTCTCCAGAGGCACTCCAGACCTGCCCACGGAAAAGGAAATTTTCTGGAAAACACATCCTGTTCTCTGCGACAGGGATCTCATCCCTTTCCATGACGCGAAAATCCATGTTGCTCCAGATCATCGCATTGAGGGACACAGTGAGTTTTCTCCACGGCACAACTAGTTCGACATGTCTTATGCTGTTGTCATTACGGGTCATGCACCAGATAAAGGCCAAATAGGCGTGCACTGCTGGAAAGACATTTTTGTTGCCAATCTGATCCAGTAAGGTATACAAAGTCTCGAAGGTGACATGAGCACCGTAGGAGACCAGTTTTTTCTGGGATTGGGAGTTCTGATACTCGCAAAACTCAGCCTCAATTGTGTCCAAGTTCTCAACAGGCGTCCAATTCATTAGCACATCCAGATTGGTCTCGTCTTGTGCCAAGCCCTCCTTGAATTCGTTAGATAGCACAGCGTTGGTAGACCCATACTGAAAAATGGCAGCGAAATTGCACGATGTGATAGGAACCCCATGCATCTTGAACTCACTCCCAAGTTGACAGATGTATTCATTCAGGTAGAGCAGATGCAAATCCACATGCATTCTGAAATCAGACAGAGAACCTTGCGTGAGCAGAGTTCCATGAGCGGTCACAAACACAGAACTAAATATCAGTAGATAATCAGGCTTGGGTTCATTGGGAACGCGTTGGAAAAATGATGTAATTCTTTCTCCAGCAGGAGGAAACAAGCCGACGCTAACCAGACTTTTTGTGTAGTAAAAGAGCTCTTGAAGCATGTCTGGCCAGGCAAGAACAGCCAGATGCTGTTGGATCCGGCCAAAATTCGGCCTCTTATCTGCTGCTTTGTGGTACCAATGCCGGGTTATGCTGGCCCAGGTCTTCCGGTCCTGAAGACCGGAAGATTCAATGGCCATGCGGTATCGGGCTAAGTCACCGAGACACTCAACCCAGGTATCCTCAAAGGCAGGAACGCTCTCTAGCAGTAAAGTCATCACCAACAAGCCAAATTTAGAAACGTAAGCATATGCTCTAGGGAATCCGGAAGCCGATGGCGCAACAATTCCAAAAATGGATGGATACCATAGCACCACATGCGGGCTGGCATGGAGTGCTTCTCTGATAACTTTTTCAAAACCAGAATCGCAGAAGGTTGCTGCGAAGCAAGATAAAAATCATGATGCTCATGAAGCAATGTCTGATACAATGAGACCAGCGCCTGCCATTGACAATCCAACAATTTGTTTGACGACTCGGTGTGCTGCTTGGCCGTTTCAATCCAGATATAGCAGGACAAGCCACTATGGGAGACTGCGAGATTTACATAGAACGCTCAGCAAAGGCGGAGCATTGTTTGTGTTCTGGCATTGGTGGATTCTGGAGTCAGATAAACATAGAGTACTCAGTCCATATTTCTCGTATGTCACCATATATGGTTACAAATATTTTAATTTTGGTTATTGCTATTTGACCTGCCACCGTGACAATAGAAAGTGCTTGCTAAAACTAAGATTATTTCATCGCCGTGTGGTGAAACCCCTCCAGTCGCTTGATTAAATATAACTAATTAGTGTATTAATTGAATGACTCAACAAATGGCTGATCGCGCCGAAAGCCAAACCATCATCTTCCTCCGAACAGTGGTTTTCCCCAGGAAGACACAACAATCCGAAGTCAACAAGGCGCACAGGGAATAAGACCGGGACAGTGATAAGCGGCGGCCATTTCCAGTGCCATCATGATGTACAGACAGCAGCTCGACTAGATACGCGCCTTCGTTCATTTTTCCTTCTCAGGACGATACGACGACCCAATGAATTGCCAGGTGTTGGTTGGAAAGGCCGAGGCCGCTTAAGCCATTCCATGTCCTCCAAGTCAACAACAACCAAACTGCGGGTCTGTTCATCCCACAGCATATTACGCCACTCTTTGTCTTTGTGTTCAACACCATACTTCTGGAGGGACTTCAGAGCTTTCTCTCGTTCTTTGTGGAAGAAATCGAGATTTTCGTCTTTGATTATCCGCTGAAGCCTAGTTCCAGACCAGCTCAGGATCATCATATGTGCCATTACCCGACCATGGTACCAGTATGCGATGCTTGGCTCAAAGTTGCCTAAACAGACTGGGATCTGATATCCTTGCAAACTTCGGAGCTTGCGATAATTGTCAACTTCTGTTTTAAGGGCATGCTGATTCTCCTTTGTTGTAGCCTTGATGACCACCGTATACCCATGTGACAATAGAGTCGCTTTCATGAGATACCCCGTCCGACCACGGATGTGTAGCGGCTCAAAACCCTTATTTCGATTTTGGACAAGTTGACGGTGCAGTTTGCGCGTGAACTCCTGCGGGCCCATTGGATGCCTCTGACCGCTGTGATGTTGCCAGTTAGGGCACTTCTTATCCAGAGGACCCCCGTGGACCATACCACGGATACAAGCCATGGTGCAGTACGGTCTCTGCACCTTTTGAGAAGGAGTTTGCTTTGTTCTTTGGTCGGGTTGTGCCCGTTCGCGTCCGCCAGTTGATAAATGTTTACCTTTCCCGCGACTTGATCGACTGCGCGCGGCTGGTGCGGTGGACAGCAAAGGCATATCCTCATCACTATCACTACTTTCACTTAGCGAACCTACCGAGATAAATACACCTAAATTACAGCGAGCGTGGGAACATATATTGTGTGTCTTTGGATTCGGTTTCCAGTATGAAGGCCGATAATTCGAGGGCGGTGGCTCCTTGCGAATTGTTTCGGGAATATCGCGCAAGACGTCCAGGTATTCGACTTTCCAGGTCGAAAGCTGTTCATATGCGGTATTGTGCCACTCTTGGGACGGAGCTTCAGCGGCCAGCGCTTGGAGTGTGAACGCAAGCATCTGGCCCACAGCAGTCCGGTGGAGACGGCTCTCATCGCCTGCCTGCACGTCTTGATTTGGGAAACACAAGTAGTATTGAACTATTGTGGGATCCTCTGGAATATGTAGAAAGACAAATGCCTCCCCTGTCCGAATACACCCGTTCTGTATCCCCAAGTCATGCATGTATGAGAATATTTGAGTGACAACAGCGGCAACAAGGCGGGTGGTATGAAACTCAAACGTGTCTCCTTCCTGATCAATAACATCGCGGGCCAGGTCCATCTCGTGCAAGCCCGCGACTAATTCCGCGACTGTAAGCTTGTGAGGGGCTTTAAATTCCACTGCATATACTGGTATCTGGCGCTCATCAGCCACGACATGAACACAGAACTGATCAGCACGGCGATTGCGCCGCCTTCGTGAGCGAGCCCTTGTCTGACTTTGACCCATTTGTTTCACCTTCCCTTTTCTTCTACCTCTCCCGCGGCTGGTGTTTGGTTGACGGGGTGCGTCGTCAAGATGCATCTCCAAATTGTCATCCAGTGAGGTTGAGTTTGTGCGGTCATAAAAGGCCACTCGGCCCTCAATACCAAACTCCCGTTGCAAAGTTTCATCGCCTCGTAATGCCTCGACAATCTTTTCAACAAAGTTATCCACAGTGTCTCGCTCGAAATTTCGTAAAGTCGCTTCTGAGTAAATCGGTCGGTCTTGGACATTTGTTGCGACATAGTCTAGCTGGTTATCGGAAGGAAAGAGCGGATGTGAGGTAAAGCCGACTGCACGCTCGAGTTTCTTCCAGATTTGCTCCTGGATCTGAGGGAAATCAAGCCATGGAACAATCCGCTTGGGAAAAAGTCGATTGACCGGGTCAGTCACGTTGCCTTGGGTCGTCAGGGTCGCGTTCGTCTCGACTCGGATCGTCTGTGACAGAGATTCGTGGCAGCGATCGAGAAGGCGAAATAGAGAGTTGGGTTGCAGTCGTTGTTCTGCCTCTTCCTGGAGCCGTTCTGCCTCTTCCTGGAGCCGTTCTGCCTCTTCCTGGCGCCGTTCTGCCTCTTCCTGGAGCCGTTCTGCCTCTTCCTGGCGTCGTTCTGCCTCTTCTCTGGCCCGTCTCTCTTCTTCCCTTGCCCGTCTCTCTTCCTCCAGTTGACGTCGTAATTCAGCAATATCGTCCTGCATAGCTAGCGGTAAATCTGTCTTCAAAGAGCTAGTGGATGACCCGCTGTTAGGACATCATGCATAACACAACGCATGACAAGAGTCGCGATGTGGCATCCGAGCACCTGTTTATGTTTGATTACTAATCCCACTAGCGCGGACGCTTTATGCTTTAGACACCAAGTATTTCTTACAATTGTCGACATATTATTGATGTTTCAGGCGCTAATCAGCTAATTAGAATGGATTGGCCCAACTCCTTATCCCTAGTAGCAAATGGGAATGCTCTTCTTGCCGCCAGCTGATGAGGCACTAAACCAAGCACATTGTTACAACTGGCGGGCTGCGCCTCCGGAGACCGGTTGACTACTAATGTTCCTAGGAAATATCTCGGTTTCCGAAATTTAGGTATTCATAGGCCAGTTTGCTTCAGACATGTTAGCAAGGCTCCCATTTACTGACGTCATCAGTTTATGGCAGTGCTTCCAGCGCATGTAAATATTAAGTGAAGGCCGAGGAAGGGACTGTTCAGAAAATTCTCACAACTAAAAATGAATAGCTTTTTGATCTGGCTTCTGACCGTCATATCTCGTCTATTTCTGGAAGTAGAAATACTAAAATGACTATTACACACAGTAAGTCATTTTAGAAGCGTGGGATCTTCAGACCTTTAACCAACTCCAGGTCTTCAACCTGTGAAAACTGGGCCTATTACCGATCATCCCTTCATTTCTCACCGGCTGGATACTAAAAGCAAACCTTCGAAGGTAAAGTCATTGTGCGAAGAGGCCAGAGAGAATGGGTATGATGAATGTACCTGGCTATGCTATAATCGAGGAACGAAGTACCTGGCTCAAGGTGTACCTATTCTGCCAGAGACTGAAAGGTTTGAAGCCCATAACCTGCGATGAGCACTTGGATGGTGGAAGAGTGTCTCACTCCGCTCTCCAGTAAAAGTGAAAATTGTCAAGGTTTGTCGACTCAACTCTGTAAAAAATTCCAATACTGAAATCAGCCTCAGATGCATTTTTTGGATGCAAAAAAACATACAAGAAGTTGAGGTTATGGTTTTACCCGACGACTCTTCCTCAGAAATAGAAGAGATAAGAGCGTGGCTAAAGCAATATTCTGTGAAAGTACATTGTGGTGCTGGCTACGATGAGGAAGGTACACTCCAGCCTTGTCAAATGCGTTTAGGATGCTTAAACGTTGAAATGGATGGTTATGAGGAATTTCCTTATTTTTACTGCTCTCTAGAGCATTACCATAAGCTCAGACTACGGAAGCACAGGCTCGAGTGCAGAGACGCAATGCTGGAATTCTATTGGAACTCAAGAGGAAGGAGTGATTTTCAAACGTTCCTCAGAGTCTGGTCTGGTTACTTCATACAGGTAATTGCCATTGTATATGGGGCCAACAACGCGTGTGCTAATTGTCTCTAGCAACTTGAAGACAACGCGTTTCCTGGATGCAGCTGACGGTGGATATGGGGAGAGCATCCCCGCTCTGTTGCTCATTGATGGGTGGCACATGAAAAGGTTACTCATCATGATCTGTTTCGCTGTGCTCATTAGTCTTGTTGTCACTGTTCTTGCGGCTGCTGTTGGAAAGAGTATAGACACAGGACTGACAGCCGGAAGTTATACTCTTGCGTTAGTGGCGATACTCATTGCTACTCTTTCCTTTTTTAGTGCTATTCTATAAAAAATGATCGCTCTACATCTCTCTATGTGTATGAAATAAACATAGCTTAATAAGTCGGGCGCTGAATTCCCCTTCACAGCTAGATCTCGCCCTCACCCGCAGTGAGGGTCCAGGTTAGGTCTGATCCTCGCAAGAGTCAGGTGAAGGGTCTTGACGAGGCCTTTTCACAGCGGTTGCCTATAGTGATCATTTTCATCAAAGACTAGTGGCAGTCTGGTTTGGTGTTTCTGTACACATATTCCGTAGGATCTATGCACTGACCTCAATAGTCATTCGCCTTGCGCTGATTGTCGTGAAGACATTTTATCCAAGCTCTACACAGTGATTGCGGCACAGTTGGCCTCACAGGCACAGCGCTTAAAACAGTCTCTTGATTTGCTGAACCACTGCGCCAGGAACACGGCGTAATTGGTGATCGTCCGGGACCACCCAAAAGGTGGAGACACTAATGCCGACTCTCCTTTAAATATAGTAGGATCTCGACCAATCCAGACAAGGATAAACCTGACACACTTGCAACATTACAAGGACAGCATGAATGGATATAAGGCGATATCCTTTAGCGCTAAAATGCACTGCGGCACGGTCGTTCTACGGTCACTATGCCCAATCAGATCCAGGCCGTGTATCACGGAAGGCCTTGGCTATTGAGAAAGGCCATTTGGTAAAGGTTCTGCGGTCTTGGAGATGTCTTCCACAAGTCTCAGCACCTCTCGAGACAGGGGAAATAATATATGGACGGTATCTGATGGGTTGAGAGATTCCCGTATTTCTTTTTCCTTCGGTTTCGTAGACCTTTGAAATCCATTGTTGGACATATCTACCAAGAGATGATTGTCAATTTATGGAATCAATATTTCTTTCATTTTACTTACCAAGGACCTCTTTGCTAGTTTGCATTCTGATCAGGCGGCCGGTGTAATAAATAAGCATTTGCGTGGTCAAATCAATCTCTGGATCATGACTGACGGCAGTTTGTAGCTTTCTCAATGTATGAGCATTGAATTTTGCAGCTTTAGAAATGGATATTGTTTGACCATTTGTGTCGTCAAATTCCCTTTCTCGGTCCATTGTAAACTGTATTTCGTATCTCCCTGGGGCTGTTGGTGGATAAGCAGATTTGAATAAGAACTGTAGTATGTACATTTCCAACTCTTGCGAGGCAGATTAGCCCATTTATAATTTACTTCTTGTCGGAGATGCAGCTTAGTCAGGGTTGAAAGTACGTATCAAGCGTATATGGTCGAGGTCTCTGATTCTTGCAAAAGTGTGCTATCTAGGATCCTATATAAGACCGTAACTACCTTATAGAGTATACTAAGCAGTTGTGCGGTTTCAAAAGCAGTAATAGCAGAGTAAATACGCTGCTTGCGCCATATGATATCAGCGAGGCATCAATCAGGCATAAGTTGGTATTGTTCGGTAAGGAACCTCTATATTCCGACACGGGGGCGCCCGAACCTTTTTGAAACGGATAAACCAATGAGACGGTTAAACTCCGAGCCGGGGAAGTCGGGGAGTCGATTATCCGGACTGCACGAGGCTATACAGGAAGAGGAAATTTAAATTACAGAGGGCGACATTCATATCTATCGACACCATAGATGGTGGAATGAGTGCTTGGCTATCTAAACGAGTGTGTGTGTCCGTATACGAAAGATCTGTCGGCCTCGGTAATCGGAACAAATATTAATCCACCTCGACTCTCATCACTTTTGAACGAGGGCGGCTCATCTGTAACCTGCTCTACTCAGTGATCAGCTCAGGCTGCTCAGGACATGCTCAGGTCTACACAGTGAGCAAAAAGTGGAGAGGGGTGAGCACCTAAACGGAAAGGGCAAGCCTTCGACCTGGCTAGAAAATCAAGTACGTATGTACTATGCTGCATACATGGATCGTTCCAACGCCTTACTACTATCCTGCGAAACCCCGTACCTTGCCCACTATCTTTACTGTCCTCCTATGCTTAGAGAGAGCTTTATCTACAATACTCGGTGATTGCAGTTACTTCATGGAGATCGAGATCTGCAACAACGATTAATCGCCGAACCGAACGACCCCCGAAGACTCGACCGAGAGCGATAACAGTACTTTATCGTATCTATAGTACAGATATTCTGTATAACCCTAGGGTAGAATACTAGAAATGATCCCCTCGTTCAGCAGAATTAACTCATCCAGAGTACAATATACAGATACAGAGTACTCTTCCACTGGAGACCCGAGGGTAGCCGGGTATATATCGCCCCGAAAGTCGGAGACATACATCATCTGGAGTTAGCGGATTTAAGGACGGATGATCTCAAACCGAATCATGAATCACCGCTGCTCTCATAGTACTCCGTACAGTTATAGCATGTTCGTCCACTATGCAGAGTCAAGGATCTGTGCAGAGTAATTTGTAGTTCCAGAGCATATAGCTCCCTTGAAACACCTCCTTATATGTATATAAATTTCATAGAACTGCGCAGAATGATCCGCAAGCCGATTTATAAGCACTGCCGTTTTTTGCCCCGTTTAGGGCGGCACCCTCCGATTAGCCCGATGATTGGCTACCACCCGCAAAATTGACCAATAAGAGTGCGTAGAAGTCAATGCCGCCTTTGGCCACCGCTTCGCAGTCCGGTCCCCTCCGCTGTACACTTTCTTCTAGGTTATCCACACCTGCGACAACTCCTTCCAGTCATCATCACATCCTGCTTGCTTCATTTCTGCTTGTCTCCGTTCTCCGGATTACCTGATTACCTGTTCCCCTCGCTTGACAAAGGTCCCAATTCGTTCTGGAACCCCTCCGATCATTGGGCGCCTGTTTAATTTCGCTTTCTCACCGCATCCAGCCGCCTAGAAGCCCCTCAATTGTACTGTCGCGCTCCTGACAAGAATTTCTTAGGGGCATTTCGCCGTCTCTTATACTGAATTTCTGTGCTCATATCAATCTTACTATTCGTGACATCATCGCCTGACTGATCCTTCGTGTCCTCTTTTCCCCGGTTTATTCCTTTGTGAATTCTCGGGCCATACGTCGAGGTTCTATCCGAAACGTTGAGGGCTTGCACGCTACCTTACCATCAGACTGCATCTCGTTGACATTGAAGAGGTTGGATTGTTCGGTTATTGTGAGTTGAGAGGCGACCACACAGCACGCCTTTCTTCCGTCGTCGCGCCAGCTGCGACACCCTCCATCGGTACGACAAACGGGCAGGAGGCCCGGTCACTCTTCTGTAATTAACGATTCAAACCAACAAAGATACCCCATACACCAATAATTTCGCCATGACAGACTACAATTCTCTTTACCAACAAGGTCTCTACCTCTCCCCTGATCAACAAGATCTCCTCCTTGCCGCCCTCTCTTCGAACAATCCGTCGTCGCAGAAACAGCAAAATAAGAGCCCGCAGGCAAAGACAGAGTCAAATGGCACACCGAAGCACACACCTGTGGGTAGCGTCAACGTCTCTCCATCTGCAGGCAATAACCCGCTTGGAAATCAGTCCGGCGGACTGGGATATGGCGATGACGACAGTCCGTTCCTCGACTTCAATCCCGATGTGGATTTTGACTTTCAAGGGTCTGAGAGTTTGATTGGAGATATACCCGGGAGCGTTCCACCCTCAGATGATTATGAGCCTGGTGATAAGAGGAAGGACATGGACGGAAAGTCCGAAAACGAGAACGAGGAATCGGGAGGCAAAAAGCGAAGGGAGAGTGACTCACAGGCCAAGAAGCCAGGCCGGAAGCCATTGACTTCGGAACCGACTTCGGTAAGATCCATGTCGCTTTTCCACGGTTATGTTTTACTAACCCGGTGTCCTGTAGAAGCGCAAAGCCCAAAATCGAGCCGCACAGCGGGCATTCCGTGAACGCAAAGAAAAGCATCTCAAGGACTTGGAGATCAAGGTGGAAGAATTGCAAAAATCATCTGATAATACGACCCAAGAGAATGGTCTCTTGCGTGCGCAGGTGGAACGTATGCAGGTCGAACTCAAAGAGTATCGCAAGCGTCTTTCATGGCTTACCAGAGGCAATGGAATCTCAGCAATGAGTGCCATTCCGGGGGCCTATTCAAAGAATATGCAGGGACTGAACAACAGCGAGTTCCTCTTCGACTTCCCCAAATTTGGAGATTTGCCCGGTTCGCACATCTTTAACAACGGCCAGTCCAAACCGAACGACGCCCAATCGATGTCAGGACGCAGTGTTCCCTCGGTACCTGGCATCCTAAATCGTGAGGCTTTGAATATGTCGAGAACCAACGGTGGCCATCAGTCACCGGCTTCTCAACACACTCCGAGATCAGACAGTGGAACCCCCAAGGGCAGTGTCCATGATCAAGCCGCAGCCAAGCCTAGCTCGACTCACCACGTCAAGAAATCGACTACGCACGACACCTCCAATTCGGACTCCCCATGCTCCTCGTCGGATTCGCATCACAGCCAGGGTGTCTCCTCCAAGGGAACCTCACCGGAACCCTCCCCCGCCGCGGAAAAGCCTGACTCTAACCATGTGCACTCGTGTGGCATCGATGGCGAGAGCTCTTTCTGTGCACAACTCGGCCTTGCATGTGGGAATATCAACAATCCTATTCCCGCTGTGAGAATTCCATCCGTCAGTGCTACGAATACGCCTCAGGAGCAACCAGGCCAGTCGGAAGATGCTGGTCTCGATCTCATGGCCCAGCAGAATGGGGGACAGTTTGACCCTGTGCTTTTTGGCGACTGGCGCGAGCCACAAGATGCCGTCCTGTCGCAGGATTTCGGTACCTTCTTCGACGATGCCTTCCCGCTGCCGGATCTGGGTAGCCCGTCTCACAACTTCAACGAGCTCCTGGATCCGTCGGCGCACAAGAAGAATCCCGTTGCGGGGCTTGACAAACTGGATGAGGACGAAGTGGTCCCTGGTGAGGATCAGTCACAGATGATGTCGTGTAACAAGATTTGGTATGCCATTCCGCCTTGTCGGAGACATGTGATTTCAAAGCTAACTCTCAACAGGGACCGTCTGCAATCGATGGAGAAATTCCGAAATGGCGAAATCGACGTCGACAATCTCTGCTCGGAACTGCGCACCAAGGCACGGTGCTCAGAAGGCGGCGTCGTGGTCAATGAAAAGGATGTGACCGATATCATGGGACGCGCCAAATAAACAGCGTTCTGTATAATGATTATGATACACCCTTTTTGTGATTTGTCGCGATTTCATGTTGTGTTACGATTGATATGTTCGAGGTCTTAATCTTCTCTCAGTATAGGTCTTGTTTGTCTAGTGATTTCTATACGGCGAATATCGGGAATTTCTCCTGTATGCATGGTTGGTTGGGTTCAGCGTTGTATAGTGTTTTGTTGGGAAGGTTGTATATCAGAACGAGATTGTCTACAATGTACTATTGTGCTATTGCGCATTTCTGAGTGTCTACCCTGAATCAACCCTGACCCATAGAACACAAGTAGACGAGTAGACGGGGTAACCGCAAAGGGTAATAGCCTACGGCGGAGTATTGTTTGCCAATCTCCACTAAGGGTCTTTGATTGCGATGCGCACAGCACCAAGGAACCGAGGAATGCCATGCAAACACTGACCCTGCCGTTGGATCTGGAGAAAGTCCTGAGTGGGCTTCTGATAGTCAATATATTAATGGCATACGTATGCAGTCAGAATTAATAGGGGGCATCCTTCACATACTGTGGAGTATACGTCATCAGTGGAGCCGACCCCAGGTACGGACGCAATTCACGTGTTTGTCAGGAGTACAGGTACATATTTGGACACATTCTTCCTAGCAACTAGCAAACATTAGACAAACAAACAGGTTGCTTTCCTTTGAGATATACTGTGTACGGAACACAATGAATCCATTCTTCAGTTCGACGCCCGCTCCGGGATATACGCAGCTACACAACCAACCATCATCAGATGCCGAACCCCCATCATCAACCTGGGAAGACGTCAATTCCCTAATGTCACCCTCCACCCAATCCACGAACACATCATCTCCAGAACCTCCCTCCATCGCACAGGACCAATCCACAATAACAGCAACAAAACAAGAACACATCGAACAACACCCACCCCGCTACAACGATATCAGTGGCGCCGTGATAATCGACTGGGACGGTTCCCCTCGCTTCCTCTCGCCACAGGAAGAGCAAGAAAGGCAGACTGCGTTGGAGAACGCCGTGCGCGAGAAAATGTTGGGGCTACCGAGGAAGACGGAGTTTGCGTGGGCGAGGCCGGATGTTTCGCTTGGGGACATGTTGCCAGCATATGAACCTGCGACGCCAGCAACGGAGAAGGAAAAAGGGGAGGGGGTTGTTTGATTTGGATTGAATCGGTGATAAAGGACGGATTTGGTGGGGTGTTTCTGGTGTTTATGCGGGATTTGAGGGGTATGGTGTTTGTTTCTTTGGCTTGGATACAAGGCGTATATTTGGTTAAATGGATTGGCGACGTTGGAATATTGTTTTCGAGTCTGCCAGAATGGCAGGCTATTTCTAGAGTGGTATTATACCTAATGGGATTCGGATTGAGATTACATTTTCAGTGTGTACAATGATCTCTACTTTGGCAAACCAATTGGAAATTAAAGCGCAACCAGGTTACGCTGAACATGAACGCCAGCTTCTATTTTGATTTAAACCGATGTAACAATATAAAGGCAGTTCTGTACTTCCATACTAAGCCTTCAAGCTACACTCGGGATTCGGAACTCGGAGGGCTCGGGATCTGGTCCGGTATGCTTGATGCACATTATGGCAGTTCGGATGATGATATATGTATATGCACGAGTCCACCAGGAAGATCAAAATAGAAACGCTAACTAGCAGCTACAGGAGCACGGCCGTTTTCGTAGATTGGGCCGCAGAGTTTCTTCTTTTCTCCCCGCGCCTGCCGTTTATTGACGACCACATACATGAAGAACTGCTGATTCTTCATACAATGAGCTGACCCCACCACACGGCTTGCCCCTCTGGTTCTCGTTTATCAGCGAAATCGGCCCCTTGTTAGAACCCTGCGGATGCTGTCTACCGAGGACTGGTGCTGCTTTCGGCCCGACATGCTCTACAGGACCGGCGGCCAGGGATCAATGCGCTATTTCTTCCTTCATGGGAGCCACGAGAAAGCTTTATGCCCAGACCAAGTGGTAGTGGATGCAAACGTCGCTGTCCTGAGCCAGCAAGGCGATCCGTGAGTCGCATCGCCCCTTCTTCTACCCGGTTGAGAGCGCCAGTGCTAACAAGTAGTTGCTTCACTAGGATATTCGGTAGCACTGATGAGAATAGCACCTCGCGATATCGGTTCATCAACGGAGTTTGCACGCATGTCAACGGGCAGGACGATGTATCCACTCCCGCAAGCCAATTTGTCGAAACACTTTTGAAGAATGTTAGCATACCCACACTGATCGTGGCTGAAGTTCCAATGTACGTTTCAACACTAGTACTCGACTCCCCTGGTTGTAACGGGTCACTAATCGATCAACAGTGATGAATCTGAAATATCTCCCTATGTACAAGATCGTTATGTATACATGTCCGTCATTTCAGTGCATTCTTGATTCAACTATTCGCTAACGATCGATGCCCCAGAGCACTATTGGTGACCGGAAGAAGTGACCTCGGGCTATGCCGTGCCGACGACCATCTCTATCTACACAAGATGATGCGTGTCTTCGTCCCCCATTTCGTTCAGTCAATGTCCCGCAAAAGCAGCGATTACCTACCCGGTGATGCGAAAAACCTATGCAGGGAGGTGGCAGAACGGATGGATTACTCGGGAAATACTGAATTCTCTGAGTTCCTACAACTATACCACAAGCGATATTGCGGCAGGCCCGGGATGGGACAGAGGGAGATGCTGGAGTCGTGTCTTCTGCATAGTCTGAAGATGCCGTTCGAGTTGACGGCTTCTATTCGACAGGGCTTGGTACGGCTCTAACGGTCTCCACTATTGAATTGTGACTTGCTATTTCACACCATTAATGAACAACTACGGCATCACACAAGATTTGAGTTACTGAGAAACGGAGACGGTCAAACACAATATCAAAAACATGGAAGCAAAAGATCATCGAGGAAGACAGTGACTGTGGTTTCCCCAACAGACACCAACGAAGCCATGCATAGAGGCATCCGCAACACAGAGACAGACATCAAGTCACTGCTCGTTGGCTTGATATCATGTCTCGAAGCCTTTGACGTGCGATAATAGAATACTCGGTCGCTATTCTCAAACAATCTCTCAGGCGATCCTCGATAACATCCTGGTCACTCTTGGAGCTCAACGGTCCGTCCAGAATCTCCGCCTCGCCATCCGGCTTCACATGGGAGAATTCACTCCTTATACCACCAAAAGCCAAGGCTGCAGGCGCAAGGATATTCCAAATACTAACGGGCTCTTGCTGTCGGGCTGCAATAATCCTCTGAGCCTCCAGCGCCAGCCGAGCTCTCAATGCCTCGGTCTTCGGAAACAGAAGCATACCCCTCAAAATTTTCCAGTCATACTTTTTAATGATAAGCTCCCTAGTTGTCCGCGAAGGTTCCCAGGACGGTTGGAACGCATTCATGGGTCCTCTAACGGAGGAATCGACTTTTCTCAACAACTGGTGGAGATACTTGGTGCAGTAAGACTAGAAGCTTTCTAGATCGCCGCCTATTGATTTCTGGTACAAATCCTCGAAGATTTTTGAGAATCTTGGTGTTAATATGGTGTTCTGCAGGCCGGTTGGTTACGATGAGATTTCTGGAAGGCAGGACTCGTTGGCTTGCCTGCTTGTTTTGATAAACTCTTTTGGTTTTGCATTTCAACGGTAGGAATTGGTCTTTGGTTTTGGACGGTTTGAATCGGTTTCTGATAGGCTCAGTCTAGTCAGTGTTTCATTCGTTGTTTGTTACTCTGGCCAGTGAAATTTGTTCCAGCTATCTATCAGTAGCTTTTTATAAACCGTATCGCAGCCAATCGAAACCCGCCATTTCAAGTTAGACCAGGCGCTGCTGTCAGATAGTATCGTGTTTACTTTACGTGTGACAAGTAGCTAGAGGCTCTTAGAAAGCAAGGGCCTGGTAGGTCACGGTGTGCAGAAGATTAGGGCTTTTCTAGGACGAATGAGAAACTTGTTTGCTTAATGGGTACAGTCGTATTGCAAGAATATACGTCTACGTAAATGCTCTAATTCAATTGACGCCTCAGTCTCATTATCCTTTGCTGAGCCAGGATTATTTTCACCTGCATCTACGCTACGCATGTATGAGCTACGACCTAAACCAGACGAGTATTATTTGTATCTTCAATAATCTCTAATTAAAGTCTAATATGGACAACAGCCACAACACATAATGACAGCTGAAGTCTTACTCGCAAGTTGCTTCACTCCTCGCGAAACGAACATCTCTCTAAAATCTGCCTCAAAGCCCCCTGGACATCAACATCCCTCTCCTTAAGACTCAACGGCCCCTCTACACCAATCCAAACACTCCCATCCGGATACCTAACTACCTCAACAAATGCACACTTCAAACCACCAACCATTGTTGCCGCAAACCCAAACGCAGTACAAGCCTCCTCGCGATCCCCAATATCTTTGAAAAGATCACGCGAGAGGCTTTCCTTCATGCTCTCGAGGTCCTCTATGTCTGAGACTTCGCCGCGCAGGAGGATGCGTGTGGTTTTGTCTCGCATGATGAATTTCTTGTCAGTGCAGACGAATACCTCTGTGGAGGTTTCGATTATAGTGCCTAGGTTGTTGAGGTAGTAGCGGCAGTAGCTGTGGAGGCTTTTGAGATCGCCTGCTTCGGCTTTTTGGTATAAGTTTTCGAAGTCAGGCATTGTGGCTTGTAGAGATTAGGCAAGATAATTGAATTGGATCTTGGGAGATAGAATTCTTACTGGTATCTTTCTTTCTTTCTTTCTTTTTTTTTTTTTTTCCATCTTTTCTTTATGTTTTGGACTCGTCCGTCTCAACGACTTTAGATAAAAAAGCTGACTTAATGAACTGGTCTTCGAAATCAAGCAAACTTTGAAAGCTTTTATAGCTCCAGCTTAGGAAGCGATTATATTATTGTTTGTCTTTTAATCTACATCACAACCAATCATACCCTACAATTCCATGCCAAACCAACACCCCTGCCCAGATAACGTAACTATTACAATGCATAGCGCGACAGACAAAGAGAAGTAGATTTTTAAAATAAACCAGAAATAGGGTAAAGAGGTGAATAGCTGTCAGAGTGTGTCTTGCCCAATGAAGTCTTCAGTTGATATCTGCAGTCTGCGGTCATACTGCAGGTACGTAGATGTCGGTGAGATATGTCTACATGGGCACGCCATTAGGTTTGGAGATTGCTATGGTTTAGTAATGGTTGGCAGTTGGATTTATTCGTAGTGTGTGATTGCAAGCTGGGGCGTGCGTGTGTACGGCTCAACTAGGGCTTGCTTGTTTTGTTGAATGCAAATAAGGGCAGTATGAGTGATTAGGTAGCTTAATTCCTTTCTTTTTTAGTATGTTTTAGTGTGTCAGTGATATGTACGGATTAATAAGCGTGTACATACGGATATGGGGGTCTTAGGGCTGGCGAGCCGCTCTGAGCGCCAGGCAAAGCGTGAATATGAAAGCTTCAGATCCTAGGCAAAGAGCTACAGCCGCGCCTAGCACTCCAAATTTACCTTTTTGATCCTAATGGGATTAGAAAGGGCCCGTATTTCCGTGTTTGCTATGCATTCCGTCCTCATTATGGTGAGGTAAGCCATCATGAACGAACGGTGATGGCCCTGAGATGTGGATAGCGAGATCTATTGTATAATTTATAATTTATTGACTCGCCAATTAGATTCATGCTTATTGCAGTAGATTATAAACTCTGTTGGTGTAGACATATTGTCTTGTAGACACCATTCTCTTCGATTTCTCACCATCTGGCACCTACCAGGGCAGAACTGAACCATGCCTCGACCTCCAGAATTGACTTCCATTATTCTACCATCAGCGTATTACGACGCATTATGTCCTAGTGTAATTTTAGTTTCCCCAGAAACGAATCCTTTGGGCCCCCAATCCTTACTCGACTACAAATATCATCCCCAGCCTATCCACCCGCCATGTCCCACTATGTCTGCATCACTTTCACCGAAGGCAACACCCGCTTCGTAATTGCCGAACTCCTCCTCGATGATGAAAACATCTTCAAAGCCATCTCCTCCGTCTCAGGCCGAACCCTCAACCTCACCACCCACCACTGCAAAGACCTCATCCAGCTCGGCGCCATCATCGTCCCTCATCAACCGGGCCGCGTCAAAAACGTCGTGACCAGTATCAAGGATAATAATGTGGACACGGTGTGTATGATTCTGCCGGCGTCGAAACATAAGACTGATGTTACGGCGGAGTTAATTGAAGTGGTGAAGATGGCGGATGTTCCGAATATTGTGCTCATTACTGCGGCGGGGTGTGATCTTGCGGAGAGGGATAGGCAGCCTAAACTAGGAGTTTGTGGGTTTGGAGGCGTTGTTTATGGGGTTTAATGGGGATGCGCCGTCGAGGACGGGGGAGTGTCTGGTTATAATTCGGTGCCTTCCCTTCCCTTTGATTCATATGTTTGGTTGCTAATGGGTAGGGCCGGTTTATACCGAGAATCTGCTTCGTATGCTCATCAGGCGAAGGGAGAGGTGCCCTGTCCCTGCCTATTGGGCAACAGCATAAGTTTGCTCTGGTTGTGCTGGGCATGAGTCTGCTCTTGTTTATATCTGAACATTGTTAACAGTCCAGGATGTCGCACTCCTGGCTGCCCATGTCCTGACAGGAAAAGGATCTCATGGCTTAGATGATAAGCATCGTGGTCAATTGACGACCATTACTGGTATGGATAACCCCGGATATAAGCATAAATAGGGCTGACAAGACAGGCACCACCTTTCTAAACGGCCATGAACTCGCCAAAGCAGCTAGCAAAGCTTTAAAAGCCAATATGAAATTCGAAGTTATACCTGAGTACAGCTCCTCCTTGCCCCGTTATAGCAATATATGCTAATGATATGAAAGCCGCGAGGCAAAGCAAGTCCTCCGCAAACACATCGACACAAACGATACAGAAATCCAATTCCTAGTCGAATACTACTCGCTTGTCCGCGAGGGCAAAACAAACTACATGGCTACCACGGCATTTTGCGATGTCACCATGGGCGAAGGACCACAGAAACCGCATGAGTTCTTTAAGATTTATGGAGAGGAATTTACGCCGAATAAGAGAGGGGTGAAGAGGAGGAAAGTTGATGGGAAGTACTCTGGGTATATTATTGTCGGGTGGGATAGGTAATGGTACTTGGTGTGTGTCTGCTTACTTTTTTTCGGTTAAGATAGCTTAATGCTACCACTGTTAGTTACCCTTATACTCCTTGCGAAAGTCCGGGGCACTGCGGCCCGAAGCTACATCGTGTTACAGTCTGGGGTAGTCGATGCGGAGAAAGCAGGGCGGACTATATATAGCCAACGCGGGGTGGCCTTCAATTTACTGGCAGAACAAGTCAAAACCTCTATATCTGACTATCTGGACCTTCTCATACGCAGTTAGCTCGCTACTACTAGAGAAGATGGCTTCAGAAATCCCCCTCCCCAAAATGCCATGGATTCAGCTGGGAGAGCTCGATCCGGCTTCTATGTTGACACCCCCGCCGGCTCTGTTCCCAGCGAATACCACGGCTCAGGAGAGAGCTGCGATGAGGTTTGGCGTTAATGGAAATGCAGTGTGTATGTAGACTCGGTCAAGCTACTCTGCTACATACTAACAAACCATCCCGTGCTAGTTACTGGCGGCACAGGCATGCTAGCCCTCGCCTCAGCCCGAGCCCTCCTCGAACACGGTCTCTCTGGAATCGCCCTACTCGATCTACCCACTGCCATAGAGAAAGGGCAATCAGCTATCGAGACTCTTCGAGCCGACTTCCCCAGCGCGAAGATACTAGCGGAACCATGCGATGTCACAGATGCAGATGGAATGCGCGAGACAGTGCAGAAGGTCCGGGACCAACTAGGAGATCTGACTATCCTCTGCTGCTTTGCTGGTATGGTCAATTGCGTTGCAGCAGAGAACCTGTCCATCGAGCAGTGGAGGCGGGTAATTGATGTCAACACGACTGGTTCGTGGATTGCTGCGCAAACTGTTGGGAAGTGAGTTCTCCATGACCTACCGTCCCGCAAGATAAGCTAACACAGGCAGACACATGATATCTAGCGGCCACGGTGGGAAAATTGTCCTAATCTCCTCCATCAGTGGCCATCGCGTCAACTACCCCCAGCCCCAAATCGCCTATAACGTCTCTAAATCCGCGGTCCTGCACATACGCAACAGTCTCGCCGCGGAATGGACTCGATATGGCATCCGTGTCAATTCCATCTCGCCCGGATACATGGATACTGTTCTCAATGAAGGTGAGGATCTTGCGCCTTGGCGAGCGATCTGGGCAGATCGCAATCCGATGCGTAGGATGGGGTCGCCGCAGGAGATGACTGGGCCGGTCATTTTTCTTTGTAGTGATATTGGGGGGAGTTATGTGAATGGAACGGATTTGGTTGTTGATGGTATGTTATTTGACTCAGTTAATGACAACGATGCTGACGATATTGCCAGGTGGTGGTTTGGTTTTCTAGACTATAACAGCTGTCGATGCTCCCTATGTCCTCAACCAGAGCAGGATCGGGACACCTGATTCCCCTAAGTGAGGCGTGGATCAACTGTGCAGATGGAGGTCTTCTGATTCGAGCCACGACAGAGCATGCAGGTGTTGTGTCCAAGCAAAGTAATGAAGTAGAACAGCTGTATGCTCCTTTGCTTCCTTTTCGCGATATATTATACGGCGTCGATTACCCCTGGTAAGCGTGTGCAAATGTGAGCCAGTCAATTCATTGTTATGGTCCAGTAGAGAACCAGCATTTATTCTTGCCGATACATACGAGACCAGGTCCTGACCTTGGAGTAGTTGTGCTAGCATCCCCAGTCGGCTCTCCGCTTACGTAGTAACCGCCCTTGCACTACCTTGCACCGTCTATCGTCATCGTCATCGCCCAAGCTCTCCAACCCTCCTCTGCTCATCCATTCTGTCTTTCCCCGGGCTGAGGCTCAGACAAAATTCATGCACTCCTGGTCTTATTTAGCGTGTTTTGGATATAATTGCGACACGCTCCGGATTCCTCCGTCCTTAGCAGATCACCTCAGCTGGTGTTCCTGAGCGCCGCGACCGCTTTCGGGTCATCCACGGCCTCACGAGCATCTCTCAACGTCGACGGCGCTAAGCTGGGATTTGGATACGGAATTTACTGTTTATCTTCTCTAGGACCTCACAAGCCCATTACCGATCTTTGTCGAGCCGGATCTCGTCACGAACCAACCCCAACGATGCGGGGACTCCGCTTCATCCCCATCGTCGGCGCCCTCTTGTCATCGTCATCGCTGGTCTTCGCTGAAGGAGAAACAAATATACATGAGGAGGGCCGCTGTGCTATCCGTGGTCATTGTGGGAAACAATCGTTCTTTGGTGGAGAGCTGCCATGTCCCGATAACGGTCTTGCGGAGAAGCCGGAGACTCCGGTACGGAAGAAGCTGGTCGATCTGTGTGGGAGTAAATGGGAAGAGGGCCCGGTTTGCTGTCTTGAGGAGCAGGTACGTCATTTGCAAAGTGGAAGGAGAACTGTGAGCTAATAATGGCAGGTCGACGCGCTGGCGAGCAACCTGAAGCTCGCCGAATCAATCATCGCATCGTGTCCTGCGTGTAGGGAGAACTTTTACAATATCTTCTGTACCTTTACCTGCTCGCCCGACCAGTCGCTTTTCGTGAACGTCACCGAAACGGAAAAGGCTAGTTCTGGGAAATACCTTGTGACCGAAATAGAGAATGTCTGGTCGGAGGAATATCAGAGCGGATTCTATGACAGCTGCAAAAATGTGAAGAACGGTGCATCGGGCGGCAAGGCTATCGACTTCATCGGTGGTGGCGCCAAAAGCTACGCTCAGTTCCTCAAATTCCTTGGAGACAAGAAATTGCTGGGTAGCCCGTTCCAGATCAACTACAGAACAGAGCCCAGTGATGATGACCAGGGCATGAAGGCTTTGCCCATAAAGCCAAAGTCTTGCAATGATCCAGACGAGGCCTTTCGCTGTTCCTGCGTGGATTGTCCGGAGGTTTGCAAGCCGTTGCCTGAGGTTGACACGGTTCACTACTGCCACGTTGGTCTGCTTCCATGCTTGTCTTTCTCTGTCATCCTCGTTTACTCTGTCTTCCTGCTGTTGATCGTGACGGTATCGAGCTACTTCACGTACAGAGAACACCGCTACCGCAAGCCTGAACGAGTTCGATTGCTTCAGGACCCTGCACCAAGTGACGACGAGGATGAGGGTGATATTGTTCATGCTGGCGGATATCTCGAACAGCCGCGCGGTGTGTACAAATTAAACTCTGCTTTGGGAGCGCTCTTCAGCCGGATTGGAGGTGCTTGCGCCCGCTTCCCGGCAATAACGATCATCACCAGTATCGTTGTGGTCGGTCTGATGAGCTTGGGTTGGCTGAGATTCACCGTTGAAACGGATCCGGTACGCTTGTGGGTTAGTCCTAGCTCACCGGCTGCGCAGGAGAAGGCGTATTTCGATGAGAACTTTGGACCTTTCTACCGGGCCGAGCAAGCCTTCCTTGTGAACGACAGTGCTCCCGGTGGATACGGGCGGATTCTAGATTACGATACATTGAGCTGGTGGTTTGATGTCGAGTCTCGTGTTCGTCGGATGATTTCGTTGGAACGCGAACTGATCTTGGACGACGTCTGCTTCAAGCCTACCGGTGATGCATGTGTCATTCAATCCGTGACTGGTTACTTTGGCGGTACCGTATGGAATCTTGACCCTGACACTTGGGAGGAGCGGCTTAGGCACTGTCTGGATTCGCCTGGTGATGTGAGCTGTCTACCTGACTTCAGCCAGCCTCTTAAGCCGGAGATGATTCTGGGTGGGTATGAACACACCGGAGACCCGTTTGACGCTCAAGCGTTGGTTGCCACATGGGTCGTAAACAACCATGCTCAAGGCAGTGAAGGAGAGGCCAAGGCCATGGACTGGGAAGACAGCTTCAAGCGCATCTTCGAGGTTGTGCAAGAAGAAGCGAATGAACGTGGTCTGCGGGTTTCTTTCAACGCTGAGATCAGCCTGGAGCAGGAACTGAACAAGTCCACCAACACAGACGCGAAGATTGTGGTTATCAGCTACATCATTATGTTTATCTACGCATCGCTTGCATTGGGCTCTGTTACGGTCACCTGGAGGTCGCTGTTCAGCAACCCTGCCAACGCTTTGGTTCAATCGAAGTTTACTCTAGGGATTGTCGGGATCGCCATTGTTTTGATGTCTGTCTCGGCGTCTGTTGGGCTCTTCTCTGTGACTGGAGTCAAGGCGACGTTGATCATTGCAGAAGTCATCCCGTTCCTTGTCCTTGCTGTTGGTGTGGACAATATCTTTTTGATCGTCCACGAATTCGAACGCATCAACGTCAGTCATCCGGATGAAGAAATCGACGAGCGGGTAGCTCGCGCGGTAGGAAGAATTGGCCCCAGTATCTTCCTCTCCGCTATCACGGAGACTGTCGCATTTGCCCTTGGTATTTTCGTTGGAATGCCAGCCGTGAAGAACTTCGCCGCTTACGCTGCTGGGGCAGTTTTCATCAATGCCATCCTGCAGATTACCATGTTTATCTCCGTCCTTGCGCTGAACCAGAAACGGGTAGAGAGTCTGCGCGCGGATTGCCTTCCCTGTCTCACCGTCCGCAAGGCGAACTCATCCGGCATGCCCGATGAGCCACTGTACGAGGATCAGGAGGCAGAGAGCGGACTTCAGCGGTTTATCCGCAAGGTATATGCACCGATTATCCTTGAGCGCCGGGTCAAGGCCGTTGTTGTGATTGCGTTCTTAGGTCTTTTGACAGCTGGTCTGGCTTTGATACCTAAATTGCCCCTTGGATTGGACCAACGCATCGCGTTGCCCAGCGACTCTTACCTGATCCAGTACTTCAATGATCTCGATGATTACTTTGGTACCGGACAGCCTGTGTATTTTGTGACGCGAAACGTCAACGTGACCGAGCGCAGCCACCAGCAGCAGCTCTGCGGGCGCTTCACGTCATGTGATGAATACTCGCTGCCATTCGTCTTGGAGCAAGAGTCGAAACGACCAAATGTTTCTTACATCGCAGGATCAGTTGCGAGCTGGATCGACGACTTCTTCTACTGGCTCAACCCGCAGCAGGACTGCTGTAAAGAGAATGGGAAGATTTGCTTCGAGGACCGAGCTATCCCATGGAATATTTCCCTCTATGGTATGCCCGAGGGAGACGAGTTCGTCCACTACGTGCAGAAATGGATCGAGTCGCCTACAGACGCCTCGTGTCCATTGGGAGGAAAGGCACCTTACAGCAACGCACTTGTCATTGACCCCAAGCGGATTATGACTAGCGCGACCAATTTCAGGACTAGCCACGCCCCTCTACGAACTCAGGATGACTACATCCAGTCGTACATTTCTGCTCGTCGCATCGCAGATGACATCTCGAGGGAGCACAATATCGATGTGTTCCCGTACGCCAAGTCGTATATCTTCTTCGACCAGTATGTGTCTATTGTGCAGCTGACGGGTACGCTGCTTGGATCTGCCGTTGCCATTATCTTTGCCATCACATCTACCATCTTGGGTTCAATCGCGACGGGAGTCGTTGTCACTACAACAGTTGTCATGATCGTGGTGGACATTATCGGCACCATGGCCATCGCTGGCGTCTCACTCAACGCTGTGTCATTGGTCAATCTAGTCATTTGCGTCGGAATCGGTGTGGAATTCTGCGCCCACATCGCCCGTGCATTCATGTTCCCTTCCCGAACCATCATGGCCCAGGTCCCTACCAAATTCCGCGGCAAGAATGCCCGAGCATGGACGGCACTGGTCAATGTTGGTGGCAGTGTGTTCAGCGGTATCACCGTGACCAAGTTGTTGGGTGTTTGTGTGTTGGCATTTACACGGAGCAAGATTTTCGAGATCTACTACTTCCGTGTTTGGTTGGCGTTGGTAGTCTTTGCTGCAATTCATGCGCTTATTTTCCTGCCGGTGGCACTTAGCTACTTTGGTGGCGATGGTAGGTTCTTTCTTTCTTTTCTTTAATTCGATTACCTGTGCTAACGAGATAGGATACGCGGATCCCGGATCCGATGGAGGTCTAGAAGAAAACCTTGCGTCTAGGGGATATCGGTCTATCCTGGCTGACGATGATTACGACTCGGAAGAATACTAGTATACTTCCATATGGTCACGACGAGAAACTATTGCTATGCTACTGTGTCTATGAATGATTGGAATAATGAGGGGTTTTTTTTTTTGTTTTTGTCTTCATGTCTTGCTTGTATGTATGAGAAGGGAGTTTAGGATACTGGAGTTTGGACAGATTCTCGAATAAATATGCCGCTTTCATACCGTGGAAGAGAAGAATGTCTAATCAGTTGGCCCAACTCAGTTGGCTAATCTTGAATTTGATCCATGGATGTAGGCTATAAGTATACCTAAAGGGGCATGTGGAGTCCCGTGACCGCGGAAAACACGTGCAAACGCGGTGAGAAGAAAAAAAAAAACTGAATTTTCATAGAGTGGGCTGTTTTTAATTTTTTTTTTCTGGTCCCCGCTGTGTATATTTTATCCTCTTCTTCTCCCACTTTCCTTTTTTCTCTTCTCTTTTCTTCTCTCGCACATTCTCCCTTTTCTTTTGTGTCTTTTTGCTTTCTTTTTTTTTTGTTGTTGTGATACCCCTGGGAGTTTTGACTGCAGTCAGCTCTCATCTGGCAATACCCCTCTGTGTACGAGGGCTGGACAGTTTTCTTATATTCTGTCCTTTTTATTATATTTCTCTCTTTTGATTCTCTATTTCTATTCGTCATGGACCAACAGCGGTTTTTGCAGCAGTTGCAGGTTGTCCTGAACCGTGAGTTTTCCCTATTCCCGAATCTGGAGCATCAGAAAATTTCTGCACCGTCGGATTGACGTGAAGAACTGCGCTGACACGTTTTGCAGCCACTCAGGGCAACGTTAAGGAAGCCACCGGCATTCTGCAGCGCGAGTACTACAACCAGCCTCAATCGCTTGTTCTCCTTATCCAGGTTGCAACCGCTCATGAGGACTCCAACCTGAGACAGCTGGCCGCCGTCGAGGCCCGCTCGCTCGTCACAAAACACTGGGTGAAGGTTGATGCCAGTCAGAAGCCTCAGATCAGAGAACAGCTTGTCCGTTCTACCCTGGGCGAGGGCTCTTCGTTGGTCCGTCACTCGGTGGCCCGTATCATCTCTGCCATCGCCAAGATTGATCTGAACGATGGCGAGTGGGCTGACCTGCCCAACTTCCTCGTCCAAGCCTCCGGTAGCAGCAATGTGGAGGAGCGTGTCGTTGGTACCTACATTCTATTCACCATCCTTGAGACTCTCGGGGAGGGCTTCGAGGAGAAGTACCAGGAGCTGTTCACCCTGTTCAGCAAGACCATCCGTGACCCTGAGAGCGAGGAAGTCCGCATCAACACTCTGCTCGCCCTGAGCAAGATTGCCATGAACTTGGACTCGGATGAGGATGAGGCCCCCGTCAAGGCTTTCCAGGAGTTCGTTCCCCCCATGGTTGCCGTCCTCAAGGACTCCATCGACAAGCAGGAGGAGGACCGCGTCATGCAGGCGTTCGAGGTCTTCCAGACCCTCCTGGGATGCGACCCCGCTATCTTGACCGTCCACCTCAAGGACCTGGTCGTCTTCATGAACGAGCTCGCTACCAACACCGAGGTCGACGATGACACCCGTACCCAGGCCATCAGCTTCCTCATGCAGACCATTCAGTACCGCAAGATGAAGGTCCAGGGCATGCGTCTCGGTGAGCAGCTCACCCGTAGCGCTATGGAGATTGTCACCGAGCTCAGTGACTCGCCCTCTCTCGAAGACGACATCACCCCCGCTCGCTCCGCCCTTGGTCTGCTCGACATGCTCGCTCAGAGCTTGCCTCCCAGCCAGGTCGTTGTTCCTCTACTCCACGCTCTTGGCTCGTACTTCAACAACACCGACCCCAACTACCGTCGGGCCGGTATCATGGCCCTGGGCATGTGTGTTGAGGGTGCTCCCGACTTCATCAGCACTCAGATGAAGGAGATCTTCCCCATGGTTCTGCAGCTTCTTGCTGACCCCGAGCCCAAGGTCCGCCAGGCTTCTCTGCACGCCGTTGCCCGTTTGGCTGACGACCTGGCTGAGGACCTCAGTGCCGAGCACCAGAGTCTCATGCCCTTGCTCTTCAAGAACCTTGCTAGCGCCATGCAGGAGTACAAGGGTGAGGAAGACGGTCCCACTCTCGACATCATGAAGGCCGGTATCAGCGCCATCGACTCCGTTGTTGACGGTCTGGATGAGAAGGAAGTTGCCCCCTACCAGGGCGAGCTGGTTCCTATCCTCCACAGCCTCTTCAAGCACCCTGATTTCCGCATTAAGGGCTTGGCCGCCGGTGCTCTTGGCTCGCTGGCCTCATCTGCTGGTGACTCTTTCCTGCCCTTCTTCGACGAGTCTATGCACCTCTTCCAGGAGTTCGCTACCGTCAAGGACAGCGAGGAAGAGCTTGATCTCCGTGCCAGCGTCACTGATGCCATGGGTGAGATGGCCGGCTCTGCTGGTCCCGAACGCTACCAGCCTTACGTCGGCCCCCTCATGCAAGCCACCGAGGAGGCCCTCCACCTTGGTCACTCCCGTCTCAAAGAAAGCACTTACATTTTCTGGGGTGCCATGGCCAAGGTGTACGTTGAACACTTTTCTGCTTTCCTCGATGGTGTCGTCAAGGGTCTGTTCGCCTGTATTGAGCAGGATGAGACCGACCTTGATGTCTCTCTTGGTGAAGCCGGCAAGGACCTCATCGGTCAGGAAGTGACCATCGGTGGCCGCAAGGTCAAGGTTGCTAGCGCTGACGACGACGATGAGGTTGCTGAGGACGGTTCCATCGAAGATGTTGACCCCGAGGATGAGGATGAGGATGCTTGGGACGACATCACCGCCACCACTCCCTTGTCTCTCGAGAAGGAGATCGCTGTCGAGGTCATTGGCGACCTTGTCACCCACACCAAGAGCGCCTACCTCCCCTACTTCGAGAAGACTATTGAGCAGGTTATGCCGCTTGCTGAGCACCCTTACGAGGGTGTCCGTAAGAGCACCATCTCCACTCTGCACCGCTCCTACGCTATGCTGTTCGCCATTGCCGAGGAGACCGGTCAGATGCCCAAGTGGCAGCCTGGTCTGCCCCTGCAGGTCGAGCCCGCCAAGGAGGTCAAGAAGTTTGGTGAGATCCTCATGACTGCTACCATCAAGATGTGGTCTGAGGAGGATGATCGGTACGTAACACTTTAATCCTTTTTTTTTTTTTTTTTTTTTTTTTTTTTTTGCTTGGACAAGCCTTGAAGACGCTTAATCGCATCTCTCAACGCGGGTCATTTTCACAATGATGAATTACCTCGTAATACCCAGCTCACTCTTACCCGCAAAATGCGTGATTGATGTGAAATACGAATTATCTACCCTGAGAAAACTCTTATATACACTTTACGTCGTGGTGCTTTGTGATTTCGGGTTTCTAACTTCGAACAACTAGGGCTACCGTCGCGGACATCAACCGCAACATGGCCGAGAACCTGCGCTACTGCGGTCCTTCTCTCATCGCCAATGAAACCACCCTTCACAATGTCATCCAAATGGTCACCGACATTATCAACAAGCAGCACCCCAGCCAGATTGAGTTTGGTGAGGACGAGTTTGCTGCTCCCGAGGAGACCTCTGAGTTTGACTGGGTTGTCGTTGACACTGCCCTCGACGTTGTCTCCGGCATGGCCGCCGCCCTGGGCCAGAGCTTCGCTGAGCTCTGGAAGGTCTTCGAGAAGACCGTCCTCCGTTATGCTAGCAGTAGCGAGTCGCTTGAGCGCGCCACCGCCGTCGGTGTCCTTGCTGAGTGCATCAACGGCATGGGCCCTGCTGTCACCCAGTACTCTGGTACTTTCCTGAAGCTGCTCGTCCACCGTCTCAGCGATGAGGACCCTCAGACCCGTTCCAACGCTGCCTATGCCGCTGGCCGTCTGCTTGAGCACTCGAACGATGCCGGAATTGTCAAGGAGATCCCCACCATCCTGTCGCGTCTCGAGAACTGCTTGCAGATGAACGTCTCGAGACTCCAGGACAACGCCACTGGTTGTCTCAGCCGTATGATCCTGAGACACCGTGAGCACGTTCCCATCAAGGATGTCCTTCCTGTCCTCATCAACATCCTGCCTCTCAAAAACGACTACGAGGAGAACGACCCTCTGTTCCGCATGATTTGCCAGATGTGTAAGTACTCTTCTGTATAACTCTCAGTACGTTTGCTGACTGGACCAGACAAATGGGAGGACCCCACTATCCGCGAGCTGACTCCTCAGTTCCTGCCCATCTTCCAGGCCGTTCTCACCGACGAGGATGCCCTTGAGGATGAGCGCCGGGCCGAGCTCGTCGAGCTCGTCAAATGGCTCAACCAGGCTCAGCCGGGTTGTGCTCCTTGGGCAGACCAGCTGTAAATCCATATATCGAATGATGGATACGTGATGGCTTGATGACAAACACACAAAAGTAATATAGACTTACGGATGGATGACATTAGACGATACCCCGGAGTGCATTGAGGACTTGAACTTGGAGAAGCGATTCCTCCTTGCAGATGATGGACAGGACTGGAATTTGATCAATTCTGGAATGATTTACGAGTCACAAAAGTTGATTTGATTTGTACATATGCTATGATTATGAATGATGTTCACTGCACTGCGCTTGTACTTGTATGCTGTATGTTGTCGTACTCTGTAGATATTTAAGGCACTGTCCAACGGTGAAGTGGGGCCTGGGGCAACAACTTGGCTGCCTGCTCTAGACCGACTGATCTTTCCAACACCAGCCTAATCTCCTTCATCTTTGCATACTCCGAGTACACATCCACGACAACCCCAGACTCCCTACTCCATAGTGAGTATTTTTCCTCCATCGTACAGAAATCTATACTAACCAACTCTACTCCGCGCAGAACCACCACCCATACCGTTTAGCCTCCAAAACCTCAATCACACATCAACAATGGCACCCCCCTCCAGCGCCGGATCTTCCATCAAAAAACCCATCAAGACCGTTCAGAAGCCGTGCTTTGGCTGCGACTGTGGAGATGAAGAGTGCGATTGCTGTATCTGCACCGTGATGTGATGCGACGGTATATTCTTGTGGGATATTGATATGGATAATGGATAAGGCTGATGGGTATTCAGGTTGGTTCGGTCTCCTTGTTGGTGGTGTCTCGCAAAGAGAAAACCTTTGGCTCAAGTTGTGTCTTATCTATGATTGAAGGCATGCTGGCTTGGGAATTCAACGCGCAACGTGTCATGATTATGTGCGATGTTTGATGTCTGCTGCGTTCTGGTTGCCGTGAGGCGATATTGATATCCTTGTTTCACTTTTCTTTAAATCGTTTCGGTCTTTGCGGAGTAGTCTTTGCATGCTCTATTCTACAAAACTTGTTCGCCAGACAAACACCCTTCACTGCTTCTGTCGTTACCATTTGTATTTCTTTGCCATTTCCCCGACACTTTCAGTCCTTGAACCTCCGACCCGCAACGCTCCACCTTTCGCCGTGAATGGGCAAAAATAGAAAATCAATTTTACGCAGACAAAGAGCAAAAAAATGGTCCCGACGAGGGTCGAACTCGCGACCTTGGCGTTATTAGCACCACGCTCTAACCGACTGAGCTACAGGACCCAATTGGTTGGAGGGAGCGAGCTTCTTTTGAAACTCCTTCTAAATAACCAAGGTGAATCACCTCCATCGTTGTATGCTAGCCCTCTTTATACGCCATGCTTTTTTGTAAGATCCTCTGTCACAATTTTCTTTCTCTCCTTCACATCACACAAATGAAGAATCTGTATCATCAACATGCCTCATCCACCTATTACTATACCTCCTATCACCAAAACCTGTCCGACATGCCGCCAGACTAAACCCGAGGGCCAGTTCCGTAGATTGGGTGCGAATACGGCTGTTAAGAATTGTCTTACTTGTCGGGATCGCTACCGTCCTGTTAGTCTTTTCCCTTGTTCCTGTTTGGATTTATGCAGTGGTGGGTGGTGCTAATATCTTTTCCTTGCTACTCAGGGTCGAAAGCGGCTATCCGAAGAGACTGTGGTTGTTTTCGATAGTACACTTCTGCCGGCGCAAAGCAATACTTCCTGCCAACCTATCCTTCCTCGTCCTACTCAGCCCGTCTCTCATGGAGAAATACAGGAACATGGAACCCAGAATGTCTTCCGTGTCGAGCCTCCCAAGCGCAAAAAGGCGAACAGAAAGAAAAAGGATAACCATGAGGAAGAACCACAGCTCATTGAAATCGGCTCAATGGTAATTGGACCGACGGGCCCTTCATTCGCGCTTTTGCCTAGTCTTCAGTCGAACTCTTGTCCTCGCTCGGGAACTCGGGAGTGCCAGAATAGCACTGTCGAATCTACTACGTCTCAGCCACGGGTTTCTTCTTCTCGCCCCCAAACAGAGCGTGGTGCTGGGTCTTTGGAGCAACGGGTTAGAACTTTTGATTTGACTAGACTTGAGCGTCAATCCCGAGGCTCTTCTCAGTCAGTGCTGCCGTGTCCTCCGACAAGTGATGGGAGTTTAAGCGTGCGCTCAATGGTACTTGGACCTATGGGCCCTTCCATCGCTGTTTTGCCTAGTCTTAAGTTGAATTCTCGTTCGCAGAGAAATGGCGCTCAAACTCGGGAGCAGCGGGTGATGGCTATCGATCTTACTAGACCTGGGCCTCAGTCCTGGGGCGCTAATTCTCAACCTCTACCGCTGCGTCCTCAAGAGCAAGACTCGGGGTCTCGAGAGCAACGGGTTAGAACTGCTGTTCCTACTGAGCCTAGACCTCAGTCTCGATATTCTTCGCGGCTCATGCCGTCGCGTCTTCAAGCAGAGCAGGGCGTTGAGACTCAGGAACGCCAGATCAGAATTGTCCATACTAGTGAAGCTCAGTCACGGGATTCTTCTCTTCGGTCTCTGCCTTCGCATCCTCAGATAGAGATCAGCGCTAAGATTCATGATCAGCGGGTTAGAACTGTTACTTCTACTAGACCTCAGTCCAGATCTTTTTCTCGGTCTATGCCGCCGCGTCCTCGGACAGAGCACGGCGCTGAGACTCGGGAGCGCGTCAGAACCGCCAATCCTACTGAGCATGAGCCTCAACCCCAGGGCTCTTTTTCTCAACCGCCGCCACCGCGTCCTCCGATGAATGATGTGAATTTGGAGAAGTATGTCTCTAGATGCTGGGACTCTGGCTGTACATCTTGTCGTTCGTACTCTCTGTATCCCCAATAACAAGGGGGATACAGACTCCTCACTTACCTCATGACTTCCTCCAGTTTCTCCTTGCATCTGGCGCAAAACGTTCTTCACTCGCTAATCCGGCTCGTCTGCAAGTGGCAGACGACTGAAATTGCATTCATTCATCATATGCAGCGTTCTTTTAACGCCAGTCTTTTCGCTCTAGATTTTGAAAATATTCATCTCTCTCTGCTTGGTATGGTTCTATATTTGTTTTGGGTGGGATATGCTGCATCCCCCGCGGCACGTCTCTGGTTCTGTATTAGGTTCATGTATCCTGCTGAGTTTTGGATATCTAAGTGGTTAACATCCATGTGCAAAACCAAGTCATAAGCAGCTTCATATCTTGAATATAGTGTAGTCATCCCTATCTCTCCGTAGACAATGCCCGATGTTGGTGAAGCAATAGAATCTGTCATGATCATTTTATATCTAAATATTTTTTTTTTTTCTAATTTTTGCAGCACATACATAGATTGAAGTTGATCTGCTGAGGTTTGTTAAAGAAAAAGCGTCACATGGCATTCATTGTATATTGCCCTCCAGTTTCACTCTTTTATGCATTCCACGTCTCACGTCTATACCGTCCTCACTTTTCATATCTACCTATACATTCCAACATGGATACCACTCCTTACCGGATGTGCACAACATGCTGCCAGACAAAGCCCGCAGACCATTTTCGTCACCGGCATACGATGGTCCTCGTCACGACGTGTTTCTCGTACAGAGATAATCGCTTTGAAGTCCTTCATTTCCATATCCTCTTCTCACCAGTAGTCAAGCTAACTGTTTGCTTTCTTAGGTTCGTGAAAATCTGATGATTGAGGACATGGCTTATTCTGTTCAATTGCAGCAGCAACAACAACAACAACAAACAACAGAGACAGGTTTTCCCTTATCGGCCTCTCTTGCCTCATCCCTTGCGGTTGGATATCTGTCATGCAGAGATAAGTGTGGATAATCCCAGCCGTACTAGGACTGACAAGGGCCAAGATTACAGTAAGGATGCTACACCCCCAGAGACGAAATGACTACCGGCCTCTTTTACCTCGTCCTCCTCGTTTCGTTCTTCGTCATAGAGAGGAGAGTGCCGATAATTCCAGTCGTACTGGGATTAGCAAGTGCAAGGATAAGGGTACTACTACCCAGCGATTGAATGGTTGCCGGCCGCTTTTGCCTCGTCCTGCTCAATTAGACTCTGGCCAGGTGGGAATGGTTCTGTGATCTCTCAGCACGCGGTTTCTTCCTCTGGATCTCGTCTACCTCGCTCTGTTCAAGAGGATGGTCCCGATCGCTTTGGCAATGCAGAGACTCATGCACTCCAGTCTGAAGGCTGAAGCTACTAGCTCTTAGCCGCCTCAATCTGAGGGCCTGGAGATCCTACACCAGAAACGCACTGGATTGATTAGAAGCACAAACCCAATGAAGGAAACACAACCACCATATGGTACATTGCGGATTATGATATCTATTTTTTATTATTACAATTTACAGCATCCATAATTTGAACTGTGAAAATGAACCACCACACGCTGAGTCCTTGTTGTCTGTTGCTATTCTGCCACCTCTCCTTGAGAGACATAGTCCCTGGCGTCAATATCAGGTGCTGGAGATATCAATATTGAACAGGAAATGAAGATTTCGCGTTCATTTTCTCTTTTTATACGCGTATGGAGTATGTAAAACAAGATGTACAACCGTCAATAGGACACAGACGGTCAGGGTCAAGTTGGGGAAGAGCGAAAAGAGAAAGGGAATATGGGTCTGCGAATCGGTGAATGATGGAATTGGCTTGTTCTGATTGTGCAGTGCAAGACAAATCAGAGTTGCGCTCTGGTCCTTGATAGAGGTCTTGCTGTGTTTCAAAATAAGGTGAAGGAGGCGGATGGGATTGGGGTTGGGGGACTGTAGACCCGGGTTCGCGCAAATTTTGATTCTCAAGGTCATTCTCTCCCCTATCAAAAGGGTCAGGTGGAAGAGGACAAGGCCGGTTAGGCGATGGACTAATAGCAACCTGGCCTCTTTCAGACTGGAATTCACCAGCCTCAACACGGGAATCATCGGTGCTCTGTCGCCGTTTCTCTTCCTTGGAATTGACACTTGGCTGAGAACGAGGCAAACGCCCTCTGGAAGAATACTTGCAACAAGGTTAGCTCCAATATCCATTACACGGGAGAATACGGGAGAGATACATGTTTCCGGAAATACATTCGACAAGGAAGACAAGTTTTGAACGGAGCTTTTGCATCCTGGCTTTGGAACTCCTCTGCGGGCTTGGTTTTGCGGCATCTCACGCATATATGTGGACGGGGCATAATGGAGGATATGTAGAGGGTATAGTCTGTAGATCTGGGGAGAGTGCGTATATTTGGCATGACCAATAGTAGTACATCGTGGAAGACTTTTCTTGAGCTGATGGGATATTGACAATTTAAAAGGCAAATATAACAAGAAACCGGAAATCTTTTCAACAATTGGTCCTGTAGCTCAGTCGGTTAGAGCGTGGTGCTAATAACGCCAAGGTCGCGAGTTCGACCCTCGTCGGGACCATTTTTTTGTGATTTTTTTTATTTTTTACTGTTCGACAGCATATACGAGTACGATCTCTATTTAATTTATTTTATTTACCCACCTGGTTATCTCCGGTTCCGCTGACTCAGAAAACCCCCTTTGGCGTCTTTGTCAGCGGCGATCGGAAGTGACACTTTAGTATGTTCCGTCATCTGGACCCTGAATAGTCTCCATCTCAAGCCACCCGTGTCGGATGGAAATGCCTAGTTGGTCAATATGTCTGATAGAGGCTTAACCCCCGCCCACGGTGATCCGTCATACGCAACTGATCGGTCCCCCACCCCGGCCACAGCGGCAGGGTCCGACGAGCAGCAGGCCCGCAAGCGCACTGCAAGAGCCTGCGATAGTTGCTATAAGAGAAAGGTATGCATTTTCCTGTTTGAGAATGTGCCGATGATTAGGGTTGGGTTGAGCTGATGTGGATGCCTGCAGATTAAATGTGATGCGGCTGTTCCGCAATGTAACTGGTGCAGTCATCATAACATCCCGTGTACTTTTGAGAGAGTTATACAGCGACGGAGGAAAGATCGGGGGAATGGTCTTGGGTACGTTTTGATTTCTCGTCTTCTTTGGCAGTTGCTGATATGTTATAATAGTACGCAGAAAACAGGTCGTTTGTCGGAGCGGCTGAGCAGGATCGAGAAGCTCTTGATGGAGAACTTCGCTGGTGAATCACGTAGGTGCTCCGATTGCTTCCAGTGGGACTGCGTGCAGGACTGACTTCTATTGGCAGCGCCTGGAGGGTCTCCCGCCAACTCCGAGACTAGCTTACTGGAGGAAGTGGTGACCACGCCTCCCGATCACGCCCCGGCATCATCGTCCGTGGCGCTGCATTTTGCCGGCCGTGAGTTCGGAGTTAACAGTTTGATCACCGGGATACCGTTCCTACTTCCCGAGGGTCAGCAGTGGGTTCAGCAGCGGACGGGTCAGAGCATTGCATTTGAGAAATTGAGTCCTGCCAGACCACCATGGGAAAAGCAACGAGCGCTAAACTCCAGCGCGCTATTGATGAGTCTGCAGACGCAGAACCCTTTTGAGTTGCCTAACCAATCGGTTGTCGATATTTACTTTGACTTGTATCGGAGTGCGTTGATGCGGCTTATTTTCCCTGTGCTGGACTTTGTCTTGTTTCGTGAGACGATCAAGGCTGCTTATCAGCCGCAGAGCTCTAGTCGGTTTTATAGACCTGCTAGCGCGAGGGCGTGTATTTTCTCTTTTATTGCGCTTGCTTCGATATTACATCCGCCGGGGTTGAATCAGACGCCGTCTCATGTACCGCCGGTGGATAGTGAGGCGTTTGCGGTCAAGGCACAATGTTTACTGCCTCAAGTTCTGCAAGAGTCTGCTAGTTTGGATGGGCTGCAGGCGACCGTTATGCTGGTAAGTGGTCTTTCAGGGCCGCATACCTTACGGTCTATTGCTTACATCATTAGGCTATATTCGATCTCGTGACAGGAAACTTACGTTCTGCAAATTACTTCGTTTCTCTCGCGGCTCGCTTTATATACATGCTAGGCGCACATACACATTCCCACCGACCCACCACGTCTCCAGCTGCGGGACCAGAAAGTCCTGAAGATAGAATACAGCGACACCTTCGAAATGTATTTTGGCTCTGTTTTATTATCGACAAGGATATTGCTCTACGAACTGGCCAACCCGTTGCGCTTTCTGATGACAACTGTGATCTCACGCTGCCTCCCGGTTATGTAGAACAGCAGTACATGGCTGTTCCACATCCGCAGGACTCTCAAAATTTACCTGATTACCTGCTCTTCCCTGTCGATCTTCGGTTGGGAATTATAAAATCTCGGGCGTATAGCTCATTATACTCGTTCAAAGCACATCAAAAAACAGACGCAGAACTTTTGAAGGAAATCCGCGAACTGGACGATGAACTCGAGCGGTGGAGAATCTCTGTTCCTGAAGAGTGGAGGCCAACATTGTCGTTTTCCCATGAACGACCAGATCCGACTGTTAGCATGCATTCGGTCATGTTGCGGTTAAATTACCACCTGTGCATGACGATCATTCACCAAGCGAGTAGTCGATGCAAGGCCTGGGCCATGGGTCAGGGTCAAGGTGCGATGACAGAAGGAGTACGATCGAGCTTAGCTCTGTCGGTGGAAGCAAGTCGCTCAACATTGATGTATCTGGAGACAGCTGAGCATGTCCTCATGGACGGCGTATTCTGGTATGTCCCTTAACTTTCACCCCTCCCCCACTCTCCTTCCTGCTAACGTACCAGGCACTTAATCTTCTACCCCATGTCCGCCCTCCTCGCAATATTCTGCAGCATCCTGCAAACTCCCTCCGACCCCCAAGCCACAAAAGATCTCGCCTTACTCCGCGCCGCAATGGGTATGATGGAGCGGGTGTTTCTGCGACAGCTTTCCTCGGTAAATGAGGTTATTCATATTAGGCTTGTTGCGGATTTTGTTTCAGAGCTGCATCGGTTGGCGAAGTGTGCGGTTGATAAGGCGTTGAATGAGCGGTATGCTTGATTTTTGTACATTGTCACTGGTGTTGGTGTTATAACATGGTTGGAGTTTGAGGGCATAAATATATATCTGCACATCTGTACGTATGGTCATACAACTAGACTGCCAATGTTTGAGATAAACGATATAATTTAATAACAATTACTTCTCAATGCCATCACCAAGTGTTTACTTGCACAGCGACTTTGTCAATTCAACAAGGGCGGGGTTAATCCATCGACAATACACTAATTATCTAGAAAAATTGGAGGCTTGCCTGAGAAATCTTTAATTCGGCCTGTCATTCAACAGCGGGTCCTGTAGCTCAGTCGGTTAGAGCGTGGTGCTAATAACGCCAAGGTCGCGAGTTCGACCCTCGTCGGGACCATTTTTTGTCCTTCTCTATCCGGATTAGAGAAGCGTTTTATTTTTGATGTCCAATCTAATTTCAGCTCTCTCAAATATACCCAATTGATACTTGGTGGGTGTATTACATGCGTGAGAACTACAGGGTAACACAACCCGACTATTTTCGATATCTCAACTATATACACTCACCCAATTAATTCAGGCCATTGGCCCTCCTCCAAACATCCTCCATTGAAACAACCGTACTCAAAACCATCAACATCCCCACCACCTCACTCCCCACGTCAATCCACCCAAGCGAAGACCCAGGAATCACAAGGTCACATCCATCAACAATAACCCGCTTCATAAGCGTTTTGCTAGCCGTAGTGCTAGGTGGCGTGGCTTTCTCGTCTTTCTTTGATTGAGCACTGGAGCCACTGCTGAAAAGGAACGACCAAACCACCCCAATAACAGATAGCGCAAGACCCCAGAACCAGAATTTATATGCTTGGGTTTGGATATCGCTGGACCAGGGTGTTTGGGGATATATGCCCATTGCGTGGAGCTACAGTTTATCAGCATAATCCTCTCTATATCTCTATCCTGTGAAGCATAGGGGAACGTACGATGGTCAAATCCTCAAGCAGCACATAAGTACCCAACGCACTCGATTTCCCAAGGTCAAGCATCGTACTCACTGTCCCGACATCACCGCCGCCGCCATGCACGAGGAGAGTGTACACCCGGTCGAACGAGTCGATGAAATTCAGGAAGCGGAAGTAGCGGCGCGCTGATTCCCGTCAGTACCAATTTAATAGTATTGATATCAATTATTGATTCTGAATGTAATCATATTCCGAGACAAAGCGCCGGTGGGGGGCATACTCAATGCTATCTGCGACTTAGCCGTCGCCCACCGTGTAGCTGATACGGCATTATGAGAGGAGAGGTCTGATGCGATTTGGGAGAGGGCCTGGAGTAGGCGTAGGGATCGCTCGAAGCCGGGGGTGGTTTTGGTGAAGGTGGTGAATTGCTTGAGGAAAGGTTGTTTCTGTTGTATTTGTTGGGGTTGGGCTTGTTTGGGTTGCGATGCATGTCTTGCCTGGGCCATTTTTGATATAAGTTATTCAATGTGATTTAGAATAACTTGATAAGAAGGAGACTATTCTATATAACTGCGCAGTGTATCTATCAACTGTAGTTGGCAAGTCCTAGCGGTGTCAACTTATCGGCACTATCCGATGCGTTGGCCCGACTTGGCATAAATATGTAGTGCAGACCATTTACAGCATTTGTACAATTCAGATGACATTCGCTATAGCTACCAAATAAACAACTAATACACCGGGCAATCTACCGCTTACCACCAGAAATGTCCTGTCCCAACCGGTACCCTCCAACCTTCTCCCACTCCACCTTCTGCCGGGTAATAGGCAACTGTCTCCGCAGGTTCTTGAATGCTTCCTCGGCCATCTGCACGAATGCCCGGTTAAGCGTTTCCTGGTAGTCGCGCTCCGCGGCCGCAATGCGGGAGATGACGGTCTCCGCGGAAAGGGAGGAGATGGACACGCTGATGGGCTTGGTGGTGTTGAGGGCGACGTTGCCATCTTCGTAGTAGTGCACATCTACGTGAACTTTGCCGGTCACTGTGGCGGGCTCGGAGACAGGCATTGTGTAGATTGCGCGGAAGCGGCCGTTCCTGTCCCGTTAGCTATGGCCATATATAAGGGTAGAATGACGTACCAGAAGTTGTTTGGCGAGTATCGGTTCGCAACAAGCAAGATGGCAACGGCAGAGTCGTCCGCAGTCGGGTACACTCCGTAAGAGGAGCTGGGGTAGTGTTCGGTGGCATGTACGGATAGAGATTTGAGAAGGGATTTACTGCGTCACTTAGCACACATCCTTGCACACTCCAACCGGGCTAACACTCACATCAGGTCCGCATTTTGCGATTCCAAAACATATGACTGCGCATCAGAAGCTTCCTACGCCGTATCAGCTCTGTCCTGCCACTCTTCCACATCAGACTCGCCTACCTGCGTGACATGGTCAACCTCAAACGAAGTCTGACTCTCAACATCAAAGTATCGGTTCCCCTCCAACTTGTTGAACTCGCTCACAATCACCTATACCAACAGCCTCATTAGCACCTGTAGCCCAACCTCAGTCCTCAGTATCGCGTCGCATACCTCCTGACTAGCCCCTGGCAGCTTAACAGTCGCCAATTGTGTCTCGTTGTATCGTTCGAACGCGGGTGCGAGCGAGGGGATCAGATCGCCCTCTTCAGAGGTCAGGGCTTTGACGTCTATGTTTCCGGATGTTTAGCATGGGTCTTATTCGGGGGTGGATGCGGGGAAGCTGGTGTCGGGTATTGGGTGTTAGGGCCAAGGGAGGAGGGAGACGGTACCGGCAACGACATCGGAAAGCTAGAAAATCCAGTATTAGCGATCTGTTTCTGTGAAAGAACCGAAAAAGAACAGGGGATGCTCCATGGTTTGGTCTGGACGCATACCTCGCCTGGCGGGGCACCCTCAATGAACGAAGAGGCCAGCTCAACGGTAGACATGATACAGTATCGTGGTTATTCGTGTTTTCGTTTGAGATAAAGTGAAATGAGCGAGTTCCAACAGATCAAGCATATAACAATGAAAGAGAGATTCCAACTGCCAGCGCAACGATAGATGCTCGGTGTCAACAGCGGAGACGGAGCTCTAGCGCGATAAGCGCGGGCCTTGTGCACGTGGATCAATGCGGCTATCTACAATGCAGTGTTCTGCTGTGCAACGCGGAATATTTGCAGATGTATGGTATATATTGATTAAACTATGCTAGTATATAAACATCAAATCCATCACCAGACGCCAAATGCCCAAAAACGCCAACGATAACACCGCGCTAAGAGACGATAAAGATGCAAAAGCAGCAGAAAACAGCAGAAAGCAAGCAGATAACAAAAGCAAACTATTCAATACTCATGTTCATAAGCGAATCATTGGCCTCGGTCATACCCTGCAATCCAACCCGCTTCAATGTCCCTGTATGTGGACTACTACTATTGCGAGGGTTACTGTCTGGGAAGAGTGAACCGAGATTAGACTTGGGCGGCGGACCCCAGATATTAGATCCTGTATCTCTCATCGCTGGCGAGTTTGGCATCACCGGACTGCTCTGGGCACTCATGCTGGGCGAAACGGCCCGCCGTTTGAAAAGATTAGGATCGAAATCGTCTTCGCGACCGCGCTTTCGTTTAAATTCTTGCATGGCAGTAGGCTGCGCTGCATTACGTAGCGAACCCCGTGAACTGGGCCGCTCAAAAGGCTTGGCAAATTCAAAAGTCGATGTAGATGGCGTCATGTCCATTGCCAAGTCATCTTCCGAAGCCGATGGAGGGCCTGGGCGTATCGGCGGGGGAGGTGTGCGGTAGCGGTCATCAAACGAATTCCAATATCCTCGAGTGGATTCTTCACTAAATGCGTTCCCGAGCCGAGTGGCAGTTTTTGAAGGTGTGTCGTCTGCGCCAGATACTACCCTGTCCGATTCGGTTGGTTGCAACAGGTCCGGTGACTTTTGTGGTGCCGGGTCGCTCTCGCGAACCTGCCGTATTACTTCCGATTCACGTTTTGACTCGCAATCAAGAGGAGAAGACTCTTCAATAAGAGCAGCCCGAATTCGAGCAAACGTTTTTGTTTTCGGCTTTGCGAGACGTTAGCCGACATTCGAGACACCCAGAAAAATGCAAACCTACCAGTAAACTTCCTCGTCGCGTGACAGCACGTCGAATGACCCCCAATGGTCCTCCTTCACCACGGGCAGGGCTGCGACTTCGAGCACGCTCTCCATCGTCACTGAGATCGGAAAGACGCAGATCCCGAGTGCCCATGCTCAAGCTCTCACGTCGAGGTTGCACTCCATGTCTTGATCCCCCAAAATAGCCCCCATGAGGATTCTCGATGCTCTTCATCACAGGTGGGGAAAGCGGCCCGGGGCTCTGCTTGGAACTCCCGCTTGCACTGCTAGAACTGTGTCGAGTCCTACTGCGTCCCTTGCGGAAACGAGCACGTTGGAAACTTAGAAGGCTGGCCGCTGCGTGTGAATAGCCGCCCATCCAGTCGTTTCCTGGACTCGGAACGTTTCCAACCGCAAAAGGACTCGGTCCAGTTCCCATCTTGTTTGCTTGAGGCGTGCTAAGCATCATGTCATCCTTATCCCCTCCCATCGGCTCATCGTCCTCCTCTTCGCTGGTACTTGTATCCGAATCCATCATATTTACACTGGATACCGAGCTGGAAATCCCTGTTCGATCAACTGGGCCAGACGTCGAAAACGGCGCTGCAGATGCTGCGCTTGGAGAACCACGACGTTGTGGAATCGCCACTCCCCGAGCACCGATTGTAGGCGACGACTCCGGCGAAGATTCTGCGAGGGTAGAGTGATGTAAATTCGTACAGGCACGCGAGAAATCAAGACCCCGTGATCGTCGAGGAAGAACTGAGCCGGGAGATCCGTATCTCGAACTGTAGATCTGCGAGGAGTCGAGCTTTGGCGAGAGTGGTGCACGTTGGGCTGTAGCGGGGGAACCGGAGAGTCTGGGAGGAAGGTTCAACGCTAGATTTTGTGGATTCAAAGGTGGACGCTGTGGTGTGGCGGGTGTGGATGAAAGTGAACTGTCATCTTTGCTGGAAGCTGAATGGACGATGCTCGCTTCATCCGAAACCGACTGTCGCTGAGAAATTGAAACCGGTTTGGGCGCATCTGGCAATGAGTGTAATCTGGGTGAATCCAAAAGAGGTCCACCAAGTTGATTATTGGTGTTGGTCCTGATAATATCCGTAGAGTTGCCCGTCCCAGCGTCACCACTCTGGCTCTGTAAGAGCTGCTCACTCAACTTGCTCTCGAATGGCTTAGCGGGCAAAGTATGGGACAGTGTCGATGGAGTTGTGGGCGGAGTCATATTGGGCACCACGGCAAGCCTCGTACATCAAATTTCACCGTCAAATGCATGCAGCGCTGCAGAGCATCGTGGAATGATGTGGAAAGGGTCCGCAGGGTCGGGGAATCGCGGTGAATAACTGGCCTCGGTCGGTCGAACGGCGAATATATGGTCAATCACAATCGTGTTTTCTGTGTGGACTTAGGTACAATGCTTGAGGATCCGATATGCTTATATATAGTCGCGTGGAATGTTGTGAGATGGCCGTGTCACAGTCAAGATGGTCGGAAGATCGAGTCTCAATCGCGATCGCCGTGACGTCCGCGGCGAATCATGTGATACCATGCCCCGCACCTGATTGGCGCGCGGCTATTGTATACACAGGGTCAAGAAATGTAGGTTATTTTGTGATATTTATGTCTGAATAAAGTCTATATACTCAATTTTCGCACACGGTATCATCATAGCCACATAAAGGCATTCTATGCTAAGCTCATAGCTGTGCTAATCGGCGCCACATACCACTCCCAATCATTACACTTCCAAGGATCTCTCGACGTATCTGTAGGAGAACCCTTGATCATATCATTATCTCGAGCCTGCCACACCTTGGAAATGACGGCTTTTGTACGAGCCACATTCGAGACACTTGATTCGGCCATCGCGGCTAGTGCGCGTAGAACGAGCGGTCTTCCATAAACTGTCGAGCCACTGTCCACGTTCAGCCAAAGCTCGTCATCAAACGGGTCGAGTTCCACGGCTGCCACGAAGACCGGCCATGTCATGCTGACTAGCGAGCCTTGGTCGAGTAGGTTAGAGACAAGCCGGAAGATACTCCGAACATATTCGACAACCAACGGGGTTGATGGCGATGCACCGTACAATGCACAGTGCAAGTACAACACGGCAGCTAGACGTTTCAATTCTGCAGCCGATTGAAGAGTTTCGTCTTCACCATTGACATAGCCAATTTCTTGCACCAGATTCTCAAGTCTGTGCTCTAGAGAGGCTGCTCGCAAGGTAAATGAATCTCGCGCAGAGTTCGAAGTAAGCTGTCTCCTTGTCCGGCTCATTTCTGTTATCGACGACAGTATCGACACCAATTCTGGACTGCATCCCATCCAAAGATCAATGTTCTGGTCATTTTCTGACCAGTAGTCATTGCCAAACAGCACCTCTTCTCCACAAGCGGTGCGACCCATGACATCTTGGAACGCGAAGAAAAGCTCTGCAAATGCTGATACTGGGTCTTGGGAGCCCCCATGTCGGGATAAGTCTCCTTGCCGTTGCCTCTTCAGGCGAATCAACTCTTTGGCGCCTTTCAAGTGAATTGTCCAGTGTTGATCACAGTTGTCCACAATCTCATACAGACACAGCATCATCATGGTAACCAATACTTCGGGTTCGGTCGAGCAAGTCAAAGAACCCTTGGTAGCAAGTGCATAACGAAGATCTCGTAGAGCCTCAGATTTGCAACGGAGAGCTATGGCACTGTGATTCGAATCAAACCGAGACCAGTGACATGCCCCCAACGCTTGAATTGCCTTGAATATGGTTGGAGACGCAGACATGCAGAAAGGCAGAATCACAGACGCAAATGGCGATGACGACTTAGAGCTCGCCGTAGTCCGAGGACAGACCTGCTGGAGGTAGTACTCAAACAGTCGCCCTTGGCCCGGTTCAGTGAGATTTGGGAACAGCGATACCGGTGCTGTGAGTTTGGGTAATGCATATCCATATTCAGCAACTTCGAGAGGTAGTATCCATTCCACATCATCCATGAACCGACTTCTTTGGTCATTGTCATGAATTACCAGCGTATTGGGCTCATCAGACGCAACGTCCACTTGATGTGGCTGTTCAAACATCGACACTCCGCTATTCACGAAGCCCCAAGTCTGTACAAGAGGGATAGAACACCACTCCTGCTCTTCCGCCGGCGACCTAAGCGACTGCTTCCCCTGTCCACGAGTCTTGCTCCAAACCCCAGATCGTCCAAATGCCAACCCCCGAATAGCAAAGTCCGATTCCCATTTCAAGACCAGTTGAGTCGAACAGGGAAGCCCTTTCTGCTGGCATCGTGTACAGAGCGGTTTCTTCGTATCACAGCGGACATGACTCGCACGACATTCTTTGCACCCGTTGTGGGTTCGAGTCTTGACCGGGCCCACGCGGTCTGCGGCCTTTCGACGCGGCATCCCACCGGCTTAGGGATTTTACATTGCCTATTTTCGATGGGTCAAGCTCCAAGTGCGACGATCCTTCGTGGAGCAGCGCTGGTTGGCATGAAACTGAGACGAAAGGTTCAACGATTCTGTCAGGTCAAGCAGCGACTGTTACAGCGGCCGGTTAGCAAGAACAGACAGCCAAAAAATGAGGAAAGGCAAGTACAAATACAGTAGCAAAGCCGAGGACGAAGGCGGTGGTGGAGTGGACGTCGGACCGATTGATAAGCTCCGCTCCGGACTTTTTCTTTGGCCAATAAGAACAGCCTCGCCACCCCCGCAGGAACCCGCCATGTTGATTGGCCAATTGACTGACTATGAACAGTTCTCCGTACAAGGGAAGCCGGTGTTGTCATATGTGTCGGAGCCATATCGGAAGACATGAAGTGTACTAGGTATTGTTGTAATAGGGTATTGGTGACACGACAACCTATACGCAGACCAAGTGCTGTATGTGATCTGACTCTAGTCGAATGTCGTAGGAAGATAACCAAGGCCTGTCCGGTCGTCATGCCAAGTCATTGACCATCTTGTTGTCTGATTTGACATGCTAGTGCAGTGAGATGTCCAGAGGAAATGAATGGAAACATACTTGGAGCTGCCCAGCAGATAAAAGCAAAGATACCGAGCCTCGTGAGAATGTACTCGGGAAGCCAGTACCAGCAGAGGACTCCGATAGAAGCGTACATGAAGAACTAATACCCAAAAATTTCTCAGCCGTCGATAATAGGGTTTGCACCGCGATTCGAGGTTTAGAACAATGCAGCATTCCCGACCAAGAACGCGGACCTTCATGATAGGCAACGCCTTTGCAAAGTATCCGACGGGGTAACTGATCAATTGCACTACGAACGAAGCAATAGCCACGCTGAGATATCGCATGAAGAAAAATTGACGTACACCTGCTTCAACCTGCATATTGTCAGTAACATTTCTCCATATAAGCATGGCAGCACTCACCAAAGTGAAGACAACGCCAAAACCACACCCCAAACGTGTGGACAGGCAGTATAGAATCATTTGTATTTGGTACATTTGCCCGAAACTCGAGATACGGAGAGTTATTCGAATCAATGGTGGCTGCTTTCTCCAATGGCGATATCCGCGGTTTCATATGTAGTCATGGGCGTCTTCTTGGTGCCATTATCCTGCAAGGACGCATCTCAGACACTCTTCCACATCGTGAGGTTGGCTCTGAATATCGTTACGAGCCATCATGCCTAGCTTTAAATGTGGTCGTTAGGAAGTAGACTTGAAGGACGCCACTCAGCGAACTGAAGGCCATGGTCTCCCTTTATGGTTCTTGACAACCACTGTTTTTCTTTTCACTGTCCTAGCATATTGAATGAATCCCAGAGTCGCTATCGTTGAGAGATATGCCCGGTAGATAAGATAGAGTCCGTGCCCTGAGGGTACCCATACTCGAGATATCGCTCGAACAAGTACTTGGGCCAGTACAATTTGGTTCATTAAAGAATAAATAATACCCGAAAGAGAGTAAAAACCAAGCGACGAACAGCTAGGAGAGTGATAGGTGAAATCGCAGTGCACAGGATTGTTGTGGTAAGCGAGGAGAGGAACGATACAACACTTAACTGTTTGGCTTAATACAATCCCAGCCCTGTATTGATATTCGGAGAAATCCGTTCTTTGATTGGGTTGTACCGTAGTGACTGGTCGGGTCTACCCCGACTGTTGCATATACTCCGTATAAACAAAGTCAAGCATCGCGTGGACCTTCCCACCGTTATCGATCGGACCATTGCCAAAGTCCCATTATGCATCACATTATCGCACCACTGCACAACCGCAGCTATAAAGACGGCAATTATCGCTCTCTAGAAATTACTAACTATCAATTGTATCTGATCATATTTTATCCATCCTTCTCCCGGACCCGAGAGAATCTATATCTGCCATGACACTCTCCAAATCATCCCCCCTCCTCATCATCGGCGCCGGCACCTGGGGCTCCTCAACAGCCCTCCATCTCGCACGCCGGGGATACACAAACGTAACCGCTCTAGACCCTTACCCAGTCCCCTCCGCCATCTCCGCCGGCAACGACGTCAACAAAATCATCTCCTCGGGCCAGTACAGCACCAACAAAGATGAGATCGAAATCAACGAGCTTCTAGCACGACAGGCCTTTGAAGGCTGGAACAATGACCCGCTATTCAAGCCGTACTATCACGATACGGGTCTGCTTATGTCGGCCTCTACATCGGCTGGATTGGATAGGCTAGGCGTTAAGGTGAGACCGGAAGGTGATCCGAATTTGGTCGAGTTGTCGAAGCCGGACGATTTTCGGCAATTGGCGCCGTCGGGGGTGTTGAGGGGTGGATTTCCAAACTGGAGGGGGTATTTTCATCGTTCGGGGGCCGGGTGGGCTCATGCACGGAATGCACTGGTTGCTGCTGCGGAGGAGGCGCAGAGACTTGGTGTGAAGTTCGTTACAGGCACACCACAGGGAAAGGTTATTACGCTTATTTTCGAGAACAACGATGTCAAGGGTGCTGTCACGGCAGATGGTAAGATCTGGCGTGCGGAGCAGACATTCATGTGTGCTGGTGCGAGTGCCAGTCAGTTCTTGGATTTCAAGCAGCAATTGCGTCCGACTGCATGGACGCTGGTGCACATCGCTTTGAGTCCGGAGGAACGGACTCTTTACAAAAATCTCCCGGTGATCTTCAACATCGAAAAGGGCTTCTTCTTCGAACCGGACGAAGAAAATGGAGAGATCAAGATCTGCGATGAACATCCTGGATACACCAACATGGAACAATCGGCCGACGGGACGCCGCAAAGCATTCCGTTTGAGAGAACTCAGGTGCCAAAGGAGTCGGAAGCGAGAGTCAGGGCTCTTCTATCGGAGACCATGCCCCAGCTGGCGAATCGACCGTTCAGCTTTGCCAGGATTTGCTGGTGTGCTGATACACCGAATCGCGAGTTTATCATCGACCGTCATCCTCATCATCCTTCTTTGATCTTGGGCTGTGGTGCTTCTGGGAGAGGTATGTTGTTATCCTGTCGTGTATGGGATACGAAATTAACTATTCTACTAGGCTTCAAATATCTCCCCTCAATCGGAGGTATCATTGTCGACGCCCTGGAAGACAAGGTTGCTCCGAAGATCCACGACCTTGTCAAGTGGGATCCAGAGATTGGCAAGAATAGAAACTGGAAAGATACTCTGGGGAGATTCGGTGGGCCCAACAAGGTTATGGATTTCCACGATGTCAAGGAATGGACGAATGTCAGGCATAGAGATAACTCCAAGCTGTAATGGTAGTAAATAATGAGGACAAGATTTCAATCTCCCAATTCTAAGTTGATTATTCCAAGTTGATTAGGGTACCATTAAAGAAATCTACACGAATTCGAGAACGTCTAATGTGATGTCCCTTGCTCTCCAAGCCGGTATGTCTCTCCACTCATATCATCGAGTTGTTGCTCCTCGTCAGCGGCGACTCTGGAGAAGCCATCCATGTCCTTTTCATGCGGAATGTCGCATGACACAGAGCACAATGGAGGATAGTAGCGCCGGTAAGAGAAGTAAGACACCAGAATCCCCAGGATTGAACCGCAGGTTACATCGTAGATATCATGCCGGTAATCGTTGAGACGGGAGATAGCGACCATCAATGCACATAACACGGGTACAAAGGCTAGGAGACATCGGCCAAGGTCTGCTCTAGGTCTGAACACATGCATCTGGCCGCAGAAGAAACTGCGATTACAGTGTCAGTAGTGTTTGGGAGGTATTTGACTGAGTACTAACTATGCCAAGTAACCCAGGCCAGCAAACGAAAAGCTACTATGGCCACTTGGGAAACTCCTCCATCCATCTTGGAGAATATGATCATTCGTTTGCGTGCAAACCGTCCATGCTACCAGGGTGTCGCCAGGCGTCCCTTTCTGGGGTATACATCGCGAAATGAAGTCCGGGCGAGGTCTTCCAACCACGTTCTTAATCACGTCCGTCAAAAATGATGTGAGGATCAGCGTCACGAGGAATCCGAGAATCGTTACATGGACTTTGTGCGAGCCGGGGCGGAACATGGCAGCCCAGAGGATGAAGATAAGGAGTGGACATAGTCCGGCGTAGACAATCGACCATACTGTATTCAATTAGTATATGGAGCTCTAGTTTATCTATCGGTAACTAACCAACAGACACCCGTTCCGTCACTGCGAAGGGGAACTGAATGGACTTGTTGTCGAGTATAATCATGCGATGGAAGGGGTGGACAAAGAGCTGGATCTGTACATTTAGATAACTTATCAGCCACTGAAAACATTGGTTTAGATAGCTACCACGAACCAGAACCCATCCAGCCACAAGGCATCCCAATGCGATATAATCCACAACGTGAGACCGTCGCGAGAACCGACTCAAAGCGCCGCCCACTCCGGTTTGCGCTGAGCCAGCAGCCGAGCCATTGCGAGGCATTCCGGATAAACCGATCAACTAATTGGACCAGAAATTCGATTTCCACACTGCATATCTTGCAAGAATAGTAACGAGTCTCGCAAATCGAGTTGAGTTTGAAGAGTTCGTCTTGACTTGAGAGCTTCGTCACGAGAGACGGCGGTGTGCACGGGCCAATGGTTGCGGTATCGCATCAGCATTCCTCTATTCTTTCTCTCTTCTCCTGGCTTTCCACATTCAGTCACTGTTTCTGATCACTCTTCTTGGTCTCCTTTACAGATACACCTCTGGGTGTGAGCTATTGGCTTGCTTCCAGGTGACCGAGAATGGCCGAAGCCGGACAGCAACGAGCTCTCACCACCGCGTTTGCGCCGCCGCCGCCGTTGTGGAAGCACTTCAACACGGACAATATCAAGAGACTGGAGAGAATAAAAAAAGAAGCTTCTAAAGGAGAAGATGGAAAATTACACACGAAGAAATGGACTCCAGCTGAATTGCGCGCGCTGGATCTACCCCCGGAGCTTCGTTATCTCGTCCCGCCAGAGATTCCTACTACGGGACACTACAGTGTTTTTGGAGAATTGCAAAATGTACGCTTCTTCTCGCTCCTCTTGTCTGGCGGTATTGCTTACACATTATTTGCACAGCTCTCGACCGCCCTCCCCTCCCTGAAAGAACAAGGCATCGAACAACTCTACCCCTCCTCACCACCACCCACCGAAGAAGCCACTCCCGAATCGCCCTCGAGGCCCTCGCAGCCGCTTAACCACGCTTACTACCTCCTCAAAATCAGCAAATCCCTTCTCCTAAACTTCCTCGAGTTTGTCGGCGTCCTCTCAGTGGCGCCGGAACAATTTGAGTCGAAAGTGGAAGACCTGCGCAATCTATTCATCAACGCTCATCACCTTCTGAACCTCTACCGACCGCACCAAGCACGCGAATCTCTCATAATGATGATGGAAGAACAATTGGACCGGACTAGGGAGGAAATCCGAGAGATGGATAAAGTGAAGGCTGATATTGAAGGTACTCTCGAGCAGTTGAAGGCTGAAGGAATTGACGCGGATACTACTCTCGATTCCAAAAATAGCGGCAAGCCTTCAAATTCCGACCAGTCTACAGAAGAGTCGCAGTTAGTATGGGGCCTGATGGACGAATAATCCGACCCGTTCCAGTGTCAACCGCATTTCATCTCTCTACGAGAAACACATCGCAGATGAGTGGCCCTTGTACCTTTGCGGTTCTCTTTTACGGATAAGTCGAGTGGCAGCAGTCCGGTTATCTCTGGAAATTGAGACCATCCTTGTCTTGAATACACCTCAGGCAACACACGCCAAGGCGGATCAATACTCTATCCGCCTAAGTCACGTGTCGCACTAATATCGCGGCTTTAAAAACTCTCGCCGGATCCAGTCTTAACTTTTCCAAGCTTTCACCTGACCTTCGTCGACAACTTGCATTGGGCTTGTGCCTTGAGAGCGCAAGCGACGTGCAGCATTGAGAATTGATTGTCAATCTCTCAGGTTGAGTTTCATGAATACCAACCTGCTGCTCTGCTCGAACCGACTTCAACTATGTAGATTGGGTAAGTTCTTAATTATATTTCTTTTCGCTGTCTTCAAATGATGATTATGCCTTATTTCTTTGTTTCAACCCCATATTAAACCACTTTATGGTTTTTGATTTGACTGTGCATAAATATCTGAAATGGAAGCTGTCATGCATGACTGCCAATGGAAAGCCACACGTTGAAAACAACCGCTAACATTGGCTGCTTAGGTACCATTGCTCGAAAAGTTGCTCAAATAGATAGTCACTATGAATACGAGAATATTATTATTGAATATCTATGCCAAAGATTTTTCTGCGCGTAGTTTGCCTTCGGACATGTAGAGCTGTCATATTCTGCTGGGTAATCGAGCCCTCGTTCACCCAATGTGCACCGGTAGCTTGCATTCTGCGTACGTACTCCAGCTGAGTTTGTCTTCTGATAGCCTGCCGTGTCCCCGCGTAATCCCATCGTGCAATTGAAGCATTACGGCAATATTAAATCCAGAATCAACAAATTCTTTGCGAGGTCCCCGGTACGGTGACCTTTAAACCACCCCTTAAAGCTCGAAAGTAGTAGCAATACTACAAAGCATTATATATTTTGCTTGTGTATCAGTATTGACTGAAATACTTCAACCAATTGGGTCCTGTAGCTCAGTCGGTTAGAGCGTGGTGCTAATAACGCCAAGGTCGCGAGTTCGACCCTCGTCGGGACCATTTTTTTGCTTTTTTGTTTTCGTATCTTGTGGCTTGTTGTTTTGGGGGTGAGTTTTTTGTTTGGTCGTACTCAACAGGTTTTTTTTTTTTTTTTTAATTTATTTTGTGATATATTATGTAGTCATGTGTTGACAGCCCTAATACTGGCACAATAAATTTTGCGCTGCCATAGGATATAATATATATAATACAGCACTCTAAAATGTGCTAGTATATTAAGTCGGTGCTACCAATTTTGTGTCCGTGTAATATGTCAAGCGAACTTATGAAATAATGGACAAAGAGAAAATAGTATATATCGGGCTAGCAGAACCCGATTGCCCTGCTTACTGGAAATTCTTTCAGCATCTAATGTAATACTATGATGCACGCCTTGCTAGCGGAGTAGTCCAAGGATTCTATGGTCATCCTGGGGATGCAGCGGTCTATACAGCCTCTTTGATATCATGATGTCTCACCAAATTCAGGGATGTTTCTTCGAAATGTTTTGAGAATTACCAAGAAAGGGTGTGCACTCTAACTTGGCGTTTTGTACGATTAATTCGACTCTTTGTCCACATGAAAGCGGAAATGCTGAGATGTGCTATCATGAAATGGAAATCCGGTCCCCATCGCGAAAATTGAGCGGTCTGGGAGCTAGACAGTCCAGATCTGGCTTGGATGTAGTGACGCTCCCATATTCGTCCGTACAAACATCATCTTCTATGTCAACTGCAGTAAAATTGTACACGATGCAGTCTGACGCATCTTTATCCGAGCAGTATAGCTGCCTGAAACATTCCTTCCTAGGATTCAAGTATTCGGGATCGGTTTGCCTTACACGCACTCAATAAGGAAACTTGATGAAGCTTTGGCAGCCTTGATAAAATGGAGCTTCACCTTAAATAGATAGAGACAAAGTAATGGATTATTTGGAGAGAAAAGAGGTGGTAAGGATGAGCATAACCCTTTCGGGAAGCTATACTTCCTAGTATAGAGTACGAAGCCCCGGATTGTATACTGCAGGTACATTTCGTGTAAATTAGCCGAATGATGTCTGAATTAAGATATTGTGTGATTTGGTATGTTATTACGACCTACAACATCTACAGCTGCTGTCACTGTAGATAACTTATCCGATAGCGGGGTAGCGGAGTTATTCTTTACCTGTCTCTATCCAGAGCAACCATTACTTCTACGCTCCTCATATTCCACAGAGTACAACCGAAATACAGCACAGCCAAAATGACAAACCCCAAGGTCGCCATTCTCGACGACTACCAAAACCTTTCTCCGCGCCATTTCGCCCACCTCTCCTCCCGCATCGACCTCGCCCATTTCCCCCAAACCCTCAACCCCCGCGATGCCACCCAGCGCGACGCCCTCATCCAACGCCTCCAACCCTACAATGTCATTGTGACCATGCGCGAACGCACCCCCTTCCCCGCAGAGGTGGTCAATGCCCTCCCGAACCTGAAACTCCTCTTGACCGAAAGCATGCGCAACTTGGCGCTGGACCTGCAGGCTTGTGCCGATCGCGGAGTCGTCGTGGCGGGCACCACGGGTCGGCCGGTGGGGTTGCATTCAACGGTGCAACATACTTGGGCTCTTATACTGGGACTGGCGAGGCATATTGCAAGGGATGATGCGGCGGTTAAGAGGGGTGGGTGGCAGGGGAGTCCTTTGGCGACGAATGTCTCGGGGAAGACGCTAGGAATCCTGGGACTGGGGAAGTTGGGCGCGCAGACGGCGAGGATTGCCATTCTGGCACTTGGGATGCGGGTTATTGCGTGGTCGGCCAATCTGACGCAAGAAAAAGCGGACGAACAGGCGCAAGCGCAAGGTCTTCCGGCGGGAAGCTTCGAGGCCGTATCTTCCAAGCCCGAGTTCTTCCGCCGGGCGGACGTAGTAAGTCTACACAATGTGCTCTCTGAGCGCAGTCGCGGGATCGTGGGCAAGACAGAACTGGAGACCATGAAGCCAACAGCACTACTGGTTAATACTTCGCGCGGACCGCTCATTGACGAGGCAGCGCTGTTGGAAGCACTGAATGCGGGGCAAATTCGCGGCGCGGCGCTGGATGTGTTTGACACGGAGCCATTGCCTGTTGAAAGTCCGTGGCGTACGACGGCTTGGGGACAGGATGGCCGTAGTGAGGTGGTTCTGTCACCGCATATGGGATACGGAGAGGAGGACCAGTTGAATGGGTGGTATGAGGAACTGGCAGAGAACCTGCGTCGGTGGTTGGATGGTGAGGAGGTGCAAGCACGGATGAATTAGCCACGCGCAGTTATCTTATGTTTATTACTCTGTTCCTCTGTATATACAACGTCAGTTGAAAGGCGGCTCGGTATCCCGTTTGGACTTATGAACCGAGGCATACGATCTCCGCGCCTCGGCAGAAGGGAAACAACCAATTTAAAGTCAATTAAAGCTGTATTAGCGCGAATTAATCTCGCAATGACGATATGTATTATTTTCTGCCTGACGCGGCTGGATTCCTGCCCCTCTGTCCGGCCCTTCATACCGGCCCCTCTATTCCGTAGCATTCCTGTAGCCACTACAAGTATTATTTACCTTTCTCCCAACCCAACCCAACCCAATCCAATCCCTTTAATACAGTCAATTCAAATCAATCAAACCCTTTCAATCCTCTAAAACCGCCACAATGTCTCCAATGGCAGTCGAAACTACTACTACCACCACAACCATCACCGCAAAAACCCATCCGGATCTCCTTTACGTCCATCGCAGTCCCAAAGCCTTCGCCAGTTCTGCCATCTCCCAAACCGACCTCCCCGCTGGTGCTGTCTTCACCAAAATCACCACCGCGACCCCAGCCCCCAAAGCCTACACCTCCGTGCAAACCGGCGCCGACACCCACATCGAACTCAATTCCGACCTCGTCTTCATCAACCACTCCTGCACGCCGTCGCTGGTCTTTGATATGCACAACATGGAGGTCCGGGTTGTGGACGAGCGGCCGCTGAACAAGGGCGATACGCTTACCTTCTTTTATCCGAGTACGGAGTGGGATATGGACCAGCCGTTTGAGTGTGCCTGTGGTGCGGGGGAGGGGAAGTGTTTGGGACGGATTTCGGGGGCTAAGGATATGAGTGATGAGCAATTGAAGGGGTTCTGGTTGAATCCGCATATTGAGGAACTGAAGAGGGGCCAGCGTGTATAATTTTTTTTTTTTTTAAGATATTAGACTGCATTTAGGCATTCAACATGTAAAATATATGGCTGCTAGAACGGAGTTGGTGTGAGATGCGTCATTGCATAATACCATTGTGCAGGCTGATAAAACTATAAACAAATACCTTATCCCAACAATGGGCTTGTGGTTTAGTGGTATAATACCCCCTTAGCATGGGGGTGGTCCGGGGTTCGATTCCCCGCGAGTCCATTTTTTTTCGGTATTCACTCCCCAATTTCTTTTTTCTTTTCGTTTTCTTTTTTTTTCTTTCTATGTTTCTCGTCTGTTTGCATCCATCCTTGATTCCTCACAATGTCTTCAACATCAGTTGGAACAACCAAACCAGATGTGTATATCTCCTTCGACCAGATAGGGCATGGCCTACTATATAGTTCAACCTGCTCGATACTTTGTACGCAGGTATCTGGTAGACGAATAGGCTTTTACCAGAATAGTTCGTCTGTTCGGTAGGCCTTTGCACAACGTACCGGAGGTCCTTATTGAAAGCAATATCACTAGACCTGGCAAGATTAAGACCACTATACAATCGCAGGTGGCATAGAAGTTCTCTTTATCAAAGTAAAGTGCAGTGTCACACAGAAACAACCCGATCACTATGCCCAAGTCCTCGCGGAGTCATTTGGTATGTCAGCCATTGGATTATCTTTGAGTTCTTTATTAATGCATATGTACAGCCTGTTCTTTCATGAACTCCGAGAGTGGATACACGCTTTTTGTGCTCGACGTACTGTGTGATGGCAAGAGCTTTCGATTTTTTAAGTTTGAGTGGACTCACTTCTAAAAAAAAGCTAGGAGTTTCTTTTTTGAAAGTGCAAGTCGCACCATATACGTGGCTGGATCAGAACGGAAGAGGGAATAGCATCCAATGACCGGAGATTCATATATCGCGAATCCCAAATGGCTCGGGAGGTGGTAATGGGCATGAGTCGTTTTGATACACTGCACATCCGACACGGCGTGCCGTTTGTCTCTTGCGAATATGGAGAGAACCAGACGAGTGATACACGCTTGTGAGACAGACACAAGGTGAACAATTGAACGATGACCAGCACTCGTGATTGAAACAGGAGTCCCATAATTTTCATGCTGATCCTACTAGAATGTTGTCTGATAATGTACTGAACCAGTAGGCAATAGGAAGATTTACAGCATTTTTCTTTCAAAGTGCACGAGCAAAACTGGCTCGTTCCTGGGTTTGCTGCAGGTTGAACAATCCAAAAAGTGAAAGGCAAGACCCTTGTGCAATTCGTTATTGCATGACACGCCTGATTATTCCGCAAGACTTTAACGATACAATTGCTTTGCATATATTTATAACAAGGAAAGCTAGAGGGACATGAGATTACCTAGATTTCTCTTCGACCATTTAGTGTATTACCACCACATAAAGAATGAACACAGAGCTGCATATGGATATCAATTTCTAAGACAAAAATTGGTGTAATGAGATATTCGCTTCCTCCATCACCATTTGTGAACAAGATCACCTAATTCAGTTACAATTCGAATCGCTGCCTCCCCCGTAAGAACTACTACCGCCACCACCATGAGCACTACCACCACCACCATAAGAACTACTACTGCCCCCCCCGTGAGAACTAACACCACCACCACCACCATAGGAGCTGCTACTTCCTCCCGAATAGCCCCCGGAATATCCACCGGACGTACCGGTATAACCTCCGGAGTGGAGTCCCGAGAAGGAAATTTGCGAGAGACTTCCAATGTCTGAATAATCATCCCTATCATAATGGTGCCCTTTCGAATGGTGACTTCTCCCTCCCGAGTGGCCTGTAGAATGATGTGTTCTTTCACCATGATTCTTGCTTCCGGAATGGTGCCCGTGGTTTCTGTCACTGCTCCCAGAAGACTTATCCTGTGAATCCTTGGTACCTTGTATACCATCAGAATTTGTGTTGGAAACTGTTGTGGTATTGTCATGGTGGTGGTTGTTGTTGTCCCCTAACTGTGCAGCGGAGCCACGACCATCCTTCGACTGGTTATATGATGAATTGCTGCCCTTGCTTCCAGAATGGTCGATGTGGCTTTTATCGTTGTTCCCAGAAGGCTTGTTATGAGAATCGTTGATATCCGGTTTACTTCCAGACGCTGCGTTGGAAGCCGCTGGAGCACCTGTCGTATTGTCACGGTGATTGTTGATGTCCTGTGACGGTGCGGTGGCTTTACCTTCGCTTTTTGAATGGTCATCTGATGAACTGTTATAATTGCCTCCAGAATGATCTCTGTGGTTTCTGTGACTGCCCTCAGAAGCGGGATTATGTGCATTGCTGGTATCTGGCGTATTCTTAGGGTCCATGTTGGAAGCTGATGGAGCACTTGTTTCATTTTCAAGGTGATTGTTTGTATCTTGAGGTCGTGCATCTGCATCATCACCGGGTTTAGACTGGGAATTTGATGATAAATCACCCCCTTCAAACCCAATAATCTGCTGCTGGAGAGCCCAATAGGCCATGTAGTCTGCGTCGGATGATTGTGTGGATGATCCAAACATCCCACCAAAATCAATATCAGCTTTTTCGGCGCGTCTGTCTCGGAGAAATTCATATTCCTCAATCTGCTCGTTCCGTGGCCTCAAAGCCCATTGCGCCAAGAAATAGTGACTATACTTCCCAGCTTCGAAGTAGTGACTAAAAGGTTGTGCACGATGGATCCCTCCCAGCTTGACTCGAGCAAGTGCAGGATCACTACCTCGGAGCTCACTATCCTTGGAATGGAGCCATTGAGTAGCTTCGCAAAAACCGGGTGTTTTGACCATAGCTGCAGCAGCTCTTGTTAGGATGGAAAAGGCAGCGAGGATTAAGAGACGGTTGTGCATCCAGGAATTAGGGATGTTGCTTGGTGGTGCGTACATGTACTGGTCTCGAGCTAGATGTAACTCGACGATGGACCATGCATCGAATGGAAAGGCAAGAATGTGCTTCGCTAGATTACAGCTTCCGCATTTGATGGGATTCATTCCATATGCTTCGGTACAATCCCACGGAAAGAGATCTTGATATTTGTACAGGGGAGCCCCGAATGCACCCCAGTCATACCAGTATTCTTGTAGTGTATCGATGAGATCAGCCTCGTCATGACGGCCAAAGTGGAAACGAAGGAGGTACTCCTCAGTCAGCCCACTAGGAACGTCGTATTTCGTGTGCACCTTGTTTCGCAGGTATCCTTCCTGCGGGCAGACGAAGCTCATCAAGTACAGCTCTCTTTCACTGCTGACAAGAGGTTCGAATATATCAGTGTCGATGAGAGCGTTGCAGAAGCTCTGGCAATTGTTGCTTGTGGCACTCCATGTGAGAGGTTCTTGGGTCGAGGAGTCTTTTTGCGATACTTTCCAGGTAAATCTTGACCCTTGCTTGGAGGAGAGCTTTGAGGAGATCCATTGCGGGATCTAGCGCAGAGTCCAGATCCCTCTTTTTATCTGTGGCTGACATACCTGGGTCGTCGAGAGATATTTTGCTTGCTTTGATAAGCTGTTGTATGATCTTGGTCTCTTCGATAGATCCATCAAATTGGGAAAGAGTCCCTGCAAATGGCACTCCGACAACTTGTTTCATGACAGCCTTGTATCTCTTTGGGTTCCCAGCAGGGCGATTCTGTTGCCATAGGCGTCTCTCCGGATCACAGCCAACTGCAAGGCTCCGTTGGCGAGATCGACCCATTGAGAAGCGTTCGTGGAATATCGGTGGCTGTCGGGGACTGATTAATGCTCCCCCTTTTGTACTACAAATATGGCATTAGCATATTTAAAGATGTTTCTCTCGTAGGGGTGACTTACTGCGCTACTCCATTTTCAATAACCAAAGGCCCGACTCGAAGAGCCATGTGAACATTTCCAAAGGGATACTGCTGTGTAAACTGACGGAAGAAGAGTGGGATGTCTTCATCGGCCGCAGCCTCCGTAGCCGCGGCGTTATTCCCAGAAAATCCATCTTTTAACACATTCTGTAGTGGAAGCTTCTTCGACTCGGAGGTTGCGATGGCTTCGTTATCTTGGTCTATCAGGTCTTTTCGGCTCCGATCGGATATCCCAAATGCTGATCTGAGCTTGGAAGCAACTTTCTTACAACCCTTCGGTGGGTTATGTTGGGGGTTAACGGTGTTCAGTAAGCCATGGTACTTTGCAAGAGCCACATGGTGACCCAGCTCGAGTAATTTGCATCGGGCTTCGTCGCTATCAATATGTGGTTGGCCTTTGGGAACCGGGAACAAGCGCGAGACTCTGTTTTCATCCACTTGCGAAATAATCCCACACTCACACATCTCCCGGCTTATGGGAGGGGTAATGGTCTCATAGAGAATGCAGTGTTTGTAGGCTTTCTCATACTGCGGATTGCCGTGGTAGTGCTGTCGATAGCACCCTTCGCAAATGCTCTGGTTCGAACTTGAATTTGTTTGAAGGAACATGCTACCTCTGACAACGCTGTGACATTTGGAGCATTCCAGCATACCAAATTGTGGTGTCCAATCCTCTTTGAAACGGGTCAGATTTACTAAATTATGTTAGCTAGTACAACCAGGATCTATTCGCAGAAAACATACACTGGGGAATCGCCGGCCTTGCCCAGAATCCTAATTCCTCCAACGGTGGCCGATGCTCGATTAGCTTGTCAATGTCGAGAAATCCTTGTTCAAATTAGTTTGGAGGCTTAAATATTGCACTCTAATTTCACTGACCAGCAGCTTGTAATAGCATACATGCACGTTGTTGTATACCGGAAAAACGTGGAGCTTCTTAGAGAATTAGCATTGATCAAAGCCAGGTATGATAACGTCTTACTAGATATTTGAGCTTCCACGGCATATCGGATCTTCATGCCCTCTTCGTTGAATCTTGAGCTCAGACCAAGCATTTGCTTTGATACTGTACTCTGCTTAGCTTTTTGTTGTTTGAGTTTCATTTCTCCTGGAAATTATTAGCTTCTTCTTAAAAGAGCCCATGACCACGCCCAATTATACCATATCGAACCGCAAATGCTCTCGTCTGCTGGCTGACCTGGTCGATGAATGTGTCGAATCCACGAATATGTGAGTCATCCTCTTCCTCTATAGTTATTCCCGAGTGTTCTGGCTGCTGCCAGATCTTCAAAGTGTAAACAATATTTTCTAACTCTGTCCTCACACCTTGCCAGTATAGCTTTTCGAGCTCATCGAGGAGATGGGCATTTCCAGGCCCGACCAAGGTCCACCGTGTTCTTGGTGCCTGGGTGATGTTCGGGCTACTGGTACTACCGGATACTGGAAAGCACGACATGGCCGGTAAAAGATGGATTTTTAATTAGACCTCAAATGAAAAGATAACAATCCATACTCTTTTATCCGAATCTTGGATGCAATCGGATTTTATACGCGGTAACGATAGCCTCACAATTCCCGGAAACCCTCCTATTTAGCCTCGCCCCCCTCTGCATTCAGTTACGCCGAGGTATAATGATGCTGACGAAACGCAGCCTGCCGAGTGTCTGGAAGGCAAACCTGCATCATTCACATAGCCCGGCAGCCTTGTCCGCTTATTGCGCGATTGGCGAACATCTACGTCCAATGGTTTTTACGAGGCCGCGCCTTGCAGGTGATAAGAGGAGAATGAGGCTAGCTTTGAAAAATGTGGCTGAGTACAGATACAGGGAAGAGAGAATAAGCAATTATGGGTCACCGATTGAGCTTAGAAAAGGATTCTATCTTCCCTATCTCCGATCAATACACTGTTCATAACAATAAAGATGTCATCGTCGATCAAAAGACTTTTAAGGCTCGTGAAAAGAAATCCCAAACCACCAGCGTCCGCTCTGGGAGCCTCAGCGACGCTTCCATCGTCTGGGATTACATCTGTCGACAATTCTCAGGGTGCTTCTGCCGCAGTGGCCGAACTGTCCGGTGCTCTAGGTGCCGTTCTGGAGCAGATTGATCTAGATGGTGAGTGCCTACGTCGTATTGTGGCTAATGGATCGCTAAGAGATTTTCTCCATAGGAGAAATCAACAGCCAAATCAAATATCTCGTCGAACTACTCGACCAGGAGGCATCTCAATACGATAACTCTCAGCTGAAGGAGGAGCAATACATAGACTGGTCATGGTATGAGCTGCCTTGTCCATAGCAACTATTGTATGCTGATTGCTTGCTTTAGCACTCAGGAACAAGCTCGGTTAATATCTATTGCCTGGAAATGCGCCCATGATACATACAATCTCCCACCTCGTTCACCACTCTTGTCGCATGATTTCCAAGACTGCACCTTGACTCAGGAGCAGATTATTACGCCGTCAGCTGATGGAGCTGTTAAGGCAGTGACTTTCACCAGCGTAACTCCGCGAGAGACATCTTCAACGAGTACTTCGTTGCCTGTACTGATCGTCGCAATTCGCGGCACAGCAAGCCGAATAGATCATATGGTGAACATCAATAATCAACCACGAGATGCTAGTTCGTTTATTGTAAGCTGCCCGGGGAAGCTTCATCACCGGTGCATGACAAATCTCTAATTGACCGCAGAATAATACCCACTTTCAACCAAACCCTAGCCCTCTTAATGCATCCCTACAGGCTCACTCTGGGTTTTTGGAAAGCGCTAAAAGCCTAGATCAAATTGTCCGGCGCAAGATCAACGAGTATACCCACCAGAAAGACGGCGGTGGCCATGTTCTATTCACTGGCCATTCTGCCGGAGGCGCAGTAGCCTCTTTACTCTTCCTTCGATGCTTATCGTTGGAGGCACAAGGTAAAGAGAGCCAACTCTCATCATTTAGCTAAATCATGCTCTCACTGACGCTAACTAGATTCAGCCCGCTTTTCCTGTATCACATTCGGAGCACCGCCAGTGGTGTCAATGCCACTATCGATACCGCCCTTTGCCGGAGTATGCTTGAACATGATCAACGAATTTGATTTTGTTACCAGAGCAGACAAGCCTTATATACTGTCTTTAGTTAACCTCATACGGTTAATTCATGACCAAGATCCGCTTTCTAGTGAGGATGCCGACGACACGGAGTCTTCAAGCTTGACAACCGACTCTACCTCAACTGAAAACAACTGGCCTCTGCCTCCTTCTAGGTATCACCACGTCGGACCCAAGGTAGTGTTTTTGATGCGGCTTCCAGACCAAGGAGGGAGTCTTCAGCTTCGTGTCGTGGAAGTGTCAACTCCACAATTCGAGAAGCTTTTATTCTGTCGCATCCCTGTACATCGGCGACCATGTTATGCACAGCGGATCGAATTACTTGCAGGTGGGCGGTATAACAGAGCAAATGGCTGGGACTCATAACTACATAGTTAACTAATTAGTCAACTAATTAAATGAATTCATGCCTGGTATCAAGGCACAAATGCGAGCGCGCCACAGGGCTTGCACGGTTCAGGTGTTGTGACAAGAGTCAACAACATCCGATGAACAGTTCTGTCGTGAATATTTGAGAATTGTGCATCTTTGTCAATACCCACAAATATTCTATATTTGGCTAGTAAAAAGCCCGCGAAAGGATTGGCAGAATGCCGGTTCCCCGTCCCGCCCCCTGAAGAACAATCCACAACTACTCCTTTAATCCGGACAACATTCTTCAGTGGGGAAGGCTTTTGTGAAGTGACCTAAACCAGAAGGCCAAAACTGTGTCATGCACCATAGTCCGGTGAAAACGGGCGACTGGAGTTTGTGCGGACTTGAAATAATGCTAGCTCCTGGGCCTTGTAGGGACTGACCGCGACTCAGGATCTCCATTGTCTAAACATAATGTCTCGCGGAGCTCTGTTTGACTCCCGAGACGTCTCCGCAAAGCCTTAGCCGGTTGTCAAGCTAACGGGTGTCTAACTCTATCAGGTACAGTAATTTCCCCTATATGAATCAGGCAATTGAAGTACCGGTGTGGAACCTTGACGCCGCAAGATTTACTGCCGATCGAGTCGAGCCCACGTTCACAACGCCATTCAGCTTGCAGGCGGGAAAGCCCTGCATGAATTCGTCACAGCCTGTGCTGGGGATACAAAACTGACTATTTGGTTATGTTGCGGTTGAAACCGATGAGAGCAGAAGGTGGACTGTCAGGATTGATTCTTCGTGTCTTCCATAATCCTTAACCGAAACAATTTGGCACCGGTATTTAATAACTGACAGCCGCTAGTTGTGTCCACTTGCCCCAGAACAGAATGAATCGGCACTCTGTGGATATCGGTACGGATAACTTCGCATAGTACGATGGACCCTTGACTGGACCGAAGAGGAAAAAAAAAAAATTAACTCTTGTCGATCTCTCGGTGTTCTGTCCTTCAAGTGTGTTAACCGCGGTATCCTTTTCATAATGCAACGGTCAAGATAGCATGGAGATGTAGCTATAAAAGCCATGTTAACCCTTGTAATTCGTAAAATGATTAACCACCATCCATCATGATCTTTTCTCGCCTTATTGGGCTTGCTGCCGTCTCTGTTGGTTTGGCGCAAGCCGCCACTAACCTCACGGGTTATGAGTATGTCGTTGTCGGTTCCGGAGCTGGTGGCGGTCCCTTGGCTGCTCGTCTCGCTCTGGCTGGCCACAAGACTCTCCTGATCGAGGCTGGTGATGACCAGGGAGCGACTCACAACTATTCCATCCCCGCATACTCGGCCAGATCCTCTGAAGATGAGGCCATGGCGTGGAATTTCTTCGCTCGTCACTACGCCGACGATGAACGCCAGGCCCGCGATTTCAAGACCACCTACGAGACTCCGGATGGATCGGAGTATACGGGTCTCAGCCCGCCAGAGGGATCGAAGGTGAAGGGAACCCTGTACCCTCGCACTGGTACTCTGGGAGGATGCACCGCCCACAACGCCCTAATTGCCGTCTACCCCCACCAATCCGACTTCGAACACATTGCCTCTTTGACGAATGACAGCTCCTGGTCGCCTGAGAACATGCGTCAGTATTTCGCTCGCTTGGAGAAGAACAACTATCTGCTTGGCACCCCCAAGGGCCATGGCAGTGATGGCTGGCTCTCTACCGAAACCGCCCCGCTCAGTATCGTCTTGGAAGACCCCCAGCTGTTGAGCATGCTCACTGGTGGTGCTTTTGCCCTGGGCAACCTTACGGACAACATTATGAACATTGGCACTTTGCTGGGTGGCGATGCCAACGCGGACACCAAGACTCGCGACACCGAGCCTGGATACTACCAAATCCCTGTTTCGACTGACGACGCCCACCGTAACGGCGCCCGTGAATTCATCGTCGCTGTTCGGGATGCCACCAATGCGGATGGCAGCAAGAAGTACCCTCTTGATGTCCGTATGAACTGCCATGTCACCAAGGTCACCTTTGACGAGTCTGAGGACACCCCGCGTGCCACTGGTGTCGAGTTCCTGGACGGCCAGTACCTCTACAAGGCCAGCCCCAGATCCGCCAAGACCTCGTCGTCCGGCACCCCCGGATCTGTCAAGGCATCGCGTGAGGTCATTGTCGCTGGAGGTGTCTACAACTCCCCTCAACTGCTTAAGCTGAGTGGTGTCGGTCCCGCCGAAGAACTGAAGAAGTTCGACATCCCCGTCATCTCCGACCTGCCCGGTGTCGGTACCAATCTGCAGGACCACTACGAAATCTCCGTCCAGGCCCACTCGCCCAAGAACTTCAGCTGCCTCGATGGCTGCACGTTCAACATCTACGACCGTGATGACCCCTGCGTCGACCGCTGGGAATCCCCCATCCTCGGTGACCGCGGCATCTACTCCTCTCCCGGTCTCGCCGCCACCATGTTCTACAAGAGCAGTGTCTCCGCTGATGACAGCTTCGATATCTTCTCCTTCGGTGGCCCCGTCAACTTCCGTGGCTACTTCCCTGACTACAGCATCAACGCCACTGTTGACCATGACTGGTTTACCTGGGCTATCCTCAAGGCTCACCCGCGTAACAACGCTGGTACCGTCACCCTCCGCTCCTCCGACCCTCTTGACGTCCCGGACATCACCTTCAACTACTTCGACACCGGCGTCGGCGACTACGAAGCCGACCTCCAGGCTCTCTACGAGGCCATCCAGCTGGCCCGTGATGCCTTTGACCGTCAGCCCCTCGAGGTCACCGAGGTCCTCCCCGGCAAGGATGTCACCTCCAAGGAGGACATCCAGGACTACGTCAAGAACAGCGCTTGGGGTCACCACGCCTCGTGCACCTGCCCTATCGGTACTGACGACGACCCGATGGCCGTCCTCAACTCCAAGTTCCAGGTCCGTGGTGTCTCTGGCCTGCGTGTTGTTGACGCCTCGGTTTACCCTCGTATCCCCGGTACATTCACTGCTGTCTCGACTTACATGGTCGCTGAGAAGGCTGCTGATGTTATCTTGGGTGAACTTTAAGCTTTGAATTGTATATATATTGGATATAGTTGTTGGGTTTGGAAGCCGCATTTAGACCTGTATAAATAAATACGATAATTCATAATACAGAGTGAACTGAAGCTAGTTTGACAATTCTATTTCTTGTCGGTACAAGAAAAAGAGCGACCATGGCAAATACATACCATAAATCAAGTTGCATACCTCCAGTCTGTCACTTCACCGGTCTCTGCCTCTACTTTATCTAACAATTTATTCTTCCTGATACACCACCACCGAGTGACCACGCAGAAGATGATGCTCAATCCACATCCAGCAATAATGATTCCCCCACCGGTTTGATAACGAGGCTCTTGTGAGCGAAGGAAGAAATACGGAGTAAACCAATGTGACACTGAAGAGACACAGTTTGCGATGGCTATTAACGCTGCTCGTTTTGTTCTTGGTCGTGGGACAACGGTGGTTTCCCATGATATTTGGATCTGAAGAAAGTCCGTGAGTAACTGCAAGACCTTCCGTTATAATTATGAAGAGAATGGGCATACTTACGTTGAGACCAACAAACGGGCCCGTGCATAAGAGAACCAAGCTGAAATATCGAGCACTGGTGTTGAGGGTCGATATCATAAGAACTGCCCCAGCAAGAGAAACAAGGATCGGCCCGACGATATGCCAGCAATGATCGAGAGTCCTCCCTGATGACCAAGAGATGACAAGGGTCGCGACATACGCAATGACATACGGTGGGGCCTGGATGAGATACGTGACGACTTCATTAAAACCGAGAGTATCAACAATCTAGCCGTGTTAGCAATAACCTTGACAGAAAAAAGGACTCTTACCGACGGAAAAAAATCCTTGAAAGATTGGGCAATGATGAGTGAGAAGTGGATTGCAGAGAAAAGTGCTGTAAAAGGATCTTTGATGGCAAGCAACACTCCACCCCAGGCATTCACCTCTCCATCGTCTTCCAGAACTCCCCCCGCAGAAACGACCTGTCTGTACTGTGCCATAGCTGCCTCTTCCTCCGTGAACCATTGCCGACTCGTGTTATTAGGGAAGTTGGGAATGAACCAAAAGGCCATGACAGCAACCAATATGCTCACAATACCCTCTAGGAGAATAAACCACTGCCATGCACGTAAGTCCGCAATTCCATTCATGTTCGTGAGGATGGCCGCAGCAAGCAAGCTCGAGAAAACGTTAGAGATGATGTTCCCTGCATGCCAAATACCCATCCGCAATGGCGACTCTTTCTTAGTATACCAAGAAGAAGTAAGCAGCGAGACAGCCGGCACGAAAGGCCCCTCAGCAAAGCCTACCAGAAATCGACAGAGACAGAATGCCCAGCCTGATGATAGGGCTGGCATACAGATCGTTACTGCAGACCAGACTAGCATGAGGGATGGGAAGATGATACTCGGTTTTCCTCGAGCAATGAGGACATTTGCTGGCACTTGTGAGATGATGTAGCCGACATAGAAGAGAGAAATGCCAGCGGACCACACAGTATCCGACATGTGCAGGTCACTTTGCATACCGGCGAGGCGGGCATTGGAAACGTTGATACGATCCAAGTAGCTGTAAATGATAAGCATAAACGTCGAATTGTCCATGAATTAAACATATCCACCTCATAAGAAGCATCATTGTAACGCAAGGAAGAAACTGCCAATCCAGCTTGCGCAGCACCGTACGATTCAACGTCTCCAGTTCCTCTGCACTCTTCCCCTGGAGAATGGGGAAATGTGTTAAGAGCTGATCAGACCGCCGAGCATCTTTCCCTGTGCTCTCCAGCACAGTCTTAGAGGTTTCGATATCCGAGCCTTTGCTGCGTTCCGGGTGCGTCATGTCTCCAGATGTTTCAATAATTCACCAAATCGTCTTGATGCAAGCATATTGCCTCTCGGCCATTATATACGTGCCAGTTTTTTTTTTTTTTCTTTTAGAAAAGCTCTACCCCTCTACCCCGGATTAGCATCCATACCCCAGATTTATGACCCCTTCCCCGGATTGCCGACGCATTAACATGGCTGTCAAGCATGTTCGTCTTGGCATGTCCGATGGTCGGAAAATATCCGTGGAGACAGAATGTGTTCTAAGTAAACTCCATGGAATAGAAAGCCAGGAGAGTTTGAAGAATACAAACATTGAGGAATACAAGCATTCAAACACTTAGTGCCGGACAAGTGTGTATCATCTGGAGAAAATCCGTCGGACATTCCGTTGTAGGGCTATCCATCGGGGATTCTCCGGAAACATGGTCCAAGTATGGATATAAAACCGGAAGCTCATCGTCATGGCCTGCCTATCTTAGCTTATTTAATCTATCCTAGACGTCCAGAAAGGACATTAACTACCACCGTCATGGGGTCCATACAGCCGCAATCATCTTACAACATCAACAACCCCTTCCGAACTCGAATCCTCAATGGCCAGATTACACCACTCATGTCCATCAAATTTGTCACGGGCAATGAGATTCCCATGATGTGCAAGATGACCGGTATCCACGCCGTCTTCATCGATATGGAACATTCCTCCCTCGACATGCGCACCGTCGCCCAGCTCATTCTCGCCTGCAACTACGCCGGAGTCTCCCCCATCGTCCGCTCACCATCTAAAGCGCACTGGCATATCAGTCGGATACTAGATGCTGGTGCTGCGGCCGTTGTGATCCCGCACGTTGAAACAATTCAGGAAGTGAAGGATATTGTGAGGTATGCCAAATTCGCGCCACTGGGTACGAGGGGATGCACGAATAACCAGCCGGCGATGAATTTTCAGCACGTTCCGACGCTTCTCCAGAATGCGATCCTGAATGAGCAGACTATGGTTATTCCTATGATTGAGACACCTGGGGCGGTGGAGATTGCAGATGAGATTTTCGCGGTGGACGGGGTTGATGGGGTACTGGTTGGGTCGAATGATTTGTGTACAGATTTGGGAATTCCCGGGAACTACGATAGTGGGCTTTATCAGGATGCCGTGAGCAGAGTTATTACCGCTGCCAACAGGGCTAATAAACCCGTTGGTATCGGTGGGATTGGGAGCAGATTGGATATCCTGGAGAAATGGTTTACGATGGGGGCAACCTGGTCTTTGAGTGGTCAGGATGCGTCCATGCTGCAAACGGGCTTGAAGAAGATGAGCAAGGAATACGCAGAAATTGATGAGCGGTTGCAGACGAAGCTTTTGGTCCGTTAGACCTGCATTTTATGTAGGATATGCGCAAATATCATTCGTTGTCTTCAGTTATATTGGAGAACAGTAACATTGCATCGCCATATGCATATTCACCCAGTCCAGTCTCCATATCCCAGAAAGTGCTATCTCCAAGTAAACTATCCCACGGGAGAAAGGATGTACCAAGGGGCTGATCGTTCAGCAATGGTTCGTTGGACGACAGGAACCAATTATCTGAAGACTGAGCAGGATGCTGCTGCTGCTGCTGCTGAAGGCGTTCAACACCCGACATATCATGACCACGAGTATCACCAGTGTGGGCAGCAGTTTGATATTGTTCAGGGGTAATGCTCAACTTCCCCAACACATTCACACGCAATGCTTCATAGACAGCAACATAATGAAGTGCATCTGGTAAGTCTTTCCCCATCTCTTTCAATGTCTTCTCACCCTGTTGCAATGCCTTCGCGGCAGATACTACCGTCCCTGAGCCATTATCCATTACCACTGATATGCAATACATCACCGATAAGCCGGCAGTAAACAGCATTTGGAAATAACTGCGGGTGTACGTAACCTGCTTCCTTTCAAACATAGCAGAGAATTGCGTGATAATTCTGATTGAGTACTCCAGGCAAATTGAAATCAAATCCTGCGGTGGTATATTGTTGCTATGTTTCGGCACAAGGTCAATTGCCTTGCGTACAAGGAGCAGTTTTTCCCTTATGAGAAGAAGGTCATACCATTCCTGTGTCTCGTAAAGACTCCGTGGATTCGTGAATATTGGCGCTGAGTCCCGCCACTCCTCTAGCTCGGACAATAGCTCATCTAGGTTTGCATATATTTTGCCACTGGTAGTAATTGATTCCATCAAGAGTTGGTTGGTCACTCCACTCGCGTGTTCAGTCTTTTGTCGAAATCTCTTCTGAATCTTAGAAGTGATTTTACGCAGTCTCAGACATAAGAGGAAAATAGAAATTTCAGTATTAGCTTCCGGTGTAGGCCGTGTGGTAGTGGCTTGACAAAACGAGTCCAAATTGGCGAATGTTCCAGAAGAATCTGCAGCGTCAATATCTTCGTCATTCGCATCAACCGGAAAGCCGACTTGAATGTCCTCATCTGCGATGGCGGCTGGACGGTCCAGGGTAATTGAGCTGTATCTATCAATCATGTAGCATTCCCAGAAGACCCGTCGTTGTAACTGCTCATGCAAGAGACTAATTTTCCTTCTTGAACTCTGCCGTGGGCTCTTATGCAGGCCCTGCTCGATGCACATGCCTATGCAGACAGTCGTAAGCTCCCATATCGATGTACCTGCGACGTATGTCAGTCCAGTTTCGAAATTACCTTATCTATGGGACTCGTACCAATGTGGTGATAAATACCAAATCTCGCCACCAATAAAATATCTTGTATGGCGTTGATTCCTCTCAGAAGAATGTTTCTATCCAGATGCTGCATTGCTGTAAGATAATACCCATATGGGTGATCTTTGTGTGTGCCGGTCCGATACATGCGAATGGACCCAATGGCGAGAATCATAAAAGCACGAAACATATCATATCCTAACAGCCGGGTTGCCTGCTGCGCCGAGTGGTCCGCCAAAAAGACAGAATGATACAGTCGTTGCACGTCCCGACGGAGCAGAAATGGGTTCTGAACATGAGATTCGTTTAGACTTTTTGCTTTTAGTATTCATTTGAAGCAAGTCCTTGGCAACTATTGAGGAGCCACTTACTAGGAGTCAAACATCTCCTGTGCTTCCTCGACACTTGGAAGAGGATTCGGCTGCACCGACGTCTCTAGGATTGCTGAAGACTTTGATAGGTTCTGGAGTAACTTTAGATTCTGCTCCCTCCATCTCGAATCGGTAAAAAGAAGACTCATGAAACTGGCATACTATTGTGTTAGCATGTATAACCGATAGTGGGTCTAGAGTGTCGCCCATACCTGATACCGGTTCCTTCGGTAACATTGGGAGATGAGTCGAGCTCATTTTCAGTCCTTCTTTCCCGGACTTCCGGTAGCTGCCCCATTACCGCTGGGGAGCGAAAGTCGTTTGGTATTTGTGCTTCGCTTGATTCCGCCTGGCTATTCTCAGCACGTTGCTCTAGCTCGTATATGTACCTGATTACGACGTAAGAAACCACCCAGATATATCAATATCACAATGACCGTGACTTACTCTCTTAAAACAGGCTCGCTGCCGTTTACACTGACTGTGTAACAGGCATGGCTGTTCCTCGTACATGGGGTACACTTCGGTCGACCATTATCGCACTGTGCAAATGTCTCGGTCACCACACTGTCATTCCAGATGTTCATTGCGAGACAAACCTTAGCCTTTTTCGTATAGCATGATTGACAGGCCGGAAGCCGGGGTGCTTGATATTTCATACCACCTCTCTTCATGCCGTCTGCGAGTCCAGATCGACGGTGTTCTATGGTCTACCTTACCTTTTATTCCTCCTGGATTGAGCGTCAGGGTATACACAATGATAGACGGAGTATACAAGGCAAAATGCGGGGTGCAGATGCTTAGCTTTCCCAGATTACATTACTGCTTCAAAAACGGATGGTGGCTCTGCCTCGTGCTCTTAGTGTGACTCGGCGCTTTTCACGGCTATGGCCCCCCAAAGAATACATTTCCCCGCATTCGGAGTATCCCCGGTTGCCCTCTTCAAGGTACGGTATTGTAATCCGATGGTATGCGTGTCGTAAATAGCAACTCTCTTCCCATTTACATCGGAATCGTTGCTCTCGTACAAACATGGAAGCGGACAATCAAATTGCTTCTGCGCCACGACGGAGACTTCAGGCCTGTGGAAGGTGTTGGAAACGCAAACAAAAGGTTAATCCGTGTGTCCTGTCTTGTCGTGGTAAGCTAAAACTGACGGTTAGCAGTGCGATAAACTGTTGCCAGCATGCACAGCTTGTGTAGAAGCAGACGCACAATGTGACCCTCGACGGATATCCATCGGACGCGCTACGGACGAGGGAAATTGCCTCTCTCATGCCGCCGTGCCAAAGTGAGTTATTTATTTACGCAATTTACATGATTAGAATTACGTGAGATTGACATGTATAGCTATGTAGAAGCCCTCAAGGGAAAGGTAGACAAGCTAGACGGACAGCATCGGCGGCAGCGCGCACGTCTGGGCAGTGAGGTGTCTAATGAACTCCAACATTCGCCGAACATGGAAACTACTGATACAGAGAACCAACAAATGTCTAGCCATACACCAGAGACAGCTAGCACTAGCATGACAGAGCAGTCAGTACAAGCTGCAATGGGAGAAATAGGATTCCTTTCCCGAAATGCTATGGCCGAGCCGCGCCGCGAGTGTCGGGAATTTCCTCAAGCATTGGCCATGAATAACATGGTCAGAGCTGCCCTTTCTGTTTCTGGAGATAGTCCGTTTCAGTCTTCGCTCCCATCTTATCGACGCCAAGAACTTGTGGCTATGGTGGGATCCACTGACAGGCTCAGCAGAGTGTTTGCTGCACCATACCTCAACGGTTTCCTGAATCAAATCGGCTGCATGTTTTTGCACATTAATACATTGGAGATGAGGCAGCACTTTGATACATTTTTTGAAGCAGAGGGGACTGGGGATGCTGGTGTTCAATATCGAAATTTCAATGTTTATATGGTGGTAGCCATTGCAATGATGCTCACCTCTGAGCCTGGTATCGAGCTATTTGCAAGCTCTTTGCATGGTGCGGCAATGGAAAGCTTCAATATCATTTTGGAGGGTCATGATAGTTTGAAAATTCTTCACTGCATCTTTCTGTTGATTATTTACTCTATGTACAGCCCTTCTGGGGGTTCGACATGGCATCTTCTGGGACTGGCAATGAAGAAGTCGATATCTCTTCGACTCCATAGGGAGACACATCATGACACCAGAGTATTGCCGGAAGAACTTGACAGCAGACGGAATTTTTTCTGGAGTCTCTACACGCTTGATCGGTTAGTACATGCGATTAGCATCATGATTAGCCGAGTGGCTAACAGTCGTCCAGTACAGTAGGTTGCGTGATGGATCGACCATTCAATATCCAAGATGATGATATTTCACTTAACGTAAGACCTAGTTCTCTCATATGTCTAGTAGTATCTCAACTCAAAACAGTTCCCGGTTCGGAATTCGCAAACGTCCGTGAATTTCGACTTTGGCTGCCATATGATCATGCACGCCAGGCTGATATCGAGCATGCGAGCTTCTTGGTCTCAACCGCCAGTTTTTCATTATGGTACTCTGTGCTATTGGAGAGACACTGCAAGATCTACCAGGAGCCATGTTCATTCAGGCAATAACTTGCCAATACCTGTCACCCAACTCACATGCAGATCCCTGATCCAAATTGTACAGCTCAGTCGCCGCGCAGCATCATGTGCTAGAGTGATAGGGAGAGCTCAGAAAATCAGCCAGGAGTCCTTAGACATTTGTCAAGTATACATTAACGAGGAATACCGCCGCTTCGAGCATAACAACTTTGCTGGATCCGTCGTCGATGGGTTGGACTTGTTCGCCGCGGGAGTGCTCGTCATCTGTGTTCCGTCAGCACTGCTGCTGGCAGGACACTCCAATGACCAAAGCATAATACCAAAGTGCACTGGGTTGTTGACAAGCTTAGGTGAGCGCTTCTCGTCATTCAAAATGCTTCCTAGGGTCCTTTGGGCTCTGTCGACCGTAGCTTCTCATGGGACATCAAACGACCAGGTAAGATTAATGGCAATACATCTCTATCTCACTATTAATTTTGAGGCAGATACTCGAGTATCTTCCGGATATTATACCAGATGCAATACAAGATACCATCCAGGAGTTTTGCTGGAGATATCGTGCGGAGACATAGGGTTTCGGAATTCGTCGGACGGAATCCGGTCCGATGGACTCTATATGTATTACCAACAAGGCCGTCTACTAATGTCGAAACACTAGAATCCTTGCTGGATCACAAACTGTCTGTTACTATTGAAGCAGACAATCTGCAAACATGGCACCTGGAATCGTGGAAGCCCTTCCCTCGACCGATCGGTTGGCTCCAAGTCCTAAGCCCACGGTCTACGCACTCGACAGCTTCCCTCCCCAGGCTATCGAGCATGCAAAAAGTCTATTCAATCTTATTCAACCTCACGATGAAGAGTTTAAGAACTGGCGCCAAAATGCTCGGGCCCTCTTGATTCGAGGCTCCTACATCACCGCCGATGACATCGCCAGCTGTCCGAACTTGATCGCCATTGGCAAGCACGGCGTGGGTATCGACAAGATTGACCAGGATGCAAGCGAAAAGAGAGGTATCAAGATTCTTAATACACCCGGTGCCAACGCACGCGATGTTGCCGAGCTTGTCGTCGCCCTGGCTTTGTCTGTTGCGAGGGGAATTCGATCAATCACTACCCGGCAGATGTCCAAACCTGTGCCCAAGGAGACCTGTAATGGGCTGACGCTGTATCAAAGGACAATTGGAATTATTGGAATGGGCAATATTGGACGTACGGTGGCAGAGATCTTTCGTGGTGGGTTTGATGCTGATATTGTCGCGTACGATGCGTATATGTCCGAGGATGCTTGGCTGCATATTCCACATATTCGTGCAAAGAGTGTCGACGAGGTGCTTGTCAGGGCTGATATTCTCTCAATTCATGTACCCTTGACCCAAGAGACGCGAGGCATGATTTCATACCGGGAGATTATGGCCATGAAGCCGGACACGATCCTGATCAATGCCGCTCGGGGTGGGATTGTCAGTGAGGCTGATCTTACGAAAGCCATGTCAGAGGGACGGTTATGGGGTGCAGGTCTTGACTGTCATGAGCAGGAACCTCCGAGCCATGAGAAGTATGGGAAACTCTGGGAGAACTTGAATGTGATCAGCACACCACACATCGGGGCAGCAACTTCTCGAGCACAATTGGCAAGCGCGATGGCTGCGGTGGATAATTTGCATAGTTACTTGTCAAAATTGTGATATGTCCAGAGCTAGGTACAATATCTATATCTTAGACTTTGCCGCTTTTGCCACTTTTGCCTCGGGCACTCCCCTGCAATGCCACTGCACACACTGTACATTCCCCTCAATACTATCAGTAATAAACAGGGTCTTGCCATCTGGTCCCCCGAAGGTACAATTGGTCAAGTTTTTACCTCCTCCAGGGGCAGTCACAATCCTTGCTTCCGGAATCCCGTCTGAATTTACAACAAACACCGAACCTAGACTAGGATGGCATATGAATAGATTCCCCTCTTCATCAACAGCCAATCCATCAGGCCCCGCACAACCAAAGGACTGGAAGAATAACCCTGCCTTAGTGATCGTCCCATCCGCATGGAGAGGAAGCCGCCAGACAGCGTTGGACCGGGTCATGGCGATATATAAGAAGCGCTCATCCGGCGAGAGAGCTAGCCCGTTTGGAGAGACACCGTTGGAAACTAGACAATCAAGTTTGCCGGTTGGCGAGAGTCGATAGACGCCTCCGGTTTGGTCTGTCATGCCCGTTTGACCTTGGTCGGTAAAGTAGATGTCGTCTGTAGATGAGACTATTAAATCGTTGGGACCCTTGAACCGTTCGAGGTTGCGGCGAGTGAGAAGGGGCGATATGGTGTTTGAAGATGGGTTGAAGAGAAGGAGGCCCTACACGTGTCCTATTTAGTAGCACGTTAACATACTACACAAAGAAAACGTGCTTACTTGTTTATAATCTGCAACCACAAGACAACCATCCTTCCTCACGACGAGACCATTGGGCTCACCATCCCATCGCGCACATTCGGTTGTCTGTCTTGCACCGTCCACTTTGAGAATTCTGCCATATGGCACATCAACAAGGTAGAGATCCCCATTGGTAACATATGTTGGACCTTCAAGGAAAATATCAGAGGTAGGGACGGCCGATCCACCACGCCATTCCGTTGGTTGGCCGATGCATCGGAGGGGGTTTGGAATGCGGACATATATTTCCGCTTGGATGACGGGGGGTACTGAATAGAAATTCATATTCTTGATAAGGAAAGATCTCGTTGTCGTATGGAGAGTTGATCAGCCATGAATAAAATGTTCATAGCAATATATACATTGTATCGGACGGACACATCGGAAAATTTCCGGAGAGCCTGTGACCTGTAAGGGAGGGCTACGGAGTAGAGGCAAGGGTATATATCAGATAAGGGACAGAAGTCTAGATTTTCTCACATATCACTGCAAAATGGGACGCATTGCGGAGGCTAGACAAGCTATTCAAGGCGCTCCGAAGGGCATCTTCAATGGCTATGTCTTCATGTGTGCATGTGTCTTTGCATTTTCTGGGATATCAAAAGGGTTCGATGAGGGTAAGAAGCAATGATGATACCATACACTGTCTTGCACATATCTAACCAGTTTGTGGATTAGGAAACATTGCATCGATTGTCACACAGTCCTATTTCAAGGCCAAGTTTGGACTAGACAGCCAAACGGAAGATGAATATGCCAATACAAAAGGATGGCTTGTGTCCATATCAACTGCTGGTGCTGTATTTGGCTGTCTTGGGGCGAGTTTGTTTGTTTCCTAGCTGTCATAACGCAAATACTGACTCTAATGAACAGTGCCCTCCGATCAACGATAGGTTTGGTCGACTACCAACACTCCGGATAGCGACAGTCATATACATAGCCGGAATTCTAGGTCAAGGTCTCTGCAATGGGAACGTCTCCGGTCTTTATGCATCCCGGCTCATCTCAGGGCTGGGTATGGGACCTCTGACAATTATCCCACCGATCTATATCACAGAGGTATTAATCTACACTTACGCTTCTCTGGCACCCTTGCTTACGAAGTTATCCCACAGATTTCACCCAAAGCAATTCGTGGACTCCTTACAATCCTGTACGCCTCCTGCCAGCAGCTGGGTGTCGTGCTGGGTTTCTTCATAAACTACGGGATGACCCGACAATATGCCGGCACTGACAAGCAGTGGATGCTTCCTACACTCCTTCAACTTGCTCCTGCAGTAATTTGGGCTTTTGGGAGCTTTTTGTGCTGCGAGTCTCCTCGCTGGCTACTATCCAAAGGCAAACGAGAAGAAGCAACTATGACCATGTCCAAGTTGCGACACTTGCCGCGCGATCACTCGGCGGTCCAAGCCGAAATGGCGGGCATGGACGCTCAAATATTGCACGAGATGGAGGCTGTCAGCGATGCAACCATGTGGGATCTTCTGAAGGAAACCTTTGTTCCTGTTGAGAATCGCCGCCGATTCTTCTTGATTTTCATGGCCACACTGTTCTCGCAGTGGTCCGGGGCCAATGCCATAACGCAATATTCGCCGACCATCTTTGGCTATCTAGGAATCAGCGGCGACGAATCAACGTTCCTGGCTACCGGAATATACGGCGTAGTGAAGTTTGTCAGCACACTGGCTTTCGCATTATTCATCGTCGATATCATCGGCCGAAGACAATCTCTACTCACCGGAATCAGCCTCCAATTGACAACCCTGATCTTCGTCGGTGCCTACCTAGGCGTTACTAAGGACATGACTACTGCTGAACTCAAGGCAACGACCAGCGCCTCACGAGCATCTGTCGCCGCCATCGTGGCTATTTTCCTTCACGCAGTGGCATGGAGCATCGGCTGGTTCAGCATCCCCTACTTGGTCGGATCGGAGGTGTTTCCGATTCGAATCCGGTCGTTGAATGTCTCCATCTCGATGGCTTTTCATTGGGCGTTTTATTTTGCATGTTCGCGTGCGATGCCTAGTCTTTTGGCTGGGACGCAGAAATGGGGCGCATTTGCATTTTTCGCATCGATCTGCTTGATATCACTTGTTTATGTATTTTTTGCTATGCCAGTGAGTTTTATCTCTTTCAAGATTGGTGAATTGCACATTAACCATCAATAGGATACCACGGGAAGATCACTCGAGGACTTGGATAGTCTCTTTCAGCGGCCATGGCACTCTGTGTATAAAGTGGCTTACCCACAACGCGCTTATGTAGGCCAAACGAAGGAATGGAAGGAAGCAGAGGGAGACTCAAAGCACGTGGAGCAGGCGTAAAGGCCCTCTTCTTCCATTTTCCTGAGATGCTCCCCCAAACCAGCGTTGCGGATGCATGTATTACGCACGTTCTTTGGTTAGATGCAAATCGTCACTGCAGCTTGACTAGTGGAGAACCGGCATTCTGTGCTCTTCCCAGACAGGACATGGGCGGGCCTTTGATGCTTGTTAAGTCAACGACACGAGCGACGCCCCTCAAAGAACCAGCATGTTGACCAATATAGAAGTAGTTATCATGTGTTGGCGGCAATCCATAGAACGAGACAGGGACCCTCCACTGTCAAGTCTGGGCTGAACCACGAGGGATGCCCCAACTCCTGCTTTCCAATTCATCCAAAATAGATCTGCGTTCTCCAGGTCTCGTTTTCCGAGTCTCGGCGCTTGCATTCGACCAAGGGATCTTTCCCGTGTGAACAGTTCTGCACACGGGGTACAATGTCAGTAACTCCCACGGAATAGAACAAGGCAAACCGACTTGTTACTGCAAACCAAAGAAGTGAACATGAGAGATCTTTCATAGACTTATTAAGCCAACCTCGTATGAATTTACCATAGTACCATATTGCTAGGTACGGTGGAAGTTCCGCCAATCAGAAGCCTGTGAGATACCCGGAAAAACAGGTTTTCAAGAAATTCAAGGATGAATAATATTTCTACGGACGTCCGACCTTGAACCTGTCTCACAGAAGCATAAGTATTCTTTACTGCTTTTATCAACAGCCCGTGACTATGTATGTGTCGGGCGCAGTAGCTTCCCATCGATCCTCGCCGGCTGCCGAGCGAGAGAGAATTCGGGATTTGTCGAGGTGAGATATCGTCTAGTTTGCCCCCACAATTGAGCCTCACTGACCCCAGGGGAGGTCCCCTAATATAGGTATTATTGTACTTTCGGTAAACCAGCCGTATCGCAGAATGTGGACTCAGAGAATGATCAGCAATCGAATCCAGAAGAGTCCCGTGAAGATACACATTCACCGACCAGCTATCTTGCCACCGATATCACGCTCACAGCACTGACACAGCTTGGCGTCCATCGCTTTCGTTGCAATCGGTCTTTTGTCTCGATCATCGATGGAGAGCATCAGCATGTTATCGCAGAAGCAACTGCATCAGTTTCTTTACGGAACCGGAACCAGCATCGGCCAAACGATGGCCTCTTTCTAGGCGCCAGGACCCTGGATCTGGCATGGGGTGTTTGCCCCCATGCCATACGTCTTTTCACCGGACAAGATCCTTCATGCGAAATAATGACGAGCAATATAACAGCCAATCGGACACGGAACATAATCCGCGATTTTACCCTTGAAGATTTCTACAAAGATCGCTCGTACGTGCTTGAGTGGCCTTATTTCCGTTTCTACGCCGAAGTGCCCTTATATAGCCCTTCTGGATATGTTCTAGGCTCATACTGCGTGGTTGACGATGAGCCACGGACTGACTTTGGTGATGACGAGGTTGCTGCTCTTCAGGAGGTTGCGGATGCTATCGCGCAACATCTTGAGAATGTCCGGGTAGTCCAATATCATGGCCGCGCAGAAAGTCTAGTTATAGGTTTGACTAATTTTGTCAAAGGTCATGCAGAATTTGACCCTATCGAGGCCTCCAGCTCCGGCAGGCTTGATTCGTCTAGGAATATGCGAGGTTACCAGGACCAGAAGTCGGCAGATGGAGGGTGTGATGCGAAGGAATCGCTTGTTGCATCTTTGGTTGGAGAATCCCGTAGTGGCCACCGAGAATCGAATAAGTCATACTCGACAACTCACAGTGATGAACTATCGCCATTCTTTTCTTCTAAACAAGGCTCCGAGACCACCGGGTCTTCATTTCTTGATTTCGAAACGCCGGAAAAACCGGCTTCATTAAAGCCCAGTGTGGAGGTACTGCCTGACAACGTTTCAGGGACACAAGATCCCACCAATAGTGATGACTCTCTGGATAATTCCTCGCATTTGTCTCTGATGGACTCTGTTCCGATTTCTGAACGAATCGTTACGATATTCTCCCGCGCCAGCGTCTTGCTTAGAGACACTATGGATCTAGACGGTGTGGCCTTTTTTGATGCATATCGAAATGACACTTTACTGTCAGTATTATTGATCCCTTGAGTTTTCTATTTTCTAACCGTATTCCAGCATGTTGCCCGAAGATTCTGAAGGCTGGGAGCCCTTGCCGAAAACTGCAGACCCAGGATTCTCCACTGCTCCATGCTCTAAGCCTCTTGGTCTGTCAGATGCATCTTCAAAGGAGACAGAAAGCGCCTGTGACATTCTAGGTTGTGCACTAAAAACATCGTCCGAGAATACCAATTTGAACCCTCAACCCGAAATAACGCAGGAATTGCTGCATACACTAGTCACAACCTTTCCAATGGGGCATATATTCTATTTAGACGATATGGCAGGAGCTAATAACAATTCGATAAACGCAAAGGGAAGTACAAGTGGTTCTCGAACCGAGTCGAAAACCATTCACGACATATCCAAGCGCCTGGCCCGTCATCTTCCTGAAGCAAACACTGTGCTTTTTTTCCCCTTGTGGGACTGGAATAAATCACGGTGGTTATCAGGGACATTAGTCTGGGTACGAGGCAAGCATCGTCCCCTAGGCATTGAAGAATTGCACTACTTTAAGGTGTTTGGAGATTCTATCATTTCCGAGGTCTCCCGGATACACTGGACAGCCACCGAGAAGTCTAAATTCGATTTCACTTCCTCGGTCAGCCATGAGCTCCGCTCCCCGCTGCATGGTATACTAGCGAGTGTGGAATTGTTGCAGAAAACTCCTCTTCAGCCTGCGCAGCGCGACATGATTACGATGATAAATACATCCGGAATGGCCTTACTGGACACGACAGACCATCTGTATGCTTCCAAAACGCTAATCTTCTAGAAATATTTGCTGACTATGTATCCCTTTCAGGCTGGATTTCTGCAAAACCAACAGCTTGGCGACTGCAAAGGAGTTGAGCAGGGCCCAGTCTCATGGTGAAGCAGCAAACCTAATATCCGAATTTAACCTAGATACCCTAATCGAAGAAGTCGCAGGGATTTTATACAATAGCCACAATGCCCCCAAGCCAGTTGGCTTTCTTGAAAGTGGACCAGATCTCAGAACAACTAATGCTAGCCAAGTCCCCAAGGGTAGTGACCGACCATCGGTAGTCATACGCGTTGAACAATCCCATTCCTGGGCTATTCGATCTGTCAATAGCGCATGGAGAAGAATAGTGATGAACGTGCTCGGCAACTCTCTGAAATGGACCAAGGCCGGATTTATCGAGGTATCATTATCAGAGACGAGAGACCAGATTAACCCCAATTCGGCACTTGTCAATTTATCTATCACGGATACAGGCCGTGGAATTGCGCCTGATTTTCTCAAGCACGAAATTTTTTCTCCATTTTCTCAGGAGGATTCGCTGTCTGAAGGCGTGGGGCTGGGCCTTAGCATCGTGCGCAAACTTGTGACATCTCTTGGTGGTTGCATCAATGTGAGGAGCGAACTGGGTATTGGCACGCAGGTCGATGTCTACGCCCGCGTTCAGCATGTTGAGAAGTTCGAATCGTCCGTACCTCCCTCCATAACAGGGAAGGGCTCACTTCGGGTATGTTTGATTGATTTCAACGGATATCCCGATGTGAAGGACACCCCCACCGGAATCCTGCCAGCCGAAGCCAAACGAAAGCTCTCCATCCAGAGTACCTTTTCTGTTATATTAAAGACACAACTAGGATGGCGTGTCTCGTTGGCACAGTCCCTCGAGACAGGACATGGCGATGTTGCGGTCATCGAAGAGACGAAGTTTAAGACCATAGACGGCCAGTCGGTGCGTGACTTATGTTTGAGGAACGGTTTCAAATTCTTCATTGTCCTCACTGGACCGACGCCCTGCCAGACAGGCCGTCTTCCCCCGAATACTATCCACTTATCGCAACCGTATGTTTGGACTCTCCTCTTTGCTGAATCCATTAGCTGACTCTCAGGGAAGATATGGCCCCCAAAAGATTTGTGATGCAGCCCAAAGGATATTGGAGCTTTATAAGACACAGTCCGAACACGATATTCGTGATTCTGCGCCGGTTCCCGTTCCGTCCGTCTGCTCTCAACAGCCCCCGACAGACATTGGTCCGCAGGCTGTTCCGGACCCCTCAAAAAGACTGCCAGAGATTTCAACTGAAGTGACATATCCACTTTCGCAACCCGATGGCTTGCAATCCCAACCACAAAAGCAGAAAGAAATTCGTGTTCTCGTCGTGGATGACAATGACATTAATCTAAAAGTAAGTTACAGCGTTGCTTGACTAGTTACACAGGACCAGATTTAGTTGTGTTTCGTTATCCTGTGAGATAACCTGGGCTGACTGGGAAACGGAGCAGATCATGACCATGTTCATGCGCAAGATCGGCTGTCACTACGATGCAGCTTCCAACGGGCTGATCGCCCTGGAAAAGTACAAGCAATCGGAAATAGCATACAACTTCGTCCTAATGGGTAAGTAAAATCCGAACCTTCTTTCAGGCGCTTACTCCACATGAACACATCTGATTGTTAATCTAGATATATCAATGCCTGTAATGGACGGCATAGTCGCCACTAGCGAAATCCGCCGTCACGAAAAGGCCAACAGTCTTAAGCGCTCCTGCATTATGGCTGTCACGGGTGTTGCTTCTGCTTCCATGCGCTCGGAGGCCCTGAAAGCAGGCGTAAACAACTATTTGGTGAAGCCACTTTCCCTTGCTGGGCTTAAGGAACTTATGGATATACGATGATGCCATTATGCTTGGCGTTTTATAGATGATCCGTTGCTAGTGGCCAGAACTTTTATAAATCTGGCCTCAGTACGTGACCAAGCAGATCTGGCCTCGGCACCGGATTTCCGCTATGATGCTGCTGGCAAAGGCGGAGTTGGAGATGTACGAGATCGTTCTTGGTCGTGAAAACATCCCCAGGCTGGACCAAGATTACAGCAAAGTACCAATTCTTACTCATAGCAGGATATCTCGGGCACATGGGAAGCTGAAATCGCTGACAAGCTGTCATTGTAAATGACGCTTGTCACTTGCAGCCGATTCTGCATGCACTAATCATGCATTGAACAGCACAGAGTGTTCACTGAGCACTCGATGAATTCTGGACTGTGACTGAAATACCGAACCAGGTCCTGGGCACCTATATTGAAGTCATGACATATGGAGAAAAACCACAGTGGTTCTAGAAACCCGGGTCTATAGTGACATGCATTCCATCATCTCAATAGCTATGGAAAACACCATAACTTGTATTTTATTTATACTACGTAGATGAATGCTGACAATAACGTCGATATAAACCACTCCTTAGGCATAAATAGAGAACGTCCTCTGGCCTAACCGAGACATCCTCCCAATTCTCCTGAACATACTCCAAGCTTTAATCGCGACTGCACGGTTTCCGCATGTTGGAGCAAGAGAAGAGAGTGCCAGAGGACATTTTCGACACGCAGGCTTGACGGTGGAGATTAAGGAAAGCCACTGTATAACCATTGATGGAGATTTGTGAGAGTAAAAAGTCAGCATGGGCCTAAATCAATTACTAGCTCGTCCATTTACAATAATCTCCTAGACCACATGTATTAGAAACCATCTCTAATCTAATACGACTTTACTTGTTTCTATAGAACTGTAATTTCGATAAATCACATTCCATAGCCTCTTGTGTTCCTTCAGAAATAACAGGAACAAACTTTGCCCTGAATTACAATAGGATTGAGTTTTGCGATGATTGGGATATAACGAGCAATCGACAGTCATCCAACCTCATTAGACGCGGAGTTTATTGTTCATTTTCTGAAATCTGAATTCTATTGGGGGTGCTGAGACTTTTCTTCAATCCCGGGCTTTCTCAATTTTTCCCCTCTCTCTACTTCAGCACTCTGACTGGATTGCGGCACAGGACTTCGGATACCCTCATCGCGGGGACCAGCCTCCTCATCTGATCCTCCTTGGATGCGAGTATCCGGTGCTGGCGCAAATCGGCTTCGGATTCTGATCTGCTTTCCATACCTGTTGAAGAGGAAGGGAATGCACGCTAGCAAGGCAGCTACACCACCGATGAGACTTCCTCCACCTCCAACTCCCAGTGCCGAGAACATCTGGTTAGTGAAAAGCGGTGCAGCAGCGCCGCAGGCCGAGCGGGCAATGGTGTTTGCAGCAATGGCAGAGGCAGCGTACATTAGATAACAATCCACAAGGTAGTTCAAATATGCGACAAAGATAAGAAGCAGGCAGCTCGAGAGAAAGCACCCAGCAAGAGTGGGAACGATCCAGTGGACATAACTTCGAGAAAGTCAGTTTCTTCGTACTATCTCAAGTCGGGAATCATCATACTCACTTATATTCAGCCGACCATGCAAACCAGAACATGGTTGCGGGAAAGCCAATGCCGCCAATCATCGCTAGGGTTAATCGATCTTCAGGAACGGTATCTTCCATTTTCTTCTCACCCCTCTCAATCCGCCGCTGGCGGAGCCGAGTGTCAATCAAAACAATAAGGCCACCGATCAGCGCGCCGACGACGGTGCCAATCAAAGGCAACTCGCCTACACCCGAGTTCCACCCGCGCTTCTCTTGGAACACAATGGGATAGATGCTGAAAAGCATGTAGAGCAAGGTATAGACGACCGCCATGTAGATGGCGCATAGTAGCGAAATCGGATCGAAAAGAATAATCCACGGCCGTGTCAGCGCCAACTTATAGATACCGACAAGCGTCCGATCGCTGTCTTCGGCTTGAGCTTTCACACTCTCATACCCAGGAATCTTTGCCATTCGAATTCGCTTTGCCTTGTTGTACAAAACTGTCGGTGCATATGTCTCCGGGATGGTCAACATCACGATAGCCGTTACCCCACCAAGCCAGAGCAGCACATAGAAGCTCCATCGCCAATCCTTCTTCAGCTCAAGGAAGCCGGCGATAACTGGTCCAAGGGCTGGTCCGACGTACACCATTGCCGAGAAGCCGGCCATGGCGTTGGCGCGCTGTAGTGGATCCCATAGATCCGCGAGGACTCCTGGGGCGTTGCTCAAAGGAGCGGAGACAAAAGTCCCCGTGAGGAACCTACCCACTAGCAGGGCGCCCAGATTGGGCGCGAAAGCGCATAAGAAGTTAACTGCAAGATAAAGCGCGAAACTGATGTAAAAAATCCACCGACGGCCATAGAACTCACTGAGTGGAGCGAAGATGAGGGGACCGGCGCAGTAACCAAGCAGGAAAAGTGTGATTGTGAGACCTGCTACCTCGGTCGACACGCCGAACTGTTCAGAGATGGACTCAAAACAGCCACTGGGAGAGCTCGAGGCGAATGTGGCATTCACGACGAGTAAAATGGCAGTTATAGTGATGGTAACACGGCGAGCCATGGACCAGTTGCGAGGGTTCTCGATGTCGCCGGGGGCGAAGTCGACATATCCGTCTTCGTTGAGGTAAGGATGGGGCTCATAGCGAATATCTTGAGAATTATATGGTTTATTGACCGTGTAGGACAATATGCGCGTGATAGCTGCCATCACGAGTGGGCGAGGAGAAAGACCTTGATGCCTGCGCTGGTCAACAGGTGGAAACGTGGGTTAATAGATTTCTAAGCATATCTAATGGGCATCGTCTGTTGCAATGGGCCTCACTATTTAACTAACAAGTTATTCAAGGTCATGACATAATTTCGGGGATTGTCGAAGTCCGAGTCTGGGGCTTTATCTCTGCGGGGAACCACGCCCGAAAGCTTGTGCTAAAGGGTTGGAAGTGTGGTGCATGGGTGGTGGAAGTGACTCGCCAAAAGCGATAATCTGAAATTAACACTGTAGACAATAAAGACAGGAAAGAATGATGCTGTTGATTATGAATTCAATAACAATGAGAAACTGCCTGGCCGCGCTGGAAAAGGGCACATGGTGATGGTAAGTTCGAATCTACGGGCGAGCAGACAATTATATCTGCCTAGATTCTTTTGGCCTGACAGAATCAAAGCTCTTCTGCTTCGTGGTGCTTCGTGGTCATAATGCATATCTGAATGTGTCCTCTTTCTCTCGATCAAAATATGGGATGACGCCTGTCGAAATGCAGTTTTGAGTGTCATCTTCTGCACTCGATGCAAACCACTCACCGTGTTCTTTGACAGCTACGTCTCTGAAACCGGGAATTCTCAAGGGACCCAATCTTCCTTGGCCCAGCTAAGTCAACAACTGCCGTGGAAGCCGTTGTGTCCAATCCAGAAGGGTGTGACTGGTGGGAGAACGTTGATGTTGTTGATGGGCACGGTCCCGAGAATGTTCACACTCTTGGGCTTTTCTTGCTCCAATCTCTGCTGCTCCTCCGTGTACAGTTTTTCCCGGATCTCGTCGGAAACGTCTTCGTGCGTCTCCAACCCCCCTCCCTTTCAGCCCTCCTTTCGGCGCAGGGAGTCAAACATTGAGGATCTGTGTGCGGATTCGACAATGCCTTTTCCCACTGGGCCCAGCCAGCACTAAGGTCCTAAGTGGCTTGAAACCGAAACACATTCTATTGAGTCACAAGCGTGGCTGCGAATTGCTTTCTACCCACAGACATTTTCACTATCTAGTTGCGCGTTTTGTTCGTCGAGCATCCCTCCGACGGGATACAGGACGGAAACCTTCCTGGCTAAGGCTCCCGCTCGGCTTTAAAAGCCGACAAACCTATTCCTGCGGTTGCCACACTGGTGATAGACGGAGAATATGAGGTATCCATCATGATAATAGGCAATTGACCAAAGGTCGTGTGGATGGACAATGTCCGTGACATGGACTGCCACAGCTTACTTGGACATTAAATTCAGCTATCCAAACGAAGCGTGGATGGGTCTCTTGCACTATCCGTGGTTTTGAGGCGCCGCAGCATCTTTGACCAAATAACCAACGCAGAAGCCTCCTCAATGAGAATATTATCTATCAACACCGTGGAAGGGGCGGGAGTTAAACATCATTTGTGTTCTGAGAGCCTCCGCAGTGGCGGTATCTCTTTTGTCCAAGTCCTTGTGCATATCCCACACCACTTTTCTTTCACTTTACTGCGGTGCCCCTGAGCTCAGCAGCAACGTTGTTGAAGTGTGTACCCATGCAACGCAATATCACCATTTCAGTTTGTCGAATGGAAGCCGGTGCTCCCTGCTCTCCCGGCAGGACATAAGCGAAGTACGTGAGACGTGTCCTTGGCTGCGTCTAGAGGCCCTAATTCCATGACCGAAGTAGCAACGACTATGAGTAGATCCTCCTGTAGATCTCCAGAAGACAGAAAACAGGCCTTGCAGTCAGTAGAATGGTCATTTTCAACTCCAGTAGCTCCGCTCATAGCCGCAAGCTGCATCACCCATTACGGACCAAGGATATCCCAACTTGAGAGAGGCCGGCGGATGGGTCGTCGGTTTCCGAGCTCGATGGTAGTCCCGGGCGTGAGCATATCGCCAGTCTGCTACCAACATCGACTGCTGACATAGGCTATCCGGCACTTTGCGTGAAAACACTGAACGCCGTTGGTCGTGTGCAGCCATGCAGGACACCAGGGCTAAGTACATGTCCGGTCAGTTGCTCGTGATAACGGTCATTCATTAAACTTGGCAAGAAGCTCTGCGTGAGCCCGAGCTGACATGAGATAGTCCTTACGGACTCCTGCTTTTCCGCCCTATCCCAGACAGATTCTTGGTTTCGGACCGTGGCGTTTACATTCAATCAGGAAGTCGTTCTGGCGTAGAAGGTATTCTGCACAAGTGACAAGGGGTGCAATGTTAGTAACTCTCATAGAATTGGACAAGGCAGACTGGCTTGTTGCAAAACGACAGACAAGGGAGCAGCCCTTGGTAAAGAGAGCAGTCTCCCCTTATTGTCAATGCCTCATTGTATATCGTATAGATAGATAACCTCAAATGGCCTAAAAGAGGAAAGACCCGATCGGCGCGCACTAAGCCTAACCGAGAACCTTCTCAGGCACTCTCCAGACTTCACTCCCTCTTACAAATACACTGTACACTGTCTCTGTACACTATTACTACTTTCTACCCGAGCTTTTCCATACAGGTACATAGTATTCCTATTTCGTTATTCTATTGTCTCGGCACTCCGTAATGGACTGCGGTTGGAGCCGCCCTCCTCCACTAGCAAGATGACCAGCAGCACGACGGGCAACGACAAGGACTTCCGCGGACAGCTGGGCAAGTTTCGCTTGGACAACATCGCCAGTTCGCTTCCACGTCCCCCGCCTCCTCCCTCTGCTAGTCCGACCAATATTTCTCTTCCCCAGTCCTCCTCCCATCCGCTGGCTGACCAACAGCCGCTTCCCGAATTGGTCCGTGGCAGCGCCAGCCTTATTCCCGATCCTCCTGCGGATACCACAACGACGACTCACAATGTCCCGATTACTTCCTACCACCAGAGCTCGTCGTCGTCCGTGTCCGCCGCGTCGGTAGCGCGCAGCAAACGTGTCTCAACCGCCTGCGATTTCTGTCGCAAACGAAAGAAGAAATGCGACTTTCGTTATCCGAACTGCTCAGCCTGCACCCGCGCTGGCGTCCGTTGCACCATCCCCCCGCCCGGTCCCCAGGTCGCCAATGCGTCCGTACCCCGCGATCAGCTGGAGAACCTACAGAAACGCGTGCAATGGCTGGAGGACATCGTGCGCCGGAAGACGGGTATCACGGCCGCGGAACTGGCTACCGGCAGCTCTGTGGACGGTGAGGGGGATCCCGACTGGTGGTACCAGGTGCCTGCCATGGTGGCCACGGGGGATACGCGACCTGCGACCGCGGGGGCGTCCGTGTCGAGTCCATCCACAGCACATACACCCAGTGCAGCCGGGGGGTCGTCGGCAGGAGGGCCAGCGGTGTCCGAGTCGCTTGGTACGGGATTGCCCAACGTGGGTGAAATCTTTCGCGACCAGCTGGAGCACCGACGACCGTCAGTCGCGCGGCCTCTTGCGTCCTCCCCGCGGGTGCTGAAGCTCTCCTCGTTGGAGGAAGCGGAAAAAGTGGCGGGTAACTATTTTGACAGCATGGGATACCAGTATCCGTTCCTGCATCGCTTGGAGTTTCTAGGACAGTTGCGACGGCTCTACAGCGGCGAGGTGCCGTCGCCAGAGTTCCATTACTCGTATCACATTACGATCGCGATCGCGCTGTTGATCAAGTCTGCAGACGACACGCAGACGGCCGAATTCTATCGCGCTAGCCAGGAAACACTGCCGTTGGCGTTACAGAACGAAGATCTACCTGCTGTGCGAGCGTTGTTGAGTCTTGCGCTGTACACCATGTTTGCGACCACGGGGCCAAGTGTTTGGCATGTGTTGGGAAGCACAATGCGTTTGGCCACGAGCTTGGGGTTACACAAGGCGCGTCCGTCGGCTAATGTGGTGGAAGAGGAGATGTCAAAACGGGCGTTCTGGAGTTTGTACAATCTCGACCGCCTTATCGCAACCACTCTGGGTCGACCATTGGGTATCGCGGACGAGGACATCACAGTTGACCTTCCGCGAGAATTCAACGATGACTGGACGGAGGCTCCTGGGGCCAGTTCGACCACGATTCCACTGCAGGTGGTGCGACTGCGGCGGATATTCTCCCGCATTTATCGCTATTGTACGCCCCTTTGATCCATATTAGTGAACGTCTCTAACAATGCAGTGTACAACAACCAACCCCCTCCACCGACGCACGAAGTTATCATGACCTTGAGCCAGTTCCGTCACGAGGTAGATGAATGGCGAATGCAAGCACCGGTCTATCCCCCGGCCCTTTTATACTCGACCAGTTACTACGATTACCTATACTATACAACCCTACTGTTGATGTATCGACCCAGCCCGCGCAATCCCACGTCCGACGCAACGAGTATCATCAGCTGCGGCGATTCGAGCATACAAGTAATCCGGTCATACTGGGACAGTTATTCGGTGGGCAAGATCAAGTGGATCTGGTTGACGCTGAGCCAGCTCTACTTTGCCGGAATTACAATCCTTTGGGGACTCGAACAGAACTCGCGAGCGTTCCGACAAGGCCAGCCGCCGTTATGGCAGCCAGATGAGCAGATGATGCGTCGCGCAATCCAGGCTGTGATTGTCCTGCTCGAGGAGTTTGGCAAGCGACGGCCTGGAGTGGACCGATTAGCCGAGACGTTTCGACATCAAAGCACGATGATATTCAGCCAGATTGCTTATCAGCAACAGCAGCAACAGGTACAACAACACCAGCAACAACAGGCGGTGCAGCAGCAGCAACAACAGCAGTATCAACTACAAGCAGCACCAGCACCTCCGCCGCCGCGATTGACTGTGCCATTAGCACCACCACCCTCGACGGTCCCGTTGGCACCGGTACTAGATGATGTACTCCTGGTCGATGGAACTGGAAATACCGTGATGGATCCGCAGCTGGCGGAGCAGTTGTTCTATTCGTACGATTGGTTTCAGGAGGAGATGGCGACGTATTACACTTTATAAACTTGTCTGGGTGTACTTTTATATATGTATATACCATGCAGTTATGATACCCTCCTTAGTTCTGTTTCTTTTTCTTTTTTTTTTTTTGCTCGGGAATCAAGGCAGATTATGTATTTACATTACTATACGTGCGTCCGTTAAAGCGGTTAATGCCAAACATCCGGCCCAAAGAACCCCTTTTCAGGTAATCCCTTCCACGGCGTGCCTTTTCCATCTGCTGTGTTGCTGTACACGGTGTTTCCCCACCAACTCAGCGAGCCAGCTGGGAGGGTAATGCAGAAGAAGATTATGACAGTTGCGACGGCCACGCCGGAGTCGAGGGCTGCTGAAAGAACGTAATCTACTCAATTAGCAGCCGCTCAGTCAGAAGAATAGGAAGGGGAGACAAGACATACTATACTTAGCCCACCAAGCCGGCCTCCTCATCTTCACCCACCCATTAAAGATAACATTAATCACCCACCAACTCGAAAAACTAATCCCCGTTGCCGGCGGCACAAGGCTCATTGCTCCAAATGCCACGGGCCAAGAGAGGTAGTTGACAGTCTTCCACTTCCGTCCAAGGAACCACGTGATAACAACAACAACCGGACCAACGAGGAAAAACCAGAGCAAGTTTCCGTAGATCTGACCGGGGGAGAAGTTCCGCGCTGGGCCGAGAGCGCCCCAGATCAACGAGGAGGAGTATGTTACTCGGCCGTGGGGGCAGGTGAACCCGCCCGAGGCGTCGGAGGTACAAACGCCGTCGATGCGGGTGATCATGAAGACTGTCACGCCGCACTGGACAATTGCGCCGATGAGCGTTGCCAGGCCTTGGGCTAGGAAGACCGTCCGTGGCGCGATGTGTAGGTAGTGTCCTAGTTTCATGTCTGCCATGAATTCCAACCCTTGCGAGACGGCGACGTAGCCGTAGAATTTAAACGCCATGTTTGCTACGGGGCGGCCGAGGAATGCGTAGCCGCCGATGAATTCGGTTAGTAGGTTTAGTTGGTTACTGCTGATGTTCGTGACTGCTTTGATGATCCCTACCGGGATGATGTAGAGCATTGGGAGGACGAAAGCGATGAGCACAGCCCAGGCTGGCAGACCCGTGTGCCAGACTTCGTTGGTCACGATGGACAGCACGAACATGAGGATTGTGATGGCTACGAACCACCACCAGGGCACGTCGCGGTAGGCGGTGATCAGCCGCGCGTGGATGTCTTTCTTGTCGCGGCCTTTCCATTGTTCCCAGAGTTCTTTGCCGTGGTACAGACCGATGTGCACGAAGATGCCGGTTAGGTTGGCAAAGGCCACGCCGTAGGTTAGTGCGTAGCCGGCTGGGAGGAACATGGGGGAGTAATTTCTGTAGGCTTCTTGGTCGATTGTGCCTGAAGGGGTCATCACGCGGCTCGTGTTGTAGGATTGGCCTGTGTTGTCGAACGTGTTTGAATTGAGCATCGGCAGGTATGCAGAGTACCACGTGTTGGTGTAGTAGAGGATCGGGCAGATGAGCCAGAAGAACAGCGCGAACGAGCCCATCACATTGAGGCCGGCCCAGAAGGGGACTAGCAGCGGGCTCTGGTTTGCGTAGACCACCTGCGCCCAGTCAAATGTCAGAACCGACATGCCCAGCCCAGTCTTCTGCCCGAACAGTTGGTTCACAACCACATTATTCGGAACAATCCAGCAGATGAAGCTAAACGTGCTCAACCCGGTAAACAGATACCCCGGCGCAAAGTACCATACCCCCCCGACAACAAACACAATGAGGAAAAACCGCAGCCGCGAAATACGCCACCCATCTGCCAGCGTATTCGCCTTGGAATGCAGCGTCTGCAGCAGCGCTGCATTAGACAACACCTGCGGCCAGATCATCGTCGCGGGACTAACAAGCCATCGCGCCGCCATTCCCGCCAATCCAAAACCAAACAGCTGCGTCGTGATGCACAGCAGGATCTCAAACCCGCCCTGCGATGGGAAATTGTAGAACTTGACCATCGCCTCGATGACCTGCGTCGCGGCGGCGGAGCCGAACGACACGTTCGCCATGATTGTGATTAGCGCATGTTCTTTGATGTTGAAGTGACGGTCCGGATTCCACCAGCCCACGGGGAGCCATTTTGCCCATGCGCAGCCGACGGGGAAGGCGAGGAGTTGCGCGACCAGCGCGCTGATGGTGACGCTGGGTTGGCGCAGGCTGAAGAACTGATTAAGACCGCTTCCGACCTGTTTCTTTGTTAGCGACTGTCCTGTCGCGCCGAGCTGTAACGGGCGCGCACAATGGTAAAAATAACACCAATTGTCCACATGCGAACGGTGTTCACCGGTAGTGTCACATTATCCACAGGCTGCACGACAGCGCGCACCTCGGGAAATGGAGAATCGCTCGCTTCATAGGGGAGAATGCGCTGGGCGTCGCCATCGCTTAGGATCTCGATTTCGGAGGAGTCGGTCTCGAAGGGAGGGTCCTATATCGTTTCGGCCAGTGTAAGCAAGCTATGCGATCCAATAGGTGTCCGACAAGGCTGCATGCCAGCCAGGTGTGACAGCGGCAGCTCGTATACTGAACCCAAAGCGAATGTTTCTAGAATAGGAAAAGGGGAACCCACCTGGATGCTGTGTTGGTGTTTTTTTTTTTTGCCGGACAGCAAGTCGGCATCAAGCATGGCGGCTGGGGCCGGTCTGTATTATGTATGTATGTACGAGTGTTTGTATTTGCCTGGCTATGCTGTATTTGCCTGTGTAATTGCCTGTTCAATATTGTGGTCAATGTCTGCAGTGCATGTTAGTGTGTACAGGTGCTGAGATGTCGTCGGATGGCGAATTGCGAGGATGAGGCAAAAGGAGTCTTGACAAAGTACAACCCCGCAAGAGTTTGCACTCTCCTACATACACTACTATACACTACTATGCGATACCTCGGCACTCTATTCTGTACATAAACCCGCTACTCCTCCATGCAGACACTCCCACATACACATGTACACAAGTCCTCTGTACAGTCGGCTTCAAGCGATTCAAAGCTGACGACTCCTCTGTCGCGGCTCATGCCGACCGTCGGATCTGGGCGCTTCTCTCCGACAGATTGCCCATAGGTATACAGCAAGCCACATCCAACAACAGGCCCCGATAGGAATCTTCCGCTGTTAGAGAGTATCAGATCGTCCAGCCCTCATGCCTGACTCTTCCACCATGTCCGTGTCAGAGATCAGTGGAGAGCGGGTTGAGCCGTTGGCCGCATCCGTGCTTGACTCTGGATGACCCGTTGATTGAGTTATAAATCTGGTTCTCCCCGGCTTCCAGAGTCTATACACCAAATCCGACAAAGTGCATCATGGGCGAGTCGCATATCGAGCATAGTCCTTCTCTTCCCTTTGCCCAGCGCCCTATTGTCATTCTTGGGGCTGGCATCATCGGGTGTACCACTGCCCGGCAGTTGTTGTTGAACGGGTTTCCGGTGGTTTTGGTGGCGGAATATCTCCCAGGAGATCAGAATATCTTCTATGCTTCGGCTTGGGCTGGTGCAGCATGGCATGCGGCTGGGGGTATCAATCCGGAGCAGCGATACTTCCAGGCTGTCACCCATCGCCACTTGCTAAAGATGGCCCAGGAGGATCCGAAATCGGGTGTTTGTATAGTTGATACAAGGGAGTTCCTCGAGCAGGCTCCACCGGAGAATTCTTCGTTATGGGGGCAGCATGTTGTGTCTAAGGTATGACCCTTGCCGTTGGACAGTCGGGGGGTATGCTAGATACTGACGAATGCAGTTCCGTCACCTCAAAAAGGAGGAATTCCCCTCGCACTTTAACACCGGCTGGGCTTATGATACCCTCGTCACCGATCCAACATTACACATGCCCTACCTTGGAAAGCAGATCACTGAGCTTGGAGGGCAGTTCATTCGCAAGAAGGTCAACTCCCTGGAAGACCTGTACCGAATGTTCCCCGAGTCCAGCATCTTCATCAATGCCAGTGGCATTGGGAGTAAAGAACTGGAGGATGTCAAGGACGACAAGTGCTTTCCGGAACGGGGTCAGAACGTCTTCTACAAGACTGACAAGTGCCATATGATGTATTTCCGGAATGGCAAGCAATATACATATGTGATTCCCCGTCCAATGTCCCAGGGAGTTGTTCTTGGGGGTGTCAAACAGCAGGATAATCTGTATGTCTCCTTAACCCGACTATTGTTTCATAGCTAATGTTTCATCAGCTCCCCCGAAGTCGACATGGCAATTGCCCAGGATGAAATCTCCCGCGCTCACATCCTGGCACCCGAGATTGTACCAGAGAATCCCCCCCCAGACAGCATCAGCCACATTATTGGCATCCGTCCCTCGAGACAGGGCGGGTTTCGGTTAGACTGTGAAAAGGCCGGACAACGCACTGTTCTGTCTGCGTATGGATTTGGTGGTGGTGGATATGCATTCTCGTATGGAGTGGCTGATGCTCTGTCCAAGATGGTTGAGAGGGCTGAACGGGAGAATGTGATTCTGTGATTTTTGTTTATGAGGAGTTTGGATGAGCGATTACGATACCATATTTTTCTATTATATTACTCTACAATATTCCTTTAATGATTCGAGTATAGTATGTTATGCCTCAGGCAGTGTTCTTATCACCACAACCTCACCACTCCACGACTACAACCACAATTACACACTACACACAACCACACGACTACACAACGCACCACTCCTCCCCTCTGAGTCCCCCAAAGCGAATCCAACCTCTGAGTAGAGTACTCCGTACGGAGGAGTAAAACCGCCCCTGTTTGACTCCAACGGACCTTTCCGACGATCGCTTCTAGGGCCTTCCTCTTGGATTCCAGATCGACAGTTTTGAATGCGTTCACGGCTCGCATAGTTAGTGTGTTATTACCCTGATTATTATTGCTTTTACCGCTGCTAACGACGCCTACAGACCAATCCAGTCGCATCCTAGCCGGAGTACAGAGTACGTGTGACCGCACCGTCTTTGTTGCACCGGTTCTCTGTGCTTGTTTGCTGGGAGACTGTCGGTACTGGACGAATAGCATGGATTCCGATTGTCCACCCCCGTCAGACAGGTGTGAGGCTTTCATGCAGCATGACATCGTCCCGATCGTGAAGAATGTCCAATCTGACCGCAAGATTGGAGTACATATACCGGCCGCACCGTCATTTTTTGTTTTAAGGATCGGTGGGGAATGATTGGATTCTTACGTCGACACCTTTTCATTTTCTTTATTTCCTCTCTCAGGATTCCATTTATTTTCCTCCGACCGCTGGTGTATCAGGTTCCGTCAGTTCCCACTCCTCCGTCTCATGCGTCTTCCACGGCTTCCATTCGGCTTCTTAGTCTGATGACCGGGATTCCTCCCCTATATCCCTTATAATACAGCTTAATATTACTTTAAAGGACGCGCCATTGTGTGCTTTCTGTTCCTTGGTTGTTGATAACCAACCACCTCCGCACCCGGTCTACCATGGTTCTACTTCTCCTGAGACGCTGAAAAGCACTAGAAAATCCTTGGAATCTTCGGCGCACGCGTCCCCCGCAACTGTCGGTGTTTTTTACCGTCCACTAACGCTGGCTGGTGTCGATCTGAAGTCAAAAGTTGTGGTCATTCTTGCAACTTGCGGTCTTGGATGCGCTGAGCTGGACTGGTGTGCACTTTTAACTTTTCTTTCTTTTCTTTTCTTTTTTTCTTAATATCTAATCTTGAACTCATCCTCGCCTCACTATTTCCATTTGCGACTTCCGAATACTCGCTTATACTTGCGCATGGAAATTGGACCATCATCTTGACTGTGTCGACACACGGCGACTCGGTTCAATTCGGTTCACGATGGTCCCTAATAATCAACTCCTCCGGCTCACAATCGCGAATCGTGAACCCGTCACCGTCGCAATGGCGACTCCGCCCCCGGAGGAGGATCTATTTCTCACGAAACGACACGAAGAAGAGGACTACGAAGAAGCAAATCGAAAACGAGAAAAGGACTACAGTCCACACACTCACGAATGTCCGCGCCGGCGCGATGATCCCATGACCCGAATCTACCGCTTAACACCCATCCCGACCATTCTTCTTGACGCTTCTCTGCGAGTCGTCGAGGTATCCGACAGCCATCTTGCTTTCTTCCACCAGTGCAGAGACGCGCTGCTGGACAAGTGCATCTACGATATCTCGTCATGCGTCCCATCCCCCGATATTGTGACCTTTAGCGGCGCCTTGCGAGCGGCCGTCACCAGCCGCGACATCCAGACGATTGACGGCATCCATCTTCCCGATACGAATTCCTACTTCTCTCTACGATTGATACCAATTCTCGACGGCCCGGAGCTGATCTATATGGTCCTCGAGACCCAGAATGTCACCAACGAACACGCAGAATCCCGCGCATACAGCAATCAGACTTACATTAACGAAACTTACCGGACGTTGCTGGACACCGTCAAAGACTACGCCATCTTCATGCTCGATACGCGCGGGAACATTGCGACTTGGAACTCCGGCGCCGCCGTGCTGAATGGATATTCAGCGGATGACATTATCGGACAGCATTTCTCCATCTTCTACAGCGACGAGGATTGTTTGCGACAGAAGCCTGCAAAAGAACTCGAAGTCTGTCTGCGCGATGGCAAAGTGGAGGATGAAGGCTGGCGGTATCGTCGCGACGGATCACGATTCTGGGCCAACGTCCTCGTGACGCCTATCTACCAGTTTGGACATCATGTCGGTTTCGCCAAAGTCACCCGGGACCTGACCGAGCGCAAGGCCTCCGAGGCGCGTTTAATTGCCGCGTTTGAGGAATCCTCGAAACTCAAGAGTGACTTCCTGGCCAACATGAGCCACGAGATCCGTACACCGATGAACGGCATGCTGTTGGCTCTGACCATGTTGACGAGCACCGAGCTCAATCAGCAGCAGCAGGAGTATGCGTCTATTATTGAAGACTCGACTTCCATTCTGCTCCAGGTGATCAACGATGTTTTGGATTACTCCAAACTATCATCTGGGGCCTTTTCATTGCACTCGGATATCGTCAATGTCAGAACGATCATCGACGCCGTTGTACGAAACTGCAACCCGCTTCTCAAACCGGGCGTTGAATTGACCAGTCATCTTCCAGATGACTTCCCCCAGTATCTCAAAGGCGACCCGCTTCGGTTCCGGCAAGTGCTACAAAATCTCGTCGGGAACGCAGTCAAATTTACCGAGCAAGGCAACGTCAGGATTCACACGTCGTTTTCCGTTGACGAGGAAAAGCGAGACGCCTATAAGATATTGACTGAAGTCATCGATACCGGTATCGGGGTTCCGGCCGATTCCGTAAACACGCTTTTCACCCCATTCACACGATTCGCAGACTCCTGCACCAAGAAGTATCAAGGGACAGGGCTGGGTCTTTCGATCTGCAAAGGTCTAGCCGAGCTGATGGACGGGACGGTCGGATTCAGACCAAACCCAGACGGTTGCGGAAGTATCTTTTGGGTAGCAGCGCGAATGGATTGCACGGACGAGGTGGACTCAGCCCGAGCAGCCGGCCTCGCCTCCGAAGAAACTTTCGACCCAACCGAAGAAATCCGCAAGATCGCACCCCAGAAACACATCCTCCTTGTCGAAGACAACATGGTCAACCAGATGGTCATGCGAAAACTCCTGCAAAGCGTGGGATTCGAGCGCGTTGATGTCGCATGGGACGGGGCGCAGGCGGTGCGAATGGTCCAACAGCGTCCGCTGTCATATAACGTGGTTTTGATGGATGTTAGTATGCCGGTCTTGAGCGGGCTGGATGCGACATCGCAGATTCGAGAATTGCATATTGATGTGCCTATTATTGCGCTCACAGGGAATGCGTTGAAGGGCGATGCGGAGACGTATTTGGCGAAGGGGATGAATGATTATTTAGCAAAACCGATCCATCGGCAGCAGCTGTTAAGGATGCTTTGGAAGTGGATTGTTTGATGGGGTTTTATGGCAGAGAAGTTGGGCATCTCTGTCTCGTTTTTCATTTCATTGAGACACTATCATCTGGCTCGCATTTCAGGTTTCACTTGTGACGGATTTCAGGCAAACCGAGTCGAGTATCATGATATCGACAACACCAAGAAAGTCCAATCTCACGCAAGATTGGAATACGCATACGGTCTGTCTCCCTCCGGAACCCGTCATCATCATCCACCATCGGGACTTATGAGCACCATGAACCTGCTGGCACCCGACAATACGGTACGTTTCCTGCATTTAGACGCCTTTTTCATTCTTAGTTTGTTCTTGTCCACTATTTTGTACAACGTCCATCGGCGACACTAACGGCCCTGAGCAGTACCAGCAAGCTCTCAAATGAGAGCATCGTCATCGCTCCTCCAGCCATGATAGCCCAGACCCAAGCGACTTGACCGCAAGGTCTATGCGTAGGCAGAACCGTCCGGATCAGCTTCACACGGACGCTCAAAAATTGGGGAAGAATCGTTGTACGAGTACGAGTAATGAGCGTAGACATGTGTATGATACTGAATGGAATCGTTATGATTTTCCTCTCCAAGAGCGATACTCTGACCAAAAACAACTGGAGGAACGACAAGCCATCCCCGTGCGCAACGGTTGATCATTATCTAACCCGGCGTTGCCCTCGTGTTTGGACCCTCGAAGAGTCTTGCGTGATTGTTGTTGTTGTTGTTGTTGTTGTTGTTGTTGTTGTTGTTGTTGTTGTTGTTGTTGTTGATGTTGGCCCGGGCTGCTAGGCAGAGGGTTCTCCTGTGCTTGACTCTCCGGACTTTACCTTTTTGTTTCTTCCATTTGCCTTTTTGATTATTGTGACCCCCGGTGAATTGTCGGCAGATAAATATTCGCCACAGTCGCGGTGTTTTGGCTCTAACTTGTTTGCTTAATGTTAATTACCTTTTCGGGCGGCGTTAAGTCTATACAGCGGGTTCGCTGATCCATAGGGGGCACCCCGGCTACGACAACACACGATAATAACGAAGGACAAGATACATTTGAATACCGCCAATGACACAGCAGAAGCAGATAACTACAATATCTGAATGACAACAAGAAATAGGATCCCGGTAACATCACAAGAGAATGCATCCGAGAACCTCCTCGGCCCACCCCCTGAATCTTGCACGACGGTCGATCTCTGCACCCAACGCCGGCAATGGCAATAGTTTCTGCTTCCTATTCCCTTTCGGGACAGCCTGAACTGCTTGGCTGCCGGATTGAGATGATTTACGGCAGCTCTTGCCTCGTTTCCCTGGTGCTTGAGTTTAGGGGCGGGTTAACCAACGCAGGATACCTCTACGATTCATGCATACTGGACGGCGGACCCGCTGTCATTCCATTGCGCAGTACCTCGTACTCCGGGTAGAGTGCATGCTACGCGCGATAATTATCTTGCATGGAAGACGTGGTTCACAATAGGCTTTGCCGGGCTTTATTATGCTTCCAGTTCGTATTTAATACGTGCAATTGGAATTATCACACCGCATTGTGCGATTGCTTGCACCAGCTCGACAGGTTGATCCGTCGAAACTAGAATTGAGGAGGTCTTGCGATGTTCAGAATGTTACGGACACAGAGACACCGGAGCACGCTAAGGATTGTCCAGGAACCGTCTCTTCCACTACGGCCAGGATCGCCGCGATGATAAAACCCCTCGCGGTATGAGTCCGTCATGACGCACCACGTACTTGTGCCAGAGCAGAGGAAGTGAGGATAGACAGAGACATTTCGGAAGTTGTTTCTCACGTGGGATGAGCAACTGCTACGGAAATATCTCTTCACGCGGAGACCGGGACCGTCGATTGTTACTCCATAAGAGATAAGAGATAGCGATAGACATGGATAGCAAGAGGCTTTGTTCACCTTATCGTTGGCCCAACCTTGGAAAAGTAGGCATCGGCAGTGCTTAGACAACAGACTTTGCGGAGTTGGCTTTGCTCCTCTTTTCTCCTCAATCACCGTCAATGGGACGCGATGATCACTATGGCTGATTGAGCTGGACCTCCACAGCATGTTTAGGTTGACTTAGTGCACATTCCGTATATATACGGGATGGACACCCTGTCTCTGATGCTTTCCTTCTTCAGCTCCGTTTGTCAATAATCCCAGGAGAGTACGAGCTGGGCTTGTAAGCTTGTCAAAATGAAGTCTTCTCTTCTCCTTTTGGGCGCAATGGCCGCCCACGTGCTGGCCGCCCCTGCTTCTTCGCACGATTACATTGTTCACGAACGCCGGGATGCGTTGCCTGCCTCGTGGAGCGAGGGAAAAAGACTGGACGGATCCGCTAGCTTGCCGATGCGTATCGGTCTGACCCAGTCCAACCTAGACCGCGGCCATGATCTCCTCATGGATGTTTCGCACCCCAGTTCGTCGCGGTACGGACAGTTTTACACCCCCGAGGAGATCCATGATCTCTTCGCTCCATCCAAGGAGACCGTGGACAGCGTCCGCGACTGGTTGGAGAACATGGGCATTGCGGGACACCGCATCTCGCAGTCCGTGAACAAGCAGTGGTTGCAGTTTGATGCTGATGCCGAGGAGATGGAGTCTTTGCTGCGGACCAAGTACTACGTGTACGAACACCAGGATACTGGCAAGAACCATGTTGCGTGCCGCGAGTAGGTCTTTCTTGCCCGTTGTAGTTTAGTTCAGCTGCTCATGCGTATAGGTACCACGTCCCCAAGCATGTGCAACGCCACATTGACTTCATCAAGCCCGGTGTCAACCTGCTGGAGGTCAGCAATGTGAAGCAGGCCAAGCCGACCGACGAATCAGGAGTCCAAAAGCGCTCGAGTGTCAGTTCTCAGGGTCTATTGCCCCCGATTCTGCGCACCTTGGACCTGCCCCTGGTCGAGCTCCTGGGTAACCTCCTGGGTCTCTGTGATGTGGCCATCACCCCGCCGTGTATTGAGGCCATGTACAACTTGACCAAGGGTGACAAGGCTACTAAGGGTAACGAGCTCGGTATCTTTGAGGGCCTGGGTGACATTTACAACCAGGATGACCTGGACCTATTCTTCTCGAGCGTTTACCCGTATGCCCTGCCCGCTCTCTTCTCTTTTCATCTAAGCTGACGATGGTAGCACCATTCCTGATGGCACCCACCCCGAGCTCAAGGCCATTGACGGCGCCAAGGCCCCGTCCAACAGCTCGCTCGATGCCGGCGCCGAGTCCAACCTGGACTTCCAGATCTCGTACCCCATCATCTGGCCGCAGAACTCGATTCTGTTCCAGACCGATGACCTTGTCTACGAGAAGAACTACACCTACGACGGCTTCTTGAACAACTTCCTCGACGCCATCGACGGCTCCTACTGCTCGGAGACATCTCCCCTGGACCCTCCGTATCCCCATGACGTTAAGGGCGGCTACAAGGGCAAGTTGCAATGCGGTGTTTACAAACCGACTAATGTCATCTCCATCTCCTACGGTGGCGCCGAGGCGTCCCTGCCCATCTCCTACCAGCGCCGCCAGTGCAATGAATTCATGAAGCTCGGTATGCAGGGTGTCTCTGTCGTGGTTGCCTCGGGTGACTCCGGTGTGGAAAGCCGCGGCGGCGACCCCAGACCCAGTAACTGCCTGGGCGAAGATGATAAGGTCTTCGCCCCTGACTTCCCCGCCACCTGCCCCTACCTCACCACCACCGGTGGTACCTACCTGCCCCACTTGGCCGACCCCAAGAAGGACCAGGAGGAGGCCGTGACCAAGTTCCCGTCCGGCGGTGGCTTCAGTAACATCTACAAGCGCGCCGACTACCAGAAGAAGGCTGTTGAGGAGTACTTCTCCAAGTACGACCCCGGCCACAAGTCCTACGAGTCCGTCGACAACAGCTCCTTCGCCGACAACGGCGGTATCTACAACCGTATCGGCCGTGCCTACCCTGACGTTGCGGCTGTCGCTGACAACGTCCTTGTTTTCTCTGGTGGTCTGCCGTCGCTGGTCAGTGGTACTTCTGCTGCTGCGCCGGTGTTCGCGGCTATCCTCACCCGTATTAATGAGGAGCGGCTGGCTAAGGGCAAGTCGACAGTTGGTTTCGTCAACCCTTTGTTGTATGAGCACCCTGAGGCATTCAACGACATTGTTAAGGGAGAGAACTCGGGTTGCGGTGTGACTGCCTTCAAGGCTGTCCCTGGCTGGGACCCGGTTACTGGCTTGGGAACCCCCAACTACCCTAAGTTGTTGGACTTGTTTATGGACCAGCCGTAATGTGATCTTTATGATATGAATAGCTAGTACCAGGGTTTTAATACCCAGGTAATAGGTAATGATAATTCCTTTGTCTATATATATATCTTCAAGTGTGGTTAAACTATCTTAGTACACAACTTCCCAGTATTATTCCCCTCGAACAACCGTAACCAAACACCCGGAACATCCTCAAAGCCCGCATCGACAATGGTCTGCATCTCATCGTCCAGAACGATCTTCCCATCCTTCCACGCCTGGACGAGCAGTTCCGTCGTCGCAGGGATATGAGGCAAGTAATCGTAGGCGAAGAAACCGTGCATGCTCAGGCGGTTTTGGGTGATTTCCTGACTTTGTTAGCCGATTTATATGAGGATAGGGAGGACAGACTCACGAAGAGGTTCTTGTAGGTCTGTTCGGTGGAATTGTAGGTTGAGATAGTGCCGCTGTTACTGTTAGCATTCTATACATGTACAAGTAGAGAGAGAGGGGGGGGGGGTTACCAAGAAGCAATCCGTCCAAAGCGCTTCAACCGGGTAAGCATGAGATCGAGAATGGTGCCGCCGACATTGTCTTCACGTATCAGCCAATATTTCAAATCGAATCCCATGTCTAGGTGAGGGCATACCAAAGTAAACCTCGACATAACCCTCCGTCGCCTTGAAAAGATCCTCCTCAAACGACTCAGACCGATAATTAACACACTCCTCTGCACCGAGACTCCTAACCCACTTGCACTTCTCATCCGTCCCCGCAATCCCAATAACCCGACAACCCAGCAACTTCCTCGCAATCTGTACCGCCATACTTCCCGTCGCACCCGCAGCCCCAGAAACAACAACCGTTTCCCCAGGCTGCACCTTGACAATCTCCTTAAGCCCGTAGTACGCCGTGATAGCAGGCATGCCGAATGCGCCCAGGAAATGTGCGATATCCAGACCCGGGATTGGAGTGAGGGGCTGACACTCGCTTTCATCGTGGATACTCAACTCGCGCCATTCTGTGAATGCGAAGACTAGAATATTTACTGGGAGTTTCGAGGAGGTAGACTCGACAACCCGCACGATGGCGGCGGTACGCATTGCATCGCCTTCATGGATTGGGGGGAGGTATTGCCGTGCGGGATCTGCGGCCGCGGAGATCCATGGGCGCATGCCAGGGTCATTGGAGAGGTAGAGCGGTTTGGTGAGGACTTGGCCTGGTTGTAGTGTGGGGAGGGTGATGGTGTTTAGGGTGAAGGTGGGTTTGGGCCCGGAGAGGGTTGGGAGGGCGGTTGGTTTGTTGGTCAGGGTCCATTGGCGGGTTTGCATGGTGGCGGTGGTCCTTGGTTGATTGCGAATGTTGATAATAAAGTGGGAATGAAGGATATATATATCGAGCCGTAAAAAGGAGTAACTGGAACCAATTCCCGGAGTGCAGTGCAGATGCAACTTAAAAGTAACTTTATGCACTCCGTACTGCTCCGTCGCAATGGGACGACGATCTTGGACTAGACTGATTTGTGTATTGTGGATCGTAGAATTCATGACTAACTGTGTACATTATGCACGCCTTTATGCCCCCACACCCACATTAACCTTGTACGTAGCCGGTTCCTCCTCGGCCTCGCCAAAAACATTAATGTTCCACCGCGGCGAGTTGGCAACGTAGGGGGTGTTGTACCGCCGCGGGGCCTCGCCAATCTTGCTAACCTTCTCCACCTCCTCGGGCGTGAGCTCAATCTCCTGGAAGTTCTCGACGATGCGGTGCGGTGTGACGGACTTGGGGATGACGCTGTGGCCGCCGGTCTGCGACCAGGCCAGGATGACTTGCGAGGGGGAGACGGTCTTGCCTAGACGCTTGGAGGCGCTCTCGGCGACTTCTTTGACTTCGTCGCGGGTGATGAGGAGGGGCTCACCGACCATGTTGTTGCCGAAGGCCTGTTTTGTTAGTGCCCGTTTGCGTTATCTAGAGTACTTCGGGGGTGTTGCTCACCGAGTAGGCAGTGATGTGGATGTTCTTTTGCTCGCAGTATCTGATCAGAGCGTTGGACTGGAGGAGAGGGTGGCGTTCGATCTGGTTGGCGGCGGGGACGACACCGGTGCCTTGGACGAGGGCCTCGAGCTGCATTACTGCATTAGTAGCATATCTTTACCTCCCGTTGGATATACGCACGTGGTCAATGGAGAAGTTGGAAACACCGACAGAGCGCGCCTTCTCCTTGGGAAGCTTGGTCATGGCCTTCCAGGTATCGACGATGGAAATGTCGTTGTCAATGGCGCAGTCGTTCTCGGCGGCGAGGGGGAAGAGCTCAGGGCCGCGCTTGAAGGCCACGGGCCAGTGAATGAGGTAGAGCTGCGTCAACTGTTAATATTGATCCGACAATCACGAGAAGCAGAACCTCGCACATCAAGGTAGTCAAGTTCGAGCTCAGCAAGGCACTCGTCCAGAGCTTTTTCGACATCGTCGGGGTGGTGCTGGCTGTTCCAGAGTTTGGAGGTCTACTCAGTTAGCATCACCTCTCATCCTGTCTGTATGGTTACTCACGATGAAGATGTCCTCGCGCTTGAGGCCGGGAACATCGTTGAAAGCGCGCTTCAGGCCCTCGCCGACTTCACGCTGGTTCTGGTAGACGACGGCCAGGTCCAGGTGACGGTAGCCGGCCTTGAGAGCCTGGTAGACGGCCTCACCGACCTGACCGGGGGCCGATTGCCAGGTACCGAAACCCAGTTGACTGTGACGTTAGCCGATTGGTACCAAGGATGCATAGGGGGTAATCAAACATACGGGATCTCGGCGCCGGAGTTGAGAGTGACTTTTCTTCCGAGAGACATGGTGACTGTAGTAACAGTAGCAGTAGTAGCAGCAGTAGTGCAGTGATGAGAGACTATGGAGAGAAAAAAGAGAGAAGGGGAAGGTAGAGGAGGTTTATAGGCGGGGAATTGTGGCATCATCCCACTGACCCCGCCAAACAAACCGATTGGGAATCCCCAGAAAGTAATGTTACTGTTTTGGGACATGATATCATCGGGACAGTCTCCTCCGAGAGCATTTCTGTTTCTAATTGGGTGGATTTACCCGACGGGTGAATCGGTTATATGGTCTATGGCTATGGGATATGAGCGAATGCACACATGTACATGCAATACCGGTTAACACTCCGGTAGGAACTCCGCAATGCGTCTATACATCTCCGGGGGGTTGGAGTACATGGGGAAGTGCCCACTGTATGGGATCTCGGCCAACTCTACCCCGTTTTCTTCCAGATGCGGCAAATAAGACAAGCCGTTGTTCAGTTCCCCATACATGACCATGCGCGGGAACGGTAGACCCAAAAATATCCCCATCAGGTCCTCCTCGTCCGACAATTTGACCATGGAGCCAAAGATACCCCGCACCGCCCCGGGACGTACCTTGTGCCGCAGACTCGACGCATACAGCGCATTCGAGAACGCAGGGGAACGCCGGGTTCGGTCGATAAAGTCTTGGAAGAATTGTTCGGGGTGCAGCTGCGGATCGTCGTGCGTGACAACCTGTCGACTGAGAAAGCAGTCCTCCGGTGCTAGGTTACCCTCGATATTCACGAAGCTGCGTACGCGCTCTGGATGCTTATGCGCGAGATACAGCGCCGTCAATCCACCCATGGAATGGCCAATTAGGTGGAACGAGGTGATTCCCACGCGGTCGAGAACGGCTTCGGCGGTGCGAACTAGGAAAGGCACCGAGATGCGTGAGAGGTTGGAGCACTCGGTCTCTCCGCAGCCTGGGGCATCGTAGGCCAGGAAAGAACGGTTCTGAAAGGGGGAATGGTGGGCGAGATCGTAGTAGTCTTCTTTTGTCGAACCAAAGCCATGGAGACACACTATGGGTGCTAGTTCGGGGTCCCCAGGGGCGTGCACGACGGCGACGGACAGATCAACGCCGTCGACTGAGACGGAGAGCTTCTTGAACTCGGGAGCCAGCTCGGCCATTATACGATATGCAAGAACCCATGGGAGCAGAGTATGCAGTACTTGGGCTTATATGGAATGATAAGTTCATGATGTAACGGCGAAATGTCACGGGACCGACCGGCGAAAAGCCTGAGGCCGACATAGCACGTGCCACAAGGCAACAAGGCATAGGAACAGATGGAGAATGCTCGGGGAAGATACTCGAGTCGAGCACCGGTCACCACTAGCGCCACTGACTCAGTCCGGGGATGGGGCGTTCCTGCCTCAGAATTAAGCAAATTAAGCATAGCCAACCAGTCCTATCTCCGACTTTCGGTCAACCTCCGTTGTGTGGAGTGCAGATTTTGCTCTTCTCGGTAAGGGTAGGGCTCATCACCACCATGGAAAGCGCCGTTTCTAGCATTCTCCGGGCTTATCAGAGGCAAAGTCGTGAATAATACTGGAATAAAGTCGCATTTATCTTAACTTTATCAGTAACACCGGCCCGGTCCCACTGCAAAGAACCGTACCGTGACCGACGCCAACCGTTTTGAAACATGGCGTCTTCTTTCTTTTCTCCTTCTTTTCTCTATTCTATCCTTCTTCTCTGCCGGTTTCTGTTATTTATTTCTGGCTTTCCCCGTGGAGTGGTGACCCCATATCCATCAATTGCACCATCATGTCTGTCGACCCCGTTACCCCGGCCGAATACCCCCCTTGGCACGACCAAGATGAAGAAAAGGATCTGAAAGAACATTTCGACCCAACGGCGCAGGACGCTTTTGGAAATGAAGAGGAGGCTGAGGTTAAATACAAGGTGTTGTCGTGGTGGTATGTACCCTGTCGCCCATGAGGAATTCTCTTCACCGGACCGTGTATGCTGACTACGGAGCACAGGCAATGTGGACTACGTGTGTACTACATTTCCCCAGATTTCAGAACGAAACTAATCGGTATGCAGTCATGGTTGCCGAGACCATCTCGCTGGGTGTATTATCCCTGCCAGCTGCTGTGGCTACGCTCGGTTTGGTTCCGTGAGTAGCCCACCTACCCTGCGAAGACCGAAGCTAATTGGCATAGATCCTTGATCATCCTCGTCGGAATCGGTATCATTGCGACATATACCGGCTACCTCATGGGGCAGTTTAAGCTGAGATATCCGTTCGTCACGAGTATGGCGGATGCCGGAGAGGTCCTCATGGGCCGCTTTGGCCGGGAGTTCCTTGGTATCGCCCAGCTGCTCTTTATCATCTTCTTCATGGCCAGTCACTTGGTCACGTTTTCCGTCGCCTTTAACGTTATGACCGATCACGGTACCTGCACCATCGTTTTTGGCGTGGTCGGCCTGGTCATCTCCTTGATCTGCTCGCTGCCGCGGACTCTGAACAATGTATCGTGGTTGTCCATGGCTTCCTTCACCAGTATCACCGCTGCAGTCATTATCTGTATGATCAGTCTCGGCATCCAAAACCCCGGTGGCATGCCCATCAAGGCCGTGGCCCAGTCCGACCTGGTCACGGCCTTTTCCGCCGTCACCAACATCATCTTTGCCTACAGTAAGACGAACCTTCTACTCAACGCTGCAAGAACGCTCTAACACAACATAAATAGTCGGCCACGTCGCCTACTTCGGTATCATGGCTGAATTGAAGGATCCCCGCGATTTCACCAAAGCCCTCTCCCTCCTGCAAGTCCTTGACATTATCATCTACATCATCGTCGCCGCCGTGACCTACAACTATGCCGGTGATGGCGTCACTTCGCCTGCCCTGGGCTCGACCAATCCTATCATGCAAAAGGTCGCTTACGGGATTGCTCTGCCGACCATCATCATTGCCGGTGTCGTCTTCTGCCACGTCGGATGCAAGTACATCTACCTGCGAATCTTTGCGGGAACCGACCGGATGCACAAGCGGGACTTTGTCGCCACGGGGTCGTGGGTTGGTATTAACTTGGTTATGTGGGTTATTGCGTGGATTATTGCCGAGGCTGTGCCGGTGTTTGACAGTTTGTTGAGTTTGATCGTGCGTTTTCCTCAAACCTGCTTGTTTATTCATAGCTAACAAGATTGCAGAGTTCGATCTTTGGCAGCTGGTTCAGTTTCGGATTGCCCGCTTTCTTCTGGCTTTTCATGAACCGCGGCGAATACACCGCCTCGTGGAAGAAGATGATTCTTACTGTGATCAACGTCGGTTGCGTCGGTATTGCCGGACTCATTGTACGTTTACCTTATCCACCCCAATACATTCAACGCTAACCGAAACAGTGCGGTCTGGGTCTCTACACCTCCGGCAAGTCCATCCACGACAACCCCAGCAGTGACAGTTTCTCATGCGGGAATAACTCGTAATGCGTGGAATATACATTTGTGTACATATGAGAGCGTTTGTTTACAGCGATGACATAGCATTCATACATTCATAGTCATATACTCATTGATTCGTCATTCATGATTGATGGGCCGCTGATGCGAACTCTGTGGTCCGGCATCTAATTCGTAAATTGGTCGTCTTTCGCGTCGTTCGCCGGGTGTTGCTTCGAGTATCATTCTTCCGTCTAGCATGGGGACAGACTCGGAGGGTTGTTTCGGGGGAAATGGTTTGCGGGGGAGACGGAGGATTGACTTCGTGTTGAAGATATGGTACTGTGTCTTTTCGACGTCACCCTCATCTGTGGGCCCGGCCACTGTGCGTCGACGCCGTAGACAAAACCAGATACCAGCGGCGATGATGCAGACGATTAGAATAACTGCAATGGCGATACCGGCTTTGGCGCCTGGGCTTAGCCCTGAGCTTGACGCTGAGCATGAGTAGGAGCCGGTGAATACACTGTCTGCAGCGAGGCGGTCGAACACGCCGCAGGACATGTCGGCGCCTTTGATTGTGGTGTCGCCGTTGACCTCGTCGATGTTGGGGAGGGATACACTGCACCATTAGCCATGCATTCGTTATAAACTGAAAGGAAAGCAAACCTAAACCCTCCGACCAGGGCGAGACCACCCTCCACGTCTTCCAGATCCTGTAAATTCACATAACTCAATCCATTATTCCCTTGCACCGTCAACTTCCCACTGACACTCTGCAACCCCGAAAGTGTCAAATTCTTCAATCCCCCATTGTCCGTAACCGTCACCGTCCCCTCCACTTTCTCAAGAGCCGGCAGGTTGATCTTTGTTATACCCCCGACATTCGTCACGGTCAAGTCGCCTTCAATCCGGCTTATCTCGGTGAGGTTCAAGACCCCGTCAAAGGATTCGGAGACGGTGAGGGCGCCTTCGACCTTGTCGCACGAGACGAAAAGGTCGGCATCGGACGGGGAGGAGATCGTGGTGTTTTGGCCTGGCGACGTCAGTTCCGTTGATATTTTCTGCATTGGGCAGTGCGGGACGAACAGGAATCGGCAACGACGCACTGGCACACAGCCAGAGCCAGCACGGCCAGGAACAGGCTGAAAGGGCTCATTGCATCGAGCTGGAGCTGGAGCTGGAGCTGTCAATTTCAGACTGACAGAGTAAAAAACAACAAAGGGTCTCGAGGGCCCTGACAGCTAAAGTATGCATGTCCGTCAAATTTTATTAGACTTTGTTGATGCCGGCTAAACATCCCGGATGTCTATTTTTGGCACAGGCAGCATTGTTTGTCTCCGCTTGCTCGATCCATATCAAGGAAAATACATATACATGTCACTCTATCTCTATTGAAGTACTCTATACGAACGCTACCATGAATCCAATGTCGACAGCTCCTGCCACTGCTGCTCTAATTCCTCCACCATCCACGCTGTCCGCCAGCCAACGCGTTTTTCCACATGGGCCAGGAACTTGAGCGACCCGCGCTGTTCGGCAGGGTGCCGAAGACAGTATCCATCTGCCCAATTAGACTAGTCGGATACAATTTGATGTAGGGACGACTTACAGCGATGTACCAAATGGCACGCCATGAAGAATGCGTTCTCGACTGTTTCGTTCGACAGCGCTAGGCCAATTACCATGTTCAAATGCGACGCGATAGTTTTCTCGGATTGGCGACGCAGTCGCGCGAGATCGTAGTCGCCGACGGTTTGCCAGTGGCCGTCTGATGAGGTTAGGAATATGCATGATGCGTGGTAGTATTGCAATCCCACCACCGCTGGCGGCGACATCATCCATAGTTCTGGGAATGGACGGCTCTCTGCTGGATCGGCTGGTCGATACCGCAGTGGTTGCCATGAGATTGGCCTTGCGCGATGCCAATGTTCCACGCTATGAGCGATCTGATGCCAGGCCGATTCATCCATAGCCTCTGTGTCAGTTCGCGCGCAGAGCTGGATGACACGAGCGCAGAGAAAGATAATCACGTTTGCATAGGCTGCGTCGTCGCTGCGTTGGAACACGGACGAATGCTCGTAGTTCTCCAGGTCCAGCGACATCGGTTGATACTGCACGACCGAGGCGTAGATGGCCTGGCGCAGGAACTGCCAGCTGACTGCTTCAGCTAGGCCGCCGGAAGAGGCGGATTTGGACATGGTGTTGAGTAGTCGGTTGGAACCTAGGAGGTGGTACTTTTCGTCTGTGCTGTTTTCCAGTTCCTCATAGAACCGCAGGATCACTACGGTAATCAAGAGGTTGTCGTCATATCCTTCTGGCTGAGCAAGTACTGCGATTAGCAGTTCTAGACATTGTCCGTGGTATTCGGACGCTTCTACGTCGCTTGAGCCCGACATGATTGCATCGTGTCGTGCGGATAGGGACAAAACGGCCTTGAGGACCATGGGCACCTGGAGGGCCCGACGGGGGACTTCGGTCGTGAAATGCGATTGCAGGTCACATATATCAGCCTATATTGTTAGCATTATTCATTCCAACCCTAGGTGTGGCCTACCCATGGTGCAATCTTAGAAATAAATATCCGCATCAAATAGGCCTCTCTAGACGACAAGGTGGCAGAAGTGATCGGTCTCGGACTAAACGACTCCCATGACGAAGTCCCTCCCCAGGAGTTAGTCGAAGCGAGCGGCGATGCAACTCCATTGGCAGAAGGAGGTGAAATGGCGGTCGACACGACAGCTGGCCCGGCGTCAGACACCATTGGTGGTGTCACGAGACCTGTGTTATCTATTGACGCCAAGTCTGGTATTTCCAAACCCGGCTCTGAAAAGCTGGGCGGAAGCAGCGGAACCGGCTCATCTGCCGGTCGTGGCTCTGGGGAGTCGGCGCTCCATTCTGACGATTCCTCGGCAGGTTCTTGGATGAACGTCACTGTATTGATTAGCCATGCGCTTGGCTGCCAGGGTGAGGGACCTACACGACCGAGGATAATTCACCCAGACTTGCTCCGGATCCCAAGCCAATTCAAACCGCGACGGCGTGCCATGGCTCTTGTGGTAAACATGGCGCACCGTCTTGAAGCGAAAGCGCGGGTCTAGACGGCACGGCTTATCCAGCCGAGCACAGGCATTACACGACGAAGCGCCCGCTCGCACGGTGCATCGAATATGGCGATGCCGACAACGCTCACATCCTCTGCCAATCCGCATGGCACTATATAATCCGGGGAGCGTAAAGCTCAGCGGGGACACAACAGGGATTATGATTGAGCGGCATCGACGAGACTCCTGGTTGGAGGGCAGGCAGGTAGTCGAGAAGGCAATCGGTGAGCGAGAAATATAGCGATCAGGCCATATGTCTGTAGCAGAATCGAAGAGGAAGTCGTGGAGGACAATAAATTCGCTAAAAATATCCCCGACTTCCCCGCATCCGAGCCAAGCGGAGGCGGGGTGTGATTGGCATGTTCATATAATAGCTGCTTTATAGGGAGTGTTATACGGGGTATGATACGGGTTCGTGATACGGGGGTATTGATAGCGCCACATAATGAATCGATTTATTCAACCAAATCAACTCTGGCTAAAGTCATATTCATTGCCAAATCCCCGGTTCAGATACCTCGACAAGGCTTCCGCCTCACTCACCCAGGTGACCGGAATATCTAGATCCTTCTGCTCCTCAATGACCGGCCGGAGGCTGTCCGACAGCTCCAACCGCATCCGGTTGCGGTACCACGGGGCAAAGTGGACTGTTTTGGTTAGCATGACATTCCCCGCAATGGATCTAGGCACATAGACACTCACTCATCGCCAGCATGATCCGGACTACATCGGTCTGGTTTCCAATCCCGGCATGCCAGAGTCGGAGATCGCGGAGAACAAACGAGCCTTTGGGTACTATTGGCTGCGATGGTGGGCGAATTGCTCTTTGCTTCTCTAAAGCATCTGCTTTGATTCGTCCACTGGCTCGCTCGCCATGCATCCCTTCTTGTACATGCAGTCCTGAATCTTTATGCGTTGCTAGCCATAGTTCCGTGGAGCCATTCTCGGGCGTCATCGTGATGAGCGGGATATTCACGACGTAGGCGAAAGGGTGCGTCGGGTGGTCAAAATCGGCATCTGAATGCACAGGCTGCGACATTGGGGGATGTTCTTCGGTCGGTGGCATCGCTGAATTTCCCGAAAAAAAGGTCCATTTGGGCCGGGACCCTAGTGCAGCCGTGGTGATTTGTGTGGCGATGGGGTCTGAATGCTGTTAGATGGTGTCATTGTTGGATGTCGTACGGAGCACCTACTTAGGAAGATGTTTGTATCGAAGTATTCCCGTGCCGGAGGTGGGTCTTGCTGGATATTACCCGGGTTGTAGTTGTATGGGCTGTTCTCTTTCTTGCTTTGGAGGAAGCGTGCATCTTGGACCATTTTGGTGTTTAGACGGTCGAGGGAATCGTGCGGAATGGCGTCTTCTACCACCACCAGTCCGTCATGATAGAGACTGCGAATGGCAATCTCGAGGTTTTGAGGTGTCAATTGCTTGTTTCTCACCTCATCTTGAGATGGCCGGATGTTGGTGGGATAGCTGGACATGGGGCGCGAACTGAACCGTCGGGGCTTGAAGAGCTCGGAACGTGCGAGCCGCTGCATTTCGTGTATCTTGATGGATGCCGATGCATTCTGTGTGAAAATCGGGCCTTTTATAGCTTCAGTGAATACATATATCTTCTCTCATAGTTCCGGTTTCTGTGTACCCTCATTGGTTAACGCAAATTAGTAATCGAAACTCGCAAAACTTCGCGGTATTCCGGTAAAACCATAGCAATGCAAAAGGAATGCAAAAACGCACTTCCATTCATTGGTAATGCCGCGACCTTTACTTGAAAACCGCTGGTAAGTCATTTTTCTCGTTGGTAAACCTGGTATTGACTTCATTCAGCCAGCCATGCAGACAGCGAAAGGTTAAATGTACGTTCGCCTAGTGAAATCCTATGGTTCGGAAAACTGACAGTCCTAGGCGATGGACATCGTCCAGCATGCCTTCGCTGCGGGCGATGGTCTAGGGATTGCCAATGGAGGCACACTAATGGCTACAGTGAAGCTTCAAGGCTGTCTGTAGCAGACACCGCTAGCCGTGAGGCTCAAACCTATGAGACTCAAACGAACATCCAAGATCCCGGGAAATATATATCCACTACGGATCCGGAACAAGCACTTCAAAATCCTCGAGTCGCATGTATCTTTCGACATTACATTGAAAATCTAGCTAGCTGGTATGACTTGAACGACAGGAAGCGGCATTTTGAAGACATGGTTCCAGTCCGTGCCAGACAGAATTCTCTTTTATTGAGCGCCATCCTGGCATTTTCTGCTGCGAGTCAGAGCTCCAATCATTCCAATGATTCCTTATCGGAAGTGGCGGATGCGTACCACTTGGAAAGTGTCCAAGCATTACTGTCTCTTACTGAAAATATAAACGAGTTCAGAACCGGGGAAACACTTGCTGCGATTTGCATTCTCCGGTCATATGAAATCATATCCCGTCTGTATCCCACAATTATCTTGTCGCTCAACAACTGATGGTTTAATTAGAGAATGTCAGTGCTCAGAATCACCTCAGAGGCTCATACTCGTTAATAGCAAGTGGTCCGAATGATCTAGAGCCAGGCTTGATGAGAGCTGGTTTTTGGAACTATCTCCGAGAAGACATAACCGTTGCTCTCATGGAAAAGCGCAATTTGATGATAGAACTGAAAGATCAACAGCCGCCGTTACTCGACGGTGAGAATGATCCTGCCAACTACATATCATACATATTAGGCAGAGTCATCAACCGTTGTCTGCACAAAGATGGCGAAGCTCTGGATAAACGCGAATGGGATTCATTGAAGGAGGACCTTAATAGTTGGAAGGCCTCGCTTCCCTCGTCTTTCGGGCCTATCATCACCCCAGGACTTCGCGGAGGAAGCCGGTTCCCGTCTGCATGGAACACATCAAAGTGGCATAGTACGTGGCATCACTAGCACGTTCTTCTCTAAGCTGACTATCTCAGCCGCTAGCTTACAGTACTACCACACTGCGATGTCAATCCTTTGTCTTGCAGAGCCAGTTCCTTACGTGATGAACACATTGCAACATATTGAAAGGATGAAGTCAATCGAAGCCAAGCTGGAATACCACGCTATCCATGTATGCGCGTTGGCAATATCCAGCAACTCAGCGCCTGTATGGGTCAACTCTTTTGGGCCAATATCTTTCTGTTCGTTCCCCATGCTCTAACTTGCATCCCCTTTGCTCACTCATGAAACAGGCGGGTCTTGGCTCCGACAGCCTGAAATGCTCGTAGAGCTTACCACTGAGTTGAAAAAATGGGGAGGGAAGACCGGATGGCCTGTTTCCAGTGTTTTGAATTCACTAACGAAAACATCCGGTTGATGATATGATTGTGAAACAAATATTGCCAATCCGATGCATTAAGAAATAATCCCAGGAAAAGATCTGTAGTTAGCCTTTCCATTATCACACCCGTGAACCAATAGCCAGCCACTAACTGCAAAAAGTACTCGATAAACCGCATAGGACTGTTGCGCAACGCTCGGGTATCACCCACCACTTGGTGTCCTATCGTATGATGCTTCTCGGTAGGAACTTCCGGCGTATTACTCGGGTAATTTTATTCAGAATGATTCTCACCGTTCGTGAGGCCTGTCAAGCGACGGTCAAAACCAGATCAGAATGGCATCAGCTCGACAGCACAAATTTCAACCACACTGGATAATGTCAATCTTTTAATAATATAGACCAACTTATGGGACGATGGCGTTCAGTGTGTTGATTGTGGGCGGCAGCGTTGCCGGTTTGGCGCTGGCCAACATGCTCGAGAAACATGGCATTGAATATACATTAATTGAGAAACATGATATTATTGCGCCCCAACTAGGGGCAAGCTTCACCATGCTACCACAGGCTGCCCGTATTGTCGATCAATTAGGCTGTTTCGAAAAAGTCAGGGCACTGGGTACGCCAGCCAACGATGGAGGGCTATTTGGACCAAAGGGAAGTGTTTTGAGTGTTGATCCAAATGCTGGAGATGATTTGGAAGCGTTGTCAGTGCTAAGGTAGCCAATATAACCAAAATCTCTTCTAATATGTTAATACAGACTTGGATACAAAATGTGGGCCTTAGAGCGACGGCAGCTCGTTGATATTCTCTACCAGAACTTGGCCGATAAATCCAAGGTCTACACATCTTGCGATGCAGTAAAAGTGGAATACCTGGAACATGGCGCAAGGGTTGAGACACAAAATAAACGCGTCTTCACTGGAAGTATTGTGGTGGGAGCGGATGGTGTCCACAGCCGGATTCGACAGGAGATGTGGAGGATTATCGATGAAGAAACTGATGACATTCAAATAAAAAAAGATCGAGGAGGTATGTTACCTTGCTATGGATTCATCAATATGACAGTATTACTGACTTCTATAGCAATCAGGAGTACCTATAGTTGTATATTTGGTATCTCTGAGGGTCTTCAGCAGTCGGACATCACGACTACTTCCAGATCTTGCTACCAAAATCGGAACTATTTGTATCAGCGAAGTATTCAAGGAAAGATATATTGGTTTGCATTTTTCAAAAACGCGAAGCAGAGCCATGGTATTCCGCGATACACAGATGATGACAAGGAAAAGGCCATTGCCCGATTTGAAGACGACGTGCTACAGCCCGGTATAACGTTGAGAGATCTCTATCAACATAGAACACATGCAGTGCTGGTTCCACTAGAAGAGTATGTGATGGGTAAGTGCTATCATAGAAGGACCATTCTAATCGGTGATTCCATGCACAAGGTATGATCCCTGCACTCTTTGCTTAAATTATAATTGATATCATTAAGGTCCACCCGTTGAGCGGACAAGGCGGTGCCTCTGCTCTCGAATCTGCCGCATACCTTGCAAACCAGTTGAAGGAATTGACAGATAATAATAAAGTTCCCACGGGCGAACAGATTCAAGCTGCATTCGCCGATTTCGAGCAGGATCGAGGCTCTAGGACCAAAAGTCTAATGAATGACGGCCACACTCTAGCGCGTTTAGAATCTCTAGACAATGCGTTGTTGAAATTTTTCATGCTTCATCTCATCAGTAGGATTTCCAAGAGCTACCTCCACTCTATGCTTGCAGAAGCGTGCACGCCCGGAGTCCCTTTGAAGTACTTGCCATCGGCACCCAAGCGAGGCATAGTTCCTTACGAAGACGAAGTTGACATTCGGCCTCAAAAGCGAGAGGTGCATTTGACTGTTATCTGGACTTCAATATTTACACTGCTTGGACTAGTTCAATTTGCTCTATTATGGAATGCCCCGGCTGTTAACAGGGTGTTGGTCAGCCAAGCCAGTTCAGACGAAAATCGGTTATGGAATACAGCGCATCTGAGGGAGAGTGTTTCACCTTTCCAAATGTACACTGCTCTCTCCGTCATAGCAATTAACACATTCTGGTGTCTTGAATCATACCGCAGCCAATTTTCGATGGGACCACTTTGCAGGTAAGGTCTTCCTAATAGTACCCATTGCTTCACTGACTAAAATTCTAGTGCTGTTTCATTCATCCTCGTTGCATTATTTACTGGATGGGGCGTGGCGATGGCTGCGTATTTTGCGCTTTATATCCTGCTCAGTCACAAAAGAGCATTTTATTATCCGTCTCCCAGGACTATTCCGCTCCCAGCCGCCAAAGCCTTACCAATTGCCCTGGTTCTTGTGTACCCAATTGCCATCTACCATGCATTCGCTGAGGTGTCCATGGGTATCCCAAATGTTTCGTTTGGGGGGCCACTGCTACTCGCTCATATTAGTCTTCCCTTCGTGATTATTCTCGTCCAGAAAATCCTCAAAAGATTGACAGATATCCCCAAAGGATTAGAGGCGACATGGGGAGATACAGATATTCCGTATATCTCGCAATATCAGGACTTAATCTTTGTGACTACCAGCAGTGCCCATTTCCTGTGGATGGTGGCATTTACGCTATGTCCAAGCAAACAAATTCCTCTCGATGAATACCTTACAGCTGAAGCTGTGACACAGCCCATCTTCACCGGCCTATCTATAACATTGTGGCTACTATTTACTGCCTGGGACTTGCGGAGAGTTCGCGCAACGAACATCAGCTGGAAGAAGGCAACACTCTATATCACACTTGGAACGTTTCTTGTTGGCCCGGCCGGCTGTCTTGCTGTGGCCTGGAAATGGCGAGAAGGGACATTGGAGAAATCACGGACAAGAAAGGCGACACGAGAAAGAACGATGCTGCCATGTACTACTGGATAGAAAGGACAATATGGGATTATGCTGCCTCTATAAGCGAAAGTTTCTTTTTTTCGGGATGTTTCGCTTAGGTGGTTATTTTGATTTTGTTATTTCATCTCATTTTCGGCTGCATTAGACTATGAGCATATAACGGATGAAGATAGGATTCGACAGGTTGGTTCATTAATATATTGAGCATAGATTGTGCGTAAAGCCTTATATTTAGAGGGAAAAAAAAAAAAAAAAAAAAAAAAAAGCATTGCCCCAGAACCCTGCAGCTTATGCAAATGAGTCAATGGCATCGCATGACTGCTCAGTGAGTCATTTGACTCACTGCCTTGTTGATAC